TTAGGAAAAATATATAACCGCTATATAGGCGATACGCTAGAGAGACGTATATAGACTATACGCTACTCGTCGTCGTTACTCTTAGGAGGATTAGATAGTAGGTCTAGGTCCGACCTATAACTACTATCTACCTTATTAAACTAGACCGGGGGATTCAATTGATTCTATATAAGTTAGTGCGGAACGTAGGTGAGGAGTATACGCTACTTATAATAACCGTATAGGCCTTAGCTATAAAGCGTAAGGCTTTAAGGATACCACTAAGGATATTAGCGGTGCGGTCAGTGGGGGCGGTAGTAGAGGGGGAGGTAGTAGAGGCACTAGAACTAGAGATAAGGTTACGTCTCGTAGACGCCTTTAATGCGTTTTGTATACGCCTAGATAGCGTAGAGGCTTCGTCCTAGACGGCCACGATAGCGGGCGCGTCTGGATCGCTATCTATAATTATCTAATTATAAGTAAGAAGACAGTTAGTAGCGGCTACATAGGATAGAGGAACCTAATGCGATAAGTATACGATAAGCTTATAGAGATGCGTATAATAGTATAATACTTATAGGAATATAACCCTTAGGACTAGTACGATTACTACGCTCGTAACGATCGTAGCGGATATAGCCCTTAGTAGTACGCGTATCGTATGCGATACGCTAGCTAGTTAGATAACCGCGACTAGTGCGGAGCGCGCGTAGATAACGCTAGTAAGGTAGCTTCTCTCGGGACGAACGCTAAGATACCTTAGAGGGAGTTTAGGGGGGAGCTAAGTATATAAGTTAGTTACGAAACGCATATAATAAGTATAAACTACTTATAAGGGCCGCTAGGGCGATAAGGAGGTTAGCTACCTATACCTAAGGTGGTGCTACTAGGACGGAAATTGATAGTATTTATCTATAAAGTAATTAATACACGACTAGTATACGATAGATACTACTAACGTTAGAATATTACGTAAGACTAGTAAAAAGGAAGAAAGAGATAAACTAAGGGAGAAGAAGTGGTATCTATATACCTAGGCGTAAGAGGCGACCGCATTAGGATATAATAAGGCTATTTATAACTATACTATTATTATGACGCATTAACGCTACGCATTCACGTTACGCATTTATATACGCGTTCAATAGGGCTTAATAGCGATTCACGCTCAATAGGCATAATAGTCATTCACATAGCGATTTATATAATAGTTCATATAGCACATTCACGCACACACCTAATAGGTACATTTAATAGCGCATTCACACAATGCATTTACATAGGGTGCATACGCACCATTTAGACGATACATTTAGGCGGTGGATAAGTAGCGCATATAGGACGTAAGCTACTCGTACGTAAGCCTCACTAAGTAAGAGGGAAATACTACCTATACGGGCCTCTCGGGGACGAGAAGCTAAAAGGGGGGGGTAATATCATAAACGGGACCTAGAAGCCAGGCATAATTAAGATCGCGCTAAGCCGGACCGCGCTAAGCTACTTTAGGCCGTATATAGCCCGCATAAGAAAAGTATGCTTCTCGCATCTAAGAAGCATCCTCTCCTTATACTATGAGTTTATGTTACTATAGGTGTAGAAGGATACTTATTACTACGGAATCTACCTATCGCTGAGTACTGCCTATCTTCAATAAGGTATCCTTGATACCTTACCTACTCACCTTGTATCTCAGGTCCTCTCCAAACCTTTCCCATTATAGTATTAGGTTCTTATTAGAGGCACTAATGAACTAGGGTAAGGCTTCTAGCTATAGGCGCTAACTCGTACAGCAGTAGGTAATAGGTACGTTTATATCTTATTAAGTAGTTAATTAATTATTTTTTTATTATCTCTCTATCTACCTAGGCGAATAATAAAAGAAAAGACTACTAAGCTAAAGTGGTACCCTTAAACTGACTAATTAGAGAGTAGTAACGTCTATCTATATAATGTATAGCTAAAAGTTAACTAATTACCTTACTCGCTCGCCTTATATCTTAGGTCCTCTCCAAACCTTTCCCATTATAATATCTATCTATCTATATATAGTTAAAAAAGGAGTCGCTATATATCTAGAAGGATTAGAAAGAATTATAGTTTAATATAAGGATCTAATAAAGAGCCTAATATAACTAATTAAGCGATAGAAGGAAGAACTTAAGACTTAGAGCTACTAGATCTTACTTAGGTATCCTAACTATAAGACTATTAATATCTTAAATAGAGCTCTTTAGAGTGCGCTCTAAAGTCCTAGTTATAATAGATAGATTAGTAGTTCCTTTATTAATACTAGAATTATTATCTCTCGAAAAGAATCTTATATAAAGTACTCTATTATCGTAAGTTTAGTATTTCTTTTTTAGATTAATTAATATTAATAAGTAAATAATTTAGTAGATTTTAAGGCTTAAGGAGACATTAATAATCTCTCTAGGCGACTTATTATTATTAATAATAACTTAATAAGTACTAAAAACTACTAGTTTATTTTTATAGTGAATAGAATAATATAGTTATACTTTATTATTAACTCTTAATTCGGTTAGTTAAATAGTAATAAGCTAACGTTAGATATTTTCGTTTAGTAATTAAAGAAGTGTATTTTTAGTATCCTATCGTAAAATATTAAGTTAATATCTAACTATTAATAAGATAAAAGTAGCTATAGACTTTAGGTAATTAAGAACGCTCTTACGGTTATTAACGCTAATATCTACGAGAAGGTACGTTTATAGACTACGTTATCTACTATTTAGGTTAATATTAAAGATCGCTTCCTAATCTCCTTAAAGATCTACTAGATAGTTAAGCGCTACCTAAAGTAAAGTAGGTAGGCATTAACTCTCGCGAATATAAGCTTAAAGGAATTAAATTCGAGATAGCTAGATAATTTTATGGAGACTTTAAAGGGTATAAAGAAGAATTAATAATTCTAGGAGAGCTAGTAAAGCTAGTTAGGAGACTTAAGTAAGGTTATTAAGAAAGTAAGTAATAATAGGAGGGATATAATAGGAAAGGTTTAGAGAGAACTTAAGATATAAGGTAAGTAAGTAAGGTAATTAGTTAACTTTTAGCTATATATTATATAGATAGACGTTACTACTCTTTAATTAGTTAGTTTAAGGGTACCGCTTTAGCTTAGTAGTCTTTTCTTTTATTATTTGTCTAGATAGAGAGATAATAACATAATTAATCAACTACTTTACAAGATGTGAACGCGCCTGTTACCTACCGCCGTACGAGTTGGCGCCTATGGCTAGAAGCCTCGCCCTAGTTCACTATCTAATATAACTACGCTATCTACTCTAGAGGTAGAGTTAGACTTAATATAGATAATAAATCTATTTTTATTATTAATATATATAGAGAAGGTATAAGAAATAGAAGATTTATCCTAATATAAGAGTTTAGAAAGAGTTCTATAACTAACTAATTAACTTAATAATAAGAAGAATAAATCTAAGGAGAGAGAAGGAAGGAATAGTTATTCTCCCTTTCTCCTTATATTCTCTAACGTATTATAAGGAGGTAACTAGTATCCTTACCTCCTTACTTCTTCCTTATATACTTATTCTAGTCTCTTACCTTCCCCTATATACTTATTCTAACTCCTTATCTTCCCTTACGTATGGTATCTTAGCTATTAGGGTTCTATATCCCTTATACCATATATATCTTAGCTAATTAGGAGGTAGTATTTTACCTATATATTATATAGGTAAATCTTGACTAATTAGGAGGTAGTATTTCCTGGCGTTAGTCTTAGCGCTGGTTCGCCAGAACTGAGCCTTCTCCTAGGTTCAACCTATCGTAGCCTAGGTATAATGTACGTATATATTAAGAGGATGAAGAAATACCTAATATATATAATTCCTAGTAGATTAAGTCTATTTATCTTAGGGTAATAGTATAATTTAATTAAATTATCGTATAGTAGTGGGAAAGTGTGTCGCTGGCTATGCTGTGTCGCTCGCTATACACCCACGTTAAGTGTATTGGCCTTTCACCAAGCCAACGCCCACCAAGATCACCTGGTGATGATCGATAAAGACGCGCTCTGGTCGCCCAATGTCCAGCTGGACCCGAGTCTGTTCACATAGAGCACGTACGTTCCTGACAATAGCTTTATGTCATTGCCTCTGAGTTTAGATTCCTATGACAAAGAAAGGAGATTCGGATGCTAGGAAAGATATATTGGTGGGCACTGTGATCGAGGTAGAAGGGGTAGGAGCATCTCTGTTGATGTTGATGGGTAGAAAAAATGTGCAAATGCGGTCGAGGCGGTAGGTAAGCTATGCCGCGATTTTAGGTAACGTAGCAGTTGCGGAATTCACCATAATGGTGGGACTTTGTGATGGCGAATAGCACGTTTTGCTACGTCAGCAGAAGGCCCTGGAGAAGGCTCCTACAAGGTGCCCAAATAGGGTCCCCGCCAAGGTTGCGATCCTCGAGGCACCAGAAATGGGGTCCGTCATCCCCCATTTTCCGGACTTTGTGATTAAAAATATGGCAGCGCACAAATAGCATATAGGCTTAGAGACAGAGGATGCTTTGGGGTTCACTGATTGTCGATTTTGCGGTCATTAAGCTGTAGAGAGTGAAGCGCACTGCCTTGAACATTCACTAGTGTCTCTTTAGCAACAGATCAGCACACACGGTTCGTGACGCGGTTAGGTGATCCACCGACCGCAAGCGTACCGGCGCCCCTTTGTGTGGGCTTCAGCGCCGTCGCCAGAACCTACAAGTATTCTATGCCTTAATTGCCGGATTAGACTAGAGCTCTGGATAGGGAGGGATAAAGAAACCCCCTAAATCCCATCGATTTCTAGTCGTAACCTAACGGACCTATGCCCTTTTCTCCCCTAAGTATTTCTATCTACGTACGAAAGCTAGATCTATAGTTTAAAGTAGTTATATTACTTCTTCCTCTAGCTTTGAGATAGTATATTGATCTTAGGCGGAGGCACTCAATTATGGTCGGAAAAACTAGTTATACCGTTTGTAAACATTTCTTTCACCCCTTAGACTTTGATTCCATCATCTGAAATAGAGAGATCGTAAGCCCACTTCGCCATCTCAATATATTTTGTCAGTGTCTTTGGGTCCAGGGCCTTTGGGATTGGAGTCATGGCCCGTGCGCCAGCAGACAGCGGAGGTCTGATGGCGATGCCTCGGGCTATAAGCAACTCAGCACGATTATCATAGAGCTCAGGATGTCGTTCAAAGAAGGTGGGATCGAGTTTCAGAAGTCCTTGTCCCCGATCCATCCTGAGTAGGTGGAATGTCTGGAGGGCTAGATGCTTATTGCTGAAGAGGGCCGCGATGCTCGGGGCGGGCAAAGTCGTGTCGTTCGGTTCGTTTGGGGCGGAATTGGTGCTTTCGTCATTGGATATGGCCGTGATAGTATCGAAGACCCGTAGAAAAGCAAGACAGGGATTGGCGCCGACGACCAATTTCGACAGATCCACCTCGGCTGCATAGCAGTCGGCAATCTCGCAGATGATTTCGTCGAGTCGAGGGTTGGATGAGTGGAAGATGATAAGCCGGTCACGTAGCGGTGGGAACGGAACCCAGTCAATGACTACGGGATGCGGAACCGAAAGCTGAATCTGGGTTGCTCGGTACCATGGATCGATCTTGGAGTAGATTTGCGGATCTGGGTTGAGGTGCCAGGAGGTGACGTGGACGACGGATTTATGTGCCTGGGTGTGTGCCAGAAAAGTGGTCATTGTCTGCCACGATAGACATGTAAATGTTGAGATCATGAACGAGACGGCGTTTTGGAGACTGTAGGAGATGGAAGAGTAATCGTCAGTTGACAAGAATCTTATTGAGCCGGCTTTGAGTGATAAAATACATACCTCCGAGGCTCACGGTCTCGACATGGCGCAAGCTTCTGCCATTTTTGACCGAGCAGATGCTCAACTAGACTGAGATGGTCGGAGAAAGGCGAATTGGTCGTGCGGACCTGGTTGCCATGTTCGTCGCGCAGGATCGGGCCGCTATCTTGCATGTCTTTGAACCTGCGGTAACCCATCTGGGTGATATCAAAAGGGAGATCAAGTGACACCCGGGGCCCAAAGATGTTTGGCTGGCTTGTGAATAGTGCCATCTCGCTTACATCCATGGAAGACGATATCTCGTGGGGTTCGGTCTCCTTTTCTTGCAGCTCGACCTGGGGAAGCGATGGTTGCTCGACATCGAAGAGGCTGATTGCCACGGGATCCTGGCTTAGAGACTCGAAAGCTTCAGTAGAAGAGAACACATCATCAAATGGATCGTGAGCGTTATGGGGTCTGAGATCAGACACGGCCACTGAGGAGTTCTGCGGCGCGGCTTGGCCCTGGTCTTCACCGTCGAAGGCGATGTCCAAGGGAGTCTTGGCTTCAACAATTTGTGACTCTTCGAGTTCTGATCGAGCAAGTTGATCATACACAACCGTTTCTTGACCATGGGGTCTTTGTGTGTCAGTATCCATATCTTCTTGATTCTGTGATCTCTTCCTCCTCGTCTGTTATACAGTCAAATTGAATTAGCTACCTTCTGCTTTCGCCGTGGATTCTTATCAGACGACAACATACCTGCATTCCCAGGGCGAATGCCACAGAGTCAAGGACGCCCTCAAGACTAATCCGTGTGCTTTCTAGTTTCTTGTATGCGTTGAGGAGTTGGTCCCGGTAGAGTGCATTGCTCTCCTCCAACTCTTTGCAGCGGTCAAACTCCGATTTGGATGCGCTTTCGAGTTTCTGCTCCAGCTGCCTAAGATAGAGTGTTTTCCGTTGTCGGTATGCCTTCTGTGCGACACAATTACGCTGCCTCCTAGTATGCCATGATGAGTTTCGCGTATCCGGTCGCAGGAGGTATGTAGCACCGGTCGAGGGCTCTCCCATCGCTCGCTTACCTACTCGAGTCAGATGACTCTGACGTGCTTTTTTGCTGCCTCACAGCGGCGACCATGTTGGCTGCTTGTCACTAGTGGTATACTGGAATATCTGAGGGGAGGAAGGAGTTCGTCGCGTAACGAAAGGATCTCGTGGGTGTGCTGATGTTGTCGGCGTTTGCGCTCGTAGGACTAGAGTCTCTCACTTCGGTTTCAGATGGTCGTTTCCCGCATTGCGGGGGAGAATCGGAGAAGGAGCCATCAAGGGTAGGGAATTGAAGTCAGGTGCCTAAACTGAACGGAGTTTAGGGGCTGCTTAGGTATCTCGGCAATGGTGGACGAGCAGTGTTAGCGAGGGGGACAATTCGACGAGGCTTCCAATCTCAGCGGCGATCAAGACTGAAGGTGGACATTCTGGAGACGAGCTACGATCTCCATGTAAAATGCTCCTCTCGAGTCAGGCCCTTCTGACTCCCAACAAAGGAGGCAGCTCCTGGAGTGCTCCCACATGGCCAACACAAGCCTAGATTTTGTGCAGCTTAGGAGTGGCGAATGCTTAATAGACCCCCAAAGTCATTCCCCGTGGAGCCCCGAGCACGTCTATTATCCTCGCGAGTCTTGCTGCTTCTAATTCCGGGGATTGGTGATGTGATTCTATTCCATTGGTCATCTGGCCTTCGTATGTGGAGACAAGAAGCTCCACAGCCTGAGCACTGGTGTGTTGAGAATTTCATCAACACATACATACTCACTTCAGCTTGGGCTTCCCCGTGGCTCCTCGCTCATTGTCTCATTCCCGGTCTATCCGTCTTCACAAGAACTTATGATGAGGTGGAGGACGTGAACACACGCCTCCTCATCTAGATACTGACAATGGCTTTCTGACACAGGCTCAAACGCAAGACTAGCACTCAACGGGGAGCGCGTAGCTAAGGACTGACCATTTGCCCCAGATTCTGGTAGGTATATACTACCGTCTTCCTCACAAGTCGATCTTGACACTAGCAAGTCTCGCTTGTTCGTCTGGAATCTCTCCTTGTCTGCCGACGATCAAATTTATCTGTGTCCACGATGAGTACCAAATCCAACGACGTGAACATCGTTGCCACCCACGATGAGCACCACGCGCCCGTGTTTGGTGCCAACGAGCCCATCACCGGCTTCGATGCTGAGACCAGCAATGTCCCCAAGGGATATTTCTACAGCCCCTATTTTCTCGGCTCCATGGCTGCAATAGGGCTGAGTCTGATGGGTAGTGTGGGTGGCTTTGCCCTCGCGGCGCCTATTCTCAGCTATATCAACGCCGACATTGGACCTGACCCCAACATTACCTGGGTACCTCTGGTGTTCCCGCTAGGCCTGGCTGTCGGCCTCACTCTAGTCGGACGTCTATCTGACCTGTTTGGCCGGCGATGGTTCTTCACTGGCGGGCAAGCTCTTGGTTGCATTGGAGCTATTGTCTGTGCAACGGCAAGGAACGTTCCCACTCTCATTGGCGGTACCACTATCGTTGGCGTGGCGGCTTCGACCGCACTATCCTTCTCCTTCCTCACCGGCGAGCTAGTGCCTATGAAATATCGCTTTATTGGGACTTCATATGCCTATCTTTGGGTCATCCCTTTCTCGGGCCTGGCTCCTGCTATCGCCAATAGCCTCGTTGTCAATGCAAACTGGCGATGGTGTTACTATCTCATGATCATCTTCGACGGACTCGCCTTCGTGGCGTATTTCTTCTTCTATCACCCGCCAACCTTTGAGATGAAACACAAGAGCGCGACTCGAGCTGCTTTCGTCCGGAACTTCGACTACATCGGGACAGTCCTCTTCACTGGCGGTATGGTAGTCTTTCTCCTCGGTATTTCGTGGGGAGGAAGTGTCTATCCGTGGAAATCGGCAGCCGTTATTTCTACCATCGTTATTGGAGCATTGGCACTCATCGGCTTCGTGGTTTGGGAGTGTTTTGCAAACCTCGAGGAGCCCCTGGTGCCCATGCACCTCTTCAGGAACCGGGATTTCAACATCACCTGCGGTTTGCTTGCCATTGGAGCCAGCGTCTATTACGCTTTTGGAATTGTGTGGCCCTCTATGGTCAATGTTCTCTATGCCAGTGGTGACCCGATCTATGCTGGGTGGCTACAGTGCTGTGTTGGCGGCGCCTTCACTCTGGGCCAGGTGACAGGAGGCTTTTTATGTGAGGCGATTGGCAACTCGAGACTCCAAATTATCGCGGTCACCACCGTCGGTGGCGCATTGCTTGCTTGTAAGAAGCCCAGACGAAAACTTTTGAGATTTCCCTTGTTCCAACACGACTTCTTGCTGATATTTGTTTTCTTTCCACAGCAACTGCTGCAGCCACCTTGGACAATGTCTCGCTGCCCATCGGCCTGCTCATTGTAGGGAATTTCGCGATTGGCTGGATGGAGTCTCTGGCACAGACACTCTGCGGAATCTGTGTGAACGACCAGAAAGAGATTGGTATTGCCGTCGGCATCGCTGGATCCATCCGCTCGGGAATCTCGACGTTAGCTTCCACCATTTACGTGGTGGTTCTTAACAACCGACTTGCAGAGACTGTTCCCGCTACTGTCGGGCCAGCTGCAACAGCTGCCGGGCTACCTGTCAGCTCTTTGTCAAGTCTCTTGTCCGCTTTGGCGGTTGGGACCCAGGATGCTTTCGATAGCGTCCAGGGCCTGGACCCAGACATTCTCTCTGTGGCCCAACGAGCCTACAAAGAAGGCAATCGGCTGGCCTTTCAGACAGTCTTCTTCGTTTCGATCGCGTTCAGTGGCATTGCTGTCATCTTGAGTATCTGGGCTCCGAACGTGGACAATCTGATGACCGATCAAATTGCGACCGTTCTTAAACACGACGGGAAATTTGCCGCGGACGTGGAAAAGAGTGAAGTAAAGCTTGAACAAAAGGAATGATCTAGGGGGGGTTCAGAGGTCATTTCAGCCTCGAAGGTAATAACGACCTCAGGAGGGAAGCGAAGTTCTAGCGTCTTTGTAGCATCAATTCGCGACACGTAAAGTATATGATCTTCTTGGAGCGTGAGCATAATCTGTGTAAATGTCTTCATAATGCTTTCTTCTAACCCCATGTCTGTTCGCTTGAATGGCCCTCTTTGATCTGACCATCTTGGTTCAAGGTTGTCATGTTAGTATGCCAGATGCGCGAATATCGCGCGAGTCAAACTTCCAGTCCATGAAAGCCAACCGTTTCATGTGCATCGGGCTCCGGCTCCGCATTGGCGCAGGAGAGCCCCATGGCACTGGTTCATCTGCATGGCCTAAAGACTTGGAGTCCCGAACTCCTTGAGCAGCGAATGGGGGTAGAAATTATGCAGGAATGTACTGATGTGTTGATCAGACCGTCACCACATCGCCAAAGAAAGCCACGGGGCCAGAGTTCTTCCGGCACGTATGCATTCCACGCCATGAGGTTAGGGGCCTTCCAACGACATTCAGGTCAGATGGATACGAGTGACAAGCCAAATCAATTGCCTCGAATCGTACGCTAGGTGGTTAAATGAACCACTGGTTTACCTCAAACGACCACGGATTCAGAAGGCAGTTTTCCTCGCGTCACCAAATATCTTACACGGAGCATATAACACAGTTCTCTGGCCCGTCGATCCGAAGTGGAAAGATCACAGCCACTGAGAGAAATGGCGACATCGCAGCAACACCACTAGCGTCCGGCATCAATAATTCTGACCACGCTATCGTTTCAGGCGGAAGTGGTCAGCATTTGTTAAAGGAGAAACGGTCCCAACGCTCCAGGCATTGCCTTTGTGGCTGGAGGCGCACGTGGCCTAAGGAATGCCATTGCAGTTTCCTACGTGGGAGAGGGAGCGAGGGCCGTGGTGATCGTGGACATCCAGGATACCGAAATCTGTGAAGTAGGTAGGAAGGTAGTCGAGGCATATGGAAATGAGGTTTTGCAACCATGTCCCATTAATCCTAGTTCTATTCTCCAAATATCATATCGTCGATGAGGCCGCACTGTGTTTCGTCGTCCTCGCTAAGAACTTGCTCAGGTCAAAGCAGAAGTTTAAGCGCCCTTTGAGAGAGATATCTAACTTACCTGAGGAGCCCAAGTACCACCATTGCGTGGTGGTCAGAGCCGATGTAACAAAAGAACAAAAAGTCGAGCGGGCAATCCGAGAGACAGTGGATAGATACGGGTGAATCGACTACGCTGCGTAGGTGTTCTGAAGTTCTCCGACTCTCTGGGGTCTTTAAAGCTCGTCAGCGTGTTTTCTTTTGTTTCGTGTATAGCAATTTTACAGGAGTCATCAGTCCTGCAGAACGCATCACCGACACTGACGCTGAGGACGCGTTGTATTTTATAAAGGCTATTAAGAAGGTTAAGTTTGAGCACTACGATTTTCGGTATTATACTATATTTGAGTACCTGGGTAATGGTCAAGTTTAGGCTGAGATCAAGCACGAATTGGATAATCTCACGATATATATGAGGAATGGGAACGTGCCCTGGACCATTAGATAAATTTACATAAAGTCGTTTAGGAGGCGGTTGCCCCAGAGTTCTTAGTGATCGCACAAATACGCTGGGAGTATGTTCTGCAAAGATTCGAGGTTTCATCACGACAAGAGATTGGACACAAATTAGGGACCGGAAAGTATCGCTACTAACGGCTCTTTTCTGTCATTCCGGATGAGGAGATGCTTTCTTTACGTGAGCGGCGCCAGCTTCGGATCAGATCCGCCAACTCGAATCGAAGCCTGACAGGCTCTAGAGGCTCGGCGCGAGACTCTGGACAACGAAGTGTAATAATGTAATGTAGAAAGGCACAGATTTGAAATCTGCTTGTTTCTCCCGCGATTTAATAGTAATATTGCTCTCTTCTACGGCATTCGGAGTTGCCCTCACCTGGTAGACCATCCGTTGTTAGAACACACCTTAGAGAGAGACGAAGGATGCCGTTCTCAATCAACCCCAGTTTCACCAATGTATACCACCACAATCCTTATCCACGAATCAATCCGTCTCGTGCAGAACTCTCAATGGCTGGGAAGAACGTCCTGATTACAGGAGGTGGACGTGGGATCGGAAAAGCCATCGCCTTTGCCTTCGCTCTTGCCGGCGTATCAACGATTGTGCTGGTTGGACGGACAGAGTCCTCTCTTCTAGCAACCAGAAAGGAGCTATTGGAGAGTGCTCGACACAGAAAAGCGTACCCCATAATGACGGACTTACAAGTCATCACGCACGTGCTTGACGTGTCCAACAATCAACTAGTCAAAACCGTGTTCAAGACGATCCAGCGAGAGGTCGGCGGGACTGTCGACGTCCTCGTCAGCAACGCGGGTTACTTGCCCGACTTTGGACTGATTGCCGACACTGACTTCCGGGAATGGTGGTCCGGGTTCGTAAGTGAAGAGGACTTTCTTCCCTTCCAGATATTGACTGAGACACAATGATCAGGAGATTAACTTAGCTGGATACTTCAACGTGGTTCAAGCATACTTGAAGTTCCTTTCGCCGACAAAGGACGATGAGGACAATGATAACAGCGCAAACGGGCCCACTTCTTCGTCTTCAATGAGATCTCCCTTGAGCTTGACCGGCCACATCATCAGCATAAACTCGGCTGCCGGGCATCTCAGGTACGACGGCATGTCGTCGTACTCTGGAGCTAAGAATGCCGCCCTGTGGCTCACGGACTCGGTGTGCGAGGAGTATCCCAACGTCTTTGCCGTCAGCATGCACCCTGGAGTCTGTGAGACGGAGATGAATGCGAAGAATGCAGGAGTACCAGAAGAAGATAGTAAGAAAGACCCTATCCTTCAGTTCTAGCTCCAATATAATTCTTTCGCTCTCACAAGGTACGAGGTCTGATATGTCTGATCTAACGGCCAACTAGTCAATCTACCTGCCCATTTGGCGGTATGGCTTACTTCACCCGAGGGAAACTTCCTCCGAGGACGGATGATCTGGTCATCGTGGGATGTCGAGGAGATGATGGACCGGAAACAGGAGATTCTGGACGGCGATCTGCTGCGGATGACTCTCAGGGGGTATCCAATCTCTCGGGGGCTCGGATATTCGACGGACACATGACACGCTACGGCGGTAGGTAGGGGTATTATACCATGACCTCTTGCGTCCGATTTTGGAGGAGACCTCCGAGTGGAGATTTATATTCTCTATAGATATCGCTTGCATTCTCATCGAGGGCTAACCGTGAGTAGAGTGGCGTTCTGGAGGTGAGTGGTATATCCTAGCTTAGAATATTCGCTATTGATAGGTTTGTTCAGATTTCTATGAATCCTCACACTCGTTCATCAGCTCAACAGTCAGGGTTTTGCGTACACATGTACTCTCTGTTAACAGCCACCGAGGTAGGTGACTCTGTGACATGCTCTTGCTTACGCTTCGGTTTCTGAAGGCTCTGCAGCCCCGTCTTCATCATCTCATGCTGCTTTTTCAGCGGCTTCCAGGAAATCCATATGCTAACAAAAATGCCAAAAGCACCGACTGATACAAATAACACCCACATGGTGCGTATACTAGCCCAATATGCATACCGAACGCTTACCTTCGCGCGATCAGGCAGAGAGTTGATACCTTCGGCGTTGGAGAACGCTGAAGCGCCAGAAAAGATTGATGTGATGTTGGTATTGGGTTGCGCGATCCTTGACAGGTGTGACTGCATCGTATTTTGAAAGACGACGCCCCCCACCACGATCGACATGGAGGCAGCGAGTGTTCGAACGAAGACAAATGTCGAGGTCGCCATGGAGATATCTTGTGGATCCACTGAAGCCTGAAGAGCGATCAGAGGTGCCTGGAAGTTTGGACCAGACCCGACGCCGGTAATGAACTCATAGAAGATGATTTTAGGCCAAGAGGTGTGATCTGGGAGGTCGTACAGCAGCCCAATGCCCGTTGTCAGCAGCATCATTCCGAGTCGAAGGGGCTCGAGGTACCTGCCAGTGCCACTGATCCAAGCGCCGGTCGCAATAGAGTCTATCGATAAAGGTACCGAGAACAAAAGGAGGTAGACGCCCGACAGGACCGGTGTGACCCCTAACGTAGCCTGAAAATAGAGTGGTAGGAAATACGCGGCTGATATGAAGACAAATCCGTGGATATAGCACAGTCCAAGTGCGGCAATGTTGGAGCGGTGTTTGAATATTCGAAGAGGTATGATCGGGTATTTTGCGATGTGCCACTCGATCAAGATAAAGATTCCAGTTGTCACCAAGCCAAAGACGAGAAGGCATATCACGGTGGGTGACGACCAGGGAAATGTGATGCCACCGATTTCCAGGCCGAGTAGAAACATGACTGTGCCACCGATACTTGTCGTACAACCCATCCAGTCGATGGCCAAGAGACCTTGGAGGAGGGGAGTTTGTGGGTTGTGGATCTCCAAGTAGAGTAGAAGAACAATAAAACAAATTCCGGTGATGGGCACTATCGCCTGTCAGCCTCGTCCCTTCCGAGTCCAGAGGGCAGATTGGCGTACGATTGATGTAGAAACACCATCGCCACGAAACCTAATCCAAGGTTACTAACTGTCCAGATATCGAGTCCGGCCATGTAGAACTTACTCTCTGGGTGAAGACGCCTCCAAGCACTGGTCCAACCGAGCTGGCAAGGGCCCATACCATTCCCACGAATCCTGTCGATGAAATTAGCAACAGGACAATACGTCGACAGAGGTCTTGTAAGTACCAAGGTACTTGGGACGATCTCTCATAGAAAAGAGATCTGACACGCAAAGGTTCACGAGTGTGATCAGGCCTCCTCCCCCAATACCTTGGACCGCTCTTCCAACAATAATCATCCTGGAAGAGACCGCCGCCCCACATATCAGGCTGCCGGCGAAGAAAACAGCGACGGCTGCCAGAAGGATGGATTTTCTACCTCAGATATCACTGACGTAAGTTAGAGATGGCCGGGGCTGTTTCGTGAATAGTTCGCACCTAAGCTTTCCCCACGTTGTGGCGGACGCTGAGGTGGCAAGTAGATAACTAGACTGGGTCAGCCGCGAATACTTCATTTGCCTGAGCGCAATCGTACACGCTACCGATCCAAGTGTACGTCGTCGGTGAGCGGAAATGTCCGGCAATGACGGGAAGCGCTGTGGCAATGATGGTCTAGGCATTCTACCGTCAGCGGAGCTCAGCAGACGCGCAGCGGAGTGGGCTGTACTTGGTCGAGTGCAGCGAGGAAGACACACAGCTGCTGTAGGTTAGATATGATCTGATAGGACACAGAGAGAGTTGAGTCAACGTACACACAGGGCGCCCATGATGATCGCAACCTTGCCCATCCCCCGCTGTTCGAGATCATGCACCCGTGCTGGGCCATTTTCAAAGCTGGATGTCTTCTCTGTGGTGCGACTCGGCGGCATGCCGAGGTCTTGACACTCTGCCTGTCTTTCAACGCTGACCGGAATAGCAGAACCAACGCCGCTTTTGTTTTCACCACTGCTAATAAGTTCCATGGTGGCCTTCACTCAGGCTGTGGAAATGAGGATAAAAAAGGTGTTATTTGGTGGATACCAATACAACTCATATAAAATCGAGAACGTTACTGACCGTCGTCATTGAGCTTCTTCAGATTGATAGCTACGCTGCTGGGCCAGCCAGCTGTCAAATATGTTATCCCAGCCGGGGCCAAGCGGGATAAACCCGAGGTGCCCGTGAAGCAGTGTCCAAGTTGCCTTGTCCGATGGCTTGGATGTTCGACTTGCTCTCCGGGTACTCATTTCTCCCGGGCCCTGGTGGATGACATTGTATGTTGCGGAGCCGGACAGGGATATTCCCCGCGACCGACTGGTCTCCCATTTCTCGAATTGATCCGAGATATTCACGGAACGGGGGATAATTTCCGCCTCTGAGAAGCCATATTTGGAGAACGTGAAACTGCGACAACAAGATCCATACTCTCCGAACCCCGATCCGGCCCCAGAGAGTCAACTTTAATAGTTCCAGCTTGGATTCGAGGCTTTCTTACAATCGAATGTCCTCTTTCACAAGTGATAAAGCTTCACCTTCTGCAACACATCAGCAACAATGCCTATCACGATAGGGGGAAAAGTGGTCGGGTCCATTGGTTATGGTTTGATGGGTATATAACCCGTGCGGTTCTTTTAGCACACCAGAATGACTGAATCACCTCCATAGGTTTGACCTGGCGCCCTGACCCCATCACCGACGAGCAGGCAATCAAGTCCATGAAGACCGCGTTCACTGCTGGCTCAAATCTGTGGAACGGGGGCGATTTCTATGGTACGGCCGAAAGGAACTCCTTGACCCTCCTGAAGAAGTACTTTACACGATACCCCGAAGATGCCGCCAAGGTTGTGATCAACATCAAGGGCGGGCTGGGACCGGACATGATGCCGGACTGTAGTGGGGCCAATATTCGTGAAGGGGTCGACAAATGCTTGAAACAGTTGGGTGGCACGAAATCAATCGATATTTTTGAGTGTGCGAGGGTGGATCCGAAATTCCCAGTTGAAGATACTGTGAGAGTCCTCGCTCAGCTCGTCCAAGAGGGCAAGATTGGGGGGATCGGGTTGTCCGAGGTGAGAGCCGAGACTATTCGTCGTGCGAGCAAAGTGCATCCAATTGCGTGCGTGGAAGTCGAACTTTCTCTGTGGTCGACGGATATACTGGTGAACGGGGTGGCTTCGACTTGCGCGGAACTAGGAATCCCCATATTGGCTTACTCGCCACTCGGACGGGGGATGTTGACAGGCCAATTTCAGAGCCTTCTGGATATGGGCCAGAAGGACTGGCGAAGATTCCTCCCGCGCTTCCAGCCTGGAGCATTTGAGACGAACTTGGGATTGGTGCATGCAGTCCAAAAGCTTGCGAGCAAGAAGGACTGCTCTCCGGCTCAGATGTCGCTCGCCTGGATCCTATCGATGAGTGGAAAGGATGGCAATCCGGACTTTATTCCAATTCCCAGCAGCGCATCCGAGGCTCGGATTTTGGAGAATACCACGGTTCCAACACTGAGCTCGGAGGAAAGAAGCGAGCTGGACACCATTGTCCGGGAGTTCAAGGTTATTGGGGGAAGATACGCGGGAAAGCAGGCGACAGTTCTGGAAGGATAGAGAGCATCAAACTTGTTGATACTGTCAATATACTTGTAGAATCGACCTCTCCATTGATTGGTGGAGATATTAAGGAGAGTGCTATTCCGTCAACTCATGAAGTCGATCCGGTGGTAGAGCTGGAAAACGTGGCCGCAGACGAGTTGCCCAGGCAGTCGCTGGTTGGTTTCCTCCGGACCAGAAAAACCTTCGGTACATTATTTCTCCGGTCGGTCTCGGGGAATTGCTTGTCCCCGAAATCCGGCCCAGTAAGTAACTTGTTTCCCTCAACAGGCCCTCCCCGTCAGAACCTGTCTCCTCTCTGGACGTAGAGACTATTTGAAGCTCCGATGAAGATAGCGGGCAGATGAGCCAAAATACCTCTCGATCCAGGCCGGGAGAGCCACGGAGCCGCGCGTGCCGGTCGTGTGCAGCGGCCAAAGTGAAATGCATCCCGCATGGACCCAAGTGCGAAAGGTATCTAACCCCTACAATTGAATCGGGCCCAGCAGCATCTGGAAAGAAAACTGATGACTTGGCGAAGGTGTGATCAACTAAGAAAAGAATGCGTTGCACAGGTGCCCGTTCCACGAAAACGGCGGAGCGTACCAATGTCCACCATGTCAGTATCCGGGAGAACAATGTCCTCAGCTCTCCGTACACTGGCTGATATGAGGCAGGCGAGTCAATCAATTGGAACAAAAGCTGGACACTCTCATTGAATTATTCACTTCCAATCCACGAGTCCCTGACGCTGGCAGACAACCATCATCTTATGCCTTGTCAGTCTGCTCCAGCCCGTCCAGCAATTTGACCCTCCGAACTCCAGCCACCACCAGTGATCCCGCGCCTTCTTTTAGCCGATCGGCTCCCAGATTTCTTCATGCTTCACATCAATCGCTGGGCGCTCCCGTCCTCGATGTCACCCCGTCGACAAGCGAGGAAAGATCGCTAGCGCTGTGGAGAGATGTGCTTTCAACCTACTTTCCTTGTGTGCTTCTGAACGACAGCCAGCTTCGAGTTCGAAAGCAAACCTCAGTACTTTGGAGGATAGTTTCCTGGTTGACTGCACCTATGACTACCGTGGAGAGAATAGGGGAGGGTACATCAATCATGAATGAACTTGTTTCCGATATCCTTTTGCAAGGCAAGAAAAATCTGGATCTTCTTCAAGGGTTGCTCGTTTTCACGGCATGGTTCGCTCCCAACCCAGGTCTTACCAGTATCTTTCTCTTGTTTCTGGTCTCTAACTACATTTTGATATTAGGAATCATCTTCAATTTCCAGTCAACGCCCAAATGACGAATCTTTCCTATCTGACCATGGCTCTCATCAACACATTGCATTTGGATCGCGAGCCCAGCTCTCTTGACCACAGGAAGATGTTCATAGAGAGCGATATCAGTCCAAATAACCTGGCACAAACCCCGAATCACCATTCGTTGCCAGAGGTTCGATCCTTCCTGGGCTCCTTCTATCTCAATTCCGTCAAGTAGGCCTCCCTTTTCCCTTCCCCTCCCTTTACAATGTCACAGCAGCTCAATGGTCAAAATATAGGGGCATGATGGGATCCAGGTCCATGGAGGTTTTCTCATCAACCAACTCGTCGTATGTGAGAGATTGCTGCTCTCTTTTGGAACAAATACCTGAAGTTCAAAATGATCTCCTCTTGGCCCAACTGGTTCGGCTGCAGCTGATAGTCGAGAATATCAAACGTGTGTTTCCACGAGACAGACCTAAGAAGGATACAACAGCACCCATGGGAATCATCCTGAAGCCGCTGGAGCTTGAGTTGGCTCGTTTCAAGACTGCGATACCACCAGAGATCACACTGAGTTGTATGCTTTCTATTCCGCTCTCCCTTGCCTTGTCGGCTCGTATACTAACAGCCCCATAATAGCCGTCCTGCTCATGCATTTTCATGCTGCAGAGGTATACCTGTATGAAATTGGAATATTAGACACCCTTGATCCAGCGGATGGGCTTGACGATACCCAGCGCGTTGAGGTTTTATATCGATGTGTCAACGCAGGGAGATCTTACTTTGATGTCTACCACAGCCTTCCTATATCACATTTTCCATACTTCCCATTCAACATTTGGATCCAGTCAGGCCTTGTGCTCCTCGCGTCTACCAAGCTGGCCCTTTTTAGACACAGTGCCTGGAACGTCGTGCATGCCCGGAGCGCTCTGAGGATAACCGACATTATTGACCGTGAAATCGGGCTCATTGAAGAGGTGGTCGGACAACGGCCTCACACTGAGAAGCAAGGCGATGCCAAAGACATCTTGAACGGATTTCTCTTACGGGTGCGGAAATTGAAAATTGCATTCGACTTAGGAGTTGCCAGGGACGGGGATCCTCTAGGACATGTCGACTTCGCTTTCGACGAGCAGATGCTGATGACAACAAGCTACCAGTATGATAGCGCAGATCCATTTTGGGACGCTTTGGGGCTACTGAGCGGACTTTGAATTATGATTGAGGAGGGCAGGAAGGATGTAAGCGTTTTGCGCTCAAGCGACGAAGCGTTTGCGGCTTAAAGTGCGTCGCTGGTGTCGGTGGGTTGGGCATACCGTTTGTTAGGAGATGATGGTTGAGTGAGTAGACGGAGTGGAAATGGATGAGAATAAATCCTAAAGTCTCAACATCACATATCTGATACCCGTACTGCACCGCAATGAGGCTAGCGCCAAGCCTTGTCCTACGTCAGATGCATTCCCACTATTTCTCCCAAGGTATAGTAACTACTCTAGGTAGATCAAACAGTCTCAATATGCTTGGACTCCATCTTCTCACTCATCACTTCCACTTCCTCTGTGTTCACATCCACCACTTGCTCCGCTTGATAATATCTAGGCGCAAATATTGCAGCACTAGCACTTCCAAACACTCCGACTGTAAATGAGCTTCCCTTCGCTTCCGGGTTCGCACTTTCTGTATGGTCAGCATCGATAAGGATCCAACCAGGCTCGGCCCTCTCAAGTCTTGCTCGTACGGTAGCATTCAATGCTACAAACCTCACCTCGAGCGAATCACCGGCATACTTTCTGGCCTCGTTGAAGAGTTCTCTCAGTTTCAAACTGGCTGTGGTGTCGAAGTGATTCACTTTCGTGAAGTCGAGAACGAGGAGTCGAAGTGGAGGAAGGACTGAAGTGCTGCCAGCGCCAGCAGCTTTTCGGAGTTTGGCCACTCTCTTCTCACCCACCACGGACCATGTCCTCTCGGCTTCCTCATTCTCTGGCGACAGAAAAGAAGGCGAGTGATGTGTCTTGATCGTATCCAAAATGGTGCTCTTGAACCGCTGTGCATTCGGGAAGAAGATAGACTCAGCGAATACGAAAATCTCAGCATCGGCAGGGACATTTTGAGGCACGTCTCTCGCAGCATCGATCGACCTCACAAGAGGCGAGCTGGACGTCGAATTGACATTAGGGACGCGTTTGAATGCTTGCCGAATCAACGAGACTGCAATGGACCAGCCCACGCCAGTTCCGATCCCGATCTCGGATGATTTGAATAACGTCAGCCAAAACGCTAGCATCGCAGCGACGAAGTCGGTGAAAGAGGTGCGCCAATAATAGTAGTAGGTACGCCAGGAGCCAATCAACGGCCAGATGGCAGTGATAACAATGGCAGAAAGAACAGCTTTCGGAATCCAGTAAAGAGCCCCGGTTAGTTCGTAGATGGTAATCAAGACGACAGCGGTTGTGATGGTGCCACAGAGAGGGGAGCGAACTTTACACCCCGAATTGACAGATGTTCGTGACATGGCGCCACCAACGCCCATGGCCATAAAAAAGCTGTTGCCCATGTTAACGATACCAAGATAGCAGAGCTCCTGGGATATATCAGGCAGGTAGTTATTGCGGATTCCAAATGCTCGTCCAATGGCCACGTGTTCAAGCGCGGCGGCCACGAAGGGGGCAATGCTTCGTCCAATGGTTTTCGAAAATAGCTTGGAATCGACAACCTTCGCTTGAAGTCCATCGGCCTTGACCTTAGCAACAGCAAAGAGATAGTCGTCCGAGTCGGCTTTGTTATGATTGACAGCGTAGCTGATGCCAGTGTATAGCAGGACACAGACGAAGGCGCGACTGATTGAGAAATAGAACGCGATGCGGCTCTTGTTTCCCCATCTCTTGCCGACTTGATCCAGGGACACTAGGATAACCATAGCAGTCAAACCCACAGCGCATGTGATGCCGGATGCATCAGGTAGCTGTGAGAAGACATAGTTGATCTGTTGAGCCGTGCCGTCGCCACCCCCAGGCTCGCCGAGCAACGATGCCACCTGACCCAGTCCAATGACAATGGCCGCAGCGGAGATGAAGCCATTGAGAACAGGTGTAGAGACAAAGTCAAGGAGAAAGCCCAGTTTCAAGAATCCGAGGGCCATGCCATAGACACCCATGCCCAAGGCCACAGAGGAGGCGATTTGCTGAGGTGTATATCCATCCTTGACTAGATCTTTGATGATGTCCGCGGTGAGTAAGCCAATAAGGGAGGTGGGACCCGTCGAGAGATCTGAAAGACGTCAGATATTCCATATATCGTGAGATGTTCATTACCTTTGGAGGTGCCCATGAATGTGTATAAGATGCCTGGGAGCCAACTTGCCATCAGGCCATACTGCACAGGAATTGTGGCAATCTTTGCATATGCCAATCCTTGAGGAATGAGCATGACGCCGAGTGTGAGGCCTGCGATGACGTCGTTGATGAGCCATCGAGGATTGTACCGAGGCAGCCAACTGACAATGGGCACTTTGTCGAGGACATAGGTGGCGGCGGCAGAGGGAAATGCACGGGCGCCTTGTAAACCATATCGCCGTGCATTGTACCAGTTGACATCAGTCTCAAGAGAGTGTTTAACGCTATCGACGAACTTCATGATAGACTGTTGTATTGAAAGCTGTTTGGGTCAGTAGTTGGGAGGGCAGATTGTATTGAGGTGGCAACTCAGAGATGACTATATAGGTGAGCTTGCCCAGCACGCCAAGAGCGATACTTGAAGTTGAATTAAGCGGTTAAGGTTTTATGGTTCTGGGGGCGGACGTGGGGAGGGAGAGCTCAATCCACTCACTCCGCGCCGGGGTGCATTAGCCTCAGCTACTCCAAGGAGAACTTGCTATAGATGTCCTAGTATGTATCAAGCTGTAGATGTCTATTGGATTGACTGCTGGCTTGCTTTAACATGTGGCCACCGGATGGGAGCTGGTCTCCCGTTTCCCAAGCGGGGTTCCAAGAGTTTTAAATAATTAATTCAACCAATGAGATGCTATTTCGCTGATCAAGCTGAACCCTGGTGTTCAAACTATGATTTTCCAAGGCCAGCACTGGACCTCCCGCTTAAACGTTGTTGCGAAAGTTCTTGAAACTTGTACTCGTTGCCAGTAAGTTTACGATACGTAGGGTTACGAATGACAAATGGTAACTGCTGATCGTACTATAGTGCGAGGGGAGGAACAAGCACAGTTAGATGTCATTTCAAATCGTGACATTCCCGCGAAAACGATTTTCCAGGTGGTCTATTGAATCCAGTTGAAGTGGACAGATAGAAAGGATGGAAAATAGAATAGGCGGCGTTTGGACTGTTAGTGGCTTGTCCAGGACGTCAAGTTCTCAAAAGCACACCTCGTATTCTGAATCACACGCGGTAGACACCCGTGGTGGAAAAATAGAAGACGTATTGGGGGTCAGCTATTTTCAAAAGTAAGTGACCCCGTCTAGCTCAAGACAAACGCCGTATCCAACACGATCAAATTGGGTTCAAAAGCGATGAAGTGTTCACCATGTCGAAGCTAGCTAACGGCTTAGATAGAGGATAAGGGCATCAGTTTCCAAGTCGAACGTCTACTCACTACTGACCAAGGCTACCCTATAGTCTAGTAGTAAAGCCATTTGAATGTACTCGGTACTTTTCTTTTCGATCCGCTCTGGAAATAATTTAGCTCAATAGTCAAACTATCTGGTTGGATACTCTTTCGTGCGTTCGGGATGCATGACTCACTCCGTGACTCCTTTGATTTCCCATATCGCACTACACCCACACAGCCTTGGCCTCTGGCATAGTCCCTCGAAATACGCGCAGTCCGCTCCCCATATTGCTCGCATGTTTCCTCTCGGATGACTCTGACGATATCAGGTTCGAATATGAACAGCGATTTCAGCAGAGACACCTCTGCCACAATCGGTAGCCATTGATAAAACATAGCAGCCAGGGAAAGAAGAACATACAACAACAATTCTTCGTTAACAGCCGACTCAATTTCTCAGGTCCAGAGCTTGGCCCAAATAGTATCCCTTATATAGCGATAATATAGCCCACCTCTCGAACACTGAGTGGATCTCTTGCAACAGCTGCAGAGTGACAGTCCGAGCTCTTGATGGACTTCAATCGATATCCTTTGACCGAGAGACCTACCCCCCTAGCGCTCTTGTTTTCAGCTTTACGCAGGGCACGATAGTCTTCTGTCCAGCCTCCGCAAATCAAGAGGACATCGCCTACCTTGACGTCGCTTCCCTGGGCCTCAGCACGAAATCCAGTCCTTAGCATTTAGCACACGCAACTAGCTCTTCCAATGACACGCCATGGGCAATGGTACCATTGTTCCTCAAGACCTCTGAGCGTTGGTATAGGGACGATTGCCCCATAAAAGCCCTCTTCCACTGAATACATGCAGAGGCCAGAAATGATTCGACTATCGGACCATATAGTTTGGACCCTTGGATAGTATCCTCGTGCTTGATGTTGTTGTAGAGTGTTCCAGAAGCGACGTGGGCGAAATGTCTGAGCCTTCCCTCTACGTGCTCGCCTTGGTGTTGAATGATATTTCACCCTCGTGGGCGAGACCGAGGCGCCATTGCTTGGATGTGTGGACGAAGCTCGTTCAGCTGATATTGGTTCACAAGGCACATTCAAGGGTAGGTCGTGACAAGTGCAAGTTCTCCCGTTGCGATCTCTTGTGCCGAAACAGACTGTTAACTTTACTACGGAAATTGGAGCCGCTAGCGGTTTTGATGGAATAATATCTTGACCAATCGGCCAAGTAGTCTCCAAGCCTGCACAAATTTGATGACGGTCCTTTTGCGTGACCTCCACCACAGCCCGTCGTACCACGTGAAAAGCCTCCACTTGCGGTGAAGAACATAGTGTGGTGGTCATGACACCTCTTGGCAAGCTCAGCAGTCACACTTGGAAAGAGTTGCTCTACGATATCCATGGTTTCTTCTTGAGACAGATTTTAGCATGAAGTCCAGGTGGAGGTAATAAATATAGGAGGGTTGAACTTTTTGCTCTTCTCATTAAAATATATTAGTTATATCTCACACGGAATTATCTTTAGCTATCTTGCTGGTTTAAGTGGTGGTATCGGATGACTACTCGGTACTAGCCCTACTGACCCCGCACCACGAGACAAAGCTCCGGATAGTGGTCCTGGTTCACACCGTGGCAAGCTATCCTCATCTTAACTCCAGGAGAAGAGCGAGCAGCTTGACGACCTTATGGCTTGGAAGCTGTAGAATAAGTTTATCTTTGCCCAGTACGTAGCATTCCTGGGGCTGAAAGAATCAAAGGCATTATGTCAGCGTCAAATTCAGCGACAACAAGGCCAAGAGCTTGTGAAGAATGTCGGCAACAGAAGGTACGTTGAAGTCCAATCTCAACAGATGAACCCATCAGCCCCCCTGTATTGACCTTTGACCGAGCTACCAGTCGGAAGCTTACACCTTCTAGATAAGATGCGATGCGCATCTTGATTACTCGAAACCGTGTTCCAAGTGTAGGAAATCGGGTGTGCAATGCGTCTTCATAACCGACTTTACAAGGAGAAAAACGCGATCGTATGTAGGTCTTGCCTCTTAGACAAGGTATTGTTTGGCTGATACGGCATAGGAAGGCGAAGATGCAGCGAGAGATAGATGGACTCCGGAGAGCGCTACAACTCGTAGACGAAGCAGAGGAACCCAGAAATGCTCCGCCTATACCTCCGACACCTTCATATCTCTATCATCGATCATCCATGGCCGCTGCGGGTGTGCCACAGTCTGAGGCTGGAATGAATTCTTTCTTTCCATCGCTTGATATCCCATCTACACTGACAACAATTCCAAACTCTGAGCAACGTCCGGCTCTTCCGACAAGCTCTCACCATGAGTTGACAAGGCACCCGTCGGCCTTTCAATATCCCTACCATTCTTCAACTGTGACTATTGGTTCGACGGCGCAACCTGAAGCTCATGTCACGCCTTTCCGCCCATCTCTAGACGGCCTCGAAATTGAGCCTCAAAAACTGGAGGACTGCTACTCCTTGTCAGTGCTGCCTTTGACAATTACTTTCATGTCCGATTCAATATTGACGCTAGATAGGTACTTCAAACATTACCATTCAATTATACCGATCTTGGATCCACAACAAAGCTGGCGCGACTGCTTCCAATACTCGCCATTACTGTTCTGGACTATCATTGTGACTGGTTCAAGAAGATACGGCCTTGACCCCACGTTGCTGGAAATGCTGGCTCCGAAAATCTCCAGCCTAGCAGCACTGGCAACAATCAGAGCTTCTGAGTACATTCCCACGATTTCTGCGCTACTCCTCCTCTGTGTTTGGCCATTACCAATGGAAAATGCGTCAGATGATCCTTCACCTGTTTATGCAGGAGTCATAATGCAACTTTCTCAACAGAACGGTCTGCACATGCTTGGTAGGAGGCAAGATTTCTCACAGAGCCATTTGATCAGGGATACCAATAGCGACATCTTCCTCGCCACTCTGTGGGCTTGGTGCAAACTGATCTGCTGCTGGTATGAAACGCATACTCAACCCGAGTAGCTTGATTCTAATTTCCAATCTCAGTGTTAATGTGTACTGCGGCTTGCACCCTCACCTTTTCGAAGATGCCTTCGACTTGGAGCCACAGAGCAATGATGTCCTCGACTCTTTGAGCAGACCCGTCTTCTGGATGCTGCATTTTGTCGGCCTTATGTCGAATGCCCATCACACTTTGATGAGAGGAAGATATGGAGAAGAGGATGTTGAGATGCCTTACCAGCTTCTAGCCATGATCAAATTTTACGACGACGAGATCTTGAGAATCAGGCGACAGGCTCAAGGAAATCTTGGTAGGATTTACTCTTCCCTTTTCTTGCCTTTCTCCCACTCAAAACTAACCATCAACAGCCGAGATTTATTTCAACTCTGCGAGATTACACACAGGAGCGTATTATTTCTTTATTTTCAAGCTCTCGCCTTTGAAACTCTCGCGCCTAGTTGAGTTGCACCATGTCGCCTGTGCCTTTATCAAAAATATCACGGATCGAGATCAAATAGACGACTATGCCCTCTACATTTCCGAGCAATATTACAGGACCCTCACTCTCGCCGCTATGGTGATACTACGGATATGCCGTAGCACAGAACTCAACTCGACGATCGACTATTCGCATGGGGAACAATCATATTTCGCTGCCATTCGCATATTCAAGAAGAGGGCCCTGAAGAATAATGACCTCAATGCCCGCATGGCAGCGACATTATCGCAATTATGGCGGAGTAAGCGCGTTTTCGTCCGACGTGATGGGTCAATGGACAGCCTAAATGTTCGAATTCGAACCAGAGGGGTAAGCCACGAGAAAAACTGTCCTGCTGCGAGTGTGATAGACTGATTGGATGACATCACAGGCAATGGGAGTGGCATACGACTGCCTCTGGTACTGGCGGCAAGAATTCTTGGGTCAATCCAACCCATACTCGGAAGAGAGTAACAGTGACCACGCCCAAAGCCAGAGGCCCTCGGTCGCCAATCCACAGGCTGTCACTTCGGCCAGCCAACCCACCACTCAACTACCCGACTTTGACACAAGCGGCTGCGCTCCTCTAGGTGTTGACGACGATGCCTTTTTTTCCGAATGGAACTGGTCTACTAATGCGTTTTGGTCTGGCGATCTATCACAAGGGTTCGGGGAGTCGGTCATAGGTATGTAACTACTTTACGCTCAGAGCTGATTAGCGAGGAGAGGGAATTTACCTGGTGAAAGCCGAACCTAATCAGAAACGTCCGTTCATATTTCAATTACTTTACGCGGACTGGGAAAAGTTGTCCTGGCACAAAGTAAAGTAGGTGTTTCTCCATCCCGACCCCCACTCGGACTTTGACCCCTCGTCTAAAGTACGAGGAATCATTCCTTCAAAGTTTAGGCCTTCCAGTGTTTGAGAGATGGTAATATTGTCGAAGCTTAGGTCTAACACTCATTTGTCACACCTTCAATCTAGATTCTGCGTTACACTGTTCGGTACATTGTACGCATTCTGGCGGGCCTAGGATCGCGAAGAAAATGTGGCGTTAGCTGTTGGCCGAATTGTCGGGCCAAGTTCGCCGACAACTCGGCGGGCGGGTAACCGTCTCCCAGATACAGCTCCTTCCGGCAGGCGGCTCTACATGAGTATGTGGAGAAGCCGGTCTTATCGAATGTTGGGGACCCCGCTCCCTTGAACTGCCCGTTTTGTTGCCTGGGGCGTGATAATTCGCTATTGCTATGGCTGCGAAAAGTCGGAGACGCGAAGAAACCTGAGAACGCCACTAGACTGTCTCTGTCAGTGAACTTTCAAAGGGTATTGCAGCTGTGATTACCTCTCATCCCTCTTTCAGCTCACTTACTTATCTCGGTCTGCAATCGGGAGTCACTACCAGCCTCCATCTCCACGCCATTTTATGCATAAACCACGTATCACATTCTGTTCTTTTCTTAGGGTGTTCTTTTCTTTGGCGGTGGTGGCCCTGGATATCATCTCTTGAGAAGACAACGCTTCTATTGTGGTTTCACATACGTTTTCCTTTCAAAATATCCTGGCAGAGCATCTCTCGTACCACAGTCGTCCAGCATGACTTCACGCGCTGAAAAAAAGCAAACCTTGACTCGTCTCGCAGCAAGACGGCTGAAACAGATCTCTTCGGGAGAGTTGTCCACAGAAGTCAGAGAGAAGGTGTCTCTATGTCTCTTAGATTTCCTCGGAGCGTGCCAGGCTGGTCTTGGTGGTGAGCTTGGCGTGCCTTTGCTCAAGTACGCGGAGCTTCATGCTGGAAAACCTGAGGCATTCGTTTTCGGGAGCGACAAGGCAATGTCTGCCGAAACGGCCGCCTTCATACATGCCGCCCTTTCGAACAGGTGAGTTGCCTTTCGACAATCTTTTGCACACCTATCAACCCCAGGTATGGTCAACAGGGCTAGTCGTGAACATTAAGCTTACAAATTTGGACAAAAAAGCACGGTTCGTGATGATATGCACCTTGACTCATGCGCGCATATAGGCTCCATGGTCATTGCTTCCAGCTTGGCCCTTGCCCAACGCGACGGATGGACCGGGGAGCAACTCATCCGGGCCATCGTTGGAGGCTACGAGATGGGAGCAGTGCTGGGTTATTCCATTCGAGGGGGGGGACAGTTCAATACTCATTTCCGCAGCACCGCTCTGATCGGCTCGTTTGCCGCGGCGGGAGCCCTCAGTACGGGTAAAATACCCGATGATGAGGACACTATCATGCGAATCTTGTGCTTCGCAATCAACATGGTTTGCGGCATCAACGCGTGGGCACACACAGGAGGGCGGGAGATTTATATTCACAATGGATCAGCAAGTGTTGCAGCCATCACCAGCTACGACCTTGGCCGCACAGGAATCTTTGTGAGCGATGTCGTCCTCGAAGGCAAGGACGGATATTTTGAGGCCCTGGGGGTCGACTCGAACGCATCGAACCGCTTCAAAAGCTGGATAGAAAGCTCTCCCCTGGGCAGAGGGATTCTCGAAACTCATTTTAAGCCTGCATCCTGCTGCAACTTCACTCAGGCCTCCACCGCCATCGCCCTGAAGATGCACAAAGACTTAGATCCCAAAATCAGTAATGTCGATGACATCGCCAAAATTCACGTCACCACAACTCCTGGTGCACTCGCCTACCCAGGCTGTGATAATGCCGGGCCCCTTGTCAGCGAATCCAGCGGAAAACTCAGCATCCAATTCGGTATTTGTGCAGCCCTCGTCTTCGGTCGTTTCGACGACGACACGTCTAGACGCATCGACAACCCAATAGTCAATAGCCTCATGCGGAAGATGTCTGTGACAACGGATCCGGAGTTCGAGAAGAGCTACAATAAGGGCCTACAACCGGCAAAGATCGAGATCTTCTTCAAAGACGGGACTGTTGTCGTCGAGGCGGTGCCAGATGTTCCCTGGTTGGACGGGCCGGCGGTCACAGAGAGGTTTCTGCAAGAGATCTCTCGGTGGCTGCCGCTGGAGAGAGCGCAGAAGTTAGTCAGTCGGTGTCAGCATTTGGAGACTGTCACTGATGCTGGACGGGAGTTGCTTGTATTTTAGACTAAGTTCTCTTGTTTTTCTGTTGAAAGCTCTTAACGGAAGAATAGTAGATACTGCTACACTGTGGTCCTATAGTTTGAAAGGGCCGAAAATTCGAGATTCTGGGAAGGATCGAATAACTATCAGACTCAACATCCATCAAATACTAACCGTTCATTTTTTGATATAACTACCTGACTCTCACCATAAATACATTCTCTTTGGTGGAGAGGCTGGTTTGGCAATCTCGCCGCTCACCTCAACCTCGTTGCTTATAGCTTCTCGTCCCCCCGGGAGTGTTCTTGAGAAGTTGAATGGTTTTGAGCAGCCGTTGCTTTTGTTCCCTTAAAGAGTGTATCATAAACCTCGATGGTCTCGCTTTCAGAGCTTCATCCACGTAAATACATTGCTAAGAGTATAAATTGCCCGCATAAGAAGATGTTTGGCCCGTGTCACGCTTCATTTTCCAGCCCGACATGGTGTGCATGCCCGAATATGGGAGGTGGCTCTAGATTCCTTGAATTGTCTATGAGCTGCTTTACGGCCTCCGACTTTAGGAAAACCATCTCGAGATCCTTTATCGCTAACACAACGGCGGATTATAATCTTCGGCTCTTGCAGGGAGCATCATTATGAATGACAGTGAGAGACAGATTTAGATCTCTTGAAGAAATGGTTTTGTACGTCAACTAGGGATAGACTGAGTAACTGGCAACAGCAAGTATTCATTTCCCGACTGCTTTCTCATATCATTTACTTAAACCATGTAGTGGTCACTGTCCCAATCTTCTGGAAACTCGTTCTCCCTTCGCCAGCTTTCGCCTTGACGTGTTTTTGAAGGTTTGCCTTGATACGGTTATGCACCCACTCACTGCTCGTAGGGGCGTCGGCGTCCTTAAACCACTTCTTCACTCCGTGGCGTCGTAACAGAGGACTCTCTTCGAGCAGCGTGTTGATAACTACCTCATCATTTGGTACCGTGAAGTAGAATACGCTACTGCGATCATGGCTTCTCTGATCGACTGGTGGTTCAACGACTCGATGAACGGCCGCTTTGTAGTAGTTACCAGTCCACCACATCATCGGTTCACCCGCGTTCACGATCATAGCACCAGGGATATGGGGAACGAACTTCCATTGTGCTTCGTCGTGGTAATCCCGTACTTGTAGCGTTGCCATTGGCTGGCTGAACAGTAGCGAAAGGGAGGTCAAGTCCTGGTGGCCGGTAAGCCACAGCTGTTTGCCATCCGCGCCTGCTTGGGCTGGAAGGTCATAATACTCCATCCAGCGAAGCCAGGATTCGTCATGCTTGTTGTAGCTATGAGCTTTGACAAAGAATTCCTCGTCTCCAATCTCGAGAGATATGGCAAACAGTCTCAGAATTTTGTAGAGGATATCTCTGTGAACCGTATCGATAAATTCCTGTACCTCTTCGCGGTACGGTTCGAAGGCCTTGGGTTGCTCGTGAGTTGTCATGTCTCTGACCACGTTGAACTGCTCGATCCTGTCCGGAGTTCCTCCCAGTGTCTTCCACTCTCCTCTTGGTTTAAACCCAGGGTATTCTCCTTTCCCAGTGAGATCTGCTTTTAGCCTTTCTTTTTCTTCCTGAGGTGTGCGTGACAGGATCGTGTGGCCAATGTCTACCATACGCTCTATGGTTTCTTCGCTGATGCCGTGGTTAATGACCACAAAGAAACCATGGGAGGTCATGGCCTTGTGAACTTGCTCAGCAAGCTCCTTTTTTGCAGAAGGAGTGTCTTTGTAGAGAGACAAATCCAAAATATCCAGGTCGGCATAGTCAAGCTTCTCCTTGGTTGGCTCGACAGGGACAAAGTGGTCCACTTCAGGCAATGTTTTCGAGATCATCTTGCCGGTTTGATTCGATACTCTGTTGTGAAGTGGTAGACTCCGGAATAGCTTCGCTATCGAATTTGATATCCGACGATAATTTACCAGTATAATGATGCCACTTTATAATCCTGTTAGGTCGAGAAACATGAGAAGCTGCAAAAAGGATATTGATTGCGGAAAGGCTCAAACCCCCGAAGATCACCGCCTCTTCTACCCGCCCGTCCCCAGAAGCTACGTTGTGACATTTCACATAGCCGACAACTCGCACATCTGTGATATTTTACTACATATCGAAATTCACTATTGAAAAGAGAACGGTAACATGTAACGTACCTAGGTAGCCTCAGCGGGACTGGCAATTTACACTCCCCGAAAACTCGGCGAATTCTTGCCTCACGGAAGTTAGTGTGGCTAGATATGCGCAGATCTTTGTAGCCGGGACCGAGGATGTCGATAGTGAGGAGCTCGATCATGGGTAGAGAGATAGATGGCAGTTTGCATAGCCTGTACCCTCAGAGGATCACATGTTGGTCATAGCAAATGCCGACTTGAGAAAAGGAGCAGGGCTGAAAGGAAGAAGTCTTGCTTTAGATACTCGCTACTTCAAAGTACCAGGCTGTTTAATTGCAATACAGAGACGACTTAGTGACTAAAGTAGCTTGTTTACAAACAACTCTGCGCTTTCTGGCTCGCAAATGGCTTATCGGCATCTCTTTACCATGTGTCAATCACTCAGCCCTGGTATCTTTGTAACTTCCAGAAACTCTCCAGTTGCTTCCACTTTGACCTTCTCGGATGGAATGACTACTGTCAGAAAGCGACAGTATTCGGTGGACTCATTTAGCCATGCATGATACGTCCCCCTGAGACGTTTTGATACGGCAATATTAGCATTTTCAATTGTGGTCAGATGTTTAGCTGAGGGAAATCGGACAGGGGCACCCACTTTTGAATATACACGTCTCCCTCTCTCAAAGTCTCGACAGCTCCATCATCCAAGAGTAACTGTAGGGACCCCTTCAACACCACACCGTAGTCGAGACTCTCATTACGGTGCAAATATGGTTTTGCACCCTTTGGGGTTGGAGGAATATCCACGATCTGACAAACAATTCCTTTCTCGCCTTGGCCTCGGCGTACGTTGTCCATGGTGAGTTCTTCCCTGCCACCTTGTATCTTGACTGGGTAGTTTCGAGTGCGATGAATCAGTGTTACGCCAACCGGTCGGTCTGCAGACGTCCCTGGCCTGGCGTCTTTCGGAGTTGGATTGACGGGCGTGAGTAAGTCATCAAACTCGAAAACCGCCTTTCCCTCTCGATTATGACCCGTTACGAGCCTTCTTGTCTCAGGAAGATGGCTCAACTGTTCCATATTTTCCACTACTTTGGAAATGTTCTTCGAATCCTCGTCCAAAAAGTTGGTCAATTTTCCTAATGGCTCCGGATTCCAAACTTCTTTTGTGTCGTGGTAGCTTTCCACCTCAGGTTGCGGTCCGGGTTCTGTTTGTTGCTTTTCAAGCTCGTAAGTTCGTAATTATGAAAAGGATTACGGTCAGCAAGGGTGAACACCGTTCTGCTCTCGAGATTTCTCCAACAAGCGAAAATCGCCTCCAGGAGACTAAATGCACCGAGTTCTCGGCTTCTATGTGAGTTGCAAAATTGCCGATCCCAATTTAGCTCCACTCGGTGTTGAAGCGAACGGCGAAAGAGCTAACAGACCAACAAGGAGAATGTGAAATCTCAGGAGTTAACCAGGCCTCCATATCAAGCCTGTGGGAAATTTCTGTTCTCATCATATTTCCTAATCATACTGGGACAAGACAACAAGACACCAGGCCACAAGTCCGTGTATGCAAATCATCAATTCTAGCAACATTTACTACAATAATGGGTTCCATTGTTGAGTCTCAAGGAATGCCAGCAGCTGCTAGGCTACGACTGCTCCTTCAGGAAGAGGGCAAAACAATATTTTGCCCAGGGGTATACGACGGCATCACGGCGCGACTGGCTTTGAGAGAGGGGTTCGATTGTCTATATATGACTGGGGCCGGCACTGCAGCCTCCAGGCTGGGTGAGCCAGACCTTGGACTCGCAACAATGAATGATATGGTGGGGAATGCGGGAATGATTTCTTCCCTAGACCGTTCAATCCCCGTCATTGCAGACGCCGACACAGGGTACGGTGGACCACTGATGGTTGCCAGGACGGTACGCGCCTATATGTCTGCTGGAGTGGCTGGAATGCACCTCGAAGACCAAGTCCAAAACAAGCGCTGTGGTCATCTGGCAAACAAGGAGCTGGTCGATGAAGAAACATACCTGACTCGCATCCGGGCAGCGGTTATGGCCCGCGATGAGATGCGGAAGGTGTCTGGAGGCTCGGCAGACATTGTTCTCATCGCACGCACCGACTCGATCCAATCACTGGGTTATGAAGCGGCAGTCTCGCGACTCCGCAATGCTATTTCGGCGGGTGCGGATGTTGCTTTCCCTGAGGGTATGACGAGTTTGGAACAGTGCAGCCGTGTTTGCAAAGACCTTAGTCCTACACCTGTCCTTCTGAATATGGTGGCTGGAGGTGTCACACCCGACCTCAGTGTGCAGGAAGCCAATAAGCTGGGTTTCAGAATCGTGATTTTCCCTTCAGTGGCTTTGGATCCCGTCTCGGAAATGGTGGGAAATGCCATGAGGGAGCTGAAGAAGAGTCAACGGCCAATTGTGAGCGAAAATCGAAGGAAAGCAGGTGTGAAGTACTTGTTCAACATTCTGGGCCTCCAGGAGCGCATGGCATTTGACGAGGCGGCAGGAGGTAAATCATTCGTTGACGGGGCTTAAAACGACAGACAAAAGTTATATCATACAGCGTGAAATCACGTCCTTGAATCTTCACAACAACTCAGCCACCCAAATACTTCTTTGTAAGTAGTCGAAAAAGAGAATCTAGAAGATCCAATCACGGATGCATGCTTGCCATCCATATGGCTACGGTTACACATATCAGAGCTCTGCGCTGCACATTCCTAGAGAAGACTTGTGGTATGGGTATGCAAGGGGTGATTCTCTCCGACTTTGTTCTGGGTTTCAGTGGAAGTATCTGATATCATTACAGCCAAGTTCATCGGAGAGAACAAGAACTTCCAACACCTCTATGATGAATTCTAAGAGGTGCGCCCTTTCGTTTTCTCGTGCATATTTATTTCCAAAACAAACTGTGTGGAACTTTCATCTCTTCCGCTGTCTATCTCACCACCCGTTACCGTCTCTATTTTGCCATATGAAATATACACGAGCCACGTCAAGGTATTTACTCCGACGATGTACTGTCCCTAAAAGATATTGACATTTGTGCCACACTGGTCTGATCCAAGGCTGTAAGCTCGAGAATCACTTCAGTCACCCTTTGGGATCGGTCAATTGCCCAAAATCACTGGACCTTGATAATAATCTTGCCCCAGAATTGCTGCTTTTCCATCTCTTTGTAGGCTTCTTGCGCTTCTCCAAACTTGAATATCCGATTCGAGACGATTGGCTTGATATTATGCTCTTCCAGGAATGTATTCATGTGTTGGAACATCCTCCGTGGACCAACATTCATCCCTCTAACGATACAGAGTTGTCTCTGTATCAAAGAGAAGCTCGGCAAGTTTTCATGTTCTCGTCTTCCACCGAGAAATCCCACCATGGACACAACACCTTCGGGTCTGACGGCTTTCAAGCTCTGGAATATTGTATTTTCGCCGCCAACTTCGATGATATGGTGCACACCAAGACCATCTGGAGTCAGAGATTTGGCAATTTCTCCCCATTCAGTGCTCGATGCGTAATTGATGACATGCTGGACGCCCAGTGCTTTAAGCCTCTCCGCCTTCTCGGCCGTCGAAGTTGTGCTGATGACATTTGCCCCGATAGCCAATGCGAACTGAATAGCAAATAAGGAAACGCCGCCGGTTCCCTGTGTGAGTAGAAAGTCCCCCGGTCGAAGAGCCCTTGATTCGAGCCCGAATAAACAATTCCAGGCAGTCAGGGCAGCGCACGGTAATGTGGCGCCCTGGATGTATGAGAAGTTTTTGGGCAACAACACAAGTCCGGTCTCTTCAAATATCCCATACTGTCGCAGAACACCGTCCCGCTGACTTCCCAAGGTGCTCTGGCGGATCCTAGGGGTCACAATGCCCTCCTGAAAATCTTGCATGAATATCATGCAGACCTTATCCCCCAATTTGAACTCGCTCACGCCTGAACCTACGCCAATGACCTCTCCTGCGCCATCAGAACAGGCCACAAAGCTTTTTGTCAGCGGCAATGGATATCGACCCAGGGCCATAGCGATGTCGCGGTAGTTCAGCGAGACTGCTTCGATGCGAACCAGACACTGGCGCTCTTCCAGTCCAGGTAGAGTGACTTGCTCTTGGAATTGGAGAGCATTGATACCCTTGTTTGGGACAATTACCCATTGGGCGGTCTGGCTGGCAGGCATGTTGAGCTAGGGGAATGGAGCAAACCCTGAAGAAGAAATGTAGCAAGTAAAAGCGGAATGCCTTACTTCATTGCCACTAGGAGTAGTTTATGGATAAACGAGTGGTCCGTTCTTAGAATTGTGAAGTCTCAATGATTTCATGGACTAGTCTAGCTGTGTCTAATTCTGGCTGAAAGCGTTCATACCGCCTTATATAGAGAGATTGACCTGTGAATAGAAGGGCTCGCCCTTGCCGCCTTTTCCTGCCTGCTACTACAGTGGCGAACATTGCCAGGAATAGCTAGGCAATGGTCCCTGAAGCTTTTCTACAATGTTCCTGTGCCAGGGTTGCAGCTAGATCGTCAACACCTGCAGAATCCCACAATGCTATGCTCCCGAATGGGTCTCCCTCAGTCGGTTGTCGTTTTTAAAATTCCAGCAAAATCGATTTTAACAACTATCCCAAGTTCGCTCATGCTCTGCATTGAACGTTCCCATACAAAATAATATAGATGTCAAATTCCAATTACACAATGCAATCAAATTTGGAATATTCCGATCTCGACCGCTTCAGGTATTTCACCACATCAGAATTCACTCTTTTTTCGGCGAACCACAACTGGGCCTCGAAGAGGCGGCCTGGAGGAAATAACAGTTAGCGTGGCGATGGCGAAGCTGGCCGAAAAGTCGGCGAGGAGGGTCGCAAATCGACAGACCACCAACTCGTAGCTACGGAGTGTTTGTCGCGTACTTCTTGTAGCCCACCAAGAGTAGATTTAGTCTTGGCTGTGAAGGGGAGGGGCAGGACGGGAGGAATAGGAGGTTCACAAGGGTCGAGCCTGTGAGAATTCTGCAGGCATGAGAAAAGCGGGATGATTGAACTTGCATCCATCAAATCTTGAGTTCCGGGAGAAGGTGTTCCGGGCATGTTAGATTCTGGGCTCGGTGTCCACGCTCACGGACGGGCGAACACTGACACGGTCATTTGTATCAACAAATACAGCGGTAATTATACACGGGCGGTGGGAGTGTCTGGGTGTGTTTCTCTCCCTGAAGCTTCTGGACCGTTCGTTATGGCCAAACTTTGGACAGCCGAGGCCGATTTCTCGGCTGCGGGGGTCCGGGATGAGTTTCTCCGGGTTTGCTATGGTGAATCCAAGGTGCCGCCCTATCGTTGGTGGATCCGGCTCCTTACTTCGCAAAGCCTCGTTTCCCCAGCAAGTTACCCACGATCTGGCACTATGACTTTTGGACTGCTATAAAACTTCCCCAGGTGTTTGTTCCCAGTTCACGCCCTTATTTCCTGACCAAGTCATCCTACACTTCAATTTATGATCAGTCCTTTTCTCCTCTCCAACCATGTCTTCCGAAGCGAAATCAATATCTGGAATCCCCATACATATTGAGGAGGGAACAAAGCTAGAATCCGATTCCGTTGAGGTGACCGACCAAGAAAATCTTGCCATCGAAAAGGCATTGAATCGGAAATACGACTTCCGTATTCTACCATGCTTGTTCCTGCTCTACTTCTTCTCCTTTATGGACAGAGCCAGTATTGGGAATGCCAGCATTGCCGGATTGAATGCTGACCTCAAACTCCAAGGCCAGAGTTACAGCGTGGCTCTGGCCCTATTTTTCATCTGTTACATGATTGTCGACATCCCAGCCGGATTGGTGTTCAAAATCATAGGGCCTCGAGCCTTTCTCTGCATCAGCATCTTCTGTTTCGGCACTTGCACCATCTGCCTCGGGTTTGTCAAAACCGCGAGTCAACTGTATGCGATTCGATGCCTGCTCGGTCTCTGCGAAGGTGGATTGACGCCATGTATCAGCATCTACATGGGCATGTTCTACTCGCCTAATAATATACAACGACGTCTGGCTGTCTACTACTGTGCCGCACCTCTCAGTGGCGCAGTCGGGGGTCTGCTCGCGTCTGGTCTCGGAAAGATCAATGTTGGGTCATACAGAGCCTGGCCATGGATCTTCTTCATAGAAGGAGCAATCTCCATGCTCGTTGGGGTCGTCTGCTTTTTAATCCTCCCAAATATGCCGGGCCAGGCCCGGTTTTTGACTGAAGAGGAACGCCAAGTGGCGAGAATCAGGTCGGGGAAAATCAGCAGCACCGTCGACGTCAACCATGAAAAGGAGAAGTTCTCCTGGAAAGCAGTCAGACAAGGTTTTCAGGATTGGAATGCCATACTTCTTGCCATCATCAGCATTGGAACTTACTGCAACATCTACGCTTACAGCCTCTTTTCCCCCGCCATCATCAAAGGGTTTGGCTACAGTACGATTCAATCTCAGCTCCTCAGCGTACCTCCATACATTTTTGGGGCCATTTCCGTCTTCGCCACATCGTTCGCATCGGATCACCTTCGCATCCGAGGCCCATTTGTGATTGGCCCCTGTTGCGTTGAGATCATCGGCTGGATCATTCAGATGACATGCAAAGGTGTCGGAGTGAGGTACTTTGGTCTTTTCTTGGTTGCAGGCTCCATATACCCAGCCATCAACTCGACCAGCTCATGGTTAATTGGTAATCTGCAACCACACTATGTCCGTGCCACCGGAATCTCCTTTGCTGTGGCCATGGGGACAATTGGTGGAATTATTTCTACTTTCACCTACGCCAACGCGAAGGCCGACGTTGCAAATGGGGTGGAATTAGCTATGACGGTGCTGGTAGTCATTTTAACGTCATTGCTTATGTGGATAAACCATGCAGAAAACAAGCTGAGGGCTCGCGGTGGACGAGACTATCGGCTCAATCAGGGTCAGAGTGCAGCACAGCTGGGATCCCGCCACCCAGCCTATGTTCTTTCACTCTGATGAGTCTCACCCAGAGCAGAACGATGCAGGATAGTCGCAGTGTCCTTGTCCGATATCGTCAAGATAATCTAAGTAGCGGCACTACACTCACTGGGACCTGGCGATCTATAGTCGTGAGCTATTCAGAAAGGGGCACCTCGGAGACCGTGGGGTTTTCGATTCCTTAAATTCAAGAAGACGTTCAAGCTGTAGCACTACTTGCAGAGCGGACTCCCACGGCTCATATCGCACTATCTGTACCACATCCCAAGCCCGCCCCTCGATGGTCTCAGGGGGTTCTCCTACCATAAAGCTCTCAGACTTTCAGAGAGTGCCTCAATATACTTCAAGTATGTTTACTACCCAGCCAGCGATCGTATCTTGTTGCAGAACCAAGGCGTTTTGTCAAAGGGTATTAAAAGCAAACCCATAAAAACTCTGTGTGTTCAATGTCTCAGGCTTCATTCCACGAAAAATCGGGGTCAAAATGGGGTAGAAAAGGGAAGTAGAACTCAGTGCTAAACACCCCTCAACCCCATGTGTACGGCACGAAGTGCAGAGTTATCAACAGTATAAAGCGATGCAAGAGGCTCCCCATGGATCAATGAAGCCTGGATAGCGAACTTATCTCCGACTTGCAACACAAGTTGCAGATCTTTGCGCCCAGCACGTCAACGATCGTTTCCGGCTGGACGTCTCTGGCGATTATGCTTCTTCGCCCAGCGATACGGCACCACTGTGGCCCACCCTTATCTTCATAATAGTGTCTAGGAAAAGATTTGTGCCTGCTCAAAAAGCAAATAGATAGGGACCTCTCTTATCGGGTTATAAACACAACCAAGCTTGCACAGCGACTGCATTTGAGAGAACCTTGGTGATATCATGATAAGGAGAAAGAGTCGAACCTGCTGGAGATTTAGTATAGAGGTGACATCCTCTTCTGTGAATCGGAGACTTCAGGATTAGATGGTGCTCATCGCAGCCAAATACCACTCTAATCAGACGACCACGAAGTTCAGCTATAGCCTGGATTTCATCGATGCCTTATTTTGAAAGACAGAGACGACCTTGAGCAAATCCCCACAGTATAAAAGTCAGAATTGCCCGGCGAAAGTGGCAGAACAGTATGGCGAATGAGCCCTCTGGCATTGGTAAAGTTATGTCACCTCCAATGTGGGGTAATTTGAGAAGCTCCCACTTCCCCATGTTCTGAATACCGCGTGAAATCTCACATCCTGAACGCCGACATGATCTTGACCTTCTGTTTATATTTGAAACATCGGGAGAGAAAATATTGAGCTTCTGGAATCATAATTTGGCTGTTTCCTGCAAGCGCTAGATCTTCCAGACGATGGCTAACAATGAAGTCCCCATAACCATGAAGGCCTATGTGCTGGAGCAGTACAACACGCCATATCAACTTCGCGATCTCCCAGTCCCAGTCATTGAGAATGCAAATGACATTCTCATCAGAGTGGACGCGGCTTCATATTGCCACACTGATGCCGTCCTCGCCTCGGGAAAAATGCGCCCGCCACCACTTCCACATATCGGATGCCACGAATTCGCTGGGACTGTTGTCCGCATCGCCGACAAGCCATCAGCACACAGCATAAAGGTTGGCGACCGCGTTGCTGTCCCAGGTCGTGGGAATCATGTTTGTGGGAGATGTCTCGAATGCCAGAATCCTTCAGGCCCTCTTCCGGATGAGCCTGGTTATTCTGTCTATTGCCCCACTGCCGGGGGTGGGCTTGGCGTGGGTAGTAAACCAGGAGGGTTTCGAGAGTACGCCGTTGTCGATTCGAGACAAGTAGCCATCATTCCTAACAGCATGACGGCAGTGGAAGCTGCGCCATTGATGTGTGCGGGCCTCACGATCTTCGCAGCTCTGAAGAAATGCGAGCTCAGGCCCGGTCAGCGGGTAGGCATCATGGGCTGTGGAGGAGGGCTTGGGCACTTGGGTCTTCAGTTTGCCACCAAAATGGGGCTGAATACAACCGGTGTTGACGTAGCATCACGGGCGCTGGAACTCGCAAAGAGCTTGGAGACAGGAGCTACGATCGTCGACGCTTCAACCAAAAGTGCAGCAGAGGTCAAGCAGGAGATAGGTAAAGAAGACGGCAGACAGAATCCATCAGAGATGGGCTTGGACGCTGTGATAATTTTGCCCGAGAGTCAGAAGTCATTTGATTACGGAATGCACTTACTAAAGAACGGCGGCCTCTTGGTTTTGGTGTCTTTCCCACCAGAGGGTTTCCATATCTCAGCGGATGATCTGGTCTTTCGTCGCATTCGCATGGTTGGTAGCTTGATCGGCTCCAACAAGGCCATGAGAGACATGTTTGACTTCTGTGTCAAGAATGATGTCAAGGCAAAAATCAAAACCTATCCCTTTCCCAAGCTCAATCAGTTGGTGGAGGATTATCATTCTGGAGTTGGAGGAAAGCTAGTTCTGGACATGGCCATGGGAGAATGATTTTGCTGCTTGGGTTGCAGGATAGCCATGTCTGTAAGTAGTGTCATATGGTCGCTCTATGTGAATCTGGAATCTTGGCTCATGTCCAACACAACGGATCGAGATCTGGCTAAAGTTGATGTAGGCTGTGACAAGGGAATAAACACCAGGTCAAGAATAACCAAACGGTTGATGACGAAATGGAAAAGGTATGTGAGACTTGAGACAAAGTTCGAAGCGAAATGAAAATCGGCAGCTAACTAGTATCGAAACGAAGTGTCCATGGCTGGAGGAAGCAATCGCCCAACAAGGCGACACCTTCATTGGGGTGTCAGCTGTGGAAATAAATTTTTGTCTTGATCATGAGAATGTCCTATTAGAATGCTGCCGCAGGCTCGCGTTCGCTGACTCAATCTGCATTCTTTAACCTCTATTTTATTTTCAAGACCCGCAATTGGTATAGAACAGATGGCGAAGCGCTCCGTGATGACGGCATCGGGCGTTAAAGTTCTCAGTCTTTGCAGAACTCCTCAAAAGCTATGCACCATACATCCTCAGGGGCACTGCATCTCGATCCAGCGTGGACTTGATAACCTTGAAGCACAGACTCTTTCATGCATGGACAATGCTAAAAAGCACTCACCCATTATACTTCCAAGCAGCTGAGGAAGGTAGCTACTTCTTGACGGAGTTTGGACGCCAACCACCAGTCGAGGAGGTGCCAACAATCACTCTCATTTGTATGTCAGATGCACTTCCACGGGCAACAGCACCTACTACAATAAGCATTCAGGACTGTAGGTAGTTAACCTCTGCGCTCCTGTACACATATACGTCCTGGCCTCGTAGGTTGTACAAAAGATAGTGACTCGTTGACAGTTTGTCGCCGCCGCTCATGATTCGTCGGAAGGCTTCTGTGAGCTGCAGTCGATGGTCCAGCGCGTAATAACCCAGTCATCGGATTATATTGCCTCGGTTTTTTTAATTTTTATTTTGGCACTCCAATCGGTGGTCGAGATGTCGATCTGAGACCAGACAAACTTTGCAATTCAACGACGTCATGGAGGGAAACTTTCTAACAAGTGTTTGGGGCAGCGAGGGGGGAAATCTGGGGGGCGGATCATTGCCAGCAGCCTTTCCCCGCGAAATGCGGGCGAGACTCGAAGCATTTCTGTCGCTCATCGGGCTGGAAGCTTCGGCTTTGAATGTTGGCGAAGGGCATTACAGCCGACGTTCGACAATCAATAAAAGCCGGTAGATCGGCAGAGAGGCGGCATTCTAGCCGGAGAGCGAGCATCATTGTACAGATTGGGCATGCATGGGTCCCCCAGAATATTGTGCCAATGCATTCTCCAGCGGTGGACCCCACAACCCCCGCTATTGGCGGCCTAACAATGGGCTGGCTGCGCCATTCACCAAAACAGGACTTGATGTCCGGGAGTTTTGCGCCTTGAGAACAAGTAACCTGTTATATTAGAAGCAGCAGGATTCCTCAGATGCGCGAAGATACGCTGACAATGATAACCCGGGGTCCATATGCGCAATGTCGTCGTGCGCTTGACGGCTATGCCGCCTACCCGTCGGAGAAGGCTCTAGCGAGCAGCGAGGGTTGCTATACAGGCTAAGATCGTCGCCGCAAAACACAGGGGGGTCAAGAAAGCTTAATTACAATTGGCAGAGGTACCAAGATAGTCAAGACCGGACAACGTCAATCATCCACCAAAGCCAAGGGTTCTTGTGCGCACGATCGTCTCTACACATCTGTGACTTCAGCGCGTTGTAACGCTGATCCGGAGCCGTCCCGATGGATCAACTCGAAATTTTCCCTTCTGTTTAGAACATGTGGGCGATTCAACCAACAAAAGGTTACGTCCTACAGTCCTTTTGCCCCCCGGCCCACCAAAGTTCTCTCACAGCTACTGCTTTAGCATCGTTTGCTGGAGTCACCGGTCCCTGGTTGCGGGGCATGATGTACATCTCTACTTCCTCATGGAAGCATTGCGCGTGCCAGTCACGGAGCTCGCTATGTATCTCCAGCTGGGTCCATTGCTCACGCGTTGAAACCCCGTGGAGTTCGCGAGCGATGATTGTCTGCCCCCGCTTGAGCATGTGGGTTGGCTGTCGAAGTGATAAACCCGGGTAAGCCCACCGATGGTTTCTTTCTCTTCTTCAATCAGTCTCCTGAGCTGCTTTGCCACTGGATACATACCAAGATGGCCTCTCAAGATCCTCAGATCACGCACGATGCCGCGAACAGGTAAGCATCGAACCACCTAATCATTCAGAGCTATACGGCTGACTTAACCAGTGGCGACGATGAGAAGTACGTCGGTGAAAAGCAAGAGACTGCCTATATCGACTTGGAAAACAGCGCAACGGCAAAGTATGGCAATCACCGACCATCTACAACCTTTGTGACTGAGACGCGATAGGATCAAAAACCCCTTGGCTCACCTTTCCAACGAGGAAGTCATTAAAGACGTCGAAGAGTTCTCCAGAGACAATGACTTTGCAGACATGACAGACCTACTAGTGAAGGGCGCTCTCGTTGCTAAAGATCCTCCAGCTTTTGAGAGCGTGCCAGGCCTTACGGAGCATGAGAAAGAAGCCATCCGCAATGAGGTCTTGCACAAGTGGCGTCAGCCAAAATCGCTCTACTTCACAATCATTCTTTGCTCGATTGGTGCAGCTGTACAGGGTTGGGATCAGACTGGCTCCAATGGCGCTAACCTCTCCTTCCCCGATGCTCTGGGCATCCCAGTCAGCGACAAACTGGCGAATGGACAACCAAACCCGAATGCTGCGCGCAATCAATGGTATCAAGGCTTGATCAATGCCGGGCCGTACATCGCCTCGGCATTCCTGTGAGTATACCGTCGACGATGGCAGGCTGGAATACTGACTGCTCTTAGCGGCTGTTGGTGTTCTGATCCACTCAACAACTTTTTTGGTCGACGAGGCACCATCTTTGTGTCTGCTGTCTTCTGCTTCTTGAGTCCAATTGGGTCTGCCGTTGCGCAGAGTAAGTACACAACCTGCGCCTGCATGGAATGCTTTCTGACTTTGCCTAGCGTGGGATCAACTTCTGGTCACTCGACTTCTGCTCGGTATTGGTATGGGTTGCAAAGGCTCAACCGTACCGATCTTCAGCGCCGAAAATGCACCCGCATCAGTTCGAGGGGGCCTGGTCATGAGTTGGCAGATGTGGACCGCCTTCGGCATTTTCTTAGGAACTTGCGCCAATCTTGCCGTCAAGGACACTGGCTCCATCTCCTGGCGCCTTCAGTTCGGTTCTGCTCTGCTCCCTGCCTTACCTCTTCTCATCGGGGTTTACTTCTGTCCAGGTGCGCCTCCCTTGCCTCTAGTCTTACGCTGGGTAACTGACAATGTCCAGAATCTCCTCGTTGGTACATCAAGAAGGGCAAATATCGCAATGCCTTCCAATCACTCAAGCGTCTCAGGAACACCGAGCTCCAGGCCGCTCGTGATTTGTACTACATCTTTGCTCAACTCCGTATGGAAGCCAGTTTGGTCAAGAAGCAGACCAACTATGCCACTCGCTTCATTCAGTTGTTCACGATTCCACGAGTTCGCCGCGCTACTCTGGCATCCTTCACTGTCATGATTGCGCAACAAATGTGCGGAAGTAAGTGGAGAAACCATCCCGTTCATCCGAGTATGTACTGATTCAGGCACAGTCAACATCATCGCCTTTTACAGCTCCACCGTGTTCTCGGAAGCTGGTGCATCTGTTACGGACTCGCTTTTGGCTTCCTGGGGCTTTGGGTTGGTGAACTTTGTATTCGCCTGGCCTGCCATATGGACTATCGATACATTTGGTCGCCGATCACTGCTGTTGTTCACCTTCCCTCAGATGGCATGGACCTTGCTAGCTGCAGGTCTCTGCTATTTGATTCCTTCGTCAAGTTCAGCGCATCTGGGTCTGGTCGCCCTCTTCATTTACTTGGTATGTCAGGAAGTCGTTCGTCTAGAAAAAGGGAACATACTGATATTCGGACAGTTTGCGGCATTTTACTCTCCCGGAGAAGGCCCTGTGCCGTTCACATATTCCGCTGAGGTCTTCCCTCTTTCACACCGTGAGGTCGGTATGGCTTGGGCAGTGGCAACCTGCTTATTTTGGGCTGCCGTACTTTCGATCACTTTCCCACGGATGCTATCAGCCATGAGTCCCACTGGTGCATTTGGGTTCTATGCAGGTCTCAATATCTGCGCGCTTGTCATGATCTTCCTCTTCTTGCCAGAAACCAAACAAAGGACCTTGGTGAGCGAATCCTTTGCTCTTTTCTGACCCCTGCAACACTTCTGACTTCATCACAGGAGGAACTTGATTATATCTTTGCTATTCCGACCCGGACCTTCATCAAACATCAAGTTGGCACCGTTCTGCCGTGGTGGATCAAGACAACCATCTTTCGCCGCAAAATCGGCCCTTGCCCTGCACTTTGGTCATTCGATGGCCACGTTGACAACGACAAAGAGTTTGTGGAAACTGTCCGCAGGCAAAGTGAGGCTGTTCATGGCGGCCGCCGCCGCAGCAGCATTGCGGACAGGATTGCCAACCGATTCTAAAAATGCCACGTGTGGCATCCATTCTCGCACAGGGTGGAGGGAAGAGACAACCTACTTTAAGAGAGCTTGAGCATGCAGGATCATCCCAGGCATGGACGGAGTTCCATAGTTGCCCGCGGTGGAACCTGTACTGCATTACAGAAACAAATTGGCTATAGGTACGAACATACTATGTGTGTAGAGCATTATTCGTTAGAGTACGGTAGTGACAATATTGGAAGCCAACGACAGAAGTCTGCCTCAAATGGACGAAAGTTACGTATAAGCAGAGTTCATAGACTTCTACCTTACTTGCCCGACAGAGATGCTTTAAAACTAATGACGGTGGGTTGAGTTTACCACAATATGATTCAGCTCTCCATAATAGTCGTACCAGAGTCATCTCGTTTGTGGATGCGGCACCTGGTGGCTCGACAGGGGCTAAATTTTGAAACTCTCGAGGCGACAGAGAGCTCGGAATCGTTAGAGAAGCTATGGGACGTAAAGTACGGTCCACATGAAGTTCCGCTGAACTGCTAGTGCCTATTGAATGGCTTCGATGTTGGCAGCACGCTTTTGATACAACAACCAGTGGAAGCGTTGTAGGGCGGCAGAGATGGCAAAGCTAGGATAGAGATTGTGGAGTCGGATTCATGGCGAGAATCACCAATCCAGCTTCGAATAATCAAGCAGCATGCTGCCAAATTAGGATGCAACTTGCTCCGGATGGAGCCGTTGACTATCTACCAAGACAATGAACAGCTTATAGTCTGACCAACGAATCCGTCCAAGGTCGACGAACCCGTCATGATGGACTATTGGTTAGCAATGCTCAAATCACTACTTGTAGGTAGTCGGTATTCTGGAAAGGTATAAGCAGAGTGACTGTGATATAGAGGATGTTTGACATCAGATAAGATGCACTTTGTTTATGGGTGGTTAACTCCCAAGTTGCTCGATCCATCGTAGTTCGAGACATTCTGTCAGACGGTGCGACATTTGTCAAGCCGCTCTGCCGCCTCCTCGGTGCTGGGGTCTCCTGACGACTACGTCATGCTCACGTTTGCATCTCTCAATCCGCGAACATCCAGCCGGCGTTCCCTACTTGTGAGTACAAAATGATCATGCACTGCCAGGCCGCATAGTGTGCGTCTTTGCATACAACTGTGCCTTGGTCCAACCTCCAACGACTCAAGCATAGGCTGAGACCACAACAAAGGGTACAAAATGGCTGAAAAATTGCATCAAACGGCCCAGAACATCGTTGAAGATATCAAATCCGGCCTCCATGGCATTCACGGCGCCGGCGACGCTCTCCGGGGTGGCGCCATGGAAGCACTTGACACCGTCTTCCACAAACAAGAGGGAGAGGAAAGGAATCGAGAAATCGCCGAGCACGGTCTGGCGGAGATGAGAGGGACAGAAGATCGATTGGAGGAGAGACATCATCAATGTGAAGCACACCATATAGGAGCTGAGCACAGTGCCGGAAACGATCACCACCACCACGTTGGTCAGGGACAGGGGAGTCACTTTGCCGACGCTCATGCAAGGGACATGGCAGCCGAAGAACACCATAAAGCGACAGGAATCGTGTCTGAGGAAGGCGACAGCCTGAGCGCAGCACGAGCGGCAATGCAGGAAAAATATTAACCAGCATCTGAACACATCATTACACCCGTTTGATCTGATCAGCGATACCTACTTCATGATCACGCGATCCTACCGATGGTCTCATTACTTGACCTCAGAATTCCGAAATCCCATCCTTCACTACGATTTTCCCCACATCTTCATCTCTTGCTCCCTCCACAACACTCCTGATGAATTGTCCACCGACACTCGGATGCTTCGCCCCCATCTCCTTCGCCAAATGCCGTGCATTCCCTAGATCCGTCTCCAGAAGCCCAGGTCCAACAGCCCAAACCTTGACTCCGTCTGCCTTCAACTTGTGATTCCAGTCCACCATCAACATGTTCAGCGCTGTCTTACTGCATCGATACCCGATCGTCTCAAATTCGATCTTCTTCGGCCACCCAGCGGGTTGAGGCGGCGTAGGAAAATAAGACCTGCTTGCTTGTGTGACGTTGGAGAGGCCTGTCACGAAGACCAGACGAGGGTCATGGGATTTGAGCAAGAGTGGCATAAAGGTCCAGGTTAGGACATTGGTACCCGCGACGTTGACATCGTAGGCTCTCAAAAAGCAGTCGCGGAGGGAGACGTCATTGGCTACAAATGCGAGATCAAATGTCGCTCCTATGATTTTTGAAGTCAGCTCGGATTGGCAGGTGATGGGCCACGAAAGTTGCCTTACCCGCGTTATTTATGAGCGCATCAATATGTCCCAACTTGGTCTTGACCTGATCGAATGCTGTTTCGATGGAGGTATCACTGTTAAGATCGACTTGGAGCGCTTCGACGGTGTTGGCTGACTCGCCACATTCTTTGTGGAGCTTCTCGATTGCATGTTCGGCCTTCTCGAGTGAGCGACTGCCCAAGAGAACATGATATGGCTGATTGGACTGAAGGAGGGCCTTGACTGTCTCGTAGCCGATACCGTTGTTGCCACCTATCTCCAGCTCAGCGCCATGACCAAGAAGCAACAGCAGAAAATCAAGCAATGATGATAACACTCACCAGTAACAAGAGCAATTCTTCGGCCTGCCATTGCTGCGGTCGTCAAACACTCTGGGAACGATCTCTGAGCCTTTTTCGCTTGGATGTGGGATTAGGAAGTGCTCTTGATGTGTTCCGTCGACCTTCCATCCTCGAATTAAGTATGCCCTTTCTTATATGCCGTTTCTCTCGGATTTAGGGCGAACGCGAAGCCAATTCATCTCTTGATTGCAGTAGGGGCAAGCAGCTTGCCCACAAAATTCTCCACACAACCCGGTGTTTCATTGGTGATCTTTCAATCCGCAAGCTAGAGCTATTCTAACTCGGGACAAACCCTGCGAGAGACATGTAAATGTTTTCGGGGATGATGCTGATACTGTCAATATCGCCTGCAGCCCCAGAGTAGTTCACAGGTTGAAAAACGACTCATCGTTGCTGATCAATGTTCTCTCAACGTACGGAGTGAGCCACTGCGCAAGAAAACCTGGGAGCTCAATGCCGTTGAACTTGGCGATTCGCCCACGGAATAGTTCACCCGGTAAACCCCGCCTTTGTCTTTCTAGGGATGCTCTGATACCTTTGGAATGCGTGAACTCTCCGCAGTCCCCTCGAGCCACAAATCAAGCTGTTTTGAATAGTCAACAGGCTTAGGTTGGAATCCGGGCTTCTTCGATAAGGTACAAGCGACGATCGAACCTGGCAAGACAGGCCAAGGTTGTTTGAAATAGTGCTAATTCAAGATCTCAATCCTTCGATGGCCTCCCTGTGCATTCTCAATAACAACACTCGGTGAGCAAAGCCCATCCATAGGGCGACGACCTTCAAACCAGTACCCATCGTTGAGTTTTCGCAGGAATACACCAGTTCAATTGGTTCGGACCTCTGGCGAACCGTCCCAGCTGCGGGAAGCCAGATATTGGCACACGGAAAGACCTTAATACACCATATACGAGGCACAAATGTCTTGTACACTTGAATGGCGTCATGATACAAATCTTTGACCCGCCACCGGAAGTCCTTTACGTTGACCCATTGCCAACCTCTTCATCCGGTATGAGGAAAGTGAGAATGCTCGAATCGAAGGCGGTGCCAAAGCCTTCACTGTTTGATGTATTTATGATGGCCTCTTTCGAGGACTTCAACCTCGTCTCCGACATAGATGCGAAAGCTGCCAGCTGCTGCTGGCACCAGCTGAAGCCCTAGACAAGCGTTTAGCGGGTCGCCTTCATCGATACACCTGAAAGACTTGAGCGTCTTATCTGGTTCGACAGGATGCATCACTGCAGTGTCGGGGTCGACGTTGGGTAGCCTGCACCGAACCGTGTGACAGGCGCAGAAGAAAATGTGACTTCCGATCCGGATCATTTTCCAGTCATCTTCGTTGTATGCGCCTGGGCCATCAATCAAGATATTTGCACGAAATCTCCTTGCGGTAAACCGTGGAATTTCCTGTTTCACTCTGAGTGCAATATCGCGGACTGATGTGGTGTTCAAAAGATGCACAGGATATGCGTCAGCAAAACCAACCACTGGCTGGTAGCCCAGCTGATCTTTCCTCGGCGCACAACGAAATACCTCTCGGTAGGCATTTGGATCAACTCTGAACAGAGTCACGGGGTTTGAGGCCTTTATGAAAGATTGAAAGTCGTTCGGTAGATGTACGCCATAATTCAGCCATTTCGGGTTGTCTTTCCAGACCGTCACGTTTTCAGTAGGATATTGGTGATTCTCCCCAGGAACTAGCGGTACACGAAACGACTTTCCTTCAGAGGCAATGCCAAGCCAGATGAAAAGGCGTGAGATCAAAGAGAATCGCCCGGTCGGGATGCGAGGATACCTGACTACCATCCAGCCTCGATCGGTGCTCGGCTCCTCGTCAGTCGGGTCCGGAAACCAAATTTCTGGCTTGATAAGAGCCAATCTCTCCCATCCAGGTTGTCTCAGTGTCCTGAACACCCATTTCGCTCCCTTGTCTGCCTGTGAAGCGCCCGAGTATCCCTGAGGTGAAAGCAGTTCTGCAAATGCAAACGTTCGGTCCCATCTGAATCCGGCCGCGTGAACGTCTGCGACATCCAACTCGACACCGGCGCAGGACTTGATGGGGTGAATAAATAGAGCCTTAACTTTCCATTTCGAAGCAACCGACCCGCTGGGTGCGTCGGCGAATTTGGCATATTTGTCGCCCATCTCCTCGTCACTGATATGGGAAGGGCCACCTAACTTCAGCTGCTTGTAGCCTTGCAGCGAAAGGCGCATGTTCCATGCCTCTTGAATACAAATCAGTGCAACTGCAAGCAAGATGGGCGGGACAATGATTGCAGCTTGGTCCATTACAGTATTCATTGTTCTCTGAGGCAGTCTTGATGAGTTCGTCGGGCAGCGTGTATCGACGATCGTGAGAATGAATAACTAAGACAACCCAGGAAAGCTTGCCGCCCTAGACTCTTTGAGATGACCTCTGTTACGCAACAACGGTGCAGCAACATGAGCTTGTTACCTCTAGGTGATTCGAAACAATCGTCAACACCTAGTACTAAGTTAGAGAGGTTGTTCATTACCAATGAGCTTGTTCGGCCGAGCAGTTGGTCGTCTGACAGGTCATTTGAACTCCACTGAAGCCGTGTTGACATTATTCGAAAGGTCGGATCGGAACGCGTCCTGCTTCGAGCACCATGACACAAACATAATGCCCATCGCCACTGGCTTGTGCTGCAGTCAGTGAGGACATTACACATGAACGGAGATATCGCCATGAATTCGCCAGCTTGCCAAATCAGAATCCGACAGACTTATCTTCCGTCGAATCGACTTCAACATGTCAATGGAAGCCAACAATGCAGGACCGAGAAGCAGACATCCACAATTTCTCAACCTCCCCGTCTCAGCATCGACTACCCACGGTTTCCGCCATTGAAGCTCTGGAAATCCTATCCGCCAAATGCAAGGGGATATCTTCTAGTCTCCCAGCTTTGGATGTAATTCTTGCAAATGGAAGCAATGGGTTCTCAATCACTTCACCTGGTATCCAGAGGGGCCATGTTACCGAAGTCTACGGACCACCAGGGGTAGGCAAGACCACCTTTGGCCTGCAAGCTGCTGCCAGTGCGATCCGCTCCGGCCACGAGGATTCCGATGTCCTATGGGTTGACACAGGTTCTCCCTTCATCGAAGAAAGACTGGACGACCTGATGCGCTCCTACGCCATACCTGCGCATCCTGATCTACCATCATCACCAAAGCCTTTGGACACACAGGTACTCCTAGAAGACAAGTTTACTTACCTCAGCGCCTACACGCTGGCTCGTCTGTTGACACTATTTTTGCATCCTCCCCACTCCTTTCCCTCCTCAAAGACGTGTTTGATCGTCATCGACGACCTCTCCAACCTCCTCCTCGGCTCTTTTTCGCGAAATCCCAGAAACATCAAGGCCTCCGCGCCAGCTGCTGTGAGAGAGAAGTTCGAAAGGCAAGCTGTGTCAAAACGCTTTCAGATCATAGAGAATCTCGGTGCCGCAATGTCGAAGATGGCCGCGCTCAAGAACGTTGCGATCCTAGTTCTAACCAACACGACAACGAGTTTGAAAAATCATAACAAGGCGATCTTGAAGGCCGCATTGGCCAGCCAGGCTTGGGAGTCCGCGGTCCATACCCGAATCATGCTCTTCCGTGATTTCGCTAATGAGGGACAAGGCGTCGATATATCAGGGACGCAATCCCTGGGAATGCGGTACGCGGAAGTACAGCGACTGGCCTGGAAAGACATCTGCATGGAACCAGTTCCATTTGTTATTCGGTCCAACGGCCTTCAGCAACTAGGTCCGACCACTTCACCCAGTCAAGCCGAAGTTAATACCGAACCCAATGATAATGCGAAAGCATCGAGTACTGACAAAGAAGATGACCCCCCACTCCTCCCCGTGGAACTCTCCCAGCGATCCCAGAGTGATCCACCAGCACATTCCAGAAAGCGGAAAATCATCGAGATCGCGGACAGTGAAGACGAGGGCGAGGGAAGCGGTATTGACATGCCGTCCGATTTTGACGAGCCCGAACTCCCAAGCATGGACTTCGTACCTCGTGTGGAGATAGAAGAGATGATACTCGAAACACACGAGACGGCGCTGTTGAGGAGAGATCGGTATGCACGAATCAGAGGCTCAGAGGACGAGATCCCTGAACCGTCGTCGGATTTGGCAGAAGAGGTCGATGCAGTTGCGTCTCCCAATGAAGGCGAGCCTTGAGAAACGCAGCTCGAGATCATGCATTTATTCCTGGCATGGAAACCATCTTTCTGCTCCCATACCTCCTGGGTTCTGGAGTAAGCTTCGCCCCGGCACTTACAGTGTAGTTTCCAAGACCCAGCTTGCAGCGAGGTTAGATGGAAGCTTTGCCACATCAACCCATAGACGAGGAGACCTTGCGCCGATATTGTGGGGTGGGCAATTTTAGGTGCCCCTCTGCTGCGCTGGTGGCAGTGTCTGACGTGGACTACCCAAGACCCCGCCTAATGCAGCCCAGCATCTGTGCGAGACGCTTGAAGCTAAGTATTCGTGCAAACACTGTCTGACGAAAAGCATTCAATGCAGTTTCGCGGACGGTGTCTGCTTGCCTGGGGCGCACCTGAGTCTGGCGTGGAAGCAGCTGAATAGACACTTAGACATCTTCTCTTGCTGCAACTCACAAGAACTCTTCTTTCATGAATGTCTCGTTTTCAGACTCCTTTCTAGGCCCTTTCGGCCATCACCCCGCCCTCTAGTGTATTGCCCCTCTGATCTTTTCGGCTTCCGCCCTCCTCAGCCGTCAGCGTCCACTTGCTTACCTGCTCTGCAATCCCATTCCTATACCACGATTCAGCTGAGAAGGGTTTGAGACAAACCGTGGATATGGCGACGCAAGGGCAACAAAAGCCGCAGATCCAGCCTTGCCGGTACAAGACTGGTGAGCTTGATCTGTCGCACCTCGTGTGGTACACCCTGCTTATGTTCCCAAGGAAAAACACTCGGCGCAGGTTCCTATTCAGTGGTTAAGGAATGCGTTCACATAGACACAGGAAGATACTATGCCGCAAAAGGTCTGCTCATAGACCGTGCCGAGCATACTCCCTTACTTACCTCTTCATAGTCATCAACAAACGGCTCATGGCCGGTCGGGAGCATATGGTAAGTAAATGCCCTTGATCACCAGAGTGAGGCTACCGGCTAACGGAAGTGTTGTTAGGTGCGCAACGAAATCGCAGTCTTGAAGCGTGTGTCAGTGGGACATCGCAACATCCTGACTCTCGTCGACTACTTCGAAACCATGAATAATTGTACGGCTCGACGCTCCAGGGTTTTGGAATTAGTCTGACATGGCCGCAGTATACCTTGTGACCGATCTTGCCCTGGGGGGGGAGCTTTTCGACCGCATCTGCCGCAAAGGCTCCTACTACGAATCTGACGCGGCCGACTTGATTCGAGCCACACTGTCCGCAGTCGCATATCTACACGACCACGGCATCGTGCACAGAGATTTGAAACCCGAGAATCTGTTGTTCAGAACACCGGAAGACAATGCGGATCTCCTGATTGCGGACTTTGGTCTGTCTAGGATCATGGATGAGGAACAATTTCATGTCTTGACCACGACGTGCGGCACACCAGGGTATATGGCGCCCGAGATATTCAAAAAGACGGGTCATGGTAAACCTGTGTGAGCAAAGTCCTTTCTGATCTGTGCCACGACCCTTCAAGACTGATACAAGCTCTCAGCGACATCTGGGCCATCGGCGTTATCACATACTTCCTCCTTTGCGGCTACACTCCATTCGATCGCGACTCAAATCTGGAAGAAATGCAAGCCATTCTCGCCGCAGATTACTCTTTCACCCCCGTCGAGTACTGGCGCAACGTCTCCGATACCGCGAGAGACTTTATCAAACGCTGCCTTACGATTGACCCCCACGCACGCATGACCGCACACCAGGCTCTGCAGCACGCCTGGATCAAGCCTGACATTGATCCCACCTCTCCCGTCAAGGGTCCTGGTGATGGGCAAGATCTCCTGCCGACGGTGAAAAAGAATTTCAATGCGAGAAGAACACTCCACAAGGCCATCGACACAGTCCGTGCCATCAATAAACTCAGAGAGGGAGGTGGGCTGATGGCGGGCCACATGGACGGTGCCATGAGCGTGGATCCGAAACCCAAGCCCGAGATGGTTAATGGAAGCAAAGTTCTCAATGACCAGGGGCAGCAAATCCAAGGGGAAGAAGCGATGGGAGCGAATGTGCCACAGGGTGACTCAGATGCAATGGAAATTGATTCCAGAGGAAATGCCAGGGGCCAGACAGAGGACCAGATCCGACGGCAGCAGAAGAAGATTCATGACACGATGTCGGGACTGTGGGGAAATCAGCAAGCAGCTCGCGGCGTCTAAGATGTTTTCGGGCTCTGCAATGTACAATGACACCAAGGGGGACGGTTCCCCTGCGAAGGTCAAGGTCTCAAAGCGAAAGGCAATCGAATGGTTCGAACATTGCGATGTCGGGAAGGTCTTACCCCATAAATATCTCATGAAGAGCGATGGAGTAGGACTACTGGAGTGCGGCGGATTGGCGACGCTGCTGTAGGTACGATTATGAGGAATCCGGTCTTCAAAGCGATTGAGATTTTGGATGCCATACATGATGAAATTGACCTCATGACATGATTTCTTACACAAAGACGGTATAGATCCCGGACTACATAAACAACAAGGCGCCCTCGAATGTGGCATCAGGGGTATCATTCTCGATTCCAACGCAGTTATCTATTTTTTTGGGCTACATCGCCTGCTTCACTAGTTGGCCGCCCAGGTGGTCTCCGCATCGTTTATCATGAAGGCCATACCATTCCGAGGATCGTACGCCATGGCTCATGCAGAAGCAAAGTACCTCGTACACCGTTTCGAACCCTTCACCGACTTATCCATCCATTCATTCCCCTTGATCCATCCCGCCAGGAGCCTGTTGTCTTCCCATCTGTCTCGCCTTCAATAATTCATCACACAACAGCAAGTTACTCGCGATCCCCTGGCTGCTGGCAATACTGTTCCTCAGTACGCGGAACCCATCAAACACGCCTTCTTGCACGGGATCCATTGGTTCTCCAGTCACAAGATCTAATCCTACCACGTTCCCTTCGGCAAATTCATCCTGCAGGGCGGCAAGTGCATCTTGGATATCGTGTCCGGAATTTGCGGCAAGAGTCTTTGGTATAATCAAAAGTGCATCTGCAAAGGCAGCAACACCCCACTTGGCTTTGCCCTTGACTGTTTTTCGCACCGCTTCTGACGAAAGGTGCGCTGCGGCGGCGATTTGAAACGATCCAGCACCGGGCACGACGCAGCCGTCCACAATAGTGTTGTATACACTTCTTAGGCCGTCCCTGACCGCGTCTGTGATTTGAGTGATGCTGTGCTGGTTGGGTCCCTTGATCAGAAGGGTAACAGACTTGGGATCTTTCACTTCTTCCACAAAAGTGTATTTCTCTTCTCCCAGTGTCTGCTCGTACACCAGTCCAGCCCATCCAAGCACCGAAGGATCGAGATCATCTACACTATTCTGCGCCTTTCCACCGCACACGAGTTGAAGGCGTTCCATGTTCCGTCTCTTTGCGCGCCTGAGCGCCAGTATGCCGTTTTTGACTAGCACGTCCAGACTCAATGGATCGATGCCTTTCTGGTTGATCACCACAAAGGACTTCTTCGGATCAGATCCGCAAACTTCATTCTTCAATGCCACGATCTTCTTGAGCTTTTCATCAACGAAGCGACGCTCAGAGGCGACGAGTTTGTCTCTTTGCTCGGCGCTGCTGTAATAAAAGCCGGAGTTGATTTCAGACTTTTCGTATTCAAGGGAGACGTTCAACGTGAGAATGAAAGCGTTTTCGACTCGCTTCGGCATGTCGGGATGTCGCGCACCATGATCCAACACTAAACCTCTGATCAAGGTGGTGTCAGAACTTAGTTTGTGCTGCAGTTTCATGATTTCGATCATGTGCAGGTCGGGTTTTTGGGGGGGTCGATAGATTGCTAACACGGCGTCGACTATAGACGGCGTCAACTGTGCAGCAAGGGCGGCATTTATCTTGGTGGAAAGGGAAGTTTTGGCGATCGAGAGGAGTAGATCGCGGTCGATCTCACGGGTGATTTTGAAAGTATCGAGGAATTTGAGAGTTTCGGTTTTGGCGATTTCGAAGCCGTCAGTGATTACTCTTGGATGCAAGCCTTCTTGAATGTATCTGTCTGCTTGCTTCAGGAGTTCACCTATCAATAGCACTACAGATGTTGTGCCGTCACCAGTAATGTCATCCTGCGCTGTTGCGGCTCGAGCAATCAAAGTGGCTGTAGGGTTTTGTATCGACATTTCTTTCAGCAGGACCGCTCCGTCTTTTGTCAGCTTGATTTGACCCGACCCGTCGACCAACATCTTGATTGTGCCCGAGGGTCCCAGGTTCGACTTGAGAACATCTTGGAGGCCTTCTCCCGCGTTGATGTTGATTCGAAGCGCCTCTGCTCTACGACGGGATTCTGCTTTGGGGTTCAAAAGCTGGGTTGCTATTCACAGTCAGATCAGGAGTCGCCAGAATGATCAGTGGACTTACCAGACATCTTGTGGTGGTTCAGATCATGCTGGAAACACGAGACTCGGAAATGTTTGAACTTTCATGACAGGCCGACGTACGATTTCATGCCAAGAACCCCAACACCGCCCTGGAAGGTCTGCCGAACAGTGCTTGCACCAATATGTTGCTCACGCCAAGACTAGAATCTGCGAATCGGAGCACTCTCAACGGTGCACTTGTGAAGCTGCGGAAATCTTTCTTCGAGGAAGTCTAAAATTTCGCGGTCAAATTCACAGTCTCTCAGCACCTGTTAGTTGGGTATTGATAACTGCCAAACTTTTGACTGCCCAGCTCTCTGACTCGGGCGGCCGACGTGAATTGTGCAGGCTGCATCTTATAGGAGCATTGAGAGTCGAGAACATTTCCTTTGCAGTGAACAAACTTCAATTTCATTGCGTCCCCTCCTCCAGAAGATTGCGCCATGGCCGATTTTCTCCTACACGAAGGCCCCATGGGCTATTCTATCTTCAAAGTGGTCCACCAGGCTGACACAGTCGGCAATCGTCTGAAAGAGGTTCAAGATAGCGTCCAAGATCTCGCACGATTTGGCAAAATGGTCGATCTCGTCAGCTTCTTACCATTCGAGTACGGCTCCCACTACCACTCAAATGCAGTATAGCTAATCGTGCCTCAGGAGCGGGAAGCAGGCACTTTCAGAGTTAAACGATATTTCCGAAGGCATCGCATCTGACTTTCTCAAGTCTTTCCTCGAACTGAACCTGCCGAAAGCCGGGAAGAAGAACAAAGTAACCTTGGGCGTTTCCGACAAGATTCTTGCTGCAAGCATCAAGACAGCCTTCTCAAACATTGAGTGCGAGACTGGAGACACAAGCGAGGTTGTTCAGGACATGCTTCGGGGAATCAGGCTACATTCCGAGAAACTGCTCAAACAACTCCGGGAAGGAGATACAAACACCGCACAGCTTGGTCTGGGTCATGCGTACTCCCGCGCCAAAGTCAAGTTCTCCGTGCAAAAAAATGACAATCATATTATCCAAGCCATCGCAATACTTGACCAGCTGGATAAAGCTATCAACACCTTCTCTATGCGCGTCCGCGAATGGTATTCCTGGCACTTCCCAGAACTCATCAAGATCGTCTCAGACAACCACAAGTATGCCATGGTAGCACTATTTGTCAAGGATAAGAAGACCTTATCTGATGGAAGCCTTCATGACCTTGCCGCCGTGGTGGACGACGATGAGGAAATCTCGAAGAGCATTATCGATGCAGCTAAAACAAGCATGGGTCAAGAAATTTCGGCTTCGGACATGGAGAATGTGACGTTGTTCGCGGAACGAGTGGTCAGCCTTGCCAACTACCGGAAGACGCTGCACAGCTACCTTGTCTCTAAGATGGGCGTGGTTGCCCCGAATCTGGCTGCCCTGATTGGCGAAATTGTGGGAGCGCGCTTGATTTCTCATGCGGGCAGTCTGACCAACTTGTCAAAATATCCCGCTTCTACTGTTCAGATTCTGGGAGCGGAGAAGGCTCTGTTCAGGGCATTGAAGACCAAAGGAAACACGCCCAAGTATGGTTTGTTATATCATTCCTCGTTTATTGGAAGAGCTGGGCAGAAAAACAAAGGGAGAATATCACGGTTTCTCGCAAATAAATGCTCGATCGCCTCTAGGATCGACAATTTCTCGGAGACTCCATCTACAATCTTTGGACAAGCACTCAAGAAGCAAGTGGAAGAACGACTAGAATTTTATTCATCGGGGGCGCAGCCCACCAAGAATGAGGCAGCTATGGTATGTTGAGGCGATATCGTGATAAGGACCGCACGCTAACTTCGGGTGCAGAAAGATGCCATGGAAAAAGTTCTTGCAGAAATGGAAGTCGACAATCCCACTAAAACTGCCACCGATGGAGACGCCTTTGATGAGGAGTCAACGGCAGTGCGGAAGTCGGATAGCGCAAAGAAGGACAGGAAGAAGGAGAAGAAGGATAGCAAAGACAAATCCGCAAATCCAGAAGACACGGGCAAGAAGGATAAGAAGGAAAAGAAGCGAAAAGCAACCGAGTTGGACGGTGAGGGAGGCGGCAAAAAGAAGAAGAAATCAAAATCCAAGGAATAGTGGAGAGTTCGAACATGATTCTTTTCATGCAAGGCGTTGGCGGCCCTGGTTATTATTATGCTTGCTAGGGGAAATTGAGCCTGGCGAGGCCATGTACTGATCATTTGATGGCTAAGGATACGTTGGCCAATAGGTATCAAGCTGGCAGCGTGTGGGAGCCTCTCCAGGTTCCTTCTCGCTATCATGCCTGTATTTGGATCCATTCTTAGCTCACCAGCAATGGCTGTCGCTTTCGAACTCCTCTGCGCAGTGCAGTCCCTGTTCATGATCACTGACGGCAATTTTGAAGGCATTGGTACCTTTTATCAGCCTTTCCGGCGTCGACGTAACTTAGCTGAGAGATGAGGAGATGGTCACCGTCAGAATTTTAATTCGCGGAATATTTATTGGCCAAGGACAACGTATCACTGTTACATCTCACACATGTACTTGACTCTTCCTTGACTCCAAAGTTTGATCAGATCTATGTCGCTGCACAAAGTCCTGATAACTGGGTCGCTGAGACTCGCACATCTCCCTCGCTGGACTGCAGGATAGACTTGTGGTGGTCTTTGGTTCGGAATAAGCTCTCTATCGCTACCATCCTCCAAAGTCCGCTCAAAATGACCTCAGCTTCACCAAAGAGAAAGCGAGGCTACCCTCACCCACTGGACACAGACGCGCCTGGACTTCGGCTATTGAGTGAGAGCGACTTGGAAGAATATGATGAAGGTAGTCCTAGAAGCAAAGTTGCGCGAAAGTTCGATGACCTTGAAATTCACGGCGGTCACGATCAGGGAGACCACGACGCCAGCAGGGAGCAGAACGACCAGGTGATGGTTCCCGCAATATCATCAGCTGGAGAACTTGAACGAGACAGGAACTTTTCGACACCGAAGAGCGAGGAAATGTCGGAGAGTTTGACGGGCGTTTCTTCGCAACCTGGGACCACAGTGACGAAGCCGCCAGGGGAGTCTTCCGGCCCCAAATCTCCTCCGTTGGCAAGTGAGGTATCCCATGAGTTTTGGCAAGACTCCGAAATCACCGGGCATGATCCTAGCGACCCAAGCGACGACGGATATGGCATTAATGGGATCGGGTTCAAACCTTCAGCAGCAGTTGCTTGGTCAAGATCGCAACGGCGGAAACAACAACTGTCCGACTACAAGAATCGCGAAGCTCGAGAAGCAAGACAGCAGAGGAGTGAGAGGAGAAAGCGCGGGTTTGACCAAGACGATGGTGCGTTATCCGTCGAGTCCTCGCCTCGCAAGGCAGCGCGGGTTCATTTCGAAGACGGCTGAGGACTGCCAAATCTAAGCGAGGATTGATGTTCTCTCCAAACTCCGAACCCTGAACCAAACATCATTGGCGATCATACTGTACACGTTGGCTGCCCGGCAAGGCTCCGTTTTCCCCTTGTCTGTGAACGCCGCTCGCCGCGAGCTGTTGATCCCAAAACAAACAATACCTTCACCAGAATTTGTACCAATGCATCCTTCGTTTCCGTTCCTGCTCCTCAATATCTGCGGCCGCTGCTGCCCGCGCGGCTTCCTCGGCAGCCTTCTCCCGAGCTTTCTTCTCATGCAGCATCCTCATTCCCTGAACAGCCAACGCCATGCCTCTTGCTTCCTCTCGCCGTCTTTGATCGCACCAATAGTACATGCCGGAGGCCGAGACAGCAAATCCAGCGACTGCCAGGTTGGTAGTGACCAACATGGAAGAGAGTCCTAGCGTCAAGTCAGACCAGGGGGCTTCAAGTTTTCAGGGGGCAACTCAATAACCTCTCAGTATAAATCTTACACCTCCCACTGCGCCTCCAGAAGCTATACCGACAAGCAATGCATCTCTTGCGCATGGTACCTGATACCACGCGGGACCCTTTCCTTCGTATGAGAAGTTGAAGGCATCTCTCCAGGTTATCTCGGGAGGTTTGCCACCTGCTGAGTTATACGTTCCTCCGGGCAAGCTATTTGCGGGCTCCGCAGGATTGCCCAACATTTCCCACATTTTTCCAGCCTGGGTTTTCGGAAAGTCATGCTTAGGTTTGGGTCTTGTGAATGGACGGCCATCAGACTGGGGTTGTGCATCAGCAGGAGGTGTGTCAGGCTGCCGCGTATCATCCGCCATTGTGATGGATCAGTGTAGTGAATGCGTGATGATAGAGAAAAACTGCGGAGAAAGATGTTGGAGGTGGAGAAAATTAATTGACGTCTCGCGGTCGAACGATCCGCCCTACCCGCAACGCGCCAACATGTAATTGAGACGCGTCCCGCAACCCAAAGTTCGACACGCAGATTCAGTTACACTCAAGTCCTCAGTCGCCGTACTTGAGCGCCAGTGACCCTATTTGGGAGCATCTAACATGACTGGAGACTACCAGTAACACTGTTGACGAGGACACGCCTGTATCATTTCCCTACCTCTCGCAACAATGCCTGTCCGAAAACCGTCTCGATACGGTTCGAACGTGAGACTGGGAAAGGATGCCTCACGCGGACGACGAACCAAGACGATCGACGCCTCCTCACTGCGCGCCACCGAGGGAACCTCTCAGGATGAGAAAATCCAAGCCACACGGCTGGCAAACAATATCGACGATGCCATGGGCTTTCCCAGGTATGACTCTGGAAAGAGAAGAGTGGGGTGGCTCTACAACATGCACAGTACGTCGATTGAAGACCCGAGAGTACCGGGTGGTCGCGCCGGAGTTGATTTCTACTTTCTCGGAGAGGACGGTGAAAACTTTAAGGCGACGGTTGATTATGACCCGTACTTCTTGCTGGCAGTAAAACGGGGGCGAGAAGCTGAGGTCGAGGAATGGTGCAAGAGGATATTTGAAGGACTCGTGAAATCAGTAAATCGCATAACCAAGGAAGACCTACAAATGCCGAATCACCTCCTCGGATATAAACGAACATTCCTCCAACTCACATTTGCAAACGTCTCGGACCTGCTCACTGTCCGAAAGACGCTCTTACCCATTGCGGAAAGAAATAAAGAGAAAGTGAATGCGATGGATACATATGCAGAGGTTGCTAGCGCAGCAGCAGGTTTCGATGTGTATGATGAAGACCAGGCAAACGGCACTCGACTGAATGGGATCGCAGACGCCAGCGATTACATTGTGGACATCCGAGAATATGATGTTCCGTACCATGTTCGTGTTACCATCGACAAGGACATCCGAATTGGAAAATGGTACAATGTCGAGTCAAAACACGGCTCAGTCTCCCTAGCATGCCTCGAGGAACGTTTACAGCGCGCTGATCCTGTCGTCCTGGCATTTGATATTGAAACGACAAAGCTGCCTTTGAAATTTCCCGATCAAGTCATTGACCAGATCATGATGATTTCATACATGATCGATGGGCAAGGCTTCCTCATCACGAACAGAGAAATTGTCTCGGAGGACATTGCCGATTTCGACTACACCCCAAAGGCAGAATATGAAGGGCCCTTTTTGATATTCAACGAGCCAAATGAGCGTGCCTGCATTGAAAGGTTTTTCTCCCACATCAAGGCAGCTCGACCTACCGTTATCGCGACATACAATGGAGACTTCTTCGACTGGCCGTTTGTCGAGGCAAGGGCAGGCGTGAATGGTATCGACATGTACGCGGAAATCGGATTCCGCAGGAATAGCGAAGACATCTACCAGAGCAACTACTGCGTCCACATGGATTGCTTCGCTTGGGTTAACAGGGACAGTTACCTGCCTCAAGGGAGTCGGGGTTTGAAAGCTGTCACAGTTGCAAAGCTAGGCTACGATCCCGACGAGCTCGATCCCGAACTGATGACCCCCTACGCAAGTGAACATCCTCAAATTCTTGCAGAATACTCTGTTTCTGACGCTGTGGCGACATATTATCTCTACATGAAGTACATTCATCCCTTCATTTTTTCACTCTGCACGATTATCCCGCTCAATCCAGACGACACCCTACGGAAAGGCACGGGCACTTTATGCGAGATGTTGTTGATGGTCCAGGCATACCAGAAGAACATTGTGTTACCGAACAAACACAAAGAACCGAGAGAAGCTTTCTGGGAGGGTCATCTACTCGAGTCTGAAACATACGTTGGCGGACATGTGGAGAGTATTGAGGCCGGTGTTTTCCGTGCGGACATACCGGTCAACTTTGCCATCGATACGACAGCGATTGACGAGCTTTTACACGATCTTGATGCGGCCTTGAGGTTTTGCATTACCGTTGAAGAGAAAAAATCCTTGGATGATGTTACGAATTATGAAGAAATCCGAGCACAAATTGTTGAAAAGTTAGAAGACCTGAAGAATACGCCTAACAGAAACGAGCGGCCTCTGATATATCACCTGGATGTTGCTTCCATGTATCCCAACATTATGACTACGAATCGCCTTCAACCTGATTCTATGATTGCCGAATCAGATTGTGCTGCCTGCGACTTCAATCGACCTGGGAAGACATGTGATCGACGACTGCCGTGGGCATGGAGAGGAGAGTTCTTGCCTACCAAGAGAGACGAATACAACATGATACGCCGCGCAGTAGCGAATGAGACCTTTCCCGGAAAAGGCCCCAAAGCACCTAGACGAGCTTTCCAGGAATTGAGCCTGGACGAGCAAGCCGCAACGGTGCGAAAAAGACTTCAAGAATATTCAAAGAAGATCTACCACAAGATCCATGATTCCAAGACCATCGAACGGGAGGCTATTATCTGCCAAAGGGAGAATCCCTTCTACGTCGATACTGTCCGCGACTTTCGAGATAGGCGGTACGACTTCAAGGGAAAGCAGAAGGTCTGGAAGGGGAAGACAGAAGCACTGAAGTCTTCCGGTGCCCCTGGTCAGGAAATTGAAGAGGCTAAGAAAATGATCGTACTCTACGACTCTTTGCAGCTAGCCCACAAGGTCATTCTCAACTCTTTCTATGGCTACGTCATGCGCAAGGGATCCAGGTGGTACTCCATGGAAATGGCAGGCGTCACTTGTCTTACCGGAGCGCATATCATTCAAATGGCGCGTGAGCTTGTGGAACGAATTGGACGTCCGTTGGAACTAGACACCGACGGAATTTGGTGTATGCTTCCAGCGACTTTCCCCGAGAATGTCATCTTCACATTGAAAAACGGCAAGAAAATGGCAATTTCTTATCCTTGCGTGATGCTCAACCATCTAGTTCACGCACGTTTTACAAATCACCAGTACCAGAGTCTCGTGGATTCGGCCACGTTCAAGTATGAAACGCATAGCGACAATTCGATCTTCTTTGAGGTCGACGGTCCTTACAAGGCTATGATTCTCCCAACCTCAAAGGAGGAAGACAAGAACTTGAAGAAACGATACGCAGTGTTCAACCACGACGGGAGTCTTGCCGAGCTGAAGGGGTTTGAGGTCAAACGAAGAGGCGAGCTGAAGCTCATCAAAATTTTCCAGACTCAGATTTTCAAGTTTTTCCTGGAAGGAAGCACTCTGGCGGAAACATACGCGGCAGTGGCTCGTGTGGCAAACCGCTGGCTTGACGTTCTGCATTCGCATGGTTCCACGCTTGCTGACGAAGAGCTCATTGATTTGATTTGCGAAAACAAAAGCATGACCAAGACGCTCGAGGAATACGGCGGCCAGAAATCAACATCGATCACAACAGCAAAGAGGTTGGCAGAGTTTCTGGGGGATCAGATGATCAAGGACAAAGGTCTGAACTGCAAGTATGTCATTTCCGCAAGACCCAGGAATACACCCGTCACGGATCGAGCCATTCCTGTCGCGATCTTTTCGGCGGATGATGGCGTTAAACGCTTCTTCTTGCGAAAGTGGCTCAAGGAGGATCCAGCCGATATGGATCCCAGAACCGTGATCGACTGGGACTACTATCTTGAGCGCCTGGGCTCTGTAGTCCAGAAGCTCATCACAATTCCTGCTGCTTTGCAGAAGATCAGAAACCCCGTACCGCGTGTTGCCCATCCAGACTGGTTGCAAAAACGAATTACGGCAAAGGACGACAGATTTAAACAGAAGAAGATGACCGATCTCCTCGAGAAGAAGCCCCTTACCGAGCGCTCGGTTAATCTCTTGGATCATCGACTTCCTGCTAGCGGAGACATCGAAGACGCCCTCAGCACCCAATTTAAGCCGCAAGGACAAGTCACCAAATCTACAAAACGAAAAGCCTGGGAATCAACAAATTGCGGGCTTACTGATCCACTTCTGCCTTCCCCTTCGGATGCTCCATTGATCGATGAAGACTATCAGGGTTGGCTCCAGTTTCAGAAGAGGAAGTGGAAGTCACAAAAGCAGGCCAAGGCGCGACGACGTCAACTGTTCGGAGAGAGACAAAATGTTGCTACAGACTCCATCAGCAGCTTCTTCCGCAACCAAGCCGAATCGATGTACACTAATACCTGGCATGTTCTACAATTGTGTCAAGGGGATTTGCCCGGCGAAGTGGCTGCGTTTGTCATTATCGGGAAGAAGATCCACACGTTGCACATCAAAGTCCCGCGCACGCTGTATCTCAATCTCAAAGGGGAAGAGCTTCCAAACGTGGATATACCTGGTTGCGATGTCGAAAAGGTCAGTCATGTGCTACCGAATGGCCATCCATCAGTGCATCTGTTCCAATTAACGATGCCTGAGGAGACATATTTGCGAGAAGCAGAATCAGTATCGTTGTTGTGCAATCATCCGAGTGTTGAAGGCGTCTATGAGCGTCAACTGCCCCTGTTTATGCGCGCCCTGCTGAAATTGGGGAACATGTGCTCTTTCGATGAGAGACAGAAAGGTGTTCTTGGGAAAGGCCTTGAACAGGGGTTTGATCTAGCATCACTAGTCAGGAGTGATGCCCAGTCGACATACCTAGATGAGCCCGCCTCCTTGGGGTATATCTACTTGTATCACGTTGCTGCTGGTGACAGGAACGTATTCGCTCTCTTCTCCACCACCAAATCAGAGGCGCATATCATCGTCATGAGTCGCAGCCGCGACAGCCAGATGCCGAATGCTGACAAGATCTATACCGAACAATATCGTCAGAAAGTCCAAGATGAGGCTATGGTGCAGGCCATCTTCGACTATCAACCCAGCATAAATTTCAAGATCTCGCAAGTGACGACAAAAAGAAAGGCACACCTTGAACTAGCAGATATACTGAAGAAGTGGCGATCGGATGAGACGAAGCCGACAATCATCCTCCTTCAGACAACTGCGCACAAGAGCTTCGTTCATGATGTTCGATCCATCAGGGACTATCCTGTCATATTTCTGCCAGCAGAGCAATCTGACATAGATCTCCCCTCCTTGGCTTGGCGAGGCCACGCCATCAAGCAGCTGATCTCTCACTACTTCAACGTTTCTGGATGGCTGGTGCATCTGATTGAGCTTGCTCGGTACGGTGATGTACCTCTATGCAACCTCGAAAGGGACGACCCTCGGTTCCTCATCGATCTGGCCTATGCGCGGAGGTTGAAGAGAAGCAACATCGTTCTGTGGTGGTCTGATCAAGCTCGCCCAGACCATGGCGGACACGAGCGCGATGATATTCTGGGCCCGCTCAACGAAATAGTGGAGATGCCCTCGATCAACAATCCAGGAGCCTACACTTCGGTCTGTGTCGATGTATCAGTACAGAACCTTGCAATCAACACTATACTGACCTCGTCCATAATCAACGACCGCGAGGGTTCTACCGAGTCTGTTGCCTTTAACCCGACGGTAGACGAAGACAATCCGCTCAACTCCAACATGATGAAGTCGAATGGAGGGTTTGCACAGGCAGCGCTCGAAGTACTCCGAGAGATGGTTAAGTCATGGTGGGCAGAAGCTTGTCGCGGTCATCGACTCGCAGACGTAATGGTTCAACATTTAGTCCGATGGGTTGAAGCTCCTGCTTCCTGTCTTTACGATCGGCACCTGCATTACTATGTGCAGATGATGTCAAAGAAAGCGCTGCAGCAACTCATCACTGACTTCCGCCGGGTGGGTTCTCAGGTTGTTTTTGCGAGCCCGACACGGTTACTTCTACAAACTTCAAAGCAAGACGTCGAAAACGCATATGCGTATTCCCAGTACATTCTCAAATCGATCCAACAAAAGCCGCTGTTCCAATTCCTTGGGCTCGAGGTCAAAGACTACTGGGACATCCTGCTTTGGTACGATGCATACAACTACGGCGGTAAAGGCACCCCTACGGTTACAGAGAATACTACTCACTCCAGTCTCGAGATCGTTGTGCACTGGCAACTTTCACAGTTCCTGCCACTGCCCTTGCAACCTATTTTCGACGACTGGGTGATCATCTTCATCGAGTTCATGCAAAACCTGAAAAGGCCGCAAAAGTCATTTGAGAGCACACCGTCCACCATTCGACCTACCCAATTGCCCTCTCCATTCATCAGTTTGACGGAAGATCCAACCAGCACCGAGATTACAAATGTCCTGCAAGACCAGTTTTCCAAGCCCCTAAAGAAGCAAATCACTAGTTTGATTCGGCGTCAGCGGGAGGAATTATTACATCCCGAACTGGCCAGCGACTGGACATTTCCATCTTTGCCAGGAGGGACTCTGGAATCGAGTGATTCGCGCCATCCACGTGACCCAGTCCTGGAACTGGTGAAATCGCTTATGCAGATACTCTCTTTGTCGAAACCTCTTCAACTTGAAGCACGACTTCTCCGCAAAGAGCTCCTGGCCCTCTTCGACGTCCGCGAGTTTGGGAAGGAGGCCCGATTCGAAAACCCGAGCGCGAGTTTGCGCTTCGAGAATCTCGTCTGCGACACGTGTACCATGACTAGGGATCTGGATCTATGCCGTGACGAGGATGTGCTACCTGGCATAAACGAAAGTGGAGTGGAAGTGAGCAACAAACCATGGACCTGCAACAGTTGTGGGGCGGAGTACAACAAAATCATCCTCGAAGAGAAACTCATTGCGAGGGTTCAGTCAATGCTGCTGACATGGCAGGCACAGGATATTAAATGCAAAAAGTGTGGTGGTTTACAGGGTGACGACAGTGCATTTGCAGATCATTGTTCATGCGGCGGAGAGTGGATCGCCACCGTGGATGTGAGAGACATCAGGGGAAGGCTAAAGGTAATGGAACGGGTAGCGGGTATGTATGGGTTGAGGATGGTGAAGGCGGTTGTTGAGGAGGTCAAGACTATGTGTATGATTTCATGAATACATGGGACATGAAGGGTAGATTCTGTGCATTATTAACCCAAGGGTCGGGGAAGTTGAGTGTCTCGTGGAGATGAAGCAATACCTTACTCGCTGCACAGGCCTCCGAGGGCATGGTAGATGGGACGGAAAAATGCATTGTCATGAGCAAAAATTAACGATTTGGGCAATGCTCATGGAGACGAACGTATTTGTAACCACTCGCTAAAAGTGGCCGGTTGACGGGAGACTCTTCATCTGAATTTATTGATAGCCAGGATACTTGCATGGTGCATAGAAGTACGAAAGACCGACTGCACCTGGACACTCGTTGCGGCCACCGCAGGACGCTGTTTCTCCCACATAGCGAAACGTGCAGATATCAGCCACGAGAGTAAGGGGTATTCATCTAATCCGACAAAAATACTTCCGTCATGCGTCATGCGCCATGCGTGATGGTAGAAGTCGTCGACTTGCCCGGTGTGGAATCGGTTGGAGGGCATAAGCCTGCGAGGCTGGGAAGACGAGGCTAGCCGGTGCCAAGTCGAATGCTCGGTTTGAAGCAAGAGGGGCCCTTCCAACTCTTCGCTATACCACCGCTGTGCTGCTTTTTCAGATCCACGGGATCTGACTGTGTCTCTCCCTCTTGTTGTTAGGATCTCTCGATATTTCAGCTTATATTACCTATCTCTTTGCTGAATATTGAGCGGCATGGACCATTTCGAAATGCAAATGAAATGACATTACTTCCCTTAGAGACTCTCCATTCCGCCATTCTCCTCGCCGCAGACTGAATCGAGTCAGCACTCGTCATCTGGACTGGACGTTTCCTCCCGGTCGCTTATTCTATTCCCCTCTCCCGATCATATTTGTTCGCCATGGATGGCACGGCGCAAAACCGACCGGCGCAGCCTGCGCCGCAACAGCAAGCGTCCTTGATCCGGCCGGAGCAAGTACAGAGACTGCCTCAGCTCAACCCAACCCAGAAACAACAGTTTGAACAGGGCGTGAGGAGGTTTTGGGAGATTCTGAACACCACACCCCAAACGGATCCCAAATATACCGAAGCATATACGAACCTGGTCAAGACTTCGAGCCAACTCATGGCGGGGATGAAGCAATGGCAGCAACGAAAACAGATGGCTCAACAACACGCAGCACAACAGCAGGTCTCGGCACAGGCGCAGACGCAACCACAACCGCAACCACAGGGACAGGCGCCTAGAGTCACAGGTCAACCTGCTCAGCCACAAGCTGGCGCGGGACCAGGCCAGAGCGGAGGTAGCGCTGTACAGTTCAGTCAGCTCTTGCCCGAGATCCAACGAAAGGTGAACGAGCAACACTTCTACTACCCTCCGGCAATGACAAAGGGCACCGAGCCTGCTGAAGTGTGGTTGCGCGAGGCAAAGGCCAGGTTGGGGCAAGCCCTGCAGAGACTTCAAGTCGCCAAGCAAAAGAAGGCCGAGTTTCAGCGTCAGGCTCAGCAGCGACAAGCGACAGGGAATCCGTTGACTGCAGCAGAAAACGAGGTTTACAACAATAAGATTGCGCAGTGCGATCGGGCGGTCAATGAAAGTACCTCGTTTATGAAGAAATTCAACGAGCAGCAGGAACAATTTCGAGCCGCGCAACCTCAACACCAGTTTTCAAAACAAGCTGTGCCCGTTAGTGAAGGAGCAGACACTACTGCCGCACCCCTTATGCAGCCTGGTGTTCAAGGCCCTACTGCCCATTCCATCAGTAGTGCTGTTTCTGCCGCACGTAACCAAGCAAGCGCCTCACAAGCTCAAGCAGGCAGTCCGACGGCACCTGCACCTCAAGTCGGTCCCAACACTGGCGTAGGCACGTCTCACACTCCCGTTACAGCGACCCAGGCGCAGTTTCCCCAACCTGGTCAGGGAGATAGCTCTGCAGGAGCTCGTCCACCGTCCCATCAAGGACAAGCCATGCCTCCTTTGCAACAACACGCCACGTCCGCGGGCATCCATCCGCACCCGCTCAACACAAGTATCAATGGCATCAAGACAGCAACTCCTAACATTACCAAGAATTTACAAGTCCCCGAGCCTAAGCCTGTGGCGATGCCTCCGTCCCGACCAACCTTGACCGGCGGCGCAGGGGTCGGGCTGCCCGGTCAGCTTGCGCAGCCTGCCATCACTGCGTTGCCTGGATATGTGCTGGAGTCGAGCGAGGACGGGAGAATTCTATCTAAGAAGAAATTGAATGAGCTGGTGCGCGAGGTATGCGGCCCAGGCCCGGACGAGCAGCTCGACCCCGAAGCCGAAGAAGTAAGTTGGTGATTCTGATGCCGATACTGTGTGCTAACTCTCATCAGATATTCCTCGCTATTGCCGATGACTTCGTCGATGAGCTGGTGTCATCTGCGTGCAAGCTTGCCAAGCTCCGTGGTTCGTCAAGCCTAGAATTGCGCGACATTCAGATCGTTCTCGAGCGCCAATACAACATTCGTGTGCCGGGAATCTCAACCGACGAAATTAGAACCGTACGACGGCCACAACCTGCGCCAGGCTGGGCGCACAAGATGAGTGCAGTCCAAGCTGCCAAGCTGACAGGAGGCGCAAGCGCTACCGCTGCGACTGGCACCAATGGAAAGGAGAACTGAGCATGTTTACTCTGAGATGAGTATGTAATTACGATTCATGAAAACGCCCAGGCGTTCGAAGGGTGGGCGATGCCGCCGGGGTCACAGATGGTCGTGGGGGTATTTGTATGGGACGACAGGGACGGCTCACCTTTTGCATTGCGGGAAACCAAGAGACCAGGCTGGCGCCCCGGAGGAATTTCTAGACATTGTGATCGAGGCATTATTCGGATGTGAGATACCACACGAGGTCAGAGGTCCAGAGGAATTCGGCGTCTTCACATATCCACGGGTACGTACGTTCAAACCCAGTGTCCACAGATTGCTAGGGAGCGCCTATCAGCGCAGTTTGAAACGGTGCCCTCAATGGCTGAGTGGTGATGTCTGATCTCGTACTCGGTACAGAGTACACTGTACTTAAACCGCGGCGTGCCTAAAGCTTCAGATGTAGCCATCGAGCTCAGGGACCGTCTAAGCTAGCGTGCCCCTTCCACAAAGTACCAAGCAGCTAAGATGAGTCTGAAAATGCTGCCCAAAACCTGATGGATCCATGGGAATTGGGCCTTGGGCGAAGGAGGGCAAAGGAGGCTGGGGGCGTTTCCTCGCCTATTGCTAGCAGTATTGTGAAGCAGTGCCCAATCAACGAGGGACACTGCAGCGACGTCATCAGCAGCCCAACTCACTGCCACTCTAATTCCACCCCCCCCCAACACTCACTGAGTAGCGTGATCGTCACAATCTTGCTGCGACTCCTCTGTAAGACTCTTCATATTGATCGTCGCCCGCCTTTCGACAGGAAATCCTCTTTCACTTGCTCAACCATCTCGCCAAGGGAGGAGTAGACGGTCTCTTACCGTCTCGCCCGTTAATCTCATTCCCCTAGGTCACCGACCGTCCAGGATTACCGCCCACCTCCCTGCCGTTCGGCCAGGCCCATTTAGCAAACATGTCAAGGTATCGCGGCGATCCTCGCTATTCCGAAGGAAATCTCCCTTATCGCGATCCTGCTCCTCAGAGATGGGATACCGAGCGCTTTGTTCGTGAACGAGAAGTGCGTGCCCCGGCTCCACCGGTCATTGACCAACGCCCTCCATACGCCGATTACCCACCCCGCCGTGCTCCCGTCTACGAGGACCAGAGATACTATGAAGAAGACCGATATGGCCCTCGCGGTGCTAGCGAACGCAAATATTTTGAGGAAACCGACTACTACGATCCGCGAGCGCAACGAGGTCAGGTAGTCCCATACGCCCCTGAGAGACCACCCAGACCGGATCCCATCCCACGACCGGGTATCATCCGCCGCCAGTCCAGTTTGGACACATTTGACCGCCGGCCAGCCAGACGCTTTGACGACTACGACGACGGCCATCGTCCTCCACGGGGACTTCCTCCCCGTGAATTGATTCCCGTCCGGCCGCCTTCGCCTAGACGGTATCCTCGATATGACGAAAAGTTTTACGAGGATATCCGTGTACAAGACCCTGATTACTACGGTGATGATGGTTTCAGAGAGTACCGTGAGCGCGAATGGGTCAAGCGAAGAAGCAGGAACAGCAGCCCTTCCCCTGAACGCCGTACAGTGAGGGAAGAAGAAATTATTGAAGAGCGCAGGGAAGAGATCATCGAGGAGAAGCCATACCCACGACGAGGGAAGACGCGTATGCCAAAAAGACTGGTTCATACTAAAGTGCTTTTTGATTTGGGCTATCCGTACTATGAAGAGGTGAGAATATTGAGCTGTCCAAGTAATCTTGCCGAAACTGACTATTGCAGGATGAGCGAACCATCATCATTGAAAAGGCGTTGGGTCCAGACAACATCGATGAGATCTTCACTAAGAGCAAGGAATATCGCGAGAGAGAAGGTAAGCTTGTTCCATCAGGCATTTGGGAAACGGATATCTGAGAGTTGCAGTGACAACAACTCGCCTCATCGAAGCTCCGCCGACTGTGGCCCCTAGCATTCGCGCGCCTAGCGTGCATGGAGGTGAAATCATAATTGAGAAGACGGAGAAAAGAGAGGAGATCAAGACTATGCCACTTGCAGAAGCACCCCGCTCTGTGCGCGATTGGGATGGCCTCTCAGTTCGATCTCCGTCTCCAAAATCTCATCGATCTCGGTCTCGAAGACGCTCGCGCCGTGGATCTTCTCCTGAAGTCTTCAAGGAGACCGTTGTGGAAAAGAAAGAAGTGATCAAGGAAGTCTCCCCAGCACGAACACACCGATCTCACACCACGCACCGCCGAGGATCGTCTGTCAGCGATGAAACCATTATCGAGCGAAGAATCACTCGAGAAGAAGTCGAAGATTCAAACTCGGTTCACGTGGGCCCCCTCGCACTGGTGGTCGATCGCAAGCCACACCGCAGTGAGCGGGATATCAAGGAAGAAATCCGCAGATTGGAAGCTGAAAGGCGAGAATTGAGGCGCGAGAGACGGTACGAGCGCGAAGGTGGGGAGATCATCAAGATTGAGCGGACGCGTGACAGATCTCCATCACCTCGGGGAGAAGTCATCATTGAGAGAAGGGGCGACGAGGTTCTCGAAGTCAAGAAGGATCGGAGAGGTAGGATGTCGTTAATCGTCAAATGAACAAGTTTCCTTGATTGACCGGCGTTGGACAGGTCGCTCACGCTCGGCTGCCCCCAGCCCGGCAATCATCAAGGCCATGATGGCCACTCTGACCTGAGTGATCTTCCAGGAAGCACACACAATAGGTGCTGGGCCAGGGGCTTCCAGGGGGACTTCAGGCGCGGATGAGATATCAATTGCCAATCTGCGCCAATCTTTCTGCTCGGCTGAGATTGATCTACCTGCGACAAAGTTTCGAAGATAGTCTGCTAAACTTGGACAAGACATACGGAATGGACTCCGACGATTTTGAGAAGACAGTTCGCACGATTAAGCATGTTTGACGAATTTCGTATGTGGACTTGCTAGGCTGTGGATGGTGAATTCAACTTCTGGAATTTGGATAGATACGAGTCGGGTGATGATTTACCTTCAATCTTTCATGAGAAATAAAATCCCCATGTTGAATGCTTCTGGGGGCCGGACGGTCTTGAGCACTATAGTGATATCCCTGTAAAGGGGACCAGGCGAGCTTATGGGTTGCCGTAGTAGTGAGGTGCACATGTGAACAGCGTTTCCCCACGCCTCCGGCGCCCGTTTGACCGATGTCAGACTGCATCTCATCCATCCCTCTTCCTAATCCAACAAACAAATCGCTTGCCCAGTCCTCAGTCCATTGTCCTTGATTTCCTGTACCACATATTCATCTTGAGGTTCGCCACCATTGTTCTCTTTGTGGTCTTAAGCAAGCTACTGCAACCATGGACAAGTTTTCTGCGTTTGGGAAGAACATCAGGTGCGGCCCCTGTCGATTGAACCCCGACCAAACCACTCATCATCAATCCCACTGACCTGTTTCTTGCTGTCAGTTCGGCATTCAATTCGACAGTTACTCCGTCCTGGCAACGGAGCCAACAGTACCTCAAGGAGCAGTTCGGAAATGCCGAAGACAAGGTCTGTCTTATCAGACAACACTCGATCGATACCTGGGCGCAGTCCACTGACCGAGGAGATTTCAGACCCAACTGCCTGCAGACTACACCGAGCTTGAGAAACGAGTCGATGCATTGAAGCAAGTTCATCAGAAGCTGCTTGATGTAACGTACGACTTCCAAAATCCAATGCTGTGATCCGTGTTGACAGTCGTCTAGCAAGCAATACCAGAATGAAGCCTACGACTACCCACCCAACATCCGGGAATCCTTTGGCGATCTCGGTCGCAGCATTTCGGAGAAAGTCACACTTCTCTCCAAAGCTCATAACGCCTCCGAAGCCGCAACCGCCTTTACTGCTCCTCCCTCGGCAAAGCCTCAACCCAAGACTTTCAATCATGCCATTGCGCGCGCCTCGCTGGCGAGTTCCCAGCTTATCAAACAATCTAACACTTCGGGGACTGGCGAAGATCCACTGGCAAATGCTTTGGAGAAATATGCGCTTGCGGAAGAGAAAGTGGGCGAAGCCCGATTGGCGCAGGACCAGGCCATTCAGTCGCGATTTCTTGCAGGGTGGAGTACCACACTGAACACAAACATTCAGTTCGCAACCAAGGCGAGAAAGGCCGTGGAAAACAGCCGCTTGCTGTTGGACAGCACCAAGGCGGCCAAGAAGAGTCAAATTCAGGGTCGTGGCATGAACCCGGATGATGAGACCGCCCTGAGCGAGGATGCTCGTGCTGAGATTGAGGCCAAGGAAGACGATTTTGTCTCGCAGGTGGAGGAAGCCCAAGGCGTAATGAAGAATGTGAGTCTATGCCAGACGACGAGCTGACACTACGATGGAACTGACCTGAACAGGTTCTGGACACGCCCGAACCCCTCCGTAACCTTGCGGATTTGATTGCTGCGCAACTCGAGTACCATAAGAAAGCATACGAAATTCTGTCCGAATTGGCCCCAGAGATCGATCAACTCCAGGTCGAGCAGGAGAGCAACTATCGCAAGAGCAGAGAGGGTGCTTGATTTTGGCTACCAGAGGCTTCGGCCCGTGTACTTTGTGTTTTGTTTCGGCTACTACTGTCTTCTCAGCAATGGGATGGATGGGACGGAGAAATTGTCATCAAACTTAGATCCGCATACCAAATGTCATTTGTTGCTGTTGTTGTACGCGTAGATGTTGATGTCAGAGCCGATTCTGTCGGTTCCCTGACCTGCAACACGTTGAATGCGCTTGCCGAAGATTGCCCGCTTTGGCTTCAACCTCCGTTTCCTCACGTCGAAGCTTTATCCTTGTTCGACTTGCGACCTTGGTCCTGCTCCTGCAATCGCGAGTATCCAGCGATCGCCTTCCGACACAGAATTGCCCGTCTCTCCAAGTGACCGATCACCTGTTCAGTATCCTCTCCGGCAAAGCCCCTCGCCAACCTTGGGCAATTGTCGCGGTCGTCTCCAACGACCCCGGTAGGATCGCAGCTTCCAATAACTACGCCTATCACTCGAGTCTTTGAACCAAGAAAAGAAGGACCTATACAAGATGGCAAATGGGTACGTTCACATCATACATGCACAGAGTGTGTGAGCTCAAGATGTCGCCTTCGCAAACTCGAACCTTCCACACATCTCGCTCAGCGACACAGCCACTAGGGACAATAGTCACTACACACGAGGACATGAGAGCTGGATCTCGGGACAAGAGGAGGATGTCGGCTCTGAGAAGATCGAGTCTTGGAGTGGTCTTTTGCTTCTACGTTTCAGAGAGCGACGGATCAAGCCCTCGGCGCTTCCCAGGAGCAAGATGACCCTCCACCTGCCTACAGTCCCGGACGTCATGATCGATGGCCGAAAGTCGTCTTTCTCAAAACCTTCTGCTCTATGCTCTTATTTCACCTTATGTCTCAATTTTGTCCTGCTCCCACAGCCTCGACAGTTGCACTGCCCCTCAGCTCTGGTAATAAAGTCAGATTTGAGCTAACGTATCGACTCTTATGGCAGGTGGTCTATTCTGATCGGTCTGATCGTCATTGTCGTCCTCAGTGTCGCTGCGTGGTTCTTGAGCCCGAAGGGTGAAAATCAAACGTATGTTTCAACTTTATTTCTTTACATCGGTCGATTCGCTCTTCTCCTTGTCAAGTCGACGACGGACGTTATGGAGCAATAGCAACAATCAAGATACTCAACATCCTGGCAGCGACTTTCAAATTGTTTGGTCGGCTAATACTGACTTTCGTTACTCTAGCATATGGAGAAGCACCCTCATTCTAAGCTTTGCAAGTTGTTATATCATGTGGGGTATGTGCCCTGTTCTTCATCGCGCTTTTCCTGCTCGCCACTCTCATGGTTGCTTGTCCACCACCGATACCAATGCCTGAACCTCGCCGTTGTCACTATATTGCGTGATGAAGATGAGCGCACCAGGCAGTTCTTCAATCTACTGAAAATCTCTTCTTATGACGGCATTCGCTGACTCTGTGGTCACACAGCAATAACGTTCTTCGCTCAATGGCATCCTTTAATCGAACCGCGGATGGCGAAGCTGAGGCATGGATATGCCGGTGGGAGTTGAGCAAAATCAATCTCCGTAAAATACTCTTGCGGCTCACATCCAGTGGATTCGGCTGAGTTCGGAAGCAGGGCACTGAATGGGAAGATTCATCGCAACTGGATCGTTGCATTCCCGTGGTTTTGCGGCATGAAATGGATGAAAGCTCCGTCTATAGGATACTACCTCATGGGTAGAAATGGGTTGCTTGCCATGAGGCGGCGCCCATGCTACAGGACAACCTGGACTCGACTCCTGGGCATCAAACGACCTCTTCCCACTGTATTCTACTGGCACATACTAGGACTGTTAGACCAACAATCGCTGGGAGAGCACAATCGGACGTTCGATCGTGATAGGCCAAGGTAGACTCTCGTAGGGTTACAACAGCTATGTACAATACAAACAACGCTCAGTACCAGTGAGGTCTTCTGGACGGCGGCTCCATGCGAGAAGTTCATTCCTCAACCGAAGACCAGTTCCGTTCCAGTCAAGATACGGGTGACCGTGGAGGTAGGTAGTGTTCGTTGTGGAAGCGTGGCACACGGCGGCTTTTCATTTACCCATCATTCAAGCGAATGGCTGCCCCATGCTCTAAGAAGGCCCAGCGGAGAAGTAGTCATACAGAGAAGTAATTAGCAGGCCCCAGGCCCCGTCCATCCTTTGGACTAGGCTCTCCAGTCCGCGATTCCTTTAGCCCTCTTTGCTGTCCCCCGTCCCGCCCTGTTCAGCCTGGCCGTCCCCCGGCTGCGGCTCAACATCGAGATCATCCGTAGTCTCCTCAACTGAGATTCTCACCTCGTCAACTGGAGGTCCAATATCTTCCTTCTCTGTCTTGGCTTCACCTCCATCCTGAGGGCCCTTGGAAGACTCAGCTTCGGGCCCAATCGATGATGGTGCATCTGCCCTAATTGGACTCATTCCCTCATCATGCTCCACACTTTTGTCGTCGCTATCCTCTGCACTCCCGCTAGCAGGCGCCTCCCTCACCTGCACAGTTGCTCCACTGCCGCTCGTTTGATTTTGCCTGTCGGAGTTGATTGAGTTTTCGTCATCCAGGTCGTGGATATGCCCCAGAATTGCCCCAAGCACGTCGCTTCCGCTCGTCCTTATCGAGCCCCCAGAAGGGGAAGTGATTTTCTGGCCTCCCTCATCTCCAAATGGGTTGGTTGTTTGTTCAATGGGGGTTTCCACGTTCACTGATTCATCTTTCTTGTTCGCGTCTGTGGTATTGTCGACGGCGCCGAGATCGACATCGGCACCTGCTGTCTTAGATGATGCGTCCGAATTTTGGGTACTTGTATGCGTGGACAATGGGTCGATATCCTCCGTTGTGCCGGTGGGCGTGGGATCCTCTGGAGCGCGAGGCTCGTATTTTGGCACAGTGGAAGTGATGTCAAGCTTCGGTAGGAGCCGCTCGGGGGAGATACCTTTATTTCTGCCCTTCCCTGTGTCAGCCCCTTGTAGAGACGAGGCTTCCCTTTCCGATGCTGTCATGGCATTTGACATCTCCACAAGTTGAGGTGGCGGGGATGGGTTTTTTGGCGCCGCTGTACCGCTTTTCGAGTGTTCTTCTTCGTCTTCTTGGCCCTCGGCAATAGTGGCAACGTGACTCCCAGTGCTTGGGGTGTGTTTGTGTCTCCGTGTTGTCGCGCCTGTGCTGACTGTCGTCGTGGCCGTCGGCGTAGTAGTATCTGATAACATGGATTCAGCGGACGGCTCGTCCACCGCTGAACCCGGCGCATGGTCTCTATGGAGTATTTGCGGCCGTAAACCGCCTTCGCGATCAATAGTGGCTTCATGGACTCCTTCAGCTTCGGTTGGAATTGTATAGCTGTCCTCGGGGATAAGATGGTACTCATCACAGACAACCTTGAAAAGTATGTATAACCCATATGTTGCTTCGACAGACCAAAAGACATCACGATGTTGGAACCAAGCATGTGCAAATATACGATACACCCGTCGAAAGATGTTGGTCAGTTGCCGCATGCTTTGCATGACATTGCCTGCTTCTGAGCCAAGCGCCAACCGCGAAGGGAAATGCTTCGGACTCGTCAGAACATTCGCAGCCCAATCGAGGGTGTGGTTGCAATAATCAATGGCACAGCATGATTTGGGAGGCTCGTGTACGGCGCAGAGATACTGCCATTCACTGGCGCGCATTTCAGGGCATGTTTGAGCAGAGCAAGGCGGGTTGTCGTTCATCAGGAATATTGAGACGATATTGGCTTTTTGAGTGAGAAATCGACAGAGCTCATACAGCCACAGGTTCCGATCCACGAATTCGTTGTCGTTGATCTGCGGAGGTGTGGCGAGCTGCAGCGCAGTTTCTTTTGCGATTGGAACGGTATGTGTAGACTCCGGAGTATGGGTGAGGTGAGCGTAGAGGGATTTGAGATGCTCTTGAAGCTGGAATGGCGAGTCGAGCTGACTCAATGGCACTAAAGGAGGACCCAAAGCCATGTCCGCAGCTTTTGTTCCCGGCCTAATCCTCCTTGCTGCTCCTTCATCCGGTTTTGACGTCGCTTCAAGCGACAATTCTTTGGAGAGGTCAACACCGGGGCTTTTGGGACCGAATTGGACCTCTGGGATAGGTGGAGGAGACGGTAAGCGGGGAGAACTTGATGGCGAGACGCCAGACCTCGAGGGCGTAACCGCAGTCATTGTGCATGCGAAGGGCAAACCTAGGACTCGTCGACAGTCAAGGGTATATTGCGGTGATTTCGGCGCTTAACCTGCGGGTGTGGTCGCTTCTTCAGTCTGGGAGGGGAGTGCCTCCGTCACTGTGTATTGCCGTTCCTCTTTGTCAAATCACTACCAGCTCTCTTTCGTGGCCCTCGAACTCTGAGCAGCTCGCCGTTGACACTGGGCAACGCGCAATAAGCTGGAATCAATGCGGTCGCGTCGGCGCACAGAGGAGGCTAAGAACGGTAGTCTTGATTGATTGGAAATAGCATGGCCTGCATAGCCGGTTCGAAAAACCCTATGCAATAGTCGGACAGAATGAAGAGGCGAGAAAGATCTGCTTCGGGGTAAGTTAGGTGTCTTTTGCATGTGCGTGGTGAAATAGCTTGATAGCCAGTCGAACTGAGGGCCGCAGGCGTTCGCTGCTTCTGCGAAGCAGCGGTTCGGATGAGTTGCCATTTTACAGTTTAATAAGGTTTAAGATCGACAGGCAGCCGGGACGCTAAACCTTAAAACCTTGTCCCATTGCGAATCCTCGGTTGATATTCCTCGTCTGTGCAACGGCCGGGGGTGGGACACAACAGAGGCAAAACGGATGTACGGTACATAGTTAGATGTGGTAGATGCCTTGATTTAACCATCATCTCGATCTTTCGGATAGCTGGGACCGCCTTAGTATGGTATAGACTGTGCACCTATCGAAAGGTGACAGACAGAAATGGATGACGACGAAATACCTGAGCTGGTCGAAATTTCTCAGACCAGCGAAGCCACCGGCACTTTGAAGGATGGGCCTGATAGAAAGGTGCCGATCACCATAATAACCGGTAGGAGCGCTCTCCGGGGGCAAGTGATTTGCGGCATCAGTTGACGGGATAACCTACAGGCTACTTGGGGGCTGGCAAGACAACTTTGCTCAACTATATCTTAACAGCAGAGCACGGCAAGAAAATAGCAGTCATTTTAAACGGCATGTGGTTGCCCTCCAATCTCCAAAGGAATACTCCGATCAACTGCTTCTATCTCCGGTCAGCCTTGATTTTCGATGATGGATTTTGTCTGCTAACGTCCTCACGAGAGCCACAGAGTTCGGAAACACAGCGGATATCGAAAAATCCCTCACCGTCAATCAGAACCACCAGGCAACAACAGAATGGATCCCCCTCGCCAACGGATGTATCTGCTGTAGCGTCAAAGACTCGGGGGTGGCAGCACTCGAGTCTCTCGTTGAGCGCCAGAAGGACTTTGACTACATCCTGCTTGAGACTACGGGCGTTGCGGACCCGGGGAACATCGCACCTATGTTTTGGCTCGATGAAGGACTAGGCAGCAGTATCTACCTCGATGGCATTGTCACAGTAGTCGATGTCAAAAACATCCTCAAAAGCCTTGACGAGCCCGCACCAGAAGAGTTGCCACAATCCGAGTCCGACGATCACCACGACCACGGCCTTCCTCTGCTCACAACCGCTCATCTCCAAATCTCCCATGCGGATGTGATAATCCTCAACAAAACAGATCTTGTCTCTCCCGCACAGCTCTCAGCTGTTCAAGCCAGAATAGCTTCTATCAACAGCCTCGCGCGCATAGTCCCGACGGAACATTCTCATGTCGTGAACCTCAGCGGCACCATCCTCGATTTGAAAGCATACTCAACTTTCCCCTCGACCTCCATCACGTCCAACACTGCCGGCAACACAATACCCGATTTCGCCTCCAGAGGCCATTCTCACCTAGACCCCACACTCTCCACAGCCACCTTCACCTTGCCTCCTTTTGATCCGCAAAAGCTACACCTTCTCTCGGGCTGGCTGGAGGTCCTGCTCTGGGACGCCGAAGAGTCCCAGCTGGGATGCGATCGAAAGTACGAAATTCATAGAACAAAGGGGCTGATAAGGTGTACGGACGGGACAACTAGAGTCGTACAGGGAGTGAGAGAGATTTTCGAGATCATTGAGCTGCCAAATACGAAGAATGATGATGCTGGGGGTCCAAAGGGGGGGGAAGAGGATGAAACGACTGCAGGAGAGGGGAAGATCGTGTTCATCGGGAGGAATCTGGATTTGATCACGGAATTGAAGGTTGGCGAAGATGGCGGCTCTGTTTGATATGGGAGGGCAGATGTAAAAAGCATCTAAGATACAGGATTGTGACTCCAAGAATAGACAAAGTTGCAAATTGCAAATGCTATTTCATGATCGTGTCATAGGTGATAATAAGGTGAGTTCTGTGTCGCCTCACTGGTAGTATGGAAGTTGGAAATCTGAAAGCACCTCACGATCTTCACTGGAGACCGTAGCAGAGAAGCGACTCCTGAGAGACATCTAGCTTTCCGTGATCTCTTGTTCGGCATCCTCAATGCCCACGATGCAGTCCATGAATCGAAACTAGTCAGTCCGCCGTGCTGTGACACAACAACCTCTTGTCCGTCGGGTCAAGGGTTTGGTCGCTGCTGAATTGGTTTGGTTTTGCAACCACGATCCTTTCCGATATCATCATCAACGCCGCCTGATGCATTGTACATAAACCCGAAAAGGTAAAAGCAAAAGCTCCCTATCCCACTTGCTTCGAATGCAATTCCAATCATCCGAGAAAACATCCTCTGCCGCGAACAGTATGCATCTTCGAGTTGCGTTGCGTATCCAAGAGCGAAAAATTTCCTCAAAGCTACAATCCACCCATGCATACAGCCAAGCTGTGGTAACATTTCGTGTCATCGTCGTCATCGTCGTCGTCCAATTTCAGTAGTCCTGTCGTGATACATTTGCTCATGAGTGCATCCATGTTGCTCCATAGATTGTCATAAAGGAAAGCAGGTAAGTGGCTGCCTCATCACCACATTATTTCATTCCTCGTATTCATAAGACGCGTACTCGCCACACGTTTTGCCATGGGCTTATCCTTTACCGAGACTGGTCAGGATACCGACCCATCATAGCGCCGCGGAATTCGATCGGCGTAAGCGAAAATCAATGCTTCTTGAGGCGCTTCTGACGATTAAGTCTGGCTCTTGCCCAGACAAGAGAATCAATCCGTCATGGGACTGTGCAGCTGGTTGATGGGATGGAAGTGACCTTCTTCCTCAGCCGGACTCTTGTCATGCTTCACTCGCCTGGTAGCCCCGGTTGTGATGTATCGTCTGGTTTGGGGTTAACGGATGGCTCTTTCCCTGGCGACGAAGGGCTTATTAGGCCTTTTTCCGCCGTATCTGTGAGAGGAGCAAAGAGCCCAGGTTCCTTGGAGCCAATAGCATCGTTGCCAGTACGTGCGAACAATCTGGCTCCTTCGTGTTGTTCACCGGGCCTGAGGGTCCCCTCAGCAAGCCGATGGTCATCAGCGGGCAAGGATCTGTTCTCTGGCTTACTTGTCTTGTCTGATCTTGATGGCAATTGATTGTCCTGAGCGGCTGATGGTATGAGAGGAAAATCCCTATCGTCACCGATGTCGGCGAGCGCTTCACCATAGCCACTGTCCATGAATGGAAGGCTCGGAGGTTTGCTCGTTGCTGTGCTTGAGGGTTGATCCATCGTTTTGTGAGGAATGATATTCCCACAGATAGATGCAACAGAGTCCCGATGATCCCTGACAAACAAGTTATGGTCGTTGATGGAAGTGCCATAGTCGCTACTTCGACAAATGTGGTCAGTCTCTTTCTCCAATTTCTGAACATTGCGCTCCGGATTCTCAGGCGTCTGCTCTACTTCCTCGGTCGCCGCCTGCAGTGTCTCTGTAGGAGTCTCTGGTTTCTGAGGGTCTTTGTCCACTAACTCGAGCATCTGCTGAGTATTCGTTGTAGTTATATTTGGGGTTTCGGGGTGGTTTTCAACTTGTTCAGGCGCCCTTTGAATATTGTCCATCGGAACTCCTGCATTCTCTGGGTCCTCCGTTGAGGATTCCAGGTGTACTGTAGAGTTTGTCAAGTGGTCTGTCGACTCCTCTGGCTTCTCCATCGAGCGTTCTATTGTCTCCACCGAATCCTCCATGATATGCGTTGGATTTTCCAGGTCCTGAGGCACAATCTCAAGGTGCTCACCGGGATACTGGGGGTAGTTCTCTGGGCGACCGAACCCGTCCCCTGGACTTTGCGACACGTCACTGGACTTCTGAGGAACAGTCTTCAGGTCTTCTTCGGTCGGATTTTTCACGTTCTCGGCGTTATTCTTCAAGTCCATGGACCCATCATTCAGCTGCTCAGTCGAATTTTCCAGGCATTCAGAATTTTCAGGCCGATACTGGGCCAAAGTAGCAAGGATATCCTGACTATTCCTAGGCGTACTTTCAGATGTTGCAGAAGTTGCAGCCAGAAGCGAAGGCCTTCGAGCCGGTAGAGGGTGAAAAATGTCGGCGAAGTTGGTCGATTCGGTAGCACCGTTCTCGGGAAGGTGTTCTTGGTCTGGAAAGCTACTCTCCGCTTGTGGAAGCCCCTCTAAGATCTTCAATTCTTCGTCGTTGAAGGTGCGGCGCGATATCAAATAAGGATGACCGTCGAGTTCGAGCTCATCAAATTCTCGATCCATCCCTGGAGAAATAGCCACGATGTTCGGTTCCAGGTCCTCGGTTGGGGTGGGGCCCTCCTCCTCGGATTCCCAATGATGTCTCTCGTTCTTTCCAAGATGTGCATAGTTAGTGGGTGGCCTTCTGCCTCTGGGTCTATCGTAGCCAGAGGTCTCACTCTCGAACTCATAGTTTGATGACTTCGGATACGTAAACGTATAGTCATCTCTTGAACTTTCCGGCGAGTAAGGAGGATCCTCGTGCTGTTGAACATTTGACCTCAACCGGAGTATGTCGTCGCGCTCAACCGCATCCGCCGGGTCTATGTATTTCTTCATTGTACGCAATTTCAGTGCGGGTCGCTGGTGCGGCGGGATTTGTTCAGATGAGCTGGAGATCCTTGATGGGAATAGCCCGACCAGTTCTTTGGCGGATAATCGGTCCCTTGGACGGGAGGATAGGCAGATCCGAACAATATCTTGATACCAGTTGGGTACGTCGGAGGGGAATTCTTCAACACTCAGAGGTGGCACATGTCGTTCCGGTTCATCGTCATCCATTGCCAAAGCCCACAAAGTCATCCCGAGTTGGTAAATGTCGGACTTTTCGCCGATATACATGGAAATCCGCTGGTTGCTGGCAATTTTAGTGGCAATTTCGGGGGGCTCCCACCCAACAGGGCAACCTCGCCTATTGATATCGATGATCTTGGCATTTCCATCCCCATCGACGACGATGTTGGAAAGTGTGAAATCACCTTGAACGTAACCCTCTTGGTGTATCTCACTGAGACCACGAACTGCCTGCTCCGCCCACCTACAGCGATCCTCCCACGCGATTGCACCTCTGTGGTCGTAAAGGAGATCCACAATCGCGCCCCTTTCCGCGTAGCCGATCAAAAGCCCCTTGACGACGGATTCTGTGTCGTCAAGGACAATAGCTTCGAGCTTGATGACATGGTCCGAATCATGCAGTGCATGTAGAGCATTGATTTCATACAAAAATTCGTCCACCGTATCCGGACCGGGAATTTCTTTCTTGATGTAGACTGTACCCTTGTGTAGAACCTTGTAAACAAACCCGGACAGGTGCGAGTCGAAGGTCAGCTCACTTTCTCGGACCCGCATAGGTCGAAAGGCTTCGTCGTTGAGGATATGGGAGAGTGTAGTTTTGGGGGGGTATGGAATGATCTCGTTGACATCCTCGGTCACATGGACATGGAGACGGCCATCCGTAGTCTCCAACTTGAGGTTAGTGACGGTGTCATAAAATTGGATCTCAGGGAGCGAATCACGTATTGACTCGTAGATTTGCATGCTCTTATCCCGTTGAAACTGGAGTTCTTTGAGGTCCATCTCCAGGGAACCTGGTTCAGCATTGCGATAGTCACACGAAATGGTCACCCGCCGCCAGAAGTTGGGAGTCTGTGCATATGTGACGAAGAACTTTTCACGGTCAGACTTATCTCGGAAGTGCATGCTGAGGTTGAGGATCCATCGGTGATCAAGTTCGTCCCTCAGTTCGGCCTTGTCGTCGGTTACAGGCATTTGAGGATAGTGGGAGTCATCAGAAGAAGTTCTCGAAGGGGGCCGGGGGGGTCGGTAGTCGTCTTGAGACCAGAGGTCCTCGGGCGGGTCGGGATACGTCGAATCCAGAGACGGGGGAATGGCTTCAACGGGAGAATCGCCAGCGCCGGCATCGACCCTGTTGACTCCAGTTACTGCGGGTGCAGAGGTCCGAGCCGAATCCCAATGGGGTGGCGAAGAAGTCGCTCGTCGTCGGGGTAAGCTTATAGAGGCGTGCCTGGTCGAAGAAACGGCTCTCCTCTCAGCATGACAAGGCTCGATGGGTAACAATCGATCTCGCCTTTCTGAATTCTGACGTCGGAATGTGGCCTGCCGGGGGAGACCGACGGCGAGCGGCCTGGTGAAGGAATCTTGTTTGACCGAATTCTGTCTGTCAGCCCAGGTCTGCGGCCACGGCTCGTCGTCGGAGCACTCGATGGGGCTTTGGGTGGCGTCATCTTTGGCAAAGAAATGTTGGATCTTCTGCCACATGCCGAATCTAAGCGAGTGTTTGGGATGTTGGTGATGCGGCTCGGAATCGACTTGTCTCAGTGGATTGTGTTCGGCATGGCTTGGTCGAATGCCCATTATGGCGGAGGTTGCCTTCCAGTAGGACGCTGATACGAGTGAGGGGCACAATCGTCCTCCACAATCGAATCAGCGGCCTCCGCCGAGTCGGGCAGCACAGCAGCGTAGAGAACTCGGCCAACAGCAATCGGACATTGAAGTTGTGCAGGCAGTATGTGTCGTTGCGTAGGTGTGATGTGTGACGGTGGTACAGAAGAGATGGAAGAGGTTTTGGTGGGAATTCGGAAAACCGGTGGATGTTATTGGTGATGGGCCATCGACCGGGGTGCGAGAGGTGGGAGACTTCGGAGGCTCGGGAGGTAGAAGAACCTTGGGGAGGCGGTGAAGGAAAACCAGAGCACCAGGTGTTTTGGAAAATATCGCACCCGGTGAGCCCGCCCGCGCTACAAAGAGACTCAATGTTTCAAGAAGAACGAGGGTGGGATATTGCTGCTGTGCAGTGTGGGCTTGTCAGATGATATGAAGGACGAGTGCAGGAGGAGAGAGTCGGGTTTTGGTCTGCAGCACCGCAGCTGAGTGGTCTTGAGGTGCGGACCGAGTATATCGAATGGATCTCAGGACTGGTCAGGGCGGCCGTCGTCTGACCCACGCTTGTTGTCTGGGTACCGCAGTACAGGAAGTCGGTTGGAATGGTAATTGAGGAGGCAAGGATGCTGGGAGCGGGTTTGATGGTTTTATGGCGGGTTTCGAAAAGGTGGTTCAACGTGGTTCACCGCTTAAGCAAGGCCACAAGGCGTAGGCTACAGCAGCCGAAGCTGGTTGTGGTGCGGCTGCATGAAGCAGGAGGCAGGAGGTTATCGAGGTATGGAGAAGGCCAGGGCCAAAAGACAGAAAAAGAGAGAGAGATAGGAATAGAAGACGAAGAAGTGGAAGAATGAAAGAGATGTCACCAGGCTCACTGCAAGTTTTCTATCCTTCCTTTTCTTTTTTTTTTCCTTCTCTTTGCAGTCTCCCTCGTCTTTTGTTCTCGAGCGCAGGCGATATTAGATGGGTTGGACTCAGTGTGGGCTGAACTCCGCTGTCAACACTGGGACGCCGGTATATGGGTTGAGAGGCATCACTTAACTAACCAACGGCGAGGATTCTGGGTACAGTGTGCCGCAAGCCTCCTAAGACGGACATTGTGGTCAGGCTCGTTCCGGGGCTTGGGGGCGCACGGGCGGGTTGGTAGACGGGGGGCTGGGTGGGCTGGTGACTGGGGGCCACTGTTCGGCCACAACACAACTGCCAACGCAAGAGTTGGATCAGTGCGAAGCAGCCAATGGGGCCTGAAGGCTAAAAGGGCAACCACTATAGGCGACGGCTGCTGCCCTGGATGCCCGCTGCCCCGTGCCCCCGAAGGCCCAAAGGTCAACTAGGACCGCTTCGAGCATTGAACCCATCATGATCCCTGGGCGCTACGGCTGCAACCTGCACGGAGTGAGTCTTCGATGCATCCGCAAACTCGGACGGTAGCTTTGGAGGCTCATCTAGGCTGCAATTCCACCCCTTCAGTAGGCCTATCAATGACTCGAATGTGCTTCGACTCAACCTGCTCGTGGAAGCCTTCGATCGTATTTCTACAAAAATGCAATTACGCGAGCTGCTATGCGATGTAAGGCAGACACCCAGCCAGCAGTTTTGAGACCTCCTCGTCCCCCTGCTGCCCTCCCACCCCGGAGTTTTTATATGTTCCCTTCCGTCTTCAGCCCTACTGGTAGGGGGATGCCAGCTCTCACAGCTGCCTTTCTGGTTTGTACCATCACCACGCCTCTCCTCATGCTTCCCTGCCCCTGACGCCATTCCCAGCTACCCTCTTCTCTTGACGCTCTGGGTTCTCCAGATTCCTCCGATCCACGGCTCCTCTGGGTCTTGAATCAGCCCCCAGTTGGTAGACCAGAAGAGGGCGGCAAACGACGCGTGCAGTTGAACATGAACTAAGACGGCGCACCGGGTACCCTATTTTGTGCGATTGAGAACCAGGGAGCGCCCACACTAGCTGCGGTGGAAGCCCAAACATGCATCTTTTGGAAGGCTTCCACTCCTCGAATCCTGCCGCTACTGCACATTGTGCAGGAGGCATCCAACGCTTTGCATTCGGCCACTTAGAGATTTTCTGGCAATGTTCTTTTCTCCAATTTGTCGCCTCGTCGTTGGGCTGCAATTTTCCTGATGGTTTCAATTTCCATTGGCGCTTGCTGCTCCTATATCGCCCTTTGGGTTGACGTTTGGTCTCACAACTCGCTCTCACCATCTTGGTCAAGCAATTCCATCGGAGATGACATCGGAGCCATGATCTCATAATCGCTGTGAAGCACTCACTGTTTTGACTTTCCTTCATCTGGGACCCATCATTGACGTGGCCGTCCTGATCAAAGCCATCCCTGCCCAGAATGTCTCGACATCGACTGACCTTCCGCATGACCGTTCCATCATCGGTGGGATGCTCACTCCTCAGGTTCCCAAGACGTTATTATAAGTCGTAAATTGAGGTCACCGGACTCTGGTGGCATTTTTGTCTGTGTCACACTTCGGGCTGCTCTGGCCCATGATACACACCGCCCATTCCCCCTACCTGCCTTGCTTTGTCCCCGTTGACGTGGGCTGACCATGGTCCTAATGCTCCGGTGCAAGCCGCATCCAGCTCCTTCATATGCTTCGTGGCCCTACGCGTATATCGGAAAGTGGGAAGCGTGACGCCCAGATTGAGATGGAGCTTTCGCATGAGGTACGCAAGCCGTGAGATGCTGCCCAATCTCATCCTGTCATCTCGTCTATTACCAAACATGAATGTCCATTGACCCGGTCCAAACTGGTGAGCGGCTGTTACATCTCTGTGGCCAATTTGAATTTGGAACCTCGATCAAGTGTCTTGTGGCGATATTGGTCGGCTACGTTCGAGGACCTTCATCCTCGAATGTGCCCAAAGTTTCAACCTCATCCAACAGAAGGTACCAGGGTCAGACCTCTTCCCCCATTCCAGGAGGATGCCACCCAAGCTTTCACATCTCGGTGACAGAGCGTCCGTGAAATGCAGCTGGGCAACAGATCCCCGTGATCAGAGTAGTCTGCATGATATGCGTGGGCTGCAGGGAGATCACGAGGAGTGGTTGGGGACACATAGCTCCACCAAAGCTTCGAATGGGATTCGCTGTTCCATTGGTTTCTGCATTTTCTTCATGAAGCTGGACGTTCTGATCAAAGATCCTCTCGATTCCGCGAGTCCAGCCAGCTCGGATATCTCTGCTTTCGTCTCGGCGAACTGACCATACCTAGGTTACAACGACGCAGGCACTCTGCCTCAGGGTCGAGGGTCTTCGGGCTCCGGGACTCAGCTGGGATGCTCGAGGGCGCAAGTTCCATTCTTGGACGACAACCCTATGGGGGACTACTGCTAATTTACAAGTGTCACGATGTCTCCGTTCCCGGACAATTTGAGTTTCCAGTCCATCAGCTCATCCTATTTAGCGGACTTCGTTCTCGACGTCCGCTCGAATCTCACCGGGATGGCTGCCAAAAACGAGTCGGGGTTGTACACGAGGAAAGAACTTGGTCGTCTAGACCGACTGGAAAGCATTTGCACGGCTAATTCTGCGGCTGACATTGGCGTCATTCGCATTGGATGTGCGTCATGAGAGAGGACAGCATCGACGCCGGCATTATGTCTTCGCTAAACCATGCGCTCGGGTCCAACGGACAGTGGATTCCTACTGTGATGAACGCTCAGCATGCCTTCCAGGTTTGCTCTTTCTTTGTTCGCCCGCCATCCGCATTTCTCCCAGCATGTGGTCTTCCCTTAACTCAATTAGGGCCCTTGGAGGAAAAGGAATTTTTGCACTACCTGGCTGGCACGAAAACGTTGTCAAAGGCTAGGAGAGAACTGACTCCACTGCCATAGGCTGGAAGTACGGGTTGTTGGAGGACTACCCTCTGCATCCACATCGAGATTGTCGTTTGACGCTGTTGAGGCTTTCTCATTGCACAAGGGATTTTGACTTGCGAGAGGACGAGAATGAATGCTCATCCCTTGGTCTATTCACTCTCCATCCACTGTCTTGGCTCTGTTCCCTTGTTTTTCACACAATAGACACTAGCCCTGGCGGGGAGAGCGAGGGCTTCGGAGTCGGAGCAACATGCGTAGGATCAAGCTTGATCTTGGAGGGAGAAAAAGATGTCGCTGGTGAGATTCGCTTCTATAGTTCAGATGGGTAAATTACATGTCGGCATGGTGGATTCGGCACCAGTCCTCACCTACCAGTACACCTCTAGCCTCCAACCCCCCCCCTGAAAGGGTGCGCACCCGGGCGAATATTTGGTGAAACTGCTTTCAATACCATTATTGCTCCCATCCAAAGGAGATCTCCTCAGGGAGTATACTATACAAGATAATCCCACGTTGCCTGTTCATACCCTTGATCCGCCCTCGCCTTTGTGGATAATCCATATCATATCTTGCATTCCTAAGCCGTCACGGTCGAAATCTGAGCCTAAACCCGACATCTCCCCATGGCGCATCACTCTTTCTCGCAGCCCTGCCTTGACTTCCCATCCAAGACCCTCTCCCATCGCCCTCGGATCCTTCTGTCCTCACCTGCCTCCCATTCTGCTGCACCACGTAGATAAAGCGTGCTAATGTGTCGGCTTCGTTTAGCTGTTGCGCGTTGAAATGTTTGCGCACGGCGCTGGCGAGATTTGAGGCAGGCTCACGAGGACCGAGGTTTGATGTGGTGGAGGACGAGGAGGACGGAGAAGTGGGTGTGCGATGAGCCTGGCCCTGGCTTGAGGTGACTTCGCTAGTGTCGCCCGTTTGTGCAGTGGAGGGGTTGTCAGTATTTGCTGTCTCTTTTGATTTGCCCTTCTCTTTGTCTCTGTCTTTGGAGTTATTGTTTTTGCCCGTTCCACTTGTCTGCTGCAATTGACGTTGTTTGCGTCGTTGAAGTTGCTGCTCATGCAGTTTTCGTCTATAGTGGACCGCTGATGGAGCGCGGAGAGCGAGTTCGCAGGATTTATAAGTGACTTCGGCGTGTGGGTAGTTGAATGCTGCAGGAACATGTAGACGATGCGCAATGCGGTAGGAACGGAGAATAGGCACTGACATTGTTGTCCATTCGGTCTGTTGGCAGGTCACAGGGTCGTTAGCTACACTCTATCCCTGCCTTTGAGAAGTTTCTGGCTGGATACAACATACTCGAGGAAGGTTTGGGTCTTTGTCTCCTTCTGTAGCTGCGGGCGTGGCAGAGGGCTGAGTAGTGCCATTCCCATTCACCGGGGCTTTGTTCCCTGCGTTGGGAACGTTAAGTCCTGAGGCGAATCGCTTCCCCTTGGAGATGCCCGAGCCGCTGGTTGGCCCTAGACCAAATCTCTCTTTCTGGTTTGTAATGGTACTTGACGTCTCCGATCTCGAGTCATCGACATTTCGTCCTCGAGCAGGTGGCATCGTGTTCGGCAACAAAATTTCTGACACAGCATGAGAAGGTAGGACGGCTGAGAGGAACTGTATCAAGTCCCTTCATGGAACGCATAGAATAAGATTCTCGCTCATCAGAGTAATAATGTCTCGAGAAAGCAGGACATTGGTCGTGTAGTGGCGGCCGCTGCTCGCAACCTCAGCGATGAATCCAGCGAGGCCAGCTCAGGGACAACGCGCAGGCGAAAATAGACGGCTGAATGGTACGTCATAGGCGCCCCTGCCCGTTTGCCCAAAATGGAGAGCGGCAACGGCAGCACCCGCTCCCGCGTTTCGTTCTTGGCAGTGGCATGACAGAAAGCCGTGAGAGCCTTGCAGCCAGAGGACGGCGGAGCGAGAACTTCCAACTTTCGTCGCAAGGCCTGTTCCTGCATATTGGAACTCTTATTGCTGCTGGGGCCCTCGAGTGGCAAATGTCGGAGTTGCTATGTACCTACTTGTATATATGCGCTCTGTTCTACCATGTGTCTTTTGCGCAGGTATAGTAACTTACCTCGCCTCGTCTTTTCAAGCCATGTTATAGACGGCAAAGGTGGTGCAGGAAATTCGAGCACCGATATCTTCACGAGAACAGGATTGAAGAAACACACCTGTTTCAGGCACTAGCTATCACGGCGAACCGGACCCAAGTCCCATGAACATTGCTCCCGAGTCTGCCGGAGTCGGATCCGACAACTGAAGCAGCACGTTAATCAACTCTTTCCCTTCATTTTTTCTTCCTCCTCCTATTTTTATGGCGTGTTTTCATGTCGAGTTTCTGGGGTGGTCCTCGCACTGGATCTCACAACATTCCCAAGTGCCAGTCACTAGAAACAAGTCACGTCCACTCAGATTCAGGAATGATAATTGATGGATTGGAAATCTCTGCTCGCTTTCATACACCCATGCATCAAACGATGTCAACTGCGATATTTCATGACGAAACTCGTTCCGTCCTCTTGTTGCATAGCAATGGGTTTTGAGCAGCCATTCGCGAACAGGCAGGCCAGAATATCGAGATCAGGGGAATGCCTCCCTTCAACTTTAGGAAATGGGTGAGTCAAAGGTAGAAACACTCAGATCTTTCAAATCTCGACTGTTGAGAACTCCACTCTCCACCCAGTGGACTCAAAAGTTGTTTGATCAGAATCGCCTCGCCGCTGCGATATCAGTCGTGGGCAGAAATTTTCTTCTGGGATGAATCTGTTGAGCACTGTGACGCCGCCGCCGTCGCCAGCTCGAGTGTTCATCAGGCATCCATCAACGAAAAGACGGACACGCTCGCCCGAAGCACATGTGGAAGTGGATCGCACATACTCGGTCCCTGACGTCAAGTGGAATCTGCAGCGCACATGGCAGTTTCGGATTTCTGCAGCTGACAGTGAGATTGCGCTGGCCCGAAGAAATGCCGCCCCATGTGAAAGAAATTTCTTCGAAACCTAAAATTTTTGCCCATTCCAGATGTTCCTTGAGTCCGAGAATCGCATATGATTTCTCATTCCCTATCACACGCAATGAGCCCCTGCAGGCTTGTACAAGCCTGGACGCCATGCGAATTCGCCAAGAGCTGCGCCCATCAATCCGTTGGACTAAGGGGTCCACGGAAATGCCCCCCCAGCAGGAGATCCCGATTATCAAATCGATCACACCCGGTATAAGCTACCCGAGCGAATTTTTTTTGCCCAGTTCCTTTTCGCCTTTGAATTGGACCGAAGCTTTCTGCAAGGAAAAGTCCCGAGATGACAAGGGGTAGCCAATACGACGCGGTCTGTCAGAGTCAGTAGCTGATGAAACTTGACGCATATCGCTCCACTGCTGATGGCGACGGTGTCGTGGGTAACTCTCCAGACGCGGCTTTGCCCCGAGAGGTGACCAAAGCGAACACCAGAACTTGATCGAGACCGGTCTCTACATCGTCCAATTCAATTGGAATAGGTCCAGCCCGGCTTAGAGTTCACAGCCTGACATGTGATTGACTTTTTTGAGAAGTTCGCGGGTGCACCAAGGGGGGAAGAATCGACGCAGGCTCTGACAGAAAACCGTTGAGTCAGTCGCTCGCCGGGTTGAGATGTATGAATGAATGACTGTGCAATGTAGATAGCGGGCAACGCCCGCATTTGTGGCACACTCCGAAGCTGATATGCCATGTCGCTGGAGATCGTTTCAACATCCGACAGAGCGTGGTGAGATCCGTCTGGTTTGAATGCTCCGTACGACCCATAACAATGTCACCAATCTGGAAGTATCAATATCGGCAACCGTAGGGGTGTGGCTATAGCCTCTAGGTAAGCGACTCGTGGCTGCACACTACCATCAACCGAGAAGACCGGAAATTTGGTCTTTCTTGAAGCCAAGCCGACCCAAAGGCATGTGCGCTCATCTTTGGTGGTAGACGAATGGAATGCTGTTCCAACTCTTCAATACCTGTGTGCGTAGCGTCCTCGAATTCGGTGCCCTGCGAGAATGGCCAAGACGAAGAACTGATAGAATGCCAGACATGCCGATCCTTCTCTCCGTTCCGTCAAATCGCATTCGTTTTCAAAACCAATTTAATAGAACGCACCCGGGTCGAGCCAAGAAAGATATCCCAGCTGGAGCTGACCGCCAGGCTCGTCGACCTCAGACCTCAGCATGCAAGAGCTCTCCGCAGCGAAATCCGGCGGCCAGAATCAGGCTGAAATCACAGCTGAGGATGTGAGAGTCGTGCTCTTCTCCGACCTGTCCCCATCGGTGGGGTACGGGCAGCACAGTCAGATCACTCCATGTATTAGTATTACCTTGGATTAATGCCCGTGACACTCTTCGAGACAAGCCCGCAACGCTGTCTTCGTCACTTACTGCAAGGTTCATGTTTCTCTTTTCGCTGGATGCATGTCTACCAATCCGCCAGATAAGCCGGGTGACTGTACCGACCACAACCATCGAGATGACCAAGGTACTAGGCACGCCATGCTGAACACCTAAGGGGCGCTTAATTGCACTCGACACCGTCGTCGTGACGTCGAAAAGGGGGGCAACTTCCACAACTTTACAGGAAAGGTACTCCGTCTGAGGATCGCCAGCAGAAAGCTCGATATTTGCATCAGCGTACAAGCGATCTTGATAAGCATCACTTGGTTTCGACACAGGCTAGGAGTGGGGATGGACGGGATTCGTTGTTCGACTTGGACATGCTATTGCTGCATCGCGTGCCACTCGCCTCGGACTGCACCGATATCCCATGCAGCTGTGTGAACTCCAGAACCCTGTTGGCATCACTGTGACGCGACCATGTGTGAGAAGGAGCAATATTCTGGGTTACGTTGCTTTGTTGCTTCGCCATCGACGCTTAAAGAGATTTGTGGAGAAGTGGGAATATGCCGTGGCACCTCAACCCACATGCTTTTCGGGTCCTTCTGGCGGTGCATCTCTCACCAATTTATTGGGCGAATCCATCTGGTCGAATCACAGACGCACGGGGTATCGATTCCTGGGCGATACGCAGATATCTACGGCGTACCTGTATCTGGTAAAATATGGAGCCGGGAACGCGTGGGATGGAACAGGGCCATCTACGATTAATTTTCTGCGCCCGTTTTTGTTCTTTGGATGCAATGTATCAACCGGCTTGTTGGCTGTGTTCCGCCGTCGGGAAAGAAAAAAAAAAGAAAAAGAGCTATCATGCCAGATGTTGGAGTCTTGGAAGACATGATTCACAGCTGAAAATGGAGAGTTGCTGCCTGATGGATGGCCATGGTGAGAAAGTCGTTGAATCCTACTTCAGCAACCCGCTCCGGCCCTATTGACATATGTGGGGACGTGATCGAAGGAGCGAAAATCCGCCGTAGGTCGTCGATTATTTTCCGTGGGGAATTCTGCCAAAGTGCCTTTTGTCTCCCTCGTTTTCGTTTAAACTCTGCCATGCCTCGCAGTCGGCTATCCGGCTCCTAGGCCTGACTCTAGATAGTTTTGGAAAGGAAGCAAAAGAGCCACGCCCTCACGACAATGTTGAAGACTGTACTGGGGTTCGTTGCATGTGCCATGCCTTGCTGGGGGGGGGAGCCATCGGTACGTACTCCGTATCTCGTGGAACCGGGGTGATAAGGCCGAGATTCAGCCACAAATTCCTGGTCGGGCTGAGTTTGGCCACTGAATTTCGCCAGGAGCCATGCCTTCTTAATCCGCCCCATTCCCCCCGAGGTGAAATCATCATCCCCTGCAGGTGATAGCAGAAGCCTGGGACAGTGGTGAGCTCCCCCCAAGGTGACCCGCCACATGTCGCCGAAAGCACCAAGCCCCCGAGACAGTGGAAAGAATCCACCAGGAGTCCTTCGTAAACCCACCCCGCTCGGCCGGTGAAGCCTAGTGGACAGTGAACGAGTAACCGAAATTTTGCTTGTGCCTGAAAGCTGAGGTGATGGTGGGATGCGCCTCAGAGGGTAGTTTTCGACGAGGCGGCACTGCTCCTTCTGAGTCAAGCCACAGCTGCCCCAGAAAGATTGCTGATAGCAAGGCCTCCGCGACTCGGAACCCCTTCTGGGGCGTTCTGACGCGTTCCATGGCTTCACCAGACTAGGGATTCCGGAAGTGGCCCTATAGCCTAGTAGGCTGTGGGCAGCTAGCTCCGACGGTACCGCCGAGGTCTGGTTCGGATTGCGCCATTGATAGACGGTTTAGGTCACTGAGTCGGTCAGCACCAGGTGCCCACGGCATTATTGACTTCTGGCCTTTTCGGCACTGGGTGATTACTGTAGTGTACCTACGAGTGTGTTTGCAGAGGTGACTCTGTGGTGGCGACTCGGGGCTAACATGGAAAACGGCAGTGACGCCGTCCTTCAGGGCCGATAGATAGAGTGTAGGGAGAGATGAGTGTTGGCCAGATGGAATTATGGAGGGGGGTTTCAGGAAAGTGCTCATGGACCAGCACACAGAGTTTCGCAGTGCCCGATATTCGCGTACCGCGGAGGGCTGTTTGTGAATCGGCTTCGCACTCATTATTCCGATTGAGAGTACACAGGACCACGTCCAACATTCCCGATGGTCCATGTCACTCGTCCGGAATCTCCTTCCAACAGGTTCCGAGTTTTTATCGTTGGGCGGGATGTTCTTGAATTCTTTCTGTCAGACCGACCCGGGTTCCGAGTGCCTCGGATGAGCCCTTGTCACTCTGCGCCAATCTCATGTGGCATGGTACTTGTGTGCTTCCCCATCATTTTTCCCCAATACGGAGCGTCACGCCGTACCAGGATGAAACAGTATCCTTGATTCTTTCCCTGGGAGGCATGCCTCAGACTGCTGGGTCAGGAAATAGGCGGCGAGGACCAGAGTGAGCCTGAAAGGTGACATCAAATCTCGCCGGGCCGCCAGAAAGAGAAAAGGCACGAGAGATCAACCGGTTCGATACCGGAATATGACTTCCCCCAGAAAAAGTCATGCCGAAGAGCCCAACTCTAACCCACTGCCATCTCCGTATTTCGGGGGAACGCAAACCAGCCCGAGAGTCCGAAACCCTCGCACGTCCAGCGTTTGGCCGGGCCTCCCCCGGGCATTGATCCTGCCCCCAAGGACTGAACCTGCCATGTCATCTTCCGCGAGGGGGCCTTGCTGAATTCCAGGCCCCCAAACATGTCCATTCGCTACTCGAGTTTCAGCTTCAGCTCACCCGCGCGTCCTTCCCCGGATCATCGTCGCATAAGGCCCGACCATCATCCCTATTGTCCCATTCTGTCCAGGTTCAGGGAGAAGGGTAGTCAGGAGGTAAAGGGGGCCAGGGGGATATTGTGAAAACAGAAGGGCACCATGTCATACCGACGAATACCGAGTACCTACCTATGTAAGGGGAGACACATTATCACATAGCAATTAGCCCCAGGGACGAGAGAAGAAAAGGGCCGACACATGATTGATTATTTGGTCGGCACCAAAAGTAACCCTTGGGCGGGCACTTGATCCCCTCCTATCAGCAATCAATGCAGCTGTCTCGTCCCTCCCCTCGGGCGCTCTTCTCCTGAGACGTGGCCTTCCTGTCGATTTTTTTTTTTGGCTTTCCAAGGCTCTGCGTGATTGCCGTGGCCTGATAAGAAATCGGCGCTAAGCGGCAGGGAGCCCACCATGGTCACTCCATTTGTCTTTTGAAACTATTTTTCATCACAGTCCCAGATCAGAGGGCCAACAAAGTGCCGTCCGTGCCTTGCCTTGTTGCCTGGCACTCTGGCCCTCTCGCCCTCTCGCCCTTAACGAGAGAGGGTCATCCCTCCCCCCCATCATTCCTCGTCCCACAGTTACAAAGCCCGCCTCGCGACTTTTACCTCACCCACGGTTACATACAACCACGCACACAGGCCAACCCCGACCGAAGCAAACTGCTCCTCGCACAGGCTACTGGCGCCCTCGATTTGCACCCACTCAGCACTACGATTCGTACCAAGTATCCCTCCCACATTCCTACGGAGGGTAATAACTCAGCAAGGGAGTTAAAGAAACCTTCGCCTCCTCCAGTTTCTGCCTCCTTCGGTCAGAGCCTGAGAGAAAAAAAAAATCACGACAACCACCATCACACACTCGCACACACACCCAAACCTTCCACCACCCCCCCGTCATCCAACCCCTGGTCCCCCCGGTCTCCAGTTTTTCCACGTCCGCAGTGCCGGGTAATTTCCTCATCCTCATTTCTCGACGCTCGACTCATCATTTCAGCTACCTGAACCATCTATTTTCTCCAACACACGGATCCGGCTCATCTCTCATCCCAAATCTACTCCTGCATACCTGACAAAACGCCGTCCACCCCGGGCCTCCTCGTTTCTTCTCCTCTTTTTCCCACTCTCCCCCCCCCCAAACTACTCAATTCTCTGACCACACCATTTCCCTGACCTCACCACCTACCACACCACCCTTTCCTCCTCTGCTCCCACGCTACAGCTCTGTTATCGCCAATCCGCTTTCTACTCCAATCTGCGCCTTTCCGACCCCAGGCCCGACGCTCCTGCTGCATGCGTCACGCCGCCATCGGTCAACTAAGTACTAAGTGGATGGTTCACCCCACGATAAGCGATCATCTTCCTGGGGAACACTCTCTCCCTTCGCTCGAATGCAACGCTCTTCGTCTGCAGTAGACTTTACTGCCATCCTCAATCCTTCTCCTCCTTCCTCCGACTCTCCTTCCTCTTCTCAACCTTCGCACGAGTCCATAACCACAAACCTTCAGTCAAACCACCCCTCGACAACCACGCACCCCGACGGTAACATGGCAGCCGCTGTCAGCCTGATGCCGACGGCTATGGGTGCTCAGGCTCCCAACCCAGAAGAAAGACAGGACCTCCCTCGACCTTACAAATGTCCTCTTTGCGACAGAGCCTTCCACCGCCTGGAGCACCAAACCCGACATATCCGTACACACACTGGCGAGAAGCCACACGCCTGCCAGTTCCCCGGTTGCAGCAAGCGTTTCAGTCGATCTGACGAGTTGACTCGCCATTCGCGCATTCACAACAATCCCAACTCGCGAAGAAACCAGAAGACTCACCAAGTTGCCGCCGCCGCCGCTCTCGCTGGCCTCCAAGATGGCTCCAACCAGAACTTTGCTTCACAGGCCCAGATGATGCCGCCGCCCAGCAAGAGTACCATGCCTCGGTCAGCCCCTACTTCAGCTGTTGGCTCCCCGAACGTCTCACCGCCTCATTCCTTTGCGGTTCAGGTCCCTCACGGCTCTCAGATGTCTTCCCATCATGGACTCTTCAATCGGAATGACGACAGGAACCCGATGGACATCAATCTCCTCGCAACCGCCGCATCTCAAGTAGAGCGAGACGAGCACATTACTAGAGTCCCCTACCAGCACCAACACCATCTGTTCAGTCATCGATCACACAACACCAACGGACGTTTGCCTTCGCTCTCGGCATACGCCATCTCGCACTCCATGTCGAGGTCCCATTCCCAGGAAAACCACGATGACGACCACCGGGTGAAGAGATCGAGGCCGAACTCGCCACATTCAACAGCTCCCTCCTCACCGACCTTCTCTCACGAGTCAATATCGCCCACTCCTGACCATACACCCCTTGCCACCCCAGGACACTCTCCACGTCTGAGACCTCACGGCAGTGATCTACAGCTTCCAGGGCTGCGCCACCTCTCGCTTGGACACACTCCTCTTTTGGCGCCTATGGAGCCACAAGCTGATGGATCCTACTCCCACGTTCCAACGCCACAGCACTCTGGCCCTTCTATAGCAGACATTGTCACCGGGGCGCAACGGAAACTGCCCGTGCCGCAGCTTCCCAAGATTGGAGTGGCCGAGATGCTACATCTACCAGGCGGTTTAAGTTCAGGAGAATCTAGTACGGCGGCGTCGATCAATGGTGATTTTTCAAGGTGACTGGAATCACAATGACACAGGTGTTCTACGGAGTCCGCTGTGGTCTACTTGATGACGAGTGTGTGTGTATTGGTTTCGCGGATGAGCAGCCCAATCCTCTTTCCTTCCTGGACTTTCTTTTGTTTCGGGCGTTTGGAAGTGATTTATATTTTACTCAGGATGAAGCCCCCAGTCTCATGGGACACTGGGACGAATTGGAGAACGATATCACAGCGAGGAGCAGGCTATAGACGGATCCGGACAACAAGGGGGAATGCGCCGCATGATTGCGCCCAAATAGAGTGGTGTTCATTGGTGACGGGATGTATGGTATGATGGTATCAAACCTGGTAAATGTGTGCTCCTAGAGTTTCGAGCAGCCAATCCCCTGTTTACATGTGTAATTTTGAGATAGCCAATTCAACCTTACGAATGCTAAGCACCTCTAGCCCTCGTTATCGTGACTGCCTGTGAACGTTCTGCCTGCTCGCCGCGCGGGCTCAGCGAACAAGCCCACCACGGCCAGCCAAGAGTTTCTCTTGGGTCATGGCCTGACCGAATCTGATAATGCATTCAGCTAATCATTTGATCCTCCACAAGGATCCTGGCAATCCCAGACCTTGCAACCTCCAGAACACAGAGGCTGAACCCCACAAAGTCGTCTCCGCGTCGTCCGGAATCTGGACAGCTGAGTCACGGTGCAGCCTAGTGTCTTGTTCATTTCAAAAGCTGAGAACTGATCCAAACTCCGGACTCAGTACGGGTTCGGGGTAGAAGCCTGACAGCATGTTGGGGGCGACAAGCGAAGTGATTGTCATCTTTCTACAGTGGGCAGCCCAGTCTCCAGGCTCGCACAAACCCTCGACGACACGGCGTTTGGGGATCCCGCACCTTCACAAACCTAGCTGATGGGGAGGGGGAAACAGCCGAGCAGGACAAATGAGGGCTACTCAGCACCTACTCTGCTTTCGCTGAGACCTATTGCTTCGGAGACGCCCTCCTTGTGTGCTCATCTCAACAGCCTGGCTGAAACCATGTTCCCCCCACACTATGCAGCGCTGATGCATTGTGACCAGACCAGCTGAAGGGCCGAGTGACGGGCCAAATTCCTGCCTCAAGAGATTTGGAGACCGTCCTGGGGGGGGGCAGGGCAAACACGAGGTTCTTGCGGCTTGTCAAACACTCGAAGTTCAAACTGCTTTCCTGGTGCGAACGCTCCCCGGACGAGCAGCCCGAAGCCTGGGGTGGGCAATCGCGGAGTCCCCAGCCTGTGTCGCTCAGACTCGAAAAGGATGCGGAGGCAGCGTCCGTCGGGGTGCGATCTAGCCTTTGCATCTGCAAGACGGCGAGAAGTACCATCCATCGCTACCTTGGCTCGGCGCGGGAATCCATTTACCGTTGCCGGTTCCGACCAGCCGATCAGTCTCCAGACTGACTGAACCCGAGGTCACGCAAAGCCAGTGACTGATGGAACGAGGACAAATGACTTCAGAAAATCAATATTACTAGGCACCCTTGCCGTGCTGATTCAGGCGCTTGAGCCGAGGGTATATCCTCGGGCGATTTGCAACTGGGCCAGACCGGCAGTCTTGATCGAGATGTGATGGACGCAACTGTGGAGAACCATGTCAGACACACGGTGTTTTACACACCCTATTGAACTCTTTATACCGAGACCGGAGTATGGCCTGAGAAGGTCTGGGAGGGAATGCTACTCTCTCTGAGCTCTGTATCTTGACTCGCGGTCAACGCTGCAATTAGGGCGAGGGCCAAATCTCCAACCACCGACCTCTTCGCCTCGCGCAAACCAGTCAGGTGTCGTTTGTCCACCAGCGGCTGCATTCGGAATTGGACCACAGATGTCTCACGGCGGTCAAGGTCGGTCAAGGTTTTTGACATCGGCGAGACAAGCCATAAGTGGTCGGCACCTCTCGACTCTTCTGACATGTCTCAGCGCCAATCCCCCCTCCCCCTGAAGGATACCTGTCAATCCGCACTGTTTCGCCGGCGCTAGCAAAAGGTCTGGCCTCACCCAAGAGACGTGCAAAACGCCGGAAATTGTGACGGAATGTGGAACACGTCGACTTTGCAAGCGACAAACTGAACGAGGCGGGCGGAGCGCATTCTTTGGAACGGATTCCATTCCCCATTTTCCCGCATTTTCCGCAGTTTTTTTGTCTTCTCCCCCACACAAATCTAACTTCATGCACCGATCGCCCGCAAATGGCGGAGAATGCGGCATTCGTATTCCTGCAAGCTTCCTGGGCGCCAGGCCCCACCACACAGCCATCTTGGGTGGGAATTTCCAACCTTTGAGGGGTGGGTTTTGAAAGGCTGATTATACGTCGGCCTTTTTGGGGGGGAATTGGCATCTGCCCCTTTCCTGTGTTTCGTGGGGATGGGCAAACCGAGCCGACCGCCTGCCGCCAGGAGAAACACCATACTGTTCCTTGGTTGCGAGTTGGGCTGGCCGAAGTCAACCGCCCCCAGGCTTCATCCTTATCTCGAGAATGCCCCCATGTGAACCAATTTGACCCCAATCCTTGCAGATCGCACATGCTCATGACAGCATCGTATTGAAGGGTGCCCACAGACACTTTTGGGGGCACGTCTTAGCTGTGACTTGAGCACATGTCAAGCCCGTATTGGGGTCCGTGAAGAGCTTAGGGATGGACAAGGCGTGTGGCAGGTGCCTAGTGTCTCGTACTGTCTTCTCGCAAAGGCTGTTACTTTTCGCATGTTTGGTCGACCTCAGTGTCAAGGACAGGCCGATCAGCCGAGAGGCGAAGTCACAGAAGAGGAGAGCGTGACTGGAGCACTGATAGGCTGAGTTACGCCAATTTGCTTTTCCTCCGCTGCTCAGCCTCTCACATGCTTCTCAAAGGCCTCGTGTCGGTGACTTCTCAGGGCACGGCCAACACGAGGGACACGGACTCAAGTCGTTTCCTGGTGGAAAGTCAGGCTTCTGGCAAGTCCAAGGGACTTGCGGTGAACGGCGAGATCGACAGTGCCTCGTCATTGTTGTGACAGGCACATTCCTTGCTCCCTGCCTCAGATTTGTGGTATTGGCTTGGTGTTCTTGCATGGGAGGCCCCCAAGCGGTCAACAACAGCGAGCCCAATGACGACCCGCGTCTACAGCTGAAAACCCCGAGCGCATCCATCACCTATGAGCGTCGACAGCCAAGTCTCCACGACGAGCCATGGCGTGGAGGCCAACAGAGCAAACACCTAGCAACCGCCGTGATCCTGGAGACGTCGGCTGCTTCGCACCCAGATGCCCGTTCCACAGTCCTTTTCTTAGAGTTCCCATTCGCCCGAAGTCTTTTGGCTGTCGGTCAGTAGCAAACAGGTATCATCGAATCGACTGCGACTGTCATCAACTCCCAAGTGGGCATGCATTTGCGGAGCTCTTCCATGGTGAAGGATGCGTTGATCACGTCGGTTCCGCATCAGGCTAAAACGGCAGTGGTTGGTCCCCTCTCTGATTTTTGGTTTTCACATCTCACACATCCGACACCTCCCTCTCTCTACAAGCCTCCAGTTCCACTCTCTGCTACTGGATGGTGTGCAGGGACCGCCAGCACTTACGAGGTTCTGGTGGTCAGGCGTGCGCCGGACGCAGTCACACACTCTCTCCAATGGATCAGCAAGTCACAGCCCACAATTTTCCCCATATATGTACTATTCCCCAAGTGCTCCGGAGCGACCTGCCTAACGATTTAGTTCCTTGTGGGGGAGGAGCCAATAGCCCTTGAACAGGCTCCAAAAACCCGCTTCTTCCATATCCCCGTCGCCTGTCGTCATGCTAGAAAATCAGTCAACCCGATTGAGATGGTAGGCAGACGGACAAAGCTTCAACTCCAGGCATTTTAGCATGGTTTTCCCAGCACATCTTGACTCGGTCAACTTGACATTGTGTGTTCAGCATACGCTTCTTTGGGAATAGGCCAAGGGGTATTACTCGGTATTAGTCGTTGTTTTCATCTTTACCCCGGGTTTTTCCAAAATGAGGAACTGCTTCCGCTTGCCCTAGTGGGAACAAGTTTCGACAGAGGACGAACCTTGGTGCCGAAACCCCCCAGTGTCATTACTACAACAATAGCTTCCTGACATACCAATACGACCTTGAGAAATTGTTGGGATCGAATGGCTTCTTAACCTTGCGTCATGACTTTGTGGTCGCAACGAACCAGAAGCCTCTGAGGCGTGGAACGATGTCGGTGAAGCAAACAACTGCGCATGCGCCCCCATTCACCCCTACCGAATGACCATCTTACGGCACACGAGACGACAACTCGCCACACCCCCACAAGCGAGTGGCGCTCGAGATACGAGTATGGGTGGGCCTCTGCTTGCATCTACCGGGTAGACACCACCGGAGACATCACCCAGGGCATCGAAGCAAACTTGGATGTTGGCCTGCATGCGAGACCTCGCCAGCCACAGAGGCAAGAATACAATTTCAAAAGATCGTGACTCATGGGGACTCCGCTTCTCGGCCCCCTGGAATCCCATCACATCCAGCTCAACTCCTTGGAAAGACCCTCGTACGCGGAGGAACTTCAGTGTGATAACCGCAATCTGGACTGGGCTATCACGTCCTGGCTGGCTGGAAGAAAAGGCGGAAGATTCCACCATCAGGATTGGGACACCTGTGTGCTGCAGGGATTTGGGACTCTCGTTGTTGTTGCACGGTCATGAGGCAGCAGACCAGCCATCCCCCCATCATTTATCCGTGTAACCTGGTGCTCTGGACCGCCCGGGGTTCCTGCAAAGGGAGGGGGGGACAACTTCCCAGCTCTCTCGCGTACACTTTCTAAGACTTTGAGGGATTGTTTGGATGTTGTCGACCTTCTCGTCGCTCGTTCTCGACCCTTGGCCCCAGCAGCAGGCATGACAGACCGACCTTTCCCTTACTCCATCATCTACCTATGCGGCACTGACCTCCCACGGCGCATGTTATTTCGATATGCTGATCTTACCAGGGTCTCGACCTCGAGATCCCACGCTCCCTCACTCGACAACTGTAGCGAGGTAGGTGTGCAAACAAAAGTGATTCCATCTCAATTCCAGCTGTGATGTCTCAATGTGTCCCGATAGCAAAACCCGTCTGAGCCCAACGTGGCTGGTAGGCAATGTGTATCGGGCATCAATCAGTGCGCAGTCTCATCACCTGCACACCATCTACCACGCAGATCCCTTCGAAGGAGCGAATAGTTTGAGTGTCCTTTGTGTTGTAATACCAAGGATTACCCAGCTTAAGGCCTGTCTCTCTGTAAGGTCGAGGCTCCGTTTTGGGAGGCGAACGACCATTTCGTCGCTCCCAACCTCTGCGCCTCTCGTTTCCCGCGAACGACCGCATCAGCGGGCAAGGGAACCAAGATCCGGTAGCAAGGACTCGGGCTTGAAAACAATTTCATCGGGTGGGAAGAAGACCCACGGTGTTCATGCCATTTGCAAGTGACATATCTAGCAAATAGCTGCCGCAGAGCCCTAGATCCTGTGTACCAACAACCCCAATAATCTCGTTCGGTTCATGACTACATGCTCCTCATGGTACTTACAACAACCTTGTTACGATTACGCTCAGCGCAAAATGATTTGTCTACAATGGTCCAAAACCGTGCCATCTACTTCCATGCATTTAATCCCGCCCATGGATCCTGCTCCTGTCCTCCTAGATTCCCACCACTCCCGGCTTGCGCCTGCTGCGCCTGCCCTTGAGGCTGAGCTTGGCTTTGCTGCTGGCCCTGTTGCCCATATCTCACGGGATGTGTATAGCTGGCATACCCGCCCGGCCCACTCGCCCACACTCCTGATGGGTTAGGAGGGTACTGTGTTGTTGATCCCCCGCCAGGCGGGCCCGGCGGCGGAGGCGGAGGGACGTAATTCTGAGGCATGTTGTACGGCGATGGCGAGGGCTGATAAGGCTGGTGTTGCTGGTACGGTGGTTGGGACTGCGGCGCCTGTGGATGCGGCGAGGGACTCTGATAGGCGCCGCCCGGCGGAGGTGCGCCCGGTTGAAGAGGAGGGAAGGGGTATTGAGGGTACTGGTGGCTTGGGGAAGTAAACGCCAATGGTTGGTGAGTTTGGCCGGGTGGTGGAAAATATGCATTCGTCGAGCCGGGCGGAGGCGAAGTGATTGGCGAGAAGCCGTAGGAAGCAGGCTGCTGGCTTGGTGATGTAACGGACCTTTCTGGATAAGCCATGGGGTTGTAGCCTGAGGAGAGCGGCGCTGCTGCCCCTTGAGCAAAAACATGTTGGGTCTCAATCGGTGATGGGTTCCTTGGCTGCGACGGAGGCTGAAAGTGATTAGAATACCCGTTGGGCATAACTGGCGCCGGTGAGTGACGGGGAGGGATCGTAAAGCGTGGATCGGCGTTTGTGGTGGGGTGTGTTGGTGAAACCGGGACGGGAGACCTGGACACGGTCATCGGCGGTAGAGGAGGAAGAGCTGGAGGTTCTGATTGCGAAGGCGATGTTGGCTTGGGCTCCATCGACAAGCGATTCATCAACTCTTGCATTCGCTTTTGCTCGGCAGCAGCTTGACCATCGGCCGAACTGTTTTTGGTCTGCTCGATCTGATGAAGCAGTTGCGCTCCCTCTGCTCTGCGATTGCTGACGAAGGAATCGACGTTCTTCTCTAGACTGTCGACGCTTTCCTTCATTTCACTGTAGAAGCCTTGCGCACGCATTAGTCCCTGTATCAGATCCTCGTGCGCGTTGAATATTCTCCGATACTTGTTCATGACACTGTTCTTGCTCTTCTGTACGGCATCGTACCTCTGCTGGTCTGACCGGACTCGTTTGTCTTGCAGCAAGTCGCCGTATGTTTTGGTCAATTCTTTCAGTAACGAGGACTGTTTGTGGACCGTCGAGATGAGCCGGTTCTGGTGAGATCGGAATTTCTCGAGCTCGGCTTGGAATAATTGGTTTTCTTGATTCGCGATGGCCTTCTTGTTCAGGATAAGCACATTTGATATGTCGTCGGTGTGGACTTTCTCCTTCAGATCTTTCAGAACCTGCATTCGTTCGCGTTTCACCAGATTGAGTTTCCGTAGAAGATCTTCGACCTTGGCGATCTGGTCCGCCACAGACAAGCCTCCCTCCCCATAATCCTCGTCAAGAAGCGTACCTTCATCAGCGTCCTTGCCTCTGTTTTTCGTCCCAGACCCGGCCTTATATAACGCCTGTTGATAGAGAACGTCGGCCTCGCCGTGTTCGCCTGCATTGCGCATCTCTTCAAAATCATTTTCGTACTGTCGCGCTGTCGAAAACAGCTGCGCATCACTGTTTCCTGCCTCATCCACCGTGTCGCGGTAGCTTTTAATATCGGCCCTGAGCGTCGACGTCAACCTGGAACTCGGTTGTTGGGTCCAGTCGGCTCCGTACTTGGATCGCATCTTTTCACAGACGCTCTCCTCCATGTCAAGTTGTTTCGTGCTCTTGGCCAAACTTTCCAAAACGGACTGCTTGTCTCTGTGGAGTTGTTCAAATGCGGCGGCAAAGGACTTATGGTTCGCCAGTTCTTGACACCATTGCTCAAACTCCTTGTCTACCCCCATTTCTTGTTCGAGACCGCCTTTCAATACATTGAGGCTGTTGGGGAGCTTGAGGTAATCGAGACTTGCAGCCATCTCTCCATTGGCTTGTTCAACCTTCTCCGCCTCGGATCGAATCAACTTCGCCTTCTCCTCGTCGTACATACTTGCCGACTCTGTGACTGACATAGGGACAATTTTCTGAAAAATGTCTGGCCCGATGATCCTTTGGATGTCTTGCCCTTGATATAACTCGGAGAGAGGGATGGCTTTCGCGGCTGGAACTTTTGTGACGGGGGACAAGGAGGCTTCTGGTGGAACTGTCTGATGGTATATGAAGTCGTTGTCTTTGACCGAAGATGCCAGCTTCTCTTGTACGCTCTCCATCTGTCTCCTGGTAATTGACTGCAACGTTGGCGCGGTGTCGGACCCGAGATTTGAAGCAGAGGATGGTGATGAGGGAAAGGCCTTTGCGAATGTGTAGGCCTGCTTGCTTGACTTCTCTGCCAGTTGTAATCGCGCAACCGCAGATCCCTGCTGATTGGTCTCCTCCTCAGCCAATGCCTGATAATACTCTGCTAGCGAAGAGAAGTGTAGTGCTTTGACCTGGATCAGCTTTAACCAAGAAGATTCGAATACCCCTCGCGAATGGTCGGATTCGAGACCCTCCTTCGCCTGGCTGTATAGGAATTGCGCTTGCGCAGCGAGTTTCGCCAGGAGAGCTGGCTTCTTTCCGTCGCGGACTTGTTTTTCCATGAACACTTCCTGCGCCTGACCCAAAACAATGTTGATGAGGGTTTTAATGGTATCCCGATTCAAATCGGTCGAGGGCGCATGGAGGAAATTTTCGTTGATGTAGGTGAACATGCCGGCAGATGCTTGAAACGAGTGATAGGCCGTCTTCAGGTCCTTGTCCTCGGAGCGATTCTGAGCGGCTGCATGACAGGACAGGACAGCGGCTATGTTGAATATGACGGAAGCCTTCTCGAAGGCCAACGAGTACTGTGATGTGGAGGCCCGCGTGAAAGCGTCAAACCACTGAAAAGAGATCTTGATGTGTGCTTCATCGATGGGGAACCGGAGGTCCAGCAGCTCTAGTTGCCCATAGTATCTGTAAAGCAGGTCTCTTCCAGACGCCGAGTCGGCGCCAGCCCCCCTCATGTCTTGCCGCAACCTGTTCAGCGTTCCAATCTCTTCAACATATTTACTGGGGTCGTCTCCATAGCTCGTGCGTATATACTGAGACAGCGGTTCGACCCAGCTCACCTCCGAAGTTGTCTTCAGCGGACAGGATATCATAGGCGCTTGCACCATCTTGACGGCGGTGGAGGGATATGATTTTCGACGGGAGAGGGATGGGAGAAATCAGGTTCTTGGGAGGGGAAGAATTAACGCATCGAGAACAACAGGCCAAATCAGAGAATTCAGTCTCGAAGAGTGAGATTCGATGGCCAGGCGAGGCGACTCTGAGATAGACACCTGCAGGGCAATGCGGATGAAGCGATCTACGTCCCGCCCGCGATGAGTGACGAGCGCAGACCCACTCGGCAGTATTGGTTCAGGCAGCCTCTACTCGGTAATCCTTTGCGCTATACGAAGTCCTCGCACTCAATATTGACTCTCAAAGACGCAGCAGTGGTGTTGAGGTTCATAGTCCACAGTTAACTTCTCTCGTCAATCTGAATTTGAAAGCATTCTTCGCATTCAGTTCATTGCTACATACTACACTTTTGAATTGCCTTTTCAAACATCACTGGTGATTGTACAGTAGATGGGAGTCTGCGGCCATTGGATCACACCACCAGTATACCGTGATATATATTGAAAACTGTACACTCTTTTGGACGCCAACCTCAAGAAATATGCAAGCCCAAAGCCTCCTCGGAGGCCAAATTCTATCGCCGTCGCTATGAGTCGTGAAAAGGCAGGAGATGGGTATTGTGGAATTCAATGCTTGACGCAAACGAAATCAGCCAGACCCGGACGCCTTCTTTGGCTCATCCTCGTCCTGCGGTTCTGCCTCTTTCTCTTTGCCCGGCTTACCCGGTTCAAGGTTATCATGCTGGTGGGTCAGACGATGCCAGGTAGATTTCAGAAATCCTTCGTTCTTGTGATCGGCGGCCTTGTTAGACGGTTTGGATGCTTTGTTGTCTTTGGGAGGCTCCCTGGCAAAATCAGTCAAGGGCCTGCTTGTCAAATTGTCCCGTCCACTCACTGTTTGTACTTATCCAAGTTCATGATTCTCTTCGCCGTCTTGTCACCCATTTCGTCAGCCAGCATCTCGATGATTGTCCGCTGGTTGGCCGTCAGATATTTGGGCATTTGAACTTTGAACTCCACCCTTAGGTCTCCAGAAGAACCGGCACCGCGTCCACCAAGCCTCTTCATACCCATTCCTGGAAGTGTAATTCTGTCGTTAGTAGACGTCCCGGTCGCTACCCTCACTTTGACTTCTCCATCGAGTGTCGGTACGACCACCTCTCCCCCAAGCAGCGCCGTGGTTAGGGGTATTGAGGCGGTGTGGAGGATATCGGCTCCGTTGCGGCTGAACCTGGCATCTGGCGCTACCCGAATGAAGACGTACAGATCTCCACGCTGGGTTCGAGCTTTGGGATTTGCTGACATACCCGTAGGAGGATAGTCACCAGCGCCGGCCACTCGTAAACGCATTCCATCCTCCACTCCGCCTGGGATATCGACCTCAACGGTTTCCCTCTTGCGAACCACTCCATTTCCAGCACATGTATTGCATTCAGAGCCTCTCGGGATGACAACCCCGGTTCCGCTGCAAGCGTCGCAAGAAGATGCCATTTGAAACCCGGCCTGCATGACATGGACTCTTGTACCGGTCCCATTACAGCGTTTGCACTGCTGCCTTGAAGAGCCTGGCTTCAAACCATCACCCTTGCAGGTGCCGCACTGTACAAGAGGCGTGATAGTGATGTTCTTGGAGACACCTTTTGCAGCGTCCATAAAAGATATATTCGTCTGCACCTCGATATTCTCTCCCACCATAATCTCTTCTTGGAAAGGGCCACCGCTCCTCCGCCCGCGGCGGCCGCCAGTGAATGCACCAAAAAGATCCTCAAAGTTGAACTCAGCACCGAAGCCACCGCCAAACCCAGCAAAAGGGTTTGCTCCCGCAGCCCCGGAAAACGGATGCTCGCCTCCAGCGCCTGGATGGAATCCAGCTCCTTGATCAAAGGCCGCAGCACCATATTGATCGTAGGTAGACTTTTTCTGAGGGTCGTTAAGCAACTCATATGCTGACTGCGCATCTGTAAACTTCTCTTTTGCGCTAGGGTCTTTGTTTGTGTCCGGGTGATATTTCTTTGCTAGGGCGTAGTATGCCTTCTTAATCTCAGATGCGGTGGCATTCTTTCCTACCCCCAAAGTTGCGTAAGGATCCTTCATCGCTTGGAAAGTCGAGGTCGCGGAGAAAGGTCGGATTTGATTTGACGGCCTTCGGGGACATATTGACGATGTTCGTGGTAACAAAGGTCTTTTAGAAGCAGCGGGGTCGTAGAATTTCCTCGTTTGAGCTTTGCGAGTAAAGTTGTTGCGTTGTCGAGGACGTTGAACCGTCCTCAAAATGGTCCGTATGGGAAGCGGAGCCGTCCCAGCCCAGGCGGCTGGGCCTGCTGCGACATTCATGGAGAAATGTTGTCAGGAAATTTGTCACGGATACCGACGTATGTGCATCGAGTCGAGTCGTCTGGCGAGGTCAATTCGTGTGGTTTGGAGGATGGTTTAAGATGGGTGGGATTAATGCGAATGGTCCTGCTTCGAAACTTCCAGGCACTTTTCGGCTTTTTCCTCGGCCGAGTTTCCGTTTCGAGCACGCCCGATACAATGATATCAAAGAGCATGCGAAGCAGAGTATTCGCAATTCACCGTTGCCTTCAACTTTCGCCCTCCTCTTTTGTTGCCCTTTCTTCTTTTCTTTGGATGGCCTACATCTAACTCGGCGGCTTCGAATCCACCTTCTTTCTCCTGTACCAGAGCATTTCGCGGCCATACCACCCTGGGCAATTACTCTCCGATTCTGCCAGAGCATGCTTCGCGGCCAAACATTACCATGGAGGACTGCACTCCGGGGCAGTTCACGGCACATCTGTAGAGACTGCAGGCGACAGCTGTTACAGAGAAACTCATTAACGAGCTCCGCGACTTCTCTGACTCCCTCCAACCATCTGCCTATCGCCGCCCGCCAGGGATTACAAATACGCCAGTTTACCTCTCATCCTGCTCGCAGGAAAGACAAGCCACCAGAAGATGATTCCCCGCCTAAGAAAGAAGAAGCCGAGGCAAAGGGAAAGAAAGTAGAAAACGAGCTGGACGAAGCACCACGGACGGAAGATGCTGCTGAGTCTAAGAAATCTCCCACTGAACCTCAACCTATACCGCAGTCTGCAAGCGATGGCCGACCCGCGGCTGCAGGAGGTAGCGGCAATGATTCAAGCCCAGGAACTGGACAAAATTCCGGTGGTGGAAGCGATGGCAGCAAGCGGGGGCGTCGGAGCACACAGATATCAAAACCCACGATTCCAGAGACCTATCCGCAGGTCATGGCAATCCCCATCGCGAAACGACCTCTTTTCCCAGGCTTCTACAAGGCCATCACTATCCGAGACCCCAATGTTGTTGCGGCTATAACAGAGATGATGAAGAGAGGACAACCTTACGTGGGAGCCTTTCTCTTCAAGGATGACGCTGCCGACAAGGACATCATTGAGAAAATGGATGACGTTCACGACGTTGGTGTCTTTGCCCAAATAACGAGCGCATTTCCCGTGCACGGTGATGAACACAGCCTGACTGCGGTTTTATATCCCCACCGAAGAATCCGAATGACCGCGTTGATGCCCCCATCAACGACAGGGGAGGGGGCCTCGGTCGTTGAAGTGCAATCTGTTAAAGAAACGAAACCCAAGCCCGATGGCACAGACAACAAGGGCGATGTTGTTGCAAGCTTCGAGGAACCGAACAAGGAACAACCCGCGCAACTGAGTGTCTACGAGCCTACTGCCTTTCTACGCAAATTCCCCGTTTCATTGGTCAATGTGGAAAATTTGACAGAGCTCCCATTTGACAAGAAGAGTGGTGAAATCAAGGCCCTAACATCAGAGATTGTCAGTGTGTTCAAGGAAGTCGCCAGCCTTAACCAACTATTTCGAGATCAGATCTCCGACTTTAGTGTCTCACAATCAGCTGGGAATGTGCTTGAAGAGCCAGCCAAGCTAGCTGATTTTGCAGCGGCCGTTTCAGCCGGTGAGATTGGAGAATTGCAGGACGTCCTCCAGACAATGGATGTTGCTCAACGGCTACACAAGGCTCTTGTGGTGCTCAAGAAGGAGCTGATGAACGCACAGTTGCAATCCAAGATTTCAAAAGATGTCGAGAGCAAGATTCAAAAACGCCAGCGGGAGTATTGGCTTATGGAACAGATGAAGGGTATTCGGAGAGAGCTCGGGATTGAGTCTGACGGCAAGGACAAATTAGTGGAAAAGTTCCGGGAAAAGGCTCAAAAACTGGCCATGCCTGAAGCTGTGAAAAAGGTATTTGAGGAAGAGCTCAACAAACTTGCACATCTGGAACCTGCGGCATCTGAATTCAATGTGACGAGGAACTACCTGGATTGGATTACCCAGATTCCGTGGGGTCAGCGAAGTGCTGAAAACTTTGGCATCAAAAATGCTATGACCGTCCTAGATGAAGACCATTACGGCTTGAAAGATGTCAAGGATCGCATTCTCGAATTCATCGCGGTCGGAAAGCTCCGCGGGACAGTGGAAGGGAAGATCTTATGCTTCGTTGGACCCCCCGGTGTGGGAAAGACATCTATTGGCAAATCGATCGCCCGAGCGCTGAATCGACAGTACTATCGCTTCAGTGTTGGTGGACTGACTGATGTCGCCGAAATCAAAGGCCACCGCAGGACGTACGTCGGCGCGTTGCCGGGAAGGATAATCCAGGCCCTCAAGAAATGCCAGACCGAGAACCCCCTGATTCTCATCGACGAAGTGGACAAGATCGGCCGCGGCCACCAGGGAGATCCGGCATCAGCGCTTCTCGAACTTCTCGACCCGGAACAAAATTCCAGTTTCTTGGATCATTACATGGATATTCCTGTCGATCTTTCAAAAGTCCTTTTCGTGTGTACAGCGAACATGACCGACACCATCCCCCGCCCCCTTCTCGACCGAATGGAGTTGATTGAACTCAGTGGCTACGTTGCGGACGAGAAGAAAGCAATCGCAGATCGATACCTTGCTCCACAAGCGAAAGAACTTTCGGGATTAAAGGATGTAGACGTCAGATTGGATGAGTCCGCCATCGAGGAGCTGATCAACAAGTATTGCAGAGAATCCGGGGTGCGTAACTTGAAAAAGCAAATCGAAAAGGTTTACCGCAAGTCAGCACTGAAAATTGTTCAAGATCTTGGGGAAGAAGCTTTTCCCGAAGCAGAGGCACTCACGGAAGAGGGCAAAGCGGCGCTTGAAGAGAGCAAAAAGGACGAGTCGGACGTCAAAGACACCCCAGAAACGATCCAGCAAGAAACAACCGAAAAGCCTCGCATTGCGCTTAAGGTTCCAGAGTCTGTCCACGTTACCATCACAAAGGATAACCTGAAAGACTATGTCGGCCCGCCCATCTTCACTGCTGACCGTCTCTACGAGACCACGCCCCCAGGTGTAGCTATGGGTCTTGCCTGGACAAGCATGGGTGGTGCCGCACTATACGTCGAATCCATCCTTGAGTCCGCACTTTCTTCGTCCAGTCGACCCGGCCTCGAGCGCACGGGCAATCTTAAACCAGTCATGAAAGAGTCGACGTCGATTGCGTACTCTTTTGCCAAGCACGTCATGGCGACAAGATTCCCTGATAATAAATTCTTCGACCACGCCAAAATACACTTGCATTGTCCCGAGGGCGCAGTTCAAAAGGATGGCCCTTCTGCTGGCATCACGATGGCAACTTCTCTGCTGAGTCTCGCAATGGACAAAGAAGTCGATCCTGCATTAGCAATGACAGGCGAGTTGACCGTTACAGGCAAAGTACTCAGAATCGGTGGACTGAGAGAGAAAACTGTCGCTGCGAGGAGGGCTGGATGTACGAAGATCTTATTTCCAAAGGATAATTGGGGGGACTGGTGCGAGTTACCAGAGGTAGGTCTCTTTCCCATTGCTTTGCGGCTTCGTCGTTGAAGGCAAACTTGCTAACATTGGTTGAACGGCAGAATATCAAAGAAGGTATTGATGGTCACGCGGTTGATTGGTATGATGAAGTCTTTGACATTGTCTTTCCCAATGCCAGCGCTGAGGAGATCAATTCTGTATGGAAAGAAGCGTTGGAGAGAAAGGAAAAAGACGACAAGAGAAAGGAAAAAGACGACAAGAGAAAGGATAAAGATGGCAAAGACGATGAGGATGACTGAGTTGAGATGTGAGTGCGAAGCTTGCTCAAATGCGCGCGCCACTTCGCTCTTGGGAAATGGGGAAATTTTCGGTCATTCAGCATTCGGCTTCGGTATGACATTATCATGTGGCATCCAAAATGGTAAAGGGGTCCGGAAGGGATATATGCATAGATGTATAGACCAGGCCTTCCAAGATTGGTGTGATCTTTCGAACTGATGCATCTGCACAAATTTGAACGATATAGGAGGGCAGGGAGAAGAGTGAAGGGTCATGACGAACATTGTGGAATTTGGCAACTGGCTTCGGAGGCATTTAGTACCATCGTCGATGGTATTTCGTTGGTTATGATATGGAATCCCTTCTCTGCTGCTAGCAATGTACATTACCAACCTTGTATGCTCAAAGGGAAATGCACTGCCTCAAGAAGTGACACAGTCCTGGGCAAAGAGTAAAATCACCACATTCTTACAAATATTGAAAAGATGCGATGGTTCTGCGAAGTGAAATTTATGTATGTGGTGTTCCAATATTGATGACCGGGGCTTTCGCGAGCATTGAACCTTTGAGGATATATCTTTTCTTATAGCTATATTTTAACTAATCGGCTCTAGAAATGTCCTTATGCTATGCACCGTGTTCCGTGCCCGAACCTTTCCTTGGCCTCCTCGTGTCTATAGACGTGTCCCACCGGTACCAGTTCCAAAAACTCCAACAAATCAAAGCGCTTGATCGTCATCATCAATTTGACCGTATTTCACATGCTACCTCGCCGGCCTTGTTCTCTTTGCGCCTAGCAGGTGATAGAAGCACAGGTAGTCGGTCTCGGGGCAGAGATGGGCGCAATGTTCGCGACGCCCTCGTCCTCGGCCGTGCCGGACCACAGGACATCCAGGTCCGGAAGAACATGGCAGCATCGGAACTGGTTGATGGTCTGGAGCTGGGTTGCCACGTTGTTTGCGTCGGCTGGACTGGCGATGATGTTTCCCAGGGGCACAAGGACGTTGTTCTCAAAGCCGGCGAAGAGGTCGTTCGCCGCGTCTTGGGCCGGCGTTCCTGCAACGTCTGACTCGCAAGCGAGGATGTTGAGTTGGTTGGGCTCGTCCTGGGCTGCGGTCAAGGCAGTCTCCAGGTCGATCAACAGCGTGGTTGAGTCCAGAGACGCGGCCTCTTCCAGGAAACTGTTGACCGTGATGACGTCGCTGTTCCATTGGTTGATGGCATTGGCGATCGCGGCCGACCCAGGATCAGGGCCACAGCTGTTGTCGGGGTTCTCGCGCTTTGCGAATCTGAGGGTTGATGGAGCAGCGGCAGAGGCGCCGAGAAGGGCAAGGAGAGAGGCTGCAACGAAAGACTTCATTTTTGGATTTTTGGTTGGGGTATTACAATATGCTGGTAATGAAGCGAGAGAAGATAGTGGCTTTAAAGAGCGACTGAATTGAAGAAAGAGAATAGAAAGTTGATTTGGTAGAGAATGTGGTTGTGAATTGCTGGTGTTGTATGATGGGAGAGCATTTCCAAACTGCAGGCCACCTACCTTAGTATTTATCTTTCAGCCCTTCACCTTGTATCCCCATCGGTATAGTGTCTGAGGGACTTTTGGGCAAAATCACCGCCCTGTTAGCAATGGTGATAGTGTCCTAGGAGTCAGAATCAGTCGCCGAGAGTGAAATCCGCTTGCTGTGCACCGCTAACCGGCGCCGGCAGCAGTAGTGATGACAGGAATAGAATCCTCCGAGCCTCGCGCATGGAAATTGCCTCCACGTGGCGGGGCGAAGAAGGCTTAGCAGCTGCTTGATTTGATGAAGCTTTGGGTCGCTGGTAAGCACAATCTCGCCGGCGTCGTCTTGGTATGATTAGAGGAACGGTAGTAGAGGCACATCACCCCCCAATTCTCCCAAACGAGTCAAGACCTCGGGGATAAGTGGTGTAAGCTCTGCTCTTTGGCGAGCTAATCGATGAGCTGGGTAGTACTCCCAGAATTGGAATGCTGAATCATGACCGCTATCATGCGCAGAGGATTTGGGCTGGCTTGCCTCCCTGGAAATACCTCGGACGTGGCCAAATCCCTCCCACCGCCAGTTATGGCCGCTCGAGTCTGAGCATGTTACCTGTCTTGACCTTCCCAAGGGTCCATGGAGACGACCAGTATGGCCTGTACCCTGCCCTGAGGGTGCCTGGCCCATGGAATCTATCCGGCGGAGGCATTCTACCTTGGTCACTGTTTGACGCCATGTCAGCACTAAACAACCATCTCCAGAGGGGCTTGCCATGGAAGATTGAACATGTGTCGTACGAGAAGCCCTAGAGAGACCGCACAAGACAACATCAGCCTCCGGGAGTATCGAGACATCGTCAAGCATTCCTTCCACCAGGCCTGGGCTGCGGTGAGGCTTTTTGTGTCTTACTAATTGGTCTTAAAGATATTGCAAAGATAGGGCGGAGTTTAGTCTGTAGACAAACAAGTTCTCCTCCTCGGCCATCCACAGACACAGTGCGAGGGCGAAAAAGACAATGGGTCTGGAGGTAGTTTCTCGGCCTCCCTCAGATATTGCTCCTTTGTTCAGTACAAAGGTGATCCTGGTGAACACTGCCGAACTTTGGCTCGAAATTGTGCGCGTGGAATTAGTGTCGATAACCAGCGGAGTGGGTGTATTCTTGGAGGCGTGCCTCTTGTGATATTTGATCTATATCTTCTAATCTCTGATCATAAATCCTTTGAAGATGTCGAGGATGCCCATGTTCATCGAGACAATCTTGGTTGCTTAGTGCAACATGGTGCTACTAGCATGGATAACGGTGCATAAGACATGACTGCCGTTATGCAGAAGTGTTCAATGTCGACGAAGCTAGGCAAGAGAGATAGACTCTGAGGAATCAAAATTTGTGCGAATTATGTCAAAGTCAAGGTCTGCCTAGTGCTCCTAGAAATTTAGCAAATAGCAATGGTAAATAGCAACCCCAGGTGCGAAGTCTTCCAAGCCGCAACATTGGCGCGAAACTGCAGAGAGGGAGAAAGACTATCATCGAAGAATAGTTTGCACTCCTAAAGGGGAAATTATGGGGGATCTATTCTCTCTCGCAGCCTATCCCTCTCATTCTAGCTCGATCTTTTCTCCCCCGCCATACATGTCATTTTATTCACAGTCTCAGGACTAATATACAATGTTTTGCCGTCTCCGATTCATCGTCGCGCCTATAAATCCACGCCCCTGCCTCCGATCATTCCAATTCCTAGCGGCAGCCGAGGAAGATCTTCAAAGACATCAGATGTTGTGAGATTCTCTGCACGTGGATTCGTGTGCCGGAATCTGGACAAGTGTGTGAACATGATGCGTGTCAGCTTCCCAAAACATTCTATGTCTTCGAGTAGGGATCAAGAAGGCGCGCGTCCAAGATTGCCCTTCTTTCGGTATCACCTTTATGCCTTGGGCCCGATACACCGGTCCCCATACCTGGATTTCGCCATTGAGACCGTGAATGTGTACCGTCGGACCACCCTGAGCATCCGCGTCTGGCAGAACCATGGAAGTAGTCGCCATACCATGTGCCACTTTCAACCTCGCGTCGGAAGGTACGTGTAAGCGCATGATCAAGCTAGTCATCTGATCTGTGCCGAATGCTCGAAGAATTCGACCATGCTTGCCAGTGCGTATGGAGGCGATCGAAGCCCAGGATCCCGAGTGTGATACAGTTATTCAAGCCGCAAGGAGCGCCTTCTTGGCTCCACAATGGTCTCAAGCCCAGCCTCACCAGCCCTTGGTGCAATTCGCGCGTTCGACTATTGTTCGAGTAAATGGTGCATTGGTGAACTCTTCTTAATCACGGCATATCCAACGCCCAGGCAATACATGTAGGGAAGCGCGCTAGCTGGCTTGTTCGGCTGACTTCCCCCTGCCATACCTGTCCCGCCACATGAACAATGTTCTTTCGTATGATACTTGATAGAAAGAATAGTACCCTCTCTAGACGGGAGAGCCAGCGGTATTGAAAAGCAGCGTGGTCGGGTGGATTGTCGAAGTGCCACTTGATATCGAATTGATGCCAAGATGCCATTCAATGCCCCCTATTCGGCTCCGGCCTATCAGCCTCGTCCATTTTCGGAGCCTTGCTCCTGGTGACAAGGATTTTCCGGCTTGGCAAGAATCTGGAGCCAAAAAGTCCGCAGTCTGCAAACCTCCACAGGCGCAGCGCCGACTCGATACTATTTGCTTTCCAGCATTAGTGCACAACGTCGCAGTACATTCAGCGAGACGCAGTCATGCCCTCAACGCACAAGAAGGACAAGCCGTGGGACACGGATGATATAGACAAGTGGAAGGTCGGAATGTCCCGTCAGTGTCTTGCTTTCGCTAACTTTTCCCCAGATTGAAGAATTCAAGCCGGAACACAATATCGGTGGCACGTTCGCAGAAGAATCATCTTTTGCGTGTTTATTCCCTAAATATCGAGAACTTTATTTGAAGCAGGCATGGCCGTTGGTCACCAAGGCATTGGAGAAGAGAGGGATCGCATGCACACTCGATTTGGTCGAAGGCCGCATGGAAGTCCGCACCACTAGAAAAACCTTTGACCCGGCCGCAATCCTCGATGCCCGGGACCTCATCAAGTTATTGGCACGAAGTGTGCCTGCTCCGCAAGTAAGTCTTGACGTGGTCAGATATTCCTCATGCCTAACTAGTGTCTCAGGCCATAAAGATTCTCCAGGACGACATGGCCTGCGATGTCATCAAGATCAGAAATCTGGTCCGGAACAAGGAGAGATTCGTCAAACGTCGTCAGCGACTCCTTGGACCGAACGGCTCCACACTGAAGGCCCTGGAACTTCTCACCAATACCTACATCCTCGTACAGGGAAACACCGTCAGTGCGATGGGCGGCTTCAAAGGCCTGAAGGAAGTGCGAAGGGTTGTGGAAGATTGCATGAACAACATCCACCCTATCTACCATGTTAAAGAGCTTATGATCAAGCGGGAGCTAGCAAAGGACCCTGCTCTCAAAAACGAAAGTTGGGACAGATTCCTACCCAACTTTAAGAAGAAGACTCTGAGCAAGAGACGGGTTCCTCACAAAGTCATTGACAAGGCCAAGAAGGTCTACACACCCTTCCCGCCGCCGCAAGAGAAGAGCAAGGTTGATTTGCAGATCGAAAGTGGAGAGTACTTTCTTGCTAAGCAGGCCAAAGAGAGGGCTCGAGAACAAGAGCGGCAGGAAAAGCAGAGACAAAAGAAGGAAGAGAAGCAACGGCAGCGAGAACAAGCATTCATTGCTCCGAAGGAAGACATGGTACAGAAAAAGGCAAAGAGGAAGAGTACGGACGAGAATGACGGGCTCAAACCAAAAAAGTCCAAAAAGACTTTAGGGTGAGGAAGCCCTTCGACGACTGTTCGCTTATGCACTCCGGATCGAACAATCGGCTACCACTAAGATATGAGCCTCCCGGATGGAGTGTCTACCTTACTACCAATTCGGTCTCAAGCGGGCCACCAGAGCCGAAACAATCATAACACTGAACAAGCCATTCACTTTCATCAGCTTATGGATTCGAAGCCGGCTCAATCACATGCTGCAGCTGCCATGAGCAGCCAGCCATCAGACCTCAATAACCCTGAAATGACTTGAGGCATGCAACGTTGGACGTGGTTGGTTACGTCCGAGAGAAAACAACCCCGGCTCCAACGCAGACAATGCAAAGGTCAAACACCGTCCGGCTACCAAGGGCGAATCAAAATGCCGACAGAAGCCGACTACCAGAGTTTGCCAATCTCACGCCATACTGCATTGAACATAGTGAGGATCGTGATTCTCCACGATTTTTTTTTCAAAACCTTCTAGCGGCCTTCTAGAAACGCCGCTGATGCTTTCTTGGGTCTGAGATGAACCCCCCAGTGAAGCTTGGGTATTCCCACCTTCCAGCGCAATCTCAGCTTGCTCAACAGCCATAACTGCACAGCTGGCGAGTGTCATCTGCTTGTCGTCCGGCAGCCCCAGCCGAGCTTGGAGTGAGACGCCGATAGCTGGACGCTCTGGCGAATCAACCCAGGCCCGAGTGATGGGGTGGTGGGCATCTTGAAATCAGCATCTTGTGGCCAATCTGGGTATTCTGTCGCCCTATGGTCTAGACAGGTGCTGGCCGAGAGGAGATTTGGATGACACAGATTGTGCTCCGTCTTTTTTCGGCGTTGGTCGGTCTTCGTCGCCGACAACTAAATGAGGCCCTAGTCTGATGTCCAAGTTGCAACTTTCAGAATGGTCGTCCATTGCCGGAGCGGGGTTTCTTCTCAAACGGCCTGCGGCCTCTTATTGGGCAGATAGCTCGCCGGCTTCTGCCACGCCTGGTGATGCCTTATGGTGTGATGCATGGGGTTGCAGGGGCTTCGGGGAAACTCGAGCTTGGAGAAGGGCCGAAGCTGTCCTTGCTCAGGGGAATAGTTTCGCCGTTCCGACCAGTAGCCTTGCGGCTCATCCACTACCTCTTACACCGACCCAATCAAGACAGCTCGCTCGAATTGATATCGAGGAGGAGAAAGGCTGGGCAAACTCTTCTGGTTCGAGGGCTGATCAAGTTCTCCACTTCCCTGGTCTGGGGGTATGCCAGAACTGTCACCGTCATGGAGCCACCTGCATGCAGCTGTGCTAGAACGGGTCAGGCTTTGCCCAAGAGGCTGGTCGGCCAAACTCGCCTTGTCAGGCGCTCGCAACCATTCTGCTTCGCAACGAACCAAGAGCCTGCACTGAGATGCTCCAGGCGCATCCAACCCAGACCTCTGGGGAAGCTCTGACAGAAGGTTATTTCCCTCAGCCAACGACAGACACTGCCCTCGCCGGACGTATATAAGATGGCCAGTCATTCTCCTTGCAATGCTCTCTGTTCGTCACGATCAGCTCCATACTTCCTCAATCGAGACTCTCGACCATCAGCCTTTACGAGAGACCCTTGGTGATTGATTCCGCTCAAGCACTTTCCCCGCCTTCAAGCTATATATACCTCCCACTGTCCATCTATTTTCCACAGGCTACCTTCAGTCCTCGTTGCTTGACCCGTTTGCTACAACGCAAAAGCTAGCCCACTCCTTCCTCAAAGCACCAACGACATCACCACCATGGAGCATGACTCAGTCGAACGTCAACCATCTAACGCTGATGCAATGTCCAACCAACAGCGCAAGAGTGTTGCCAACAAAGGCTTAACTGGCGCTTCGGCCCTGACAGTCAGACAATCCATATTCCCTATCACACTGGTCACCGTTCTCTTTTTCCTCTGGGGGTTTGCGTATGGTCTCCTGGATGTGCTGAACGCCAAGTTTCAAACATCCCTCAACATCACGGCGGCAAAGGCAGGTGGCCTTCAAGGATCGTACTTTGGCGCGTACTTCATCGGACCTCTGACATATTCTGGCTGGATCGTCCGCAGATTTGGCTAGTAAGTCTTCCCTCTGTGAGCAACTGTTCCACTTTTGAAACAGTTGGCTTGTGATTATGGCAAAATCAGTAGAGACTAACCTACATTTGCAGTCGCTGGACCTTCATCACCGGTCTGTGCATCTATGGCGTCGGTGCCCTGATGTTTTGGCCCTCGGCAGTCTACAAATCCTTTGGCGGCTTCTGCGGTTCTCTGTTCATCGTAGGATCTGGTCTGTCTACCCTGGAGACATCTGCCAACCCATTCATCGCCACTTGCGGTCCTCCCAGATTGTCCGAGTTCCGTCTTGAGCTCTCACAGTCTTTCCAGGCTGTCGGGTCGGTGGTGGCCCCTCTCCTCGCTTCTCGCGTCTTCTTCAAGAACACACAGTCTACCGACCTCTCCCACGTCCAGTGGACTTATGTCGGTATCGCCGCCTTCGTCTTCTGCCTTGCGGTCGTCTTCTTCTTCAGCCCTCTTCCGGAAGTCACCGATGCCGACATGGCTCTTCAGGCGGAGCAATGCTCTGACCTGACTGGATATCAGGAGAAGCCACTCTCGAAACAATACAAGCTGTTCTTTGGGGTCGCTGCACAATTCACATACGTTGGTGCCCAGGTCGCAGTTGCCTCCCAGTTCATCAAGTATGCGCAGGAATCGGCAGGGCTCTCGGCCGCTGCCGCTTCTGACCGATATGCCATCGGTCAAGCACTGTTTGCGATCGGGCGATTTGCTGCAGCCGGATTGTTCATGTTCGTCAAGCCTCGTCTGGTTCTCATGCTGTTCATGACCATGATAATGGTCTTCATTGCACTGGCGATTGGCATCTCGGGAGAAGCGGGTGTCGCTTTCCTCTCCCTAGTGCTCTTCTTTGAGTCTTGCATCTTCCCGACCATCTTTACTCTCTCCATCCGTGGCTTGGGTCGACACACCAAGAGAGGGTCCTCCTGGATCGTGGCCAGTGTCTCGGGAGGTGCCTTGTTTCCTGCACTTACCGGTCTCGCGGCCGACCACATGACGTATCACAAGGCCATGGTCGTTCCCTTGGCCGGGTTCTTTGTCAGCTTCGTCTTCCCCATCTACTTGAACACAATCTGCAAGAAAGAGTTGGATGGTTTCCGTGAGACCAAGATCGGCTACGTGGATGAGAGACGGGGAACCATCATTGGAGATGTCAACGATATCGAGACATTCGAGGCTATGGAGAAAAGACGGTCGGTCAATGTTGAGAAGGTGTGAACATGGTGCAGTCTAAAGGGCGGCGATGAGATGGGAGCTTCCAATTGACGGGCCTTTGTGCTTCCTGCAAGGGCGCTTTTGATGAACGGAAGGGCGGTTCACGTGAATGGACATAGATATGATACCAACATGATTGTTCTCCAACTTGAAACTCCTTCCAGCCTACTTGGGATCGCCCAGCGTACCTATCTCTTTGCAGCCATTCTCGTATTTTGCCTGGTCTCACTTAACACTTCCGTGGCGGCCTGGGATGTACCCCAGCAGGGGCAAGGCAGTCAGTTCACCCTTCGCTCTCTACCCTGAAGACTGCCTTGCTAGGAAGAGGAAGACCAACATGGAGCATGGGCTCATCATGGCAAGCGGGGTCAGTACAGACCAAGACCCGGCGAGACCAACGCTAATGCACCGGCGTAACAACAAACGTCACGATGGTCATGAGGCCGTGATTTGAGTATGTTTCTCGTATTTCCCGTCGTCCAATCCCGCCGGGCGGCGACCTCGTATATCAGTAAAATGTTGGGTAAGCCGGTGCAGGGGTTGGTGCAGACGGACAGAGACAAAACAAAGAGCGGGGTTCTAGACACCCTACTAGACACCAACTTGTCCTGATGCCATCAGAGCACATGCTCTGAAAAGGATCATGGTAAAATAATTCTCATGCCCCCCCCCCGGGGGGCGGGGTGGTTTGCGTCCTATCTACCTAGCTAAGTTGGCCAACTTTATTCCCTTCCGGTTTCATCGCTTCATTATACCGGTCTGCCTATTGCCCCAACGCTCTGTGGTGGAGATGGCGCCTTCTCGTGGCGCAGAGCCTAGGTACTCCAGACAGAGGCAGGCCACCAGGACCGCTCCAGGGCACCTAGGCCAAGGAGACGACCTGAAACTATACGCAAAGTTGAGTTGCAACGGAAGTGGCACAGTTCTGGCATAGAATCTACCCTGTATTCATTGTAGCTGAAGAACGCTCGATTGTTACGAGGTGGCGGCTCCCCTCAGAAGTAGCTAATAGTGACGACTAAAGAACAGAGCTCCATCGGGTTTTCAAACCTAGACAAAACATTTGCTATCAACGACAGTCGCCTTCCATCTATTTGCGTCTATATGTCACTTTGCCATTGTGGAGGCTCTGCCTGTTCTTACAAGGCGGCCTCGAGCCCCATCAGTCGCTGAGGGTGGGTGTTGACTCGTTAGGTGATCAATTTAGGGCCACTCGATACGAGAGATAGACGAATTCCCCAGTCAGGAGCTGTTGGTTCACACCGTCCAAGACCTGAGGTTCAGCTGAGTAAACTTAGGCCTCTGTGCATCGGTCGTGATCAACCCCGAGCGTCCACTCGGAGCAGTTGATCAGCATGAACAAACCCTGATGAACCCTGTTTTGGCTCTACCTCAAATGGGCGGTGGCCTTGTTGAAAAGAGACCCGTCAGCTACACACTGTATGTGACACATTCAGGATGGTGATCTCCCTGTACGTACATAGCCGAGTCACACAGCACTGGACCGAGACGTGGATTCCTGGCATTGGCTCGCGTCGCGCCTTCCAAGCGAGCTGAGGAAAGGAAGGCCAAGTCAGGATCGAAATGCTTTTAATTCAACCACATCGACGTCTTCACTTTTTCCCAGCACCTTCTCCAACGTACTCAGACCGACCCGTTCTCTCGTCAACATGTACGGCCGCGACCCTTACGAGTTCGTCGATTCCTCGTACATGCCCCTTCCCATCCTGAGACTGATCAGGACGATTCTCCAATCTTGGGACCAGGCGGAGACAGACTACAAATACGTCGGCGCCTTCCACAGCCACGGGATCCTGCACGTCGCCCCGGAGCCCTCAGTCGGCGAAGCTGCCATGAGGAGACTGCACGACGACATGATACACCCGGCCAACGGGCCCATCGTGGGTTTGCAGCATTACCTCGATCGCATCTTCATGTTGCCCACTGCGCCAGAGGGGAAGATGGAGACCGTGTTCACCGGGAAGTTGACCAGCACCTTGAAATCTGGGGAGGAGGTCACCACGGACTTTGCCACCTGGATCGTGGCTTGTCCCGACAATGCTGGGGAGCCGAAGGTGGAATTGCTGAGGGTGTTTTCAGACACGAGCGAGTTGATGAAGAAGATTGGCGAAATGATGGCGGCAAAGACTTAGACTGTGGAAGCTTGCGGCATTATGGAGGGTGAGGGGGCGCAACGTCCCTTGTTGAGGAGGAAGATCACGCGAAGGACGCCTTACAGCTGACCGGCGGAGGAAACAGATTATTATCGAGGGGTACACCCAGTAATAAACAACCTGAATTTCTGTGACGATCTTCGTTTGTCCAAGATCTAGCTCGGCGTTTCTTTTCATGTCCTTACCTCTGTCCCTTCACGAGGAAAAGAACATAATAGGGACAGGATAAAACGGTGGAAGGAACTGGAATAAAGCCCCTAGGTACGGACATGAAGCTGAATCGTCTTCAATCGTGGCCGCTACTGCCGAGATGAGTCCAAGTGAAACCCGGAACAACGAGTGAGGAACGCAAAAGAGAGGCAATCCCATCCGGGGGCACCTCGTGGGCAATTTACTCCTGACAAGGCTGTGGCAGAAAAGGGATGGACAGCGAGGCGCGGAGGTGACGTGACGCGCCGCGACACCCCATAATTACCCACGATACAAGAGCAACAACGTGAAAACAACACTCAAGGTATCGCCGCTATACATGGAAAATGCATGATACATCCATTGTATTCTAGCGTTTAGGAGTCTAACTGGACCATCCGCCCCACCCGCCAATCTGACCCAGCACAGCGAGATCTGCCAACACAAATCATCTATCTACCCAGTGGCCACCGAACCAACGGCCCCCCTTCCCCCAATGCTAATGGCCAAAGGAAGTCTGCGTGCTGACCTGGGCAAGATGCTTGTGTTCGCGCTGCCACCGCTTCGAGTACCGCACGCCGAATCCGGTGCGGAACACCTCCCGCACCGTCTCCAGCGGCATGCCCTTGCACTCCGGGTAGCAGAAGATGATGAACAGCCAGCCCACGAAGCAGATGCCCGAGTAGATGCCGAACGCGCCGCTGGGGGTGGCGTGCTTCATGATGGACAGAAACGTGGAGGCGATGATGATGTTGGTGCTCCAGCAAGTCACGGTATTCTGCGCAAGGTTCCGAAATGTCAGTCGGTCAAGTAATTTTTTTCTAGCCGGGGGTGTGGAAGGGAGTCGGAAAAGGTGCAGCGAACTTACCAGCATGGTGCCCAGAGCTCGGACTTCGAGAGGAATCAGCTCGGTGCCGATCCACGCGATCGTGGCCACGCCGGACGAGAAACAGGCCACGTACACGATGATGGCGACGAGCACCAAGGTCGCCGGCCACCCGATGTGGTTGGACTCGACGACCAGGTCCCTGCTGATCGGGATATAGTGGAATGACACCGCGGCGATCATCATGCAGATCGACATGCCGAGGACCGTGACCGTCAGGAGGACGCGGCGGCCAAACTTGTCGACCAGGACGAGGTTGACGATGGAGAAGACGAAGTTGGTCCCGGAGACGGTGATGGCGACCGCCGTGGCGTTGGTGAAGCCCACGATCTCGAAAAGCGTGGCGGCGTAGTACATGAGCTGCGGTGCTAGAGTTAGGATCCGGTTCTTTTCTCAGGGTCGCACAAAGGAGCACTTACAGTGTTGAAGCCGCCCAACTGGCTGATGGCCATGACGATGCAAGCGGTGAGGACAGCACGGCCGGTCGCCGGAGTGGTGAAGATTCGCTTCAGCGTGGTCCACAGCGACTCCTTGGTCATGGCGGTGGTGGCTTCCTGGAGCGACAATTCGATGGACTTGATCTTGGCCTGGCGCTGGTCGCTGGTCGACGTGGGATAGATCTTGAGCAAAACACCCTCGGCCGCCTCGTATTTCCCATGAGAGACCAATTGGCGCGGAGATTCCGGGCAGAGCAGAAGCAGCCCAGCCAGTGCAATGGGGGGCGCGGCTCCAATGGCCACAGTCGCTCGCCAGCCCTCGCCGTGGACATGTTGAAAGCCTGCTCCGATGGCTGAAGCGACCAGCTGGCCAAAGGTGACGCTCATGTTGTTGAAGGCGATCATTCGACCTCGATACTTGGCTGGGGCCAGTTCACCGACTGCGAGACTGTTAGCACACTCCAAGCATTGCACCTCTTTTGAAAAGAGCTTGACGGACTATAAAGCGGGCATATCATGGCCGCCGAACCCACGCCCAAACCGACCACAAAGCGGCCGACCGCGAATTGAACCAGGCTATAGGCGCAACTCTGGACGACGGTGCCGATGACGAACAGCACACAGGCATTCCAAATGGGCCATTTGCGGCCGAATCGATCGGCTATCAGACCGGCAAACACAGCTCCCACCAGGGCTCCGCCGCTGGTGAGGGACGTGACCAGTTCTTGCTCATCCGAGCTCAGTTCATGGCCGAGTGACTTTCCTATCGTGACGAGGACTGAGGAGATGTATCCCGTGTCGTAGCCTGCAACAGAATGTCAGTGTCGAGTGATGTCTCCGAGACGATGGCGTTGGCAACATACCGAATAGGAAACCTCCCACTGAAACGGTGATGGAGATGAGCCACGCTGCCTTGGACGCGGCGGTTGCCTCGATGCCGCTGAGTTCAGTGACTTCTTCCGACGTACTCTTTCTGCGCTCGACCGCCTCGACCTGGTCGGCCCCGTACTTCTCGATCGACTTCTCGGACATGCCTGTGCGAGGAGGTGAGTTGCGGGAGAAGGAGAGATCGTCGGTGGGGGATTTGAGATTGAGAGTTGAAGGGCCGGTCTCACGAGATGTGATCGCTGGGTCGATGAAAAGGTATCTCTCTGGAGGAGGATCCGCGATGCTTTAATAGTTTTGGGCGCCATGGTTCACACGGATCGAGACTCTGATCATCCTCGCGCTGGGAGACGGCGAGATGGTCCACTCTCACGACCGCACCACCAGAGATCCATGGCGGCGGAGAAAAATGGTACCCGTCAACCCCATGGGGGCGAGCGCGGCAAATGGTCAAGCCACTGAATTCCCCAGCTGGAGTTCGCCGCCCCAGACACCGAGACGGAGAAAGATGGCTCTTTTCAGACGACTCGACGGGGAAAGACTGCCCAGGACTGTGCCTTTCGGTTGGAACTTGGAACGGCGTCTGCCCGTCGGGAGGCCACCGGCGGGATACACCTCGTGTTGCATTGTCTGTGCTCCTAGACCATCTCGAGGCCTTGAGCCAGGCGGGATGTAATGGCCTCAATCGATGGGCAAGGAGTGTGCGATTGTTTGCGGCAACTCTTGATACCCCAGCAACGGGAATCGGCTTCTCCTCGTCTAGTTTCAGCCAAAGTGAGCCATTTTGATAGGGTTCCGCATGTCCTTCTCCTCCATGCATTGTGCTCGCAAGAGATAGGCTGTAGGATCTAGGTCCCTCTGGCAATGAGGAGGATAAGGATATCCTGCGCACAAAGTCTTTGCCCACTACTAAGACATGGGCGCATTCGCACAAATGATCAAAGGCGAGGGACGATACTGTGGACATCACGTCTTTCTATTACCCCCCATGAACTCAACATGGTCTATAGAATATAGTAGATATCGCTGTCAAAACAAAAAACCATCAAGCAGCCTTCGGCGCTCGTCTCCAAACCTTGACCGGCATCTCTCCCAATAGCCAGTTCATGGTCTCCAGCCTCTCAATCTCCCAATTGGGATGAGGGAGCGCAAACTCGTATTTTCGGAGCATAGAAGCCAATACCACGGTTTGTTCCAAGTAAGAGATGTTGCGGCCAATGCATCCTCGAGCACCGGCAGAGAAGGCAAGGAAGTAGGGTTGAAGATTCTTGCCTTCGTCGCCGAGCCACCGTTCGGGGATATACTTGTCGGCGTGAGGAAACTGGTCTTCGTTCCTGTGAGCCACCAGCGCCGACATGCCCACCGAGACACCCCCGGCAATGTAGTCATCTAGGATGCTCAGACCCTCGGGAGGCGTCTCACGGGGAAGGGCGTGAGGAGTGGGTGGAAACAGTCGCAGCGACTCGTCCAAACAAGCTCTCAGATACGGCAAATGCTTGACCCGGTCGTAGGGCACCACGGCCTGCATGTCTTCGTCTTCCAGTGCAGCATCAAGCTCCTCCACCAACTTTTTCATAGCTTCGGGATTCTTGAGCAGTTGATAAAGGACATTTGCCATGGCAATGGCAGTTGTGGCACTACCTGCGTTCATCATAATGCTCACTTCCGCCACAATTTCGCCCCATTCGAGGTTGTTAGGGTGGCCGTTCTTGTCCTCCATAAGAGCCTGGAAGAAGTCGTCCAATTTCTCGCCGCGACGATATCGCTCCAGCCGGCGAAGGGCAAGCTCGAGAGGGATCCCGTCCCAGTCCCTTGCCAGCTTTCCCATACGCCCATAGAAGGGAATCGCGTTGGAAAGCTTGTTGATCAGCGGATACCACTTATACGGCCATACCAGTAATGATTGTTTCCGAGCATTCTGATAGAGGCACTCCCGAAAATTACATTCATATTTGGTACCGTCAGTTCTGCGGCCGGTGATGCGGTCGTGACCATTGTCGAGGAATCGCAGTGTCTCCGACAAGCCAATGTCGGCAATGGCATCCAACGTAAAGTAGTTGGTCCATTCTCGGTAATCCACATTCAACTCATGAGCCTCAGGGAGTCTTCCGGGCTTCAACGGGGCAGTGCAGCACTTGTCGAAATGTGCGATCATCCGGGCTGTCTTGTCCGCCACCTTGTGTTCCCAGCCTTCCAGGTTCTTCAAGGCGTATGCCGACGAGAGAACCTTGCGCTTCCTTGCATGTTCCGGTTTATCGATGACATCGGCAAGGTGGAAGTGGGATCCAGCGGTGATGACATAGGAACCATCCTTTGTGCACTTTGTGTTGTGCCCGTAGATGTCCTTGATGGCTCGAGGGTCCGAATATGACAACGTAGTCGGCCCAGTTCGAATAACGGGGTGATTCCTATGAAGCTCAACTAAGCGAGCTGATCGAGCACCCGTGTGTGCCAGTAACATGAACGGGATGGATGAGATGCCAGACAATGGTGTCATGGCCGGAAACTTTCGAAGTCCTGCTCTGTAAGTTGGCAACGCGCTCACCAAGTCCAGATGTGAATTGCGGGCTCACCTTTAGGGTCTCGAAAGTAGACGATCACTGGATAGACCAGGAAATAAAGGATGCAGCAAGTCCCCAAGAGGACTGCATAGGGGGCAACCGGCACTGTGAACATGCTGAAGCCGCCTGGGAAGGGGTCGAAAGGGTTGGAAGTGAAAGTAATTCAGCCAGGACAATGCGCGATTCCAATGTCCCGTAGAGCACCGCGTCCCAGCATATTTATCTTCTCACGATCGACCACCGCGTACCCCGCCATCTTCAACACAGTCTGCATTCGAACCAAGTCCCTTCTCGCGAGAGATGGAGGAGCCGGAGATAGCTGCGTAGGACGAGTTCTAGAGAAATTCTAGAAAATTTCAGAATGGAAATCTTTCGCCGATGGCAAACACGCCGGTGGTGGAGGCCGGAGAATTGGTGATCGTCAACTCGCCTGCGCCTCCACCAGTCGCTTCGGTGCCGCAGCATCGCAAGAGGAAATATTTCGCCGGAACAAGCTGAGACTAAAGCAACTCAATCCTGAGACACACATCCAATCAAGACCCCCCTTGTGGCAATGGGATGGACTGACTGACTCTCCTCGTACAGCACAAGACCCCGTCGATTCTCCAGACTCTCCCAGATGTGGCACTGAACCCGCCTCGCTACCATCCCGCAACGCCCGTCAGGCAATTTTCCTCCGCCTCCATCTTTCCTCAAGGCACAAGGCTCTCGGAGCCATCTATATCTAAACTGCCCTTTCCCTTTGTCCTTTGGCCAACATGACACCGCAATCGACCTCCCAATCTTCGCCATGGCTTCTCAGGCCTTCGAAATCTCATCAATCCCGCAGGTTGTCAGACTCTTTGCCCGAAGCCTGCAACCCACTTCGATTGCGGATTACGTGGCTTTGGTCATTGCGGCCGTGATTGTCGCGGGATACCTGACTAGAGGCACGTTGTGGGATAAGCCAGACCCTTACTATCACATCTATTTCGAACGGCCCCAACAACGCGACGGCGTTGCTAGCTCGCAAGCTCAGGCGCAGCGCAATATCGCAAAGAAGCTATCCGAAACCGACAAAAGAGCCGTCATCTTTTGGGGCTCTCAGTCTGGCACAGCAGAGCGCTTCGCCAATTACCTCGCAAAAGAGGTGCAATCACGGTTCGGGCTCGGTGCGATCTCTGCTGATCTTTCAGACTACGATTCGGATTCCATCGCTCAACTATCTGGTGGACAACTGGCAATCTTCATCCTCTCGACGTATGGCGAGGGTGATCCCAGCGACAATGCCAATGGCTTTTGGGATTGGATCAACAATGGATCTCCGGATGCTCTCCCAGACCTGCAGTATGCTGCCTTTGGTCTCGGAAACAGCAACTACAAGTACTACAACCGCGTGGTCGATGTTGTGGTCGAAGCATTGAAGAAGAAAGGCGCAACCCTTCTTCTGCCGGTGGGCAAAGCAGATGATGCAGAACGCTCCACCGACGAAGACTTCCTTTCATGGAAGGACGACCTCTTTGCCATGTTCCGGAACAGACTGGGGATGGAAGAACAAGTGGTCGAGTATCAACCGACGATTGTGGTCACCGAAGACGACTCTCTCACACCCATCGACCTCCACCACGGCGAACCCACGCATTCCAGAGACAACCCCAAAGCCGCCGCCTCATGCTCACCTATTCGACCACTGTCAATCACGAATCCCCGAGAACTCTTCCAATCTTCCGAGCGAAACTGTGTCCACATGGAGCTCGACCTTGCAGAACACCCCGAGATCCACTACAAGACGGGCGACCATCTTGCCGTGTGGCCTACCAACCCAGAATCCGAAGTCGAAATACTTCTCACTGTTCTTCGGCTGCAGGATCGTCAAGACATTCCGATTAGTCTCAAATCCGTTGACGCTGCAACCAAGCTCCAAATTCCCACCCCTACCACGATTCGCGCTCTTTTCTACAGATATTTGGAGATCTGCGCGCCCGTATCGCGGAGCACCATTCAAGGGCTTGCCACGTTCGCTCCTTCGCCCGACGCGAGATTGCGGGTCCTCAAACTCGGCCAAGACAAAGACTCCTACTTGTCGTACCTCAGGAAGAACCACCTGACCCTGGGTCGTCTCCTTAAGCTCGCCAGTCCGGATGAACCATGGGCCAAGCTGCCCCTGTCTTATTTGATGGAGGCTTTGCCTCTGATGCAGCCGCGCTACTACTCGATCTCGTCAAGCAGCGTTCTCAGTCCTCGGAGGGCCGCGATAACCGCCCTGGTCGCCTCGGACTATGTTCCCGAAAACCAGGAGCAGAAGATCAACGGTGTCACCTCCAACTATCTCCTCGCGCTGTCGCAGTCATATCCCGCGACGGCCGCTGCAGAAATGCAGGCAGAGAAGTCTGTCCGTCCGCAGTATGATCTCTTCGGCCCCACCAACCTCCTTCAGGGCACCAAGCTCTTCGCGCACGTGCGCAAAAGCAAATTCAAACTCCCCATCCAATCCAGCTGTCCGATCATCATGGTCGCGGCCGGGACCGGAATCGCCCCATTCCGCGCGTTCATTGCGGAGCGTGCAAAACTACACGCCATCGGAAAGCCCATCGGCGAGATGATTCTGTTCTTCGGGTGCCGTCGGCCGCAAGAGGACTTCATCTACCGTGAGGAGCTGGAGCAGGCTCAAGCCGCCGTTGGAAGGGATGTTTTCAAGATCATCACGGCCTTCTCGCGGGTCCAAGGGCAGGACAAAGTGTATGTCCAGCAGCGGGTGCGAGAACACGGCAAGCAAGTGGTCAACTTGATCGAGGAGAAGAGCGCGAGCTTCTACATTTGCGGGCGTGCCTCGATGGCGAGAGAAGTCGGGTTCAGCCTGGGTGAGACAATGAAGGAGATCAAGGGATGGAGTGATTCCGAGGTGAAGAGCTGGGGTGAGGGGCTCAAGAGAACGGGCAAGTGGAAGGAAGACGTCTGGGGTTGAGAACGCCACCATTCGAATATCAACGGGTTTTTTGACCTTCTTTGCCCGGATACCGAGGATTTAGATGAATAATAGAAATTTCGAAGTCTCAGAAAGCTCTCAGGCTTCAAAAAGCCATTTCCGTGGCTCAGATTTGCCACTGTTCCTTGAGGTCCCGGATGATATGTGAGGTCTGCCAACCCATGCGCTGGGTCATCTGTTCAAGGAAACCGACCGCGGCCTCCTGTTCGTCTCGATTATTCAGGTACATGCCGCCTGTGTTTGGATGAGGGCCAACTCACACTTGAAGAGGAGGGGGAAATAAACAACTCACATGCCGAAAGAATGTGGGAGGCTTGGAACATTGCCGTCTGGACGTGGTCGTTGCTGACGGCCAGACCGACAACCATTCGCAGACACTCGCGGACCATGGACTGCGGAGCGGAAAAGCATCAGCAGGCGGTTAGTTCAGTTCACGTGCTGGGGGAGGAACAGGGGGGAGGGCATACTTCAGAGTCCCTTCTCAAGCGCAACGATCCGAAACTCAGCTTCGAGAGGCGAGGGTCGTAGATGGCCAGGACGACCTTGGCGAGGTAGTAATGCTGGAGACCGACCACTGAAGCGGAGCTCGTTAGAAAACTAAACCCGCGTGAGAACGGTATCTGCTGCACACATACCCTGCGCTGGATTGCACACGTACAGCTCCGGCCACGGACTCCTGTTCGACTCCAGGGCAGAGACCCCGGGGCTGTCGATGAACAGGGGCGCAAAGTGCCACGGCTTGGAGACTTCCCAGGAAGTGACCTCCGAGTCTAGATCGGCCCACTGCTCCAAGGACAACTGCTCGTTGTCGTCGCCAAAGACGTGGGTGAGGATTCGGGCAAAGATGAAGATGATCCGGTTCGCCCAGGATTCGTCGTCTGAGAGGCGAAAGACGCTCGAATGGCGGTAGTTGGTAAGATTGATGGTGAGTGGGTGCTGAGAGGTCAGCGAGATGTAGATGTGCTGTCTCAGCGACACCCAGCTGGCCGATTCGCGGAGTCCGCCATCTGCGGCAAAGGAGGCTATCGAGTTCAAGATCCGTGTTGTGCCGAACAGGTGGCGTCGTTCATCGTTCTCTGATGTCGCACTTTCAGCATCTCTTCTTTACCGGGGAAGCTTGACCGAGCACAACCCACCGGACATCTCCTCATGGGTCCTCAGGAGAATGACAGCTGCCAGCAAGTTCTCATCAAAATGGCCCATGGGGTCTTCCAAGGCCTTAATCAAGATCCGGAGACATTCGCTCACATAGTGGGGAGACTCGTCGTCGTGGGTTCCTGCTAGCAGGCTCATCTGCCGTGAAGCTACGGCGAAAATTGCATTCTTGATGACAGGATAGTGTGCCGCCCGTTTCGGTATCTCCTTCCCAAAGTGCCGCTGCTTATCGCAGGAGTCGAACTGCACGTGGTTAGACAAGATAGGAGGGAATCTGTGATTGTGTTCAGGAGATTTACCTGCATTGATAGATGCACGATGTAGTGGTGCAGAAGCCGTGCTTCCTGTTGATTCTGGAATGGCCAGCAAGTGCCGAGTCCATAGTTTGGGGAGGACGTATCAACAGCGGAATTCAGAAGGACGGAGGGAGAGTGATGTTGTGAAGCAGGTCTTCCGGCAGAATGTGCAGGAGACAGCACGATAGAGGCGTGGGCATGCGATGAAAAATGCGAGTCTGGACTGCTGTGTTGAAGAGAAGCCTGGAGAGGGGTCAGAGGCAAGGCCGATCCATGTGGTGAATTCCAGTCGTGAGCAGCCACTGAAGTAGGATTATGCTCGATACGGAAATCCCTTTCGGCCCCAGCTGCGAGGGGAGAGATGGGCGGAGATGGGCCTGGGCCCTCTTCAGGCTGGGTATCGAGGTCTTGAGAGTCCGTCTCGTGATCCAGAGAGACAAATCGGACTGTATCTCACGATATCAATGGGGAAGTGAATAATGCCAATGGCCAAACCTACCTTCTGACGGGAGGTCGACCCAGACCTGACGGGGAGTATGCCTCAAGTCGTGTTTAACCCTGCGTCCATCGACGCTCTTCAGCCGGACAGATTTGACGGGTCGAAAGTGCAAGGGCGAGTCCAACAGACATTCCCGTTCAGCTTCTGTGCATTTCTGGCATTTCCGAGACCCTGCAACCTTGACGCCTTGCAACTTGTGAGAGATCAAATCGACAGCGCGGAAACATCCACTTTACACTTGACATGTCGGTCCCGACATGGCTGGCTGTGTGAATTGCGCAGTCAGTGTCTACGAGAGATGATAGAGAGAGCTGGGGACTGACCATCCTGTTCTGGTGCGCATCCCAGACAGAGCTCACGAGGAGCGCAGGTATAGAATTGGGACGGGAGAGCATTCAAGAAGAGGCAATGAAACCCGAAGTCCATGGCGGATCTTTAAAGCATGGTCTACCCACCCCAGTGTTTCCCCTCTCATATCCGTGCCCGCGATAACTTGGCTCTTTCTGGTGCTGGAGACGTGGAGATGCGGAGGACGAGGAGGCGAGGCGCCAGGAGAGGAAGTTCAATCCCGGCTCTCCAAGGCGGATCAGTTGCCGGTGAGTGGGAGGCGGGGGAGGACCCTTGACGACGGGCTCGTTAGCGAGGATGAAGCAGTTCTCCTGACATTTCAACGTTCCCTCTGGCGCCTGAAAAGGACAAGATGCAACGTTCATTGTCTTTGTTGGCTTTCCCTGCGGCCCAACGGTGCCGTATTCATGGTTACGATATCCGGGCACCCTCCAGGGGATGGCGAGCTGAGATTGTCTGCGGACGTCACGGCGTCAAATCATGCCAGAACCTTGGAAGGAGAATGCAATGGGTGGACGACAACGCAGCAGTAGTGAGAGCAGAAGTCTTCCAGGACTATTATTTCGTGCCAAAGGACGGGAAATGAGAATGCAGCTGACTCAGACTATTGCTTCAGACGATTGATTCTTCGCAGGAGGGAAAGCCGGCCGCTTCACCCCTCGTGTCGACACTCTCGTCTTCCCATCCACCCGCGGCGACAGTCACTCATCTCGTGAACAAGCGTCTCCGGCCTGGATCGCAATCGGGCCCTGGCAAGTCCATCCCACAGGATTTCCCGTGTCAAGCCAATATATTTGGTACGAATCCAAAGAGCTCAGGGCGTCATCCTGGCACGCATAAAAGCTATTGAACCCATTGTGCAACAGCGCCCCTCCAGCGCCGAATGAAAACCCTGCCGTGCTCGCGCCTTGAGGTGCGTCTCCGTGAGGGACGCTGAAACCCACGGGCTGGCTCTGATAGCGAAAGACGTACATCTGCTGGAAACCGGTTGGAGATTCGTGGATCGACAGGAAAGTGACCGAGTTGTCGCTGCCGTTGAGGGCCCCGACGATGAGTGGCTCAGCGTATGACTGGTCCTTGATCCGACCGACGTATGCGGATGAATTGGCATACGAAAGGCGGAAGGTTCGCAAGTAAGTGATGTCAAAGTTGGTCCCATCGAGGTAAAGGCCAATAGTCTTGTCAGTGCACGGAGCGGACTGACGAGGGACAATGTCTGCCGGTGCACTGGCCACATTGAGTGCACAGAGGCAGGAAACCAAGGCGAAGACGATAGGCCTGTGCATTGCAAAGACCGAGTATTGGACCTGCTCGTCGACTTTCCCGAATTCAAACGAGCTTCTGCTGAGGCTGGCACGTTCTGCAAGAGAGTGTGGTATTCAGTTGCAAATCCGTTACCAGGCTAGACAGACTGGAACAACTTGGACACGCCAGTAGTAATATAAGTTGTCCCGGATGAGAAAATCATGAAGTCAGGCTTCGAATACTTCGTTCGAAGGGTACACTAAACTATACCAGGGTACGTCTTACCACTGTCATGCGCTCCATGCTTGAGATAGGGGAAGGTTTAGTTCGTGCAGAGATTCAGGCGGCTGGAGATGAGCAAAGCAGATCCCGGGGGAGATGCAATGACAAGACTCTCTTCCTGTCCATAGAGAGTAGATACGATCGGTGGGTCAGATACATGTCAGCCTTACATATATTCGGATAAGATGAGGTGTTTGTCCCGCTTCGAATCAATTACCTCAACCAGTTGGCAGTACACTGTTTAGATGAACGAGGTTGCAACGGTGTGTAGCTTACTAGATATGACTTGGTTATCCCTGACATTAATATGATATAGGCTGACCACCATGCACCTCGAGTCTAGCCTACATCATCCGGTCGGAGAGGCTACGACGTCACTTCTATGCCGATATCGTTGCGGCAGCTTAGACCACGGCGTCCACCAGCTCAGGCTGTGACGAAAGAAACGGACCCTGAAGATTCTCCTAGCGGAAAGATAATTGTATCTTGGAACGACCGAAGACTATAAAGACAACGTTCACAGATCAGAAAAACATCAGAGGTAACATAGAACCACGCCACACGTCGCATGTGTCATGAAAAAGCTCCACGATCCGTGGATGCCAACCACCCAAGCCCGGCCTGAAACGACGCATCTCCTCATTGATATTGACCTGCTCGAACATCTCCTCGTTCTCTCCTGCGAGGGAGAGAACCTCGAGACCACATTGAAACAGATAACGCACTAGCCCACAATCCTGTTTGACTTCTGTGTGTCGTCCGTTGACGCGAGGACATCGCGTGCTTTGGCAAAACCAAGGTTTCTCGAAAGCGGCATTAATGAGGTACAGACCGTGAGCCAGGTAGATGGATCGTTCAAGTGCCCTTTGCGAAGCGACTTCAGGTTCCTCGGTTTCCACCGTCTTCTTCTTCCTCCACCACTGGACATAGTTGGGTGTTCGAGCCGCTTCGGACAACCACTTGCACTCGCTCTTGTATCGTTTAAGGAGACTGTCCTGGAGAACATGCAGGGCTATTCCATAGTGGATAAGAAACGGTTTGCGCCCGCTGAACCCAGTGTCTTGACACCAGACAGCAATTCGGTATGCTTCAAGCTCGGCAAATAGCTGTGCAATATCACCATTGACCCCTCTTCCACAGAAGCCTGCATGCTCCCAAAAAGTCATTCCAAGCGGCTCATCCGTTTCAGCCGGTGTCAAGGTGGCCAAGATGCTGTCAAAAGAGCAATTACCATGACTGAAGCACTAATAGTCTGGAAAGTATTGCCGGTCAGCATCGTCATTGAGAGTCCTGCAGAAAGAGTCCAACAGGTCCGGAGAGTCGACGAAAAGGGCCATGTGCTGGACGTAGTTTCGCCATTTCGCAATCTCCCCACGGAGTCTTTGTCTCCCGGCTTCTGCAGAGGCAAATGTCCTGGGCGATGGAGCATTGGTGGACAGTTGCAGTTGTTTTATGATATGAGGATCATGCATTTTAGCGAGGAAACTGCCCAGTCTCTCACCCAGCAACCTGAAAAAAGAGCTGACAACTCGACGGGTCGCGAAAATAGCCCGGGCCGCAGATCGATCTGCCGTTCTGACGCGACTCAGTGTAATTTGGTCAAAGATTTCGCCGAAGATAAGTGAAAGTGGCCGAAGGCTCCCCCACTGAGAAGTGAGCAGGATCGACCTTTCCGAATCACAATGGAGCGACCTGGGGATATGAATATCGGTCTGCGTTCGAAGATCATACAACGACCCTTGGGACAGAGACACCAACGAGCAACGACGAAATGGGATAAATCGAGCTAGTGGTCCACATCTGGATGAAGCAGGTCTCTCGGGCAAAGCGGAAGAGGGGTTGGAGAACAACAATAATGCTGCTTGGTGGATGCTCTGCAAGTCGAATTAGCGATGGTCAATGAGGTTAGTTTGGTTTTGAGTGATTCGGAACGCAGGCAACAATGTGGCCACAGGGATGTGGAAAGCAGGTGCCCTTACCATTGGTGTTGGCTGAGGATCCACGGAGCTTACAGGATTTGAAGCAGGGAGAGGAATATGGTAGAGAACCAGTGAGGCTGGTAAGAATGGGCCACGACGGCACTCAATGAATGGGCTGGACTGGTCGCGGATGGTTGCTTGAACAACGACCGAACCGTCGGCACCCCATAGATTACGCAATGGGACGATGTCGTATCTCACGTATGGGTGATTGTCGTTGAGAGAATTCAGGTAGCCTTCAGTGTCAAGAGCATACCCTAACGACGCTGACGGTTGGGCGGATAAGATAAGGTGATTCATATCGTAATTTGGGCTTTGTCTTCTGTCGAAGTAGGCTCAAAAGAGCAATACCGATCAAGGACTCTTTGATACCTGACCGAGGAAACTGTAGAAGATAAGTAAATGCATCAAAGAACCTTGCGTATCGAAAATGAGAGATGCGAGCGTGAGGAGCGCTGTGGAATCGCAAAAGGAGGAGCTTTGAAGCTGCTGCTGAGAGAAGAAGGCGGCGTCATCCGTTTGGCCAAATGATTCCGGTAGGCACGACGCAGGCAAAGAAGGGAATCCCGGCTCAAAGAATGCAATGTTGGCAAACACGAGGTTATCGGCCGCCTTCATGCATATCTATTCGTGATATTCATCTCCTGTCCAAGGGTCGAACAGGTCAAGTCGCTGAATGGGTACATGTGGTCGAGAGCTCTGGGCCGCCGGTGCAGGAAATGCTCAAGCTGAACCGTACATTCCTGCGGCATCTATCTCCCGATTACTTGGACCCCCTGTTTATCTAGATGTGAAGAAAAAAGTGAAAAGCCCATCCGCACGAAAAGTGGCCATTATGATTTGCCGGGGTATTTAGCCTTGCCGAGCGAGAAAGGCACGTATCGGTACTTGATCATATGTTGGATCTGCCGCCTCACTTGGGAGATAGTCAGTAATAATACTCGCTAGAAAGAAAGCTGATCAACTCACTCGTCAGGGAGAAGAGAATCAGCCAGTACATCACAAGTACAGGCCAAAAGACCGGGAGATTGAAAATTTCGAACCAGCTGCAGATAAAGCTGATCGTGATGGCTCTTGTGGCAGAATGCCAGAACTTGAACTCTGGTAGCCTTCTGATGAATGGTCGAAACTCATCGTCATGCTTGGTGGGCAGCGATGAGCCTTCCCCGTCTTCGAGACCCTCGTCCTGCGACAGGCTGGGATCAAATTTCGGTTGAAGGAATGCGAGGAACAGGTTGAGCAGGTAAATGCCCAGACAGTAGGCGACAATGTACCAGCCCTGAGCGACGATGATCCGGAGGAAGAAGAAAAGGAGGAGCACAGCCGTTGCCAACCATCGGTTGACAACATAGGGGGTGGATTTGTCGAGGTACGTTTGGTATTGCTGTCCAAGCTCTTTGTTAGCAGCCTGATCTCTTTTCGTCCTTGTCCTCGCAGACTTCTCATTCTCGTACCCTTAGTAGCTTATTGCTCTGTGTACTTATGGCGTCGAAGGGGGTGGTTTCCGGCTCAGGCCCGTCCATAATGGCAGCGCTTGTTGGTAGCGAGGAGGAAATATAGGGTCTGCGCATGCGCTTCCGTGCGGCAGCGAACAAGGTATCGAAAAGGTGCGCACAGTTCGAAACTCTCAGTGCAAGGAAGATCAAACTTGTCGCGTGGATAAAGGCGATATTCGGCGACAAGCAGAGAGTTGACACTCTGGTAAATTGTTGAGGGCAAGGAGTCCAGGTGTTGAAGCCACGTCGTTTTTTCCGCTCGTGGCAGCCTTTCACAAATTGTCGGAGTGGAGGTTCCAGATCGCAAGGCAAAGTCAAACTGCGCCTCGAAATGTGGCCACTCACTGCCACTCCACACCGGACTATTAGTTATTCCATTCCATGACCTTTGCGGCGAATCGTCGGGGGTCGCCCAACCTGCGGAGTAGCAGCCGAGGACAAACAGGGAGACCTGCGGTTGTCGTCGGGCGTGCCAGAAGCTCGTCAGTGCTCGAGCTGCAATATGTAAAGCACTGCTCCTCGAGATCTTTGTGGTCTCCTTGATATTCTCCAGCAGCAAATCCTGGCAATGGCTTCTCTGAGGTTATTCTCGCGGCCTGCAGCGGCTCTCTCAGCTGCACCACGAACCCTTCCGCGGCTGGTCCGATTTCAATCCACCTCAAGCAGCTATGAAAACATTCTAGTGTCAACACCGAGGCCGGGTGTTGGGCTTAGTACGCTTTATTCTATATTGTCGTTCGTGAGAGTGTCCTCTGACAGTTATAGTAACACTCAACCGTCCAAAGGCACTGAATGCCCTCTCTAGCGCTCTGTTTGTTGAATTAAATGATGCGCTGAAGAAATATGAAGAGGACAAGGATATTGGTGCTATTGTCCTGACAGGGAGCGACAAAGCATTTGCAGGTACGAACAAAACATGTTCCTGCAACAGATTATCCAGACGCTGATGGCTTGTGAACAGCTGGCGCAGATATCAAAGAAATGGCTCCCTTGACCTTCTCCGACGCCTATGTCAACAACTTCATTGCCCCTTGGTCCTACATGACGACTCTTCGAAAACCCGTCATCGCAGCGGTATCGGGCCATGCTCTTGGTGGTGGCTGCGAGCTTGCCATGATGTGTGATATTCTATACTGCACGAAGACTGCGAACTTTGGCCAACCTGAGATCAAGCTCGGCACCATCCCAGGCGCAGGGGGTTCTCAGCGTCTCACCGCAGCCATTGGGAAGAGCAAAGCTATGGAACTCATTCTCACAGGCAACAATTTCAGTGGCGAGGAGGCTGAGAAACATGGTCTTGCTGCCAAGGCCTTCGAGGGGGGCAACAAAGAGGTCCTTGAGGGTGCCCTGAACACTGCCGAGAAGATCGCCAGTTATAGCCGCGTGGCCGTCATCGCGGCCAAGGAGGTTGTCAATAAGAGTCAAGACCTCGGAGTGAGAGAGGGTGTTGAATACGAAAGACGCATCTTCCACAGCCTGTTTGGCAGCCAAGATCAAAAGATTGGCATGAAGGCGTTTGCGGAGAAGAAAAAAGCCGAGTGGACGAACTCATGATTCTCCAGAAAGGAGACAGCCCAGGGTCACAGGAGCTGAGTAGGCATGGGGGATAGTGTACAGTACAATCAGGAAGGTGGTCTAATAGAAAACGGTATAGGACAAGGCTGGGCAGGCAAAAGCCCCCCAACTGGGACGAAATTCCCAAATGTGGCTACTATGTCTCCTAAGTCCGAACTGCACACGGCCGCATTGCGCGCATCTAGAGTCCGGCCATGTGGCTTCAGTTGAGATGTGTACTACAAATACTCCCCGTCCCAGAGGCTGCCTACCACATTCTCCCCAAGAGTTCTCATGCTCCATGCTCCATGCTCCATGCTGACGTGAGGGGCTGCGCTTCGCATGGTCCCCCACAGGGCAGCGAGCAGTAACTCCGTGCAAAGCTCGGGGTTAAAGAACTGCCATTTTCTGAGCGACTGGGACAAACTAAGAGACAATACTGGTGCGAGATGGTCCTATCAGCTCCCTCAACGGTGTCCAACGAGGACGAAGTACGAATACTCTCCTCTTGCCCCTTGGTCCAGAAAACGGCCCCCAGGGTCTGGACAGGATCACCCAGCAACAGCCTGAAATGACCAACAAGGATCCATCTGGACTGAAGCTGTACTCGCTTGGGAGAGTGCGTTATTAAAAAGAGACACACACTACCTGACTCGTACACCGCATCTATCGAAGGATCGAGCCAAGGCAGACCCAAGGCTTAGAGAGGTTGTTGCAATACAACGATGGCACATTCAGGCCCCTGGACTATGTATAGCGGGATCCATTACAATGGAGCCCCAGGGAACAAGTCGAACGGTGTATGCTTGGACTTGAGCGCGCGATGGAGCGAATAGCAAGCGATCTCCCAAACGCATTTGCCATTTCCAGCTATTCTAATCGTCCGCTGTTCGGAACTCGTATTTGATCACCTCCAGCCTCCGCCTCCATCGATGCTCATGGACGGTGTGCAGACCCCGGTGTGTGGCGGTGCGTGGTATCATGATTGGTAAGAAGACAAATTGGGCCTGTAATGTCGCACAAAAGTACGAGGAGAATGGCCACTCCCTATTTCGTAATCCCAAGCGGAATACCATCGAGTTGTGCATGAAATAATGTCGCCCGTTGAATCAGTAAGACGTGGCGGGACTCGGCTTGGACAATCCGGAGTGACAGGGTCCGTTTAGATAGACGCCCCTAAACGTCTCGACCTGCAGACCTAGCTGGGTAGGTGGATGCCATGGGTTGAGTAACTCGATGAATAGGGATAACTGTTCGAGTACGAGTAGTAATCCCACAGTTTCGAGGTCTATGCCTAGGCTGGGTATTTGACTGATACCTGGGGACTGCGACCTGTTGCAGAGAGGACCTGAGTGAGTCGTGAGCAGCGGTGACGTTTGACGTGGCTCTCTTTCCCCTCCCCCTCCCCCCTCCTCTCATGCGAGGGTTGCTTTTTTTTTTGCTCTCTCTCACTCACTTCTCTCGCGCTCATGACTTGAACGGGAAATCCGTCATTCGTCGATCCGACCATGATTGTTCCAGTAGTTGTCGCCAGAGCCGTCAGCACTGGAATCAAGACTCCAAAGCCTCGTCAGGCCCACCATGTTGCGCTACTGCTTACTCGACAGGGATTGCTGAGCAGTTTCCTAGTCGAACGAGACTTTCCCAGATGCGAGAGTTTGGGCGGCTCGTAGGCTGCTGATTTCGCCCTCCAGACCGAGTATTGGTGGGGTAACCCCTTCATCGACCCTGCCAGCTGTGCCTTCATACGACTAAACACTCGTATTTCCGCCTTGAAGCAACCCCACAACCATTGTTCTTTGAACTAATGTGCAAGGAGGGGCGGACGGGTATCTCGCCTGTTGATTTGCCACGGTCCTCCACGGTCGGCCACGGCGGAATGCAATCCAGCTCCAGGGAGCTTGGTGTTGATGCTGTTGGCCTGACCAAGTGATGTGGCTGCTAGATCCAATTCCATTCCAGAAGGGTTGCATACGTGATCGTTGACTAGTGTGGTGGCCATGGCTTGGAGTTGCTCTGTTTTTCAGTGTTTCATCGAAGCTTACCGGGAGTTGGGTTTGCTTGGAGGATATATAAAGCCAATGCCCTGGCGACTCGGCTGCCATTCAACATTCTCTTCTGTGAACTCACCGTCAATCACTCACCGTTGACCAAGACCTGCTCCGTGTAAGAAGCATCAGCCTTACTGAGATATAGTCCACACAACAAAATGGCTCCTTCAGCAACAGATGCTCCCTCCCAGGGATTCACCCCCAAGCACATCGAAGACCGCCTCTTCATCAATGGTGAATTCGTTCCTTCCAAGTCAGGGAAGAAGTTCGACATCATCAACCCGAACAACGAGAAGTTCGCGGCCTCTGTCTATGAAGCTGGCGCCGAGGATGTTGACGAGGCGGTCAAGGCGGCCCAAGCTGCCTTCCCTGCCTGGTCGGGCCTCTCTGCCGCGGAGAGACAGGCCTATATAGAAAAGCTGGCCGATGCCATCGAGAAGAACCTCGAGGAAATCGGTTACCTAGAAGCCATCAGTATGGGCAAGCCTTACATTGGTGACTGTAAGTTCTCGAGTTCCCCCTCGTTCGGTTGCACCACTAACCCTGTCCAGTCTTCGGCCATGTCGCTGTTCAGATTCTGAGATACTTCGGCAGCAGAGCCCTCGATGTCCAGGGTGACTCGTCCCTGAACACCAAGGATATGGTTAACCTCACTTTCCGTCAACCCTTTGGTGTCTGCGGTGCCATTATCCCCTGGAACGTCCCTCTCCTTATGCTCATCAACAAAGTTGGGCCTGCTCTCGCCACCGGCAACACTTTGGTCCTCAAGTCCTCTGAGAAATCACCCCTCTCTTCGCTTGTTATTGGCAGACTCTGCCAGGAAATTGGTCTACCCAAGGGTGTCTTGAACATTCTCAGCGGATACGGAAGACCTTGCGGCGAAGCCATTGCCAAGCATATGGACATTCGAAAAGTCTCCTTTACCGGTTCGGTCATCGCTGGGCGAGCAGTCAAGAAAGCTGCCGCCGAATCCAACCTCAAGAACGTCACTCTGGAGCTGGGAGGAAAGAGCCCGCTGATCGTCTTCGACGATGCTGACCTGGCAAAGGCTGTTCCCGCTTCGGCTTTCTCCATCCTCGCTAACTCCGGCCAAGCTTGCATCGCCAGCTCAAGGGTGTATGTGCATGCCAACATTGCCGATAAGTTTATGGAGGCCATGAAAACCGCGATGGTCCAGATGGGCGTGTCTGGCGATGCCACGGTCGCTGGAACCCGACGAGGACCTCAGGCTGATAAGATCCAATTCGACCGCGTCATGGGCTATCTCAACTATGCGAAGGAGAAGGGCCTGGAGATGCCTATCGGTGGTGGCCGCGAAGGCACAACCGGCTACTTCATCGAGCCCACCATCATTGCCAACGCTCCCGAGGACTCGAAGGTCATGAAGGAGGAAATCTTTGGACCCGTCGTGTGCATCAACACCTTCACGGACGAAGAGGAGGTGCTGAAGCGCGCTAACGATACCGAATATGGTCTGTACGCCAGTGTTTTCACCAAGGATATCTCGCGTGCTTTGCGTGTGGCCAAGGCTCTCGAGGCCGGATCGGTCGGTGTCAACTGCACGAGCCCGACTATGGCCATCGACATGCCGTTTGGTGGCTTCAAGCAGAGCGGTGACGGCCGCGAGCTGAGCAAGTATTCGACAGATTATTGGACCGAGTTGAAGTCTGTCTTCATCTCCCTGTAAATGTACTTTGCCAGGACGGGCCCAAAGTAGTGTGAACAATTATTTGCGAAAGTACTCATGACCAGAAGAGGCCAAATGGATTAATTTAAAAAGAATAGAAATGAGACGTCTCTTGAACAGATAGCCTCAACTTTTTTCCCTAGCAATCTTGCTGAGCAGATGCGTATGCGTATGCTGACAGGTAATTATGTCTGCCGAAGGCGAGACTTTGCATTTTATTTCCTGCGGCAGCTCCTTTCGGTGGCCGCAAACGGCAACATTTCTGTCTGATTTGATAGGATAGAAATTAGGCGAAGCCTTAGAGTGTTCTTGACGCGTGCCTGTTTTGATCAAGCCATATCATTCATTGGAGGGAGGACATAGGTTGGGTGCCATTGGGTGTTCAGTACAGCCAAATCCTGGACGACCGCGGCCATTCCTGATGAGGCTTCTAGAATGCTGACGATAAGTTAGACCAGTACAGAGTGTATGATATCTGCCTACTTAGGTAGGTATCTACTGCAATCTGTGTCTCGACGGCTCGACGGATACCTATGGCATGCCATGAGGGCCGAAAGCAGCCTTGTCAGACAGTGTCATTTTCCGCCGCAGCTGTTTCCGAGGACACGCATCATCACTGAGCAAGAATCCATTTCCATCGACCTCGTCGCAGTACTAATGTGTCTGCGAAACCCTCTTCTCGCAATCTTCCATAGACTGTCATCATTTCTGGCCATCTAAGTGCCAACGAGAAACGTCAAAGTTCCCCGCCGCGATGTGCTTTGCGGTCAGACTGCGTCACACTCCTCCCAAGCGGGACGTCCCTCCCCTCTATCTTCAGCTGCAACATCAACGTTGGTGACTACTTTGGAATGGAATCCACCATGCGGAATTAGAAGAACAACCGTCAAGAACAATGAAACGTGGTATCTTGTGCTAGCGATCAAAACGACGACCAGGCACTCCCCAGCTGCGATGCGAATGGTCCAATCTGAATTGCAGGGACCGGACCCGGAGGCAAACACGGACTCCGGAGGATCAAGGAAGTCCTGGTGCCCACGAATGCCACGAGTTGAACGCCTTTGATCCCACGGGCTCTGGTTCCCTGCTGCTGGCTGTCTGGAAGATGACAAATGAGTTCGAACTGATGTCCATTGTGTTTCGACAACAGGCAAGAAAATGATGTGCAGGGCCTGAGGAGAGGAAGGCCAGCCGAAACACTTCCTTGTATATGCATCAACATCAAAGAATCAAGACGCCGGCTCACATACAGCTGAATCATTTGTGCAATCATGGCGGCCACCGCCGCCGAGCTTCCACCACCTCCTACTGACACGCCCGGCTTGAGAGCAAACCGGGCTTGTCGCCCTTGCGTTCAGATCAAAGCGAAATGTGTTCCACTCGAAGGATCTACCAACTCGATCTGTGTACGATGCCACCGCTTGGGCAAATCCTGCACGACTCCGGCACCGCTGCCACGGAAACGGCGCAACAATGGAAGATCAACCCGTGTGTCGCAACTGGAAGACAAGATCAATATTCTGACCGATCTTTTGACGTCCAATGACGACACTCCGACTGCAAGGCTTGATCCTGTCGTTGCTTCTAGTGGCTGTGCCAATTATGCTCAGCCCACTCACCCTACCGTTCCGGAAAACGTTGCTACCTTTCACAATGGGTCATGGTCTGCCTCACTCCCGACTCCAACATCGATGGCGCCCGCAGATGGAGGCAACAACACGACCCTACAGACTCAATCCACTGCAACTTGCGTAATGGGCTGCGCAAAGTCTACGAAACCCGTAGAACCCGCGCGTGCAAATACACACGATCACTTCCGAGTAACTCTGGCTCCGGTGTTGGAAGAAAAACTATTCAGCGACTTCCGCACACAGATGAATATACACTTCCCTTTTGTGGTGATCCCACCTCACACAACAGCTGTTGCTCTTCGTGAAGAGAAACCATTCCTCTTCCGGACTTGCATCACGGCAGCTGCTCAAGCTGATCCGTCACTACTAAGGCAGCTGGCAGACGAGTTGATGAGATATATCGGAGAGCGCATGCTGATGAAGGGGGAGAAGTCTCTTGATCTCTTGCAGGGGCTTCTGGTGTTCAGCTCCTGGTATCAGTACTACAATCACAACAACCCACAGGTGATGAATCTTCTACATCTGGCAACTGCTATGGCCACAGATCTAGGGCTGAATCGGCCCAGGCAGCCGGCAGTACTGGCCCCGATTGGCATGGTGGTTGACGCGGCCGAGATGTTTCACGGCAAGTTAGTCAACCACGGCGTACGGACCTCTGACGACCGACGAGCCCTTCTTGGAGTATACAATCTTTCCGGGCAAATATCATCCTGCTTTCGGAGATCGGACCCGATGCGCTGGACTCAACACTTGGAAGACAGTTGCAACGCTCTCATCGCCGCAGCCGAATACCCCTCTGATATCTACGCTGTCCAATTGGTGAGGCTGCATCGGGTTATAGAAGCATATTCTCCTTCCCTCGGCTTGATGACAACATCAACTGTGCCTCTCCGAAGTCTCATGAGTTGTTTCGAAAAAGACCTCCAGCAATACCAGGAGAGCATACCTCCCAGCCTTGCAGGAAACAATCTCTTCCAAGCGCAGATCCAAAGTGCTTATATCTGCCTTTTTGAGACCATATTTGCAGTCCAGGCGGACAGAGCATATCACCGAGCTGAAGCACTACATGCCTGTTTGAGTCATATCAGTCAATTGTTTGACTGCCTATTGGCCATCCCTTGGGGGTATGTGCCAAACTTGACGTTCTCCTTCTGGCTGAATCTCGTTCATGCCTTGGTCGTTCTTGCCAAGATGTCCTTCCTTGTCCTCGATGGATGGGATCTGCAATCCATAAGGGACTCTGAAATGAGCTTTCCGTCTACCATAGATCGGATGGTGCAGAAGATGGAAACCGTATCCCAACAGAGCCTTGCCTCTGGAGATACGCCAACAAATAACGCCGTTGCAACCCGCTTCAGCTTGTTCGCAGAGAAAATGCGCCTTTGTAAAAAGTGGTACGCGAGCAAGCTCAACGCAGAAACCAGCGTCTCAGCTGCAGGCCTTGACAATAGTGCGCTTCCCGAAAGCATCTCTGCGGAAGAGTTATTTGGGGGGTTTGAGGACGGCATCTGGCCAGACCTCATGGCTGATTGGAACACCAACATACAATTCTAGCTTCAAGCGGAAATAACGACGCCCGGCTGATACGACTTCCATTCTTAAGACCGTCACTTGAAGGCCAAAAACTCCGACAGGCTACATTAGCCTTGATCTTGTATGCATTGAGTATGGTGGGGACCGGATACGGAGTGTAAAGCAAAGGGGGTGGACAGAGTCGCTGGCCGACTCCCTGATCTAGGCAACTATAAACATCGAATTGCCATGTTCCCTTCGAATACTCGACTTTTCAACCGGCATTCCTCAGCAGACGGTTGCTTTGAACACAGCAGTGGTCAGAATGAAGAAGCAAGCTGACGCTTCCACCGACGATTCGCTCACTTCCTCGACAATTGTTACCACTCAGCCTGCTAGCAGGGGTGAAAATGCAGAGTCGTTTCAGAGATCTTCTGCAAAGGGAGATGAGGAGCATCAATACCTGGGACCACGGGCCTTGACACTTCTAGGTGGTTCCCTTCTGCTCGTCATATTACTCGTCACTCTCGATGCCTCCATTCTTGCGACTGCCATTCCAAAGATCACAGATCACTTCCATACCATCGCCGACAGTGAGTTATCCCTCTTTGAAAACGACGACAATCATTTGCGGCAGTCGTTGGCAGATAGGGAATATTCTGGAGACAGGCTAACAGATATTGGCAGTTGGCTGGTACCCTGCAGCATACATGATAACAAACGCCTCTTTGCAGCCTCTCACCGGAAAAGTGTTCACATACTTCTCGCTAAAGCGTGCCTTTCTTGTTTTTGTGGCCGTTTTCGAGTTGGGATCCTTAATCTGTGCCCTGGCCTCGTCTAGCACAATGCTGGTCGTGGGGCGAGCAGTCGCTGGTATGGGCGCATCGGGTCTGATGAATGGGGTCCTCACCATAATCGCTGTTGCCGCGTCTCCTTCCATCCGACCGACCATTATGGGCCTCCTCATGTCTTTCGCTGGTGCTGGGCAACTCATAGGGCCACTGATCGGTGGTGCCCTGACCGAGCATGCCTCGTGGCGTTGGTGCTTTTGGATCAACCTTCCCATCGGCGCAGTGACCATAGTGGCGACAATTTTCATCCGTTTCCCGGCATACAAGGCTCGCAAGGCAAACTGGACCTTCCGAGACGTAATTCACGACTTTGACATTACGGGATTTATTGTGTTTGCGCCAGCATGCATCATGCTTCTCCTCGCTCTGGAGTGGGGTGGAACTACCTATCCATGGTCGTCCGCTACCATCATCGGACTACTCTGCGGGTCGGCAGGGGCATTCATAGGCTTCTTCATTTGGGAATACCGCCAGGGAGAGTCTGCCATGATTCCAATATCGCTAATACGGAAACGAGTCATCTACAGCAGTCTGATCAACGCTGCATTGCAGTTCGGGGGAATACTACTCTACGTCTACTACCTCCCGCTATGGTTCCAAGTGATCAAATCTGCCAGCCCAACCATGAGCGCAGTCTACATCCTCCCCACATTTGGGTTGCAAATATTCAGTGCGATACTTGCTGGCGCCATAACGTCCCGGTTCGGCTATCTTGCACCACTGGCTGCAGCTGGTTCCACTTTTGTTACTGTCTCAGCAGGGCTGACCAGCACGCTCACTACGCATACTGACGCAGGGAAGTACATTGGATATCAAATCCTCAACGGCGTCGGACGAGGCATGTCGATGCAACAACCCGTCCAAGCGGTCCAATCCATTGTCTCACCCGCCATGATCCCCGTCGCCACCGCCACCGTGGCATTCGCACAAACGTTCGGCGCCGCGCTGTTCCTCAGCCTTGGTCAAACCACTTTCCTCAACTTGCTCCGTCCGGCGCTACGCACTTATGCACCCGAGGTGAATGCACAGGACGTAATCAACACCGGCGCGACGAACTACCTCGCCAAGCTCGCAGCTGGGGCGAACAACGCCGCCACGAGGAATGGTGTGCTCCTGGCGTACAACGAAGCGATTACGAGGACATTCTACCTCGCTGTGGGTTGTGGAGCCGGTGCCTTCTTGACGAGCTTGGGACTGGGGAAGACAAAGGTTCCGACGAAGAAAGACAAGAAGAGCAAGGACGCTGAGAAGCGAAACGAGGACGAGGAGAAGGGCGAGGGTCCGAGCAACCAGGAGGAAACTGGGAAGAGGAGGGACGAAATGGACGGCATGCCATGAGGGTCGAAGCGGGGGGTGATTCTCTGCACCTCATGCACTCCCGAACTCAAGCCGGCCTCATCATGTCCCGGGAGCGCAAGAGAATGCAAAAAGGACATGGAAAACGCGTGGTGAGATCCACTTGATGGCTCCAGGAGTCAGCATCACACCATCTCTTCTCTACTCATCTCCAGGGGTACACTGGCGCTCTACGGCGAAACCACATGGAAACCACCTTAGGTAAAAGGCGCGGATATGATTCCCTGGAAAATATACATGGTTGTCGGTCTTCAGAATAGTTTCTTCAAGTCTCTAGGGGCGATTCAACCAATCTGTCTAATCGTCTAGGATAGGGTATACCAGTTCTATATGTTTGACCTTGTTGTTCCTCTGAGCCGTCTACCGCTCCCTTCTATGGGGGCGACTGTCTAGTTCTCTAGATCGCAGTCCTCTGTTCCGCTGCTATTGCTCGGCGACCGCATCCAACATGGCCCGGCCCTGCTCGGGCGTCTGCTGTCTAGACCCAAACCCTTGAAAGGAAGCCGGCGTTTCAACCACTTGAACCACATCCAAGCAGACGGTCTCTCACACTCGGACCTGTGCTCAAAAGCCGCAACTCTAGGCACCAACTTCGAGCAATGACTTCACGGTATCCACAACACTCTCTTCCAAGCTTCGGTATTTCAACCCCAACACCTCCTTGGATCTCGAGTTATCGTACTGATAGATATCCTGGGGCATGTCGCTCTCGATCTTGTCCGGCAGCTTGCTGGCCAGATCTGGGAAATGCTGCTTGATGATATTCGCGATGTCGGCGTTGGAATAGAGGCCGGCGGTAGTAAAGAAACGTTTGCCGCCGGCTTCGGGAATCTCCAGGGCCTTGACGTGGGCAAGTGCGACGTCCCGGACGTCGACCCAGAGGTAGGCGCCCGTTGGAGGGAGGCCGGAATCCTTCGTGCGGCCTTGGATCATGTTCCGGATCCGTTCGTTGGACGTGTTGATGGTATCGAGGGAATTGAGGTAGTGCACGACCGGACCCAGGACGAGAGGCGGATTGATCGTCGCGACATCAAAGTTGGGCTTTTCCTTTTCGACAAACTCCCATGCCGCCCGCTCAGCGAACGTCTTTGACGCGCGGTATGTCGTCGCTGGATCCTGCGTAGCTTCTTCTTCGGTTACCGGGTTCCAGTTCTTCTCGCTGTAGACCTTCTCGTGCGATTTGGGGTTTATGATTGCCGCGAACGAACTGGTGATGACAACTCGCTTGACGGTAGGGGCATATTTCTTGACCGCTTTGAGAATTCCAGTCGTACCAATGATGGCAGGATCAAGGAGATCTTTCTTGGGATCCGTGACGTTGAAGTGGAATGGCGACGCGGTGTGCAAAACGCCCTCAAAGGGAGGATCTGACTTCACGGCCTCGTCGAAGGCGTTTTCTTGTGCAATGTCACCAACAATCACATAGCTGAGTTTGTCCTTTGGTTGACCAGGATGATTCCTCAAGATCTTTTGGCCCTTCTCCGCCGAGCGCACGGTGAAGACGACAGAGTGGCCATGCTGAAGCAGATAGTCGACGCAGTGAGCGGCGATAAAGCCGGATCCACCTGTCAAGAGAACCCTCATATTGTTGGATGGTTGATGATAACGTTTCCTAAAGATTGCAGGCGAGAGGATTAGATGTGGTCGAAGTGGTCTAAGAAGATTTGTTTTGGTGAGCAGCATCAGGACGCTTTATACATTCCGTCGGATCGTAGATAAGTTCGGCTGGTCGGAGGATTCAGCCCTAGCCGCTGGAAAACTCTTTATCCATTCGCCTGGTGATGGAGTTGATTGACTTCATCTCCGCTAAGCCCGTCGTAATCGATATCGACTCTCCACATGCCACGCGCTTTGAGGGCCTTCTGGGTCCAATTCGGATATAACTTCGCTTGCTCCTGGGGGTTATCCTGCGTTGCGAGCCAAACCATCCTTCTCAAACCCCGCCGATATTGCTCTGCCTGCGACGGCGTTATGTCTGGAAGTGCCTTGAGTTGCGCCACGACATGATTGGGTGAAACGCTGCGAAGGTCGCGATAGGATGTATAGCCGAGGCGGATTAACAGACTGGCTGTTTTCGGAGTGATGGCCAAGTCGTATTGTAGCTGTTGCTGTGCATTCATTTTACTCTCGATGACTGATGTGTCACCTCGTGAGGCGGAGGACAGCCGATGCAGACAGCCCCGTGGTGCGAAGAGGGATATATCGAGAATCACCACCCGCCCTCAGCAAGCTGGTCTAATGGCTCGTACTCGTATGTAGCCTGCTCGTTGTTGGTGTGGGTGGCGCAGACTGAGGGCTGGAGTAAGAGAGGGGAAGACGGGAAGGCTGCGGAGAAATTGTCGCCTCCCGCAACACCAAGGCGTAAGGCTGCCCATCTCTCCATCCGCGACTTTATTCCCTCACGCAGATCATCCACCCGGACTTATTCAGCATCATGGGGAACGACGGAGGAAGGTGAGTCTGGTCTTTATCACCGCGAGATATTGACGTACGGTTTACTAATTGTTGACAGCATTCCTACGCGACGCGAGCTCGTCAAGGAAGCTGCGCGGAACCCAACAGCCACCGAACTGAAAGACAAGCAAAAAGAGCACCTTGCTCATCGTTGGTCGACCTGTCCAGTCTCCCACAAGCCCCTGGTCAAGCCTATCGTCTCAGATTACTCAGGCGACCTCTACAACAAGGACGCCATCATTCAGTTCCTACTACCCGCCGAAGCCAGCTCTGTGGACAAGCAAGAGTACGAGAAATTCATCCAGGGCCGCATCAACAGTCTGAAGGATGTAGTCGAGGTACAATTTGAAATAGAACATGACGAGAAGACCAAATCAGACAGATGGATCTGCCCTATCACATCCAAAGAGCTCGGTCCGAATGTCAAGGCAGTGTACCTCGTACCCTGCGGACATGCTTTCTCGCAAGAAGCCATCAAGGAGATGAAGAACGAGGGCAAATGTGTTCAATGTGGTACTCCCTACGAGGAAAGAGACGTCATACCCATTCTTCCGAGCACTGAGAAGGACAAGGCACTCGTAATAGAGCGGATAGAAGCCTTGAGGTCTTTGGGACTCTCACACTCTTTGAAAAAAGCCAGCGGCAGCAAAAAGCGGAAGGCAAATGGAAACACCAAGTTAGAACAAGTGCAGAATACTTCGGAAGGGCAAGCAATCAGGGCAAACGGGCAGGAGAAAACAACGCCGTCCGACGCCTCTCTTCCTGCGAAACCCCAGTCAGGGACCTCGACACCGAATTTGCCGAATGGGATTAAGAATGCCGCAACCGCCAGTCTCACCGCACGAGTCATGGAAGAAGAAGAAGCCAGGAAGAAAAGGAGACGTGAGAACGAGAACATCAGTTCCTTGTACTCGAAGAAATCAGATGAGAAGGCCAGAAGGGACGGCGATTTCATGACCCGAGGGTTTTCGATCCCAGCAAACGCCCGACACAAATAGTCCCAACTCCATCCAGCCTTCAGCCAAGAGGCTTTTATTGCTTCAACTCTTAGAAGGGGAAAGTTTTGAGCGACCAGTGTCGTCATATCAGCGAGCGTCGAGCGCAAAACGATCGACGTCTTTGTTAGATGGCATTGACACTACTTTCAACGCTCAGCTGGTGCTTGGTCTTCTGATTAATGCACTTTGCGGGGAATGTCGCAGTGCCCCAGAATGAGCATTCATAATCAGACACCTGCAGCCGGTCGAGCAACAACGAGCGAAGAGACGTGGCTTATCAGTCGTATTTCCTGTCCAGGGACGAGGCCGAATTCGGCCGTTCGAGGCTGGCTTACTCTTCTCGCTGGCTTATTGGCTTACGTCCGAACACTGAAGCACCGAATTTCCCGGCGCCAACTTTCCTTCTCAGTGATGATCGGAGATAAATCATTACGGCTCGACCTGCAGGTATGGAGCCCAGAGCCTTGCTCTCCCACTATGGTCAGGGACACCACTATAGGGGCTGTTGTGATTGGTGTTTCTCCTCTCGACTGGTTTCAGACTCCACTAAAATGCGACGAGCCTTGATGAAGAACTCTTCCTGTTATGGCATCTTCTAGCCTAAGACATAAACTGGACGACAGTCGTGCTGTCCCGGTGGTCCACCAGCTCGAGTATAAAGCAGAGCACATGTTGATGAAATGCCCCATGCGATCAATACAAGGCAGTCTTCTCGGTATACTCGCTACAGAGGGCATGGCGTGAGCTGCCACCCTACGGGAAGAAACATCTCAAGCCTTCCAACCCTGAAGCCTTCAAAGCACTATGTCGAAGTTTCCTTCCTTCACCAAAACATGGCATCACTCGCCGTACGCAGCGATTGACCCTCTTGACCCTTCTCTATCCGCTCACGGAAAGACTGTTTTCATTACCGGTGGCGCAACTGGAATTGGCAAGGCAACAGCCGTCGCCTTTGCCCAGGCCGGGGCACGGGCTATTGTCATCACAGGTCGGACACAATTCACGCTTGACGGTGCGAAGACCGAGATTGAGGAAGCAGCCAAGACTAGAAGTAACCCGGGTTTCCAATGTTTTGTCTTTCGAGCCGACGTGGCATCGACAAATGCTATGGAGGACGCCTTCGATCAGACTGTCCAGAGGTTAGGCGGAATCGATGTTCTTGTTTCCAACGCCGGGTACCTGGATAAGCACTCAGTTATTGCCGAATCAGATCTTGATGATTATTGGCAATGCTTTGAGACGAATGTCAAAGGCGCCCTCGTTGTTATTAAGGCATTCTTGAAAACACGTTCACCAGCTCAATCTCCGCCGGTGTGTGCGCACAATCGCAGTGTTTCCAGGCCCGTCATTATCAACATCTCCACCGGCGCAGCTCACTTGCCACCCCCCATGTTAACTACATTCTCTGCGTATGCCGCATCGAAACTCGCGGCTCTCCACATCTTCTGCTACCTCCAAGCCGAAAACCCCGATGATCTCATAATATTCAACCTCCAACCGGGTGAAATTCCTACCGCCATGGCGAGAAAGGGACAGCGAGACATGGCAAAAGATGATGTACGGTTGCCTGCATCCTGGTGCGTCTGGGCGGCCGCCAAAGCAGAGACCGACGCGAATTTTCTCAAAGGGAGGCTCGTCTGGGGCAATTGGGACGTTGATGAGCTGTGTGCAAGGAAGGATGAGGTGGAGAAGGGAGATCTTCTAAAGGTCGAGTTGAAGGGCTGGGGTGGGGAGTTTGTGGAAAGATATGTTGAGTGAAGGGTTCTGCAAACATACATCAACGGATAGGAGGATATACCTCAGGTTCAAGCCATCCTGGAAGCAAGCCTTGTACTCGATATTTCTAGAGACGACTGGCGACATTTCAGGGACAATTGATCCATATTTTCCCCCTTTGCATCGTCCGTACATACACGTGACAGCAGAGATTGATCTGTCTACCTGGCTGCGTGCTCTCGGAAACAATCCGTGCCACTGCGTGTCCGTCCACATTGCATGATGGATACCAGAGGAGTTCTTCTGGGTTGGGGGGAATATCGCCCATCTCGTCGACACACTCACTTGCGTGAAGGCTTTTCAGGGTCGTCGAACGCACGGACCAGCAATCTGAGCCTGCCTAGCATCCAATTACTAGGCAGAGCCTACAAGTCAGTAATAACTTTCTTTTCGACCCCTCTCGCGTCAAGCTTGAACTTGGATTCTGCATCCTTTGTTTCGCCTTGACCGATGTGGATCTTTCCCATGGCTGCTGTAGAAGAGGTCAGAGAACCCGACCATCACCGGCACTCAGTCAACAAGGGTCGCCGAAGGTCTCTACGATTACCCAAATTCCTCCACTCACTCGAGCTCGAAGTGTCTCGTGCCAACACCGCCATCAGCGTCGCCGAAAGATTCAATCCCGAGGATTGGGAATTTTCAGAGGAATTTGAACCAGATGATATGGTGACGGAGTGTTATGAGGGGACTTTCAGCTACCTCGTCTGTCCCCACGGCGATCCCTGCCCAGAACACAATCGGAGAGAGGCGCATTTGAACAATCTTGTAGTTGCTGTCGACGGGGCTTGCTCTGGAAATGGAAAGCAGAACTTCGACGTGGAAGCAGGCATTGGTGTCTACTTCGGCGACGCCTCGCCTGACAACATAAGCACAGGCCTTCCCAGCCGGTTCTCGACAAATCAGCAAGCAGAACTGTTGGCACCTATCTGCGCCCTCGCGGGTCAGGAGGCTGCTGAAAACCAACCATAAATTGAACGGTATGACAAATGTCGTGATTAAGACAGACTCGAATTATGTTGTGCAAGGAATGACTGCATAGATGAGAAAGTGGCAGAAGAATGGTTTTCGTACCGATCGCCGCACTCCTGTTGCAAACTCTGACCTCCTGAAGTCGCTGAGCAAAATGGTCAATTTGATCCAAGATGACCTGAGTGTCTCGGTGTATTTCTGGCATGTCCCAAGATGTTTCAACAAAGAGGCCGACAGGTTGGCCAAAGAATCCCTGACAGCTGGCAACATCAAGGATTTTGAAGTGGAGTTCTGAGTATAGGCGGTTGAAGATCCCATGGGTGCAGTCCGCATTATGGCGGGAAAATAGGTCCCAACAACTTCGAGGAAGTGGCATCCTGGGTACCAGGACAGGATCCTGTCCTGCGGTCTAAATGTACAGGTATTCAGGGACACATGAGCTCAATCCCTCCGTTACCAGACAGCCCCTTTTGTGACACGATGCTCAGAAGGTCACGAAAGCATTAGCAAGAAAGAAGGGAGACCAAGGCACCAATCGATGGCCAATCTATGTGATTCACAATCCGATGGGCTGAGGAGAGACACGAAGCATCAGCCTTGCATCCGCGACAAGGCTGAGCATGCAAGTCGCGCCTGCCCCTTGCACAAATCCCAAGTCTGGCAGGCATCAGCAGAGAATTCTGCCAGTCACATCATCACCCGCCTCCCTCTCAGAGATTCTGCTTCACCCTCCTGTTCACACCGACTCTGTCCTTGTGGCACGTCAAAAGTGACTCCGCCGGGCGAAGCCATTGCAGACACTTTCAGAACCGTGCCCAACAGGGGTCGCAAGCGATTCAGACAGACCCTTTGACATTTTCTTCTTCCTCGATGTCACGTCCAAATCCAAGTCCAGAGAATCAATCCAACCTCCCACATCCCGCGACAGGCTTCACGAGGCCGTCTCAAGCTCCTGCCTTGCCCGCTGAGATTTGGCACCGCATTCTCGAACCTCTGAGTCCTCTCGCACTGAAAACAATGCCCCTTGTATGTCGCGACTGGTCTCTGATAGGTGCTCACTACTTATTCAGCACGGCCTATCTGAACAGCTATGAGAAATCCTGGGCAGGGCTTCGGAGTCTTTGCAATTCCACCTACGCTTCCCTTGTAAGACGAATTGTTTGGAATCCGCTGATATTGTTCGAAGAATGTCTCGATGGTCTAGTATGGAGGGAGAGGTACCATAATCTTCTCAAAGGAATGGGTCGATCGGAAACTTTAGCCCTTCATCTGGAATATACCAATATCTATTCAAAAGAGGGAGACCTACTTCGATCTTTAGCTGTCGACTCTATGTCGGAGGCCCTACGAAACCTCACCCATTGCTATGAATATGAATGTGTCATATCAGATGACTACGATTTGGAGTCGGCTTGTGTTGATCCCTGCGTGAGAAAGAGGGTCCAAGGACTTCTATGGGAGCTTTCGGGCCATGCCGCGTGGGGACTGCGGCCAAAGCGAAAGATGTGTGACGACGGAGAAGTCGCTATGCATGAAGAAGCTGAACAAATATTGCGCACTGGTGCAGGGGTATTTGAACTGCTCCAACACTGTCCCTCCGTCAAACGTCGGTGGAATTTTTCGATAAGGACTGGTTTCGCATGACGAAGAAGGGAAGATCTGAGATGAATGGCTGTGGAGCAGTGCGCGGATACACCATCCCTGGTTGTTCCTGCTCTGCCATCCAGAACATGTCATTCCGGCTCAGATACTGCAAGGATGGTTGGCCACCGGCGAATCACGTTAACCTCCGATGGTTACTCGAGGATACTTTTGGGGGCATACTCTCATTCCCTGAGCTACGAGAATTTTCGTTCGAGCCAGTTACAGCGACCCAGGCCCAGGTTTGATTGAAGAACTTTACGCCGACCCAGACCGGGACTTCTTGGAAGATGACTACTCCACAGAAGGATACGAAAACTCTTCTCGGTCGGAGCCAGATGAGAACGATTCTTTGGAGAGGTCTAGAGAAGCGCCACCGCTTTACAGCACCTTATCCGACATGTTAGCAGAATACCTCCGACCGCATTGGATGACCCAGGATATGATGCTTTCGCTCTATGCAAAGCTAGATCTCGGCTTGGTCAAGCTTCCTAAGTTGGAAAAGCTCGTCTTAACCAACGTGACGCTTGATGCGAGATGCCTACTCCTATGGTTATGCGAACAAGGACAACTTCCTGTTTCCAGGCTCTCAATTTGCTTGAAAGGGACTGCCTTTCTGTTTGATCTCGATCCAAAGACACTCTTCCAATGACTCGCTCAGCTGAACGTCAATTTGTCCTTCGACCCTAAGAGAACATTCCACTACCCTGTTCTCCCAAGTGCCGTTACAAGCAGTGCTGAGAGACTCCGGAACGCCGTTCAACGTATTCTAACCACATGGCCTGTCGGTCTGCTTTGGTCAAACTATCCTATCGAAGAGCTTCTTTGGGGATATCCTCCACTCCAGATGCCGGCGCTCTCAGATTTTGAAAAATGTCCACGTCGGGCCCATCGATATCAGGCGTCGCCCTAGCGAGTTCATATCCATTCACGAGGAATTCCAGCTCCGGTGGCCGAAAGTCAAGGATTTCGCCTACACCATGCTTGGCGCAGAAGGTTGCATCTGCAACTGGTGGGTTGACACGAAAGTCCAACCTGAGTCCTTGATCCTCTTTAGGTACCGTCCGCATTGGGCTCTCTGGCCGAATCCAGATTCCGACCCTTCTGGCAAGGAATTCGAGCATGAAATACCTAGCCATACTACCGAGCTCGATCAACAAGTGGCAGAACTTGAATGGCAAGAACAGCAGCTCTTATTGCAGTACGAGACGGAGATGCTTGGCCTTGAAGTTATGCAACAATTTCGCCGCATAGCAGAACTTGAGTGGGAAGAACAACAGCCACTAATGCAGTACGAGACGGAGTTACTTGGACTTGATGTTATGGAACAGTGTTATCAGATATTCAATTAAAAATTGTGATCCCCTATCGTCGACAGCGTAAACGGGAAGCTGTGTCAGAAAGAATGCTCGAAGCGCTACTGATGCCTGTCCCAGCCCCTGGCGCGGAAACCCGGGGCATATTGCCTTGTGAAGCTGGTACGTCCCGTTCAATTGCATTGTTGAAATGCTCATAATGGTTCAAGGGGAGGCTATTCAAGAATGCAGTGAAACGGAACAGGGCTGTTGGCTTTCTATGTTTGTGAACTTTTAGCAAACTGCTTCATTATCTGATGGGCGGTATTATGAGACTGAGATGAAAATCCAATATGTAGATAGCTGTGCCTTCAAAGTCTATCAATTTACAGGAACACATTTTGCTCGTCTCTTCCTAGTGTATTTGTATCCTCTCACTATGCACCTGGTTCACTTGTCTTTCTATTTTGCTGACGATTATGGGCTGCCTACCAGAGCTATTGCTCCTGTGAAAACAAGGCTTGAAGAGCAAGAATGGACCTTTTCCTTTCAATGACTCTAGCTCAAACGTATCCCACATATTTCATCCTGCTGGGTTTATTTTGTGAATAAGAAATTACCAGTATTCGGTACGTGGTTACTAGGTATCTACCGAGTAGTGCTCGTTCATCCTCTTATGAAGTCCGGCATCCCTAAAAGCGGCGACCATTCCGCCTCGACAATTTACGCGTCAAGCGCGTCGACCTCTTTCATCTGATTGCGGCCAGACAAACCCGATGCGGCCGTTCGTTCAATCACTCCATGGCCGAGACCTCCGATTGCTAGAGAGCATCGTTCGCCCAAGGCCGCTCCTGATACCTCACAGTCAGCATCGAGAGACCATAAAACCTACCGTCAAGCCATGGCGCCTTGGTCAAGATCAGCGGAGAGGAGCAAAATCGGTGTCAAGGAGGAAGGTGAAAGAGCTACAACAAGGCACGATCCAGGCTGAGGCTCTCCCCGACCTACCCGCCGATGATGAGCCCCAGTATCCGACGGTGCTCCAGGGTGCCAAGTCCAACATGGCCAAGTTCGACAACTGCGTCCTGCTCACGAGGGTCGGCAATTTCTATGAATTGTACTTCGAGCAGGCGGAAGAATACGGGCCTCTCCTCAATCTCAAGGTCGGCCACAAGCAGACCAAGCTTGGTCCCGTTGCAATGGCTGGCTTTCCCTTTTTTCAGTTGGACAGGTTCTTGAAAATGCTTGTGCAAGATCTCAACAAATATGTTGCTATATGCGAAGAATTTTTGATCCAGGTCTCTGGCAAGGTCAAATCTGGTGGCCTCAAGCACGACCGTCGTGTGACAAGAGTGATTACCCCGGGTACACTGATTGATGAGAAGTTCCTGGACCCATACGAGTACAACTTCCTGCTATCGATTAACCCGGACCCTGTCGTGATCGAACCAAGCAGTGGTAGCACCTCCGAAGCTTCAGACCCCGAGCGCGAGCAGAAGATCGGTCTTGCTTGGTTGGATTTATCTACAGGTGATTTCTACACGCAGACCACAGGTCGCGGCTCATTGTCGTCGGCGTTGACTAGAATTGACCCGCGCGAGATCGTTATGCCCTCTGACATCTCCGAGGAAATTCGCGATGAGGTGCAGAAAATCGTTGGGCATGACCATCGACTTCTTACGTTGCACAAGACGGAGAGCGACTTTGTTTCCATGACCGAATGGAACCAGATGCTCGAGTCCCCTGTGGCTATAGGTTCAGACGAGATTTTCAGCACAGCAGAAAAATGTGCTGGGCACCGACTCTTGGACTATGTCCGCCACCGCCTCCAAGGTGTACAGCTTCGTTTGCAACCTCCACGTCAACGGGAACTCCAGGCTATCTTGAACATCGATCGTAACAGTCTAAGGGGCCTGGAGATCTTGGAAACTGCACGAGACGGCCTTGGGAAAGGAAGCTTGTTCCATGCTGTCAAGAGGACTTCAACTAAAAGTGGTGCTCGCCTTCTCCGAGACCGCCTCACATCTCCATCAGCTTCCCTGAGTGAAATCAATGATCGACTTGACCTAGTGTCGGTATTCGTCGAGAACGAGGAACTCACGGAGTCTTTAATCTTTCGACTTCGACGAACATTCGATGTCCAACGTATCGTTCAGAAATTTGCACTGAACAAAGGAGATGCTGACGACATGCTATCGCTAGCGAGCGCTATCGCCGAGACCGTCGCAACGAATGATCTTCTGCAGTCATTAGAGCAAGACTTGAACGTTGCAGAAACCAATGGCTTGGATCAAGCGAATGTCGTACTACCTCTCCGAAAGCTTTTGCGACGTTTTGAATTGCAAGGTCCGGCTGAGCTTCAGGCTCTGATATCTTCTGCCATTGACGAGCAAGGTCTCATGCAAAAGCATCGCCTTGAAGAAGACGAAGCGGCAAGTGTAGCAGCCATGGCACATGATGTCGTTCTGCAGAGTGCTCCAGAAGAACTGGAGTTGTTGCCTAAAGCCGTGAGAACACGGACCAAGTCGGAAGACCAGAAGAAGGATGAGATTGAACTCGAGGAACCATGGATAATGCGTCGCAATGCCAGCGAAGCGTTGCTTCGGCTACATGAAGACCTGGACTCCCTGCAAACAGAGAAAGTCAGCCTGGCGAATAGACTGCGAGAGGAATTATCTGCGCCGACTTTGATCCTCAAGTCCACACCTGGCCTCGGCCACATTTGCCATATCCGCAGCGCTACAGGCTTCAATCGAGAGAAGTTGGAATCGCTCCACGCCAAAATGGTCTCATCTTCAAAAAGTACTCGCTCCTTCTATCTGAGTGACTGGACACGGCTGGGCCGTCGAATCGATCAAGCGGTTCTCAACATCCGAGATGAAGAAAAAAGAATCTTTGCAACACTGAGGGAGCTTGTCATCAAGAACCTGGTGACACTACGGCGCAATGCGGCAGTCATGGACGAACTAGATGTCGCAAGTGGCTTTTCTCTCCTCGCGAGGGAGCAATCATGGGTTCGACCTATCCTGAACAATGGGACGGAGCACAAAGTCATCGGGGGCCGGCACCCTACCGTCAAGGAAGGACTGGAAGAGCAAGGCAGGTCTTTTGTCAGCAACAATCTCGTCCTGGACCAGAACGAGCGAATATGGCTGGTAACAGGGCCCAACATGGGGGGAAAGAGCACATTTCTCCGACAAAATGCTCTGCTTACAATCCTTGCTCAGGCGGGCTCGTACGTGCCAGCTGTCCATGCTGAGATCGGGCTTGTCGACCAGATTTTCAGCCGGATAGGAGCTGCGGATGACTTATTTCGAGATCAATCTACCTTCATGGTGGAGATGCTGGAGACCGCAGCCATTTTGAAGCACGCCACACCGAAGTCATTTGTGATCATGGACGAAGTAGGGAGGGGCACGACTCCTGAAGACGGTACGGCTGTTGGGTACGCGAGTTTGTATCACCTGTATCATATCAACAAGTGCCGGACACTTTTCGCAACCCATTTTCATGCCCTTGCAGACATGACACGGAGCTGGTCAAAACTTGGCTGCTACTGTACTGATGTGCTTGAGGACGAGCATGGATCATTCATGTTTTTGCACCGATTGAAGAAGGGCATCAATAGACACTCCCATGCGTTGAAGGTTGCAAAATTGGCGGGACTGCCTCCAGCAGCACTCAAAATTGCAGAAGATGTTCTGCGACAGATCACGGCGGCTAAGGGTAAGGTACAAGAACTGCCTCCAGCAGATGTAGCAGAAGAAAGGGAAAAGACCTTGATGGCTGCGACTGGATGACCATCGATATGAATTCCTCATTCATCTGGGAATCTTGGAGGCTGTTGAATCTCACCTGGTGCCGGTTTTGATGTTGCAACCGTGCGACAGTTCTTACATGTCCGGGCGTCCATATCATTCTCAAACGCCAGCACACCTTCCTTGATCTGCGTGCCCAAGTCTGTGAGGTGAAAGCTTGCCTCATGAACAACGTTATGACAATTTTTGCAATACCACCTCAGCGTGTCAACAGAGTCTTCCGGTCGAGGTTGTTCCAGTACAACACCCACGGTATCCGCGAATCGGACAGGGTTATGAGGGGTGTTGGGGGGTAGGAGGAACATCGAGTTCTCGTGGATGGGAATGTCAACGGGCGTGTGTGGTGTGGTTGAGGTGTCCATGGTCTTCAGCAGCATGGAGCCTTTATGCTGGTAAAAGAACTCGGGTGTAGTGTTGATGTGGTAGTCTGTTCGAGCATTTGGGCCACCCACAACCATGACAGTCAGACCACCGGTAGAGGCCGAGGGGGCATAGACGCAGTAGTTGTTGATGGGTGGCTTGAGGAGATGCGAGTTGTCCTTGAGCCTGGAAAACGAGTCAGCGGGGGTCGGGACAATGTTAGAACTACTGAAATGTTCTTGGTACCATTTAGGGAGATTCAACGCGGCAGCCATGGTGGATTGGCTTCTAGATGGGAACTGCGTCAGTCTGAGGTGGAATGGATGTTTGCGCAATGTTGTAGCAGCAGCGAAAGGCCTGACTTGTGTACAGCGGACTGGAGGATATTTGTGCAAACTCCTAACGGTCTTCATTGAGCGCGGCTATGTTCCTGACTTACAAATGTAGAGAGGCAGAAGAGATGGCGGCCCGCGACTCTGTCAACTGCGGAAAGTCAAATGAAGAGGATCAACGTCAAGTCGATGCATCGCATCATGCACTCCAGAGGCCAAAAGCGGCATGTGAACCTAGACTGGACTGATTCCGATGCGGAGAAAAATTTGTGTGCTGCGGAGAAGCGAACATGTTTCGACTTTTCCAACGTAGAATGCCGATTCTCAAGCGCAGGCACAAATAGAGTCGCATTCACACATAACATGCGCTGACGCCTGGTATTTTCTCTCTTCTATACCATAATGTCGACCTCCCAACCTCCCCTCCGATTTTCCTCGCACAAATCTCTGACCTCACGCCTGATTTTGTCCACGTTGCTCGGTCGCCCGATCCGCATCGATCAGATCCGCCCCAACTCACCAACCAACCCTGGCCTTGCGCCTCACGAGATCTCCTTCCTGAGACTTCTCGAAGCGGTCACCAATGGCTCGCACATTGAAATCTCATACACGGGCACGGTGCTGCTGTACAAACCGGGGTTGATTACTGGGTCGGCGCCGGGCAGTGGAGCGGACGGCGTCTCAGGAGTGTTAAGACACGAGATCCCCGCCACGAATACTCGGGGGCTGGCCTACTTCCTGATGCCGATGTGCTTGCTTGCGCCGTTCAGCAAGGCCAAGTTCAACATCATGTTCACCGGCCCCGGCGTGATCACGAGCTCTACCCCAGAAACGTGGGGGGATATGAGCGTGGATTCCGTCAGGACTGCGATTTTACCGCTTTACGCGAGGTTCGGCATCGAGAGGGATATCGAGCTGAGGATTTTAAAGCGGTCCAACCCTGGCCCTAGAGGCCTGGGCGGCGCGGGAGAGGTGCAGTTGGTGTTTGGCCACCAAGTGCGGCTGCCCAAGACTTTACACATGCTCAATCCAGGGAGAGTGAAGAAGATCCGAGGCGTGGCTTATTCGACGGGCGTCAGTGGCCAGAATAATGCAAGAATGATTGAGGCAGCGAGGGGTGTGTTGAATCAGTTCGCAGGCGACATTTATATTTTTTCGGACGTCAGCAGTGCTAGTCTAATGCCTGCGCCGACAAAGGACAATCCAGGCGCCAAAAGGAAGGTCGGGCTCGGGTTTGGACTGTCGCTCGTGGCGGAGACTTCGACTGGGTGTCTATATTCCGCAGACTCATCGAGTCCGCCAGAGGGAGGCAAGCCACCGGAAGATGTTGGGCGGATGAGCGCATTCCAACTCCTCGAGAGCATTGAGAGAGGTGGCTGTGTGAGTCTGGAAGCTCTCGAGACTGTCTTCACCCTGATGACCATGGGATCTGAGGACGTCGGCAGAATCCAGGTGGGGCGAGATGTGATGGCCAACGAGCGTACGATTCAACTAGCGAGAGATCTCAATGCTTTTGGCTCGGCAGGGTGGGGGATCAGGGATGTTGAAGGCGAGAAGGGAGCAGGGCAGCTCTTGGTCAGCATTGTGGGTAGAGGAGTTGGCAATGTCGGGCGAAAAATTGGTTGAAGACGAGTCGGTTCCTGAATCCACGAGCACTCTTGGCCTACGGTCGAACGACATCAACATTCAGATCATTCAGCTATGCGAGATCCTCCAGAGAGGACGAGACTCGCATAGGCTTGGGAGAACCAGCAAACTACAGCATCTGGCTCCTCTTCACCTTTCTCCAGAGTATCGGTTCTGGGATCACAGCCGAAAAGCGATGGATTCTCCCGCGATCAAGATCTGCGATGTCGACACGGCGTTGGAGGTGCGCCGTGCTGACGAGAGGACAGAAGGATGCCAGCGATGGATCCGATAGTTCAGCGCGGCATCCAGTCCACTCGCTCATTAATAGCAGCCATGGTCAGCAAAACACGGCCAAGTCGACCAGCTCTCCATCCGCGCGACACAACACCAAGCCAGAGCCAGAACGAGGAAGATAGTGTACGCCGACAAAGAAAGTGTATCACTTCTTCGGCCAGATGCCGGGTCTTTACCTCGCGCCGAGATGTTGGCGAGGCTCCGGTAGAGCAGCCAATAGGAGGAGGGAGATCGGAGGATGATGCCACGAAATCCCGTGACTCGACGCTACCGGGACGCCCGGATGTTTGGGGTCCAGGATGATGAGCTTGTGAAAAGCTTCCGGCCCTGTTAGCTTTTGCATAAGGAGGGCACGGTAACGATACTGTACGCTGTGTAACGCGATTAGGGCTTGGGAAAAGAACAAGGGAGAAGTGTCGAGGATTGTTGTCACCATACGAGGTACTCTTTTGGAGTCCAGTGTGATACACTGTCGAAGTGTCAGGCACTTGTAGACCGGCGTAAAAGAGCGGGGCGGAAGATGCGGGAATAAACCTATTCTTTGCCAATGACGAAATCGCATGATGTTTCTTCGCCGTACCGCATGTCTCTTTCGACTTCACTTTACCGAAGTAATACAAGAACAACTTATACCGGGCATTAGCACGAGTAAACGCCCCGAGTCCAACAGCCGAGCCGTTAGCGGACGAATCCAAATGAACGCTTCAGCTGCAGGGGCCCAGGCAAAGCAATGCTCACATGTTGGGCACACGACAAATGCCTCTTGGAACTTGTACAAGTCCCAATAATGCATGCAGCTGCCGGAACTCGGATGCGTGCCTGATTACTTGATACAGGCAAGCCTTGTCACCCACTCCCACACCGTCGCTTTGATCCCCACAGCTGGGTGCGCCTTGTCCACTGTCCATTCGCTCGTTCCTATCTCTTCTCTGGTCCGCAATGGAATCTGCTGACCTATACACCGGCGGGAAGCCAGTGAGCTCAGCTATTCTTCCAGCGATGACCGTTGACTAAATCGCCTCTCGAAACTCTGATCCCTAGCTCAGAGCCTCGGTGGTGGCCGGAATGGACCTTGCCTTACTCATAGGAGCTCCAGTGGGAGGGAGATGGTACCGACAGCTTTGCCCGTTCGAGAGGTAATGCGGTGGCTGGCCATGCTATGTACCCTGTGCTGCCTTGCTCTTTAGTCTGGTACCCGGTTCGTCCGTGAGATGCCTGTGCCCTCCCCGGCCCATACATATTCACTTTTGTCCCGCGTATCTGGTTGTGTGAGATTCTTCCTGCTTTCTTCCTGAATAGCTGACCCTTGCCCATCGGGATTGTCTCCGTGTCCGTGACGCAAAGAAAGAATACTAGGCAGACATCAGGAGCAAAGAAGACGGCAATAGACGAACAGCCAAAGCAAGGAAACCAGCCAGCAGAGACGAAGAGAAACCGTCCTCGCAATGGGCGCAGGCGCGTACCTTGAGCCGCTGGCCGTCATAGTCCTCCTCTTCGGCGGGGCCTGGATCAACCGTGCGCCAGACTCCTTCTCGTCCTCGCGGAGCCCTCTCACCTTCTCGTTCGAGGAAGACGACGACGATGTCCCTGACCTTCCGCTCGCTCGCGCGGTCGACGGCGGCGCAGATGCCGACGTCGAAAACCTCCACATCTCCCGATCAAAGAGATCACTAAGCCCATCTCTGTTACCAAGTCAAGAGGACAAATGGCGGGAGCGGGAGGTGAAGATACCTGTGTTGGGGTACCGGAGGGTGATCCAGACACCGAATACAGCAGTTTTCCGGCATAGACTGCTGAGCAGAATACTGCACAAGTTCCCCTTCTTGGTAGAGGCCTGGTATTGGGCTCTGATATATTGGGTCAGTCAAAATCTGGAGATGTGGCCAGGCTTCTGTCCAAAGAAACTTCCATTCTGACACATTTGTGGGAAACAGGTCTACCAGCTCGGCCGCGCATTCACTGCCGTCACGTTAGTCGAAGGTACAGTCCACGTTGCGCGCCGACATGCGCTGCAGGTGATCGAACTCGAACAGCGCCTGCACATCTTCTGGGAACTCCCCGTCCAGAAGTTCTTCCTGTCCTATCCACACCTGATGATGTGTATCAATTGGCTGTACAGCTTTATTCACATCCCAGGAACCATCGCTTTCTTGGTGTGGCTGTACTACTACACGATTACCAGAAACCGTCTTATTCAACGCCGCGCAGCTGCTCAGTCAGGCGAAAATGGGAGCGACGTTGGACCGGCAGGATCGCCTTCGGGACCGTGGCTCTACGAGGCGCGCAGGCGGACAATGGCAGTCTGCAACTTGCTTGCATTCGTCGTTTTCACGCTCTGGCCGTGTATGCCGCCTCGATTGCTGAGTGATCCTGAATACGATGGGCCTCAGGCCGAGATCGCCAAGAGCTTCGGGTTTGTTGATACCGTGCATGGCAAAGAAGGCGCAAGTTCGGTGTGGACGCAGAATCGGTTCTGCAATCAATATGGTGAGTCCGAAATCCTCTCCTACGTCCCCAAGGATCAATCAGGGAATGGACGAGCTGGAAGGCAGTCAGTCAAAAAGTTATGTATGCTAATAGACTTTCCTGGACCCAGCGGCAATGCCCTCGCTGCACTTTGGCTACTCCCTCCTGATCGGCGTCACCATCATGACGATCCCGCTTGCTCCCCAGCACTCGCAGCCCTGGAAGATCGTCCATCTTCCGTTCTTCAACAACTCCCACCCCAACCTTGCCCCTCACATCCGGCTGCCCAGCACGCGGCGGATGCTCTGCCTTGCTCTCGGGTTCTTGTACCCCTTCTCTATCCTGACCGCCATTGTCGCGACCGCGAACCATTTCATCCTCGACGCGGTTGCGGGCTCCATCGTGTGCTTCGTGGGCTGGAAATTCAACGATGTACTCCTCAACCTGCTTGTGGTTGAGGATTGGTTCCTCTGGTGCGTGAGGATCCACAAGCCTGTCCAGGTGCCGCTGGGGGCCGAAAGGCAGGCCAAGGCATCGGGGTTGGGGATTAAAGAGAAGGAAGGCTGGGAGCCGGAGAAGACGACCGCCGTGGTGAATGCCGCTTGAAGCCGACCTCGTTGCCAAACAGGAACTCGGCAAGCGCGCAACATTTCCCGGCCGAAGTGGTACAAGTCTCCCGGGGCCAGTCTGAAGGCCACCCCGCGAACCACGATCGATTAAAGAGGTCGGTCAAGCCAAAGAATCCAGTCCATGGACGTCTCTGCGGAAAGAAACTCAAATCGCCCGGCTCGCCTTCTTGGAGACGCCAGACAGTACAACTCTCAGCCCCTGATCCGCCAGAACGGCGTGGTACCCGGGTGCGAAGATGCGAAGCTCAACGCATCAACCAACTCATTCAAGCCTGCCGCTGTACAAACTCCCTTTTCTACTACTGGGTTCCCTTTGCTCTTCCATGACCACGACAAACGAAACGCAGACCTGCATAGATTATTGCTACACACGAGCGTCGGCCGGATTAGGTGCATATAGACGTCTTTCTTCTTGTTGTTACGAGGCGTTGAACGATGTGACGATTTCACGACACACGGCGGCAAGGAGGCTGCGTTCTCCGTTGTGCGTTTGTGATGCTGCATATGAGGTGTTGAAGGCGTGGATCTGATAACGTACCTTATGGATCAGGGACGAAGTGAAGTGAGAGAGACGTCTGATGAAAACTCCTCCGTTTGCAGTCGAGAGTGGGATATGGACCTTGGTACGCGCCGCTCGTGTCAATGCCTCTGCTATGTGTGTACCCCGAGTGCATATCCCGCAGCTATCCTCGGTGCATACCAGCGAGAGTGTGAAGGGGGCTTCCAAGGGACAAGACACAATGTACATGTAATGTTTAATGAGAGGCCATGGACATTCTAATAATTCCGATCCTATCTGACAATCTAATCCTGGTTCCCTGTGCGCCGCGAGGAGATAGTCTAGCGTGCAGTGACATTGACAACGGATCCAGACATGCATGTCCGCCAATAACACAGCCTCTGTATATCTAGCACAGTCGACGGGAGACAGTCACAGGGAGACGGATTTGCAAGGGAGACCACATTGGTGGACGTATACGACCTCTGATGTGGCAGTGATCTTTCAGACTAGACACACGCGTGATTGAGCCGATACTGGAGAAATGCATGAGTATCAATGGTTTATCGCATCACGAGAACGGCTGTGTGTGGGAGATCTGCTTCGCAGGTTAGGGTGAGTATCAGAGAGCATGCATCAATGACATATCCCGCAGAAATGAGACTCTTTGGTCCGGGTGAGATGCATCAAACCTGTCAATTTGGGGAAGGGAATTCGGCTTATTGAGCTTTAAACAGCGATATCCAGAAACTGGAGCAGCCAAGGTCTGACTGAGGATCTCTCGAACTCACGTCCACAGGACTGAAGTTATGATATAGTTCCATTTTCAAGCTGGTTTGTGATGGAAAACGCTGGGACATTGAACAAAGCCAGATGACCAAGGCTCAGCTCTGCTGTGGGCAGTTCGATAGGGAGAGCCACGCCGGCCCGATGTCTCTTTCAGTGAGATCAAGGAGAGATGGAGTATTGGAATGGCACTTGCAGCACTCATACGCCTGTGGTGTACTCTTAGCGCCTCATCTTGAGTCATCCGACAACCATACCTGTTGTAGGCCCGAGCACAGTTTGTCCCTCTCGGTAGGGTAGAGAAAAGGGACCTTATTTCAAGCGATGACCTGTGCTTCCTTCATTCCAGCGGTACTTGGGAGAAAAAGAGTCGGAGTCAATGGAAATGAGACACGAAGCCGAGTTGCCGGGAGACGCCAAGCCCGACCCAATTTGGGTGTCCAGTCTAATGCTTCACCGTATATTTTGCATTCAGCCTTTCTATGACTCGCCGTAACAGTTAGCAGTCAGAGTGCTGGTCAATGTCGCAGTTCGTCCCAGTGTCTCAGCATTGGATGCTGCTCAATTTGACCTCATGTGGCTGCTCTGGAAATAGGAGAATCCATCAAAAAGTTCCAAGTCACATCCAGACAATGAACAGGTGAACCAAGGCCCATCTCAAGAGCGTCCAAGGGAGACCTTCCCATTTGGTGCTGGCCCGATATCGATCTCTGATCTGAAGCTGCGCTGCACATTTTGCCACCAGTCATCCGCAGGTGTTGATCTTTTATCCCCAGCCACTTCCCTTTTGCGCAGACAAAGTGAATGCACAAGCTGCCAGGTGCAATTGATCACCACTTCTGTACCTGCTTTGACTCACGTCGCGACGACAACTTCAACCGCACCGGCCAGACTCCCTTTCGCCTCACACACCAGGCATCTGGTGAGGAAGCCTCAATCTGCCTGCGTCTGACGCGGATATCGACCTGTGTTTCCCCGCCCCGTTCTATCGGAGCTTGAGCTCCACGGCCACGGCCAGCAATTTCAGGAGCAGACTCTGCTCGTGAAGAACTCAAGGTGAGCGCATTTACTGTTCATCTCAAAGGACGGGATCGTGTTTGGGAAGAGAACAAAGAGGAGGACGATCTGGCGTGGGTTGCCTGGCTCGCTCAGGACGTTGGCGATTATCGCCGGCCGAGTTCGTCTTGCACAGAGCAGCTCCCCAAAGGTCTTGGCGACGGTGGGGCTTGTGATTGGCTGCCAGGCAGTTGCAGTGGCTTTTCTCGCTGCGTTGCTTTGGGCCATTTCAATTCCCTCTCCATCATCGTCGCAGTCGCAGACCTCACTTCTCATCCCATCGCGACCACCCGCATACCACCATCCCATCCTTTGTCGCATCGATATCATCCTCATCTTCGTTCATCCATCAAGAGTCGCCTGGTCTGTGGTTCTCCCCTTGTTTGCTGTTGTCGGCTGGCCGATCTCGTTCAATCCGGGTTTTGGCAAGAGCTACTGCTGTCGCGTCCCACGCACTCCCGGCGCACCACAATCTGCGCCCTGATTCCTGAAGGCAGACCGATCTTGCATTGACCAGAATCTCTCCAAGTACATCATTACTGATACCTTTTGCTGGACAGGCTCAACAACTTTCTCTCCTGCGCGCTCCACCAACGCGTCACTTCCCTCGACCCTCCATCTTCACCCACCTCGTTCCAGCATGGCCTCTGAAGAATCGGCTCCTACGACAGAGGTCCCTGTCAAAGTGCCACAACCGGCCGACGGAGCTCCTCCCTCGCTAGCCGAGCCCGCCTCCGGGACTGTCGCGGAGATGTCGGGAGCTCTTCCCGCTGAGAAATCTACTGAGACTGAACCGGTCCAAAACACAGGTATTCTTGATGCATTCGTGATTCAGGAAATCCATGCTAATCTTAATCTCATAGGTACCGCAACCGCAAATGGCCCTGTCGAGACCGTATCAGAACCACCGAAGGAGCCGCAAGAGCCCGTGACCGAGCCCGAAGCTGTGGCCCCCACCGCCGAGGACACCGAGACGAAAGAGACGGATGACGCAGAGACTGCTCAGCCAGAGACCAACGGTGCAGCTCCTGCCGACAAGAAGTCGTCGTCAAGGAGAAAGTCATCGACCGCCCCTGACCACAAGAGCAAGAAACTCAACAAGAAGAAGTCCATGTCCAAAATCACTCATCTCGATGCTCAACCGGGCGATTACTATCTTGCCAGGCTCAAAGGGTATCCACCGTGGCCATCAATCATCGCAGACGAAGATATGCTTCCCGATATCATGATCAACACCAGGCCCGTCACCACCAAGAAGGACGATGGAACCTACAACGAAGCCTATGCGGATGGCGGTAAGAAAATGAATGAACGAACGTTCCCTATCATGTTTCTGGGCACAAATGAATTGTAAGCACCCTCCCAACGTTTCTTTAGTTGCGCTGAAGCTGACAACAAAAAGCGTGTGGATCCACAACACCGACCTGGCTCCATTGACGCCCGAAGATTGCAAGGACGTCACAGAAAAGGGTAAAGCCAAAGCTCTCCTCGCGGCATACAAGGTCGCCGCCGAAGGTCACGACTTGCAATTCTTCAAGACCATGCTTGATGAGCATGCAGCAGCTTTGCAGGCTGACATCGACGCGAAAGAGGCCCGAGAAGCCGAAAAGGTCGCCAAAGCTGAGAAGAAGAAGAAGCGCAAGAGCGAGGCCAAAGCTGAAGCCGACGACGTGGAGATGGAAGACGCTGACGCCGATGTTGAGCCCAAGAAATCTTCCAAAAAGCGCAAGAAGGAGGTGGATGAGGATGAAGACGAAGATGAGAAAGTGAGTGGCAGGAGTTTCTCCAAATATTGGCCGTAGATTCTGACTCCCGTGTAGCCTGCAAAGACGCCCAAGACCACCAAAATCAAGTTGACCACCAACAAGACTCCCAAGACTGAAGAGAAGAAGCCCAAAGAGAAGGCGACCAAGGCTAGGTCCGAGAAGAGGAAGTCGCGAGCCGCTCAAGAGGACGAGGAAATGGCAGATGCAGTCGAACCAGAGCCAGAAGAAAAGCCGTTGGACCCGGTCGAGGCACGCAAAGCTCGCGAGAAAGAAGGTGGGCATTCAGCAACTCAGACCTTTGCACATTAGCTAACCTAGTCCAGTCCTCTTCCTCCGCCACAAGCTACAGAAGGGGTTCTTGTCCAGAGACCAAGCTCCTCAGGAAGATGAGATGCCGATGATGGCCACGTACATCAAAAAGCTCGAAGGCTATGCGGATCTAGAAGTCAGCATCATTCGAACCACCAAGATCAACAAGGTCCTGAAAGCCTTGATCAAGCTCAACACCATCCCCAGAGATGAAGAGTTCCAGTTCCGAAAGCGCTCCATGGACCTTCTGAGCCAGTGGAACAAGATCCTAGGTGCGGAGCCGGCGGACGGCGATGCTGCTGGTGACAAGGACACTGCCACGAACGGAGTCCATGATGAAAAATCCGAGGAAGCTCCAGAAGAAGACAAGAAGGAAGAGTCTTCTGTTCCTCCCGAAAAACCTGCTGAGGCTGCCGAGGAAAAGCCAACTGGTGAGCCTGAGGTAGAGAAGCCTGCAGCGGACGCAGAACCTGGAAAGGCAGTAGCCGAAGAGCCCAAGCCCGCCGAAGCCGAAGAGCCAGCAAAGACTGAAGCGGCGGTGCCTGAAACCGTGGAGAAGGCCCCAGAGTCAGCAGCGGCCGCCACGGAGGCCGCGGACGTTGTCAAGGCAGCCGAATGAACGTGCACAAAAGACCTGCAATGCGACGGTCTCGGAGGGTGAGGGATCATTGATGTGTGATATGCAATGTTTTTAGGCGTCCCTGGGAGTTTGGTTGGGATCGTCTGTCATCACTCCTGATGAATCCTCACGGTCAGATACTGAGAACGCCCGTGAGTGTTGGTGCGAGGAGGCTAGAGATGTCCTCGACATTAGTACGACACTGACACTGGGTGAGCAGGGTTGGCAATGATCGAAATGGAGTCTTTCACGCACATTGTCACGCTTCACGTCTCCGGAGGTTCTTTTGGGGGGAAACAAATAAGAGCTCAACAGCACGATAATCGCTCTTCGCGTTATTGAACTTCTTTACTCTTCTTGTATCCAGTCCGATTATTTAGGAAAGAAAGGCAGCGCGCTGGGCAGTCTCGCCGATGTAGCTAGGGCACGAAAAGAAAATGCGATACATTAGCACTAAATCATGTTGACAAGATACCAAAGAGGATTGCAAATCGTGCTTCGATGAACTGGGCTGGGAGGCATAATGACCGTCAGGCCGGCCGCGTCGTCCTTGATATTCTTGCCTGGATGCTGAAGCAGGGGTGTACCCCGTATATATGGATCATTCATGGTCGGCCTACAGATTGCGAGGACTGATATAGCTCCTGTCGTGCTATACTGGCGCCACATAGCAGAGGCGCAGGAACGACAGCCTCGCTCTGCGACTCGAATTCCAGGCTTCTTGATCCCAGAATCCCAGTCTGTCCAGCAGGACCAACCGCCAGAGGCCCAGAAAGTACTTAGATATGACCGTTACATCCGCGCCCGCGCCACAGATAGAATACACACACACACAAACACGCATACAGACATCCGAAATATAGATCCACTTCGCAGCTCCAAACTGCACGGTACCCAAAGAGAACTTTTCGAGGAGAAGCGAAAAGAAACAGACGTGCATTGGCACGGGAGAAGGCGAGCTACATACATCTCAATGTTTTCGTCCTCACAATTCGCCGTCGCCCTCCGAGCCTCCCGTCTCGTCGTCTTCGGGGAGCTCGCTCAGACACGTGTCGATCAAGGTCATCAATTCATCCACGTCCGGCCGCTCGGCCGGTTCGACTTGCAGACACCGCCTCACGACTTCTCTGGCTGCCGGGTGCGGGTATATTCTCCCGCCAGAAGCCGGCGTGTTCGCATCGGGGGACTTATTCGCGTCGCCATTCGCCGTCGTTGCGCCGCTTTGCGATGACGTCGTGTTTGAACGTGCCGGCGTGGAGCCGACCTTGTTCTTGCCTTTTGAAATGTTTCCCTCGTCAGGCCATCTCCAATCTCCGCCCAACACGCAAATGCTGAGACTGCCGCCAGTCTCGTCGCTTCTGGCTTCAAAGGGCGATTTCCCAACCAGACAAGCATACATCGTGCACCCAAGACTCCAGATGTCGACTTTTGTGTCGATGACAGAGCCGGTTTTGACGTCGAAGAGTTCGGGGGCGCGGTACGGCATGGTACTGTGTTCAGCCGCCGTGTCTTGCACGGCAATGGCGAGGGAGCGCGATGTAATAGGCGTGGGACTTGGGGCAAGGGATCCCAGATCCATCAAAATCGGGGTGCGGCCATCGTCGTCGATCATGATGTTGCCAGGTTTGATGTCGCGGTGCGCATATGCCCGAGTTTCGCCGGGATTCTTGCCTTCTTGTGCGCGAGTGACTTCGTCGGAGGGCATGAGCGGTTCTTCCTGTTCTTCCGCCAATTCTTCTTCGTTCTCCTGCGACGCCGTCATTGTTCTCTTATTGGCGCGAGCTTTCCGTTTTGCGGCGTCGGCATCTTCGCTTGCGGCTTCGTCGCGGATGGACTGGGCGGCGGACCGTGAGGGTGTATTCCGCACGCGGTATTGGTGCATGGCTTTCAGTGCTTTGCAGACTCCGAGCATTAACTGCATGAGCCGTCTCTCACCGAAACGGGTGTGGTTGACCAAGTTCGCGTTGATCATGTCTTGCAGGTTCCCTCTCCGGTAATACGGTAGGAGGATATAGACGGTTTTACTAGCCCCATTGGCCGTATCTGTCCCAATCCCAGAAACCTTCGTGGTTGAATCGGTCTGCACAGCATGGTCGACAGCGTGGATTATGTTAGGGTGCGGTGCGAACAGGCTATATGCTTCGACCTCCTTGAGGGCTTGAGACACCGATTCTTGGCCGAAGGGACAGCGGATCTTCTTGAGTGCGTATAGAGCGGAGTCGGAGGTGTCTTGGACGAGGTAGACGTAGGAAAAGCCGCCCTACACAAAGAAGAAATGGTGTCAGCACTGCGGAGGTTTGATATGTCCAGGCTCCAGAGGGCTCCTACCTCGCCCAGCAGTCGAAGCATACGGAAGCTTCTGTTGTTGATCTTTAACTGCGGAGTGCTCGGGAAACAGCATATACAACTGGATAATGAATAGAATATGTCTAGGATTGTGTTCGCCATAATGGACGGTTGGGGAGCGAAGCGGGAGTAAGCAGGCCGTCACTCAGGAGGATGCTGGGAGTCGGTAGGACAGACTAGAACGACAGCGACGATAATCGTCGGGGCGAGTCGCGCTTCTCGACTAGGATTCAGAGTGGAAGATGATCAGACGGGAGACCTAGGAATGAGCCTTGGGCGCATTTGCTGTTCAGTGCATCGCATTTCATTAAAAGTACGGAGAACAGGCAAAGGTGAATGCATTGGACGCCGCATCTGCAGGTGGTATGACTCGCGTGAGCGGCACATATGATCCACCATATACTGCTGCTATTGTCTAGGGCGGAGTATGTAGACATTGATCCCTCAGCCTTGTGGTTCGCTCACCCTATTTCGATAGCTTTGTCCTTTTTCCTGTTGCTGGAAGCTGAACGCCTCGACCGAGGCACGTATATATCACGACAGCTGACACATGTCAACTTTCACCCGCTGAACACCAAGAATGTGGGTAAGTGGGTGTATAGGGGGACAACTGCCGCAAGTTAACATCATGATGTCGATCCCTGAGGTTAAGAGGTCAAGTTATTGTTTATTCAATGCTTACTATCTAAGACCATTCAACCTTTCATGTCAAAAGAATATCTAAAGGTCCTCCACAGTGCTGCGGCATGGATAACGGGTTGCAAAAAGTTACTCGAATTGCATCGTTTACGGTTTCCTGCTCGGGGGTTGGTGGCGTAACTCGGTGTCCGAGTATGCGACCACTCTGTGGTTCGAGGGCCTGACGCGGTTGTGCAGGCAACGCGCCGGTGGCCTGTAGATATTTATCAGACATGAGAGGTACGGGGAGTAATCATGGCTGCCCAGTGGACATTATAGATTGGGCTCTGAGGACTCTCCAAAGTCGGACTTTCACAACCGTCGGCAAGTGTATGCGGCGAGTGAAGATGAAACGTGCGGCGAGGTAGTGGGGTTGTTTGTATTTGGTGCTTCCCAAGTTCTTTTGCCGGATGCAGAGCAGACATGATTTACCGCTTCTGTGGGAGGCGGACTCGAGGTTTTGTCTGGAGGTACACATCACTCATTCAAAGTCGAACATGAACGGTCCATACCTGAAAGCTGCGGGTCGCACCTTATGAATGTGATCTAGGATATAGTGGGAATATATCTTGTTGGTTTTGCAGGTTACAAGTTTGTACCAGGAAGGGAAGGCGGTCCAAAAGGGATACGAGTTTCTCAGGGGTACATTTCAGCCTCACCACCTAGCGTCGGTTGACCGCCGTAAGCAAATCGGTGTCCACATGCGAGTATCAAAGCCACTCCCAAGCTGAAAGCGCGAATGAGAGGGCGCCTTGCCTTTCTAATGGGAGTTAGTCCGCAAAGAATGGGTGGCCTTGCACGTCAAGGGCTGCTGGTTAGATGGTGGACGAGCCACTCCCACGGAGCTCAGTCCGCACTTGCTCCAGCACGATGCAGCTGAGGCATATGCAAGGTGAGATCAGAGAACAAGCGCCACGTTTGATGAGTCCATTGGGTAGAGGAAGCCGGACAAACAAACAAGAATAACAAGCATTTTCGCTGTCGGTAGGAATGAAATGGGGAACATAACCAATGCAAGGTACGAGTCTCGCTTGGTAGGACTCCCACCTTTAGCTTCACTCTCCCTCAACACCGGACGTGGCCTTACCTGATTAGAAGCCCAGAAAAGACACATTTGCCAGATGATGGTGGTGGCGGTGCTGTGGTCCTGACCACTCCGGCTGGTTCTCGAGAAATGGGGCTGGCCCAAGGCCCGCAATGTTGGAAAGGATTCATATACCTTGCTTCAAGTCCACCGTCTTTCCCGTTTATACAAGAGCTCTTGGCTGGACACAAGGCACCGAATATCCTCCTAACGATCGACCATCTTGCCCAACGAGAAATGCATGGCCACACGAAGACACTCAGTACAACGAGTAGCACCGCCGCTCTTGCCGACTGCGAAGTTCCCCTATCACCGCGATACACATATGCTCGGAAAAGCTCCCTGCCCACAATCCCTCCAGCGTATCGCGTAGTCATTCGACTTGTGACGGCATTGCTCACCATTGGCATCGGAGGGTTTCTAGCGTACACGATCATAATCAAAAATTCCACCGAAGGCTCTCGGTTTCTAGATCAGCAGGGCAACAACCGCCTCGCCTGGCCACAGATAGTATGGATGCAACCAACGATCATTTTACTGACCGCAGCCGGTATTTCCTGTCTGTTTGACCTGGCCGCATTGACCATGGCGTGCGCAGAGGTTGGCTCCTTTCTCGAGTGTTGCTGTGTTCTGCTGACAAGCTTCAGGTCCACCGCTGTGAGTTGTGGGCAATCTGGCTTGAATCCTCGGCTTTCACCGTCTCTATCGCAGTCTGGATTGCGGCTTTGGTATATGCCAAAACCTGGAGCAATCCAAATTCCTCATCGGCAGATCTGTGGTCTTGGTCTTGCGATCACCAAAATATCGACTTGAATTATGGAAATGATAGCATCGCATTTGGGTCGCTCTGCCGATACATGGTAAGAATCACGGCTCTCGCAGGATCAAACCTGAACTAACGAGCACCAAGGACTTCGTCTTCTGCGGAGGCATTGTAGTTTGCGCGTTGCAGTCCGTTAATCTGGTGCTATTCTGGATTGTCCGGAACGGGGAAAGGGCTCAGAAGGAGATCGAAAAGCGTAATGCATATGCTAGAAAGTACATCTTAGGGAGCCAGGGCATGGCTGGTCAAGATCAATGACTTTCGACGCGGGACAGACTAAATGGTTAAGCACTCGGCGAAGAACGCCCGAGGGTTTTGAGATATACATTTGCTCATCAAGCAATAATTTGCCTTCAGTTGGCGAAGATCCAGAGAAGTTTGTAGCTGAGTGATGCCCACTCTTTTGATCCCGACGTATTGTTGCGATTAAACAGCGAGATGGATAACTTGGAGATTGGTACGGAGTAGAGGTGGCAAAGCCAGCAGGGGCTCCACCTTTTTTGAGGCTATCATGATTGAGGCATATGGAAGGTTTGCCGAGGAATACGCCAAGATTGGAGGCACGGAAACTTTTTTGAGTAGCAGAGGTCGCCGTCGCAGAGACAGATATACCTGCTGCCTGGCTGAAGTTTCGGAGTGACGACCGGTGCAGAAGTGCAGAACTACTTGTTTCTGCTCATGGCCACTAATATATTTCACTTTACCCAATAACAGCTTGGACGAACCCGTCCGAACACCCACTCCGGCGTCAAAGCCCGCTTCACATCCATCGCAACCCCTCAATCGCTCCCTAAGGTCGTGATCCTTGTGCCGACAAAATGGCAGACCCTAACAATGTGTCGCAATACAAATACTCGGCGATGTCGAACCTGGTCCTCCAGGCAGACCGTCGATTTATCTCACGCCGTACAGATGAGAATACCGGCGACCCCGAGTCCCTGGCTGGAAGACTGAACATCCGTGATATGGGTTCGCGGGTCGGTCGAGACCAAGTGCCAAAGCAGAAGAAGATTGCGCCAGGCTTACAAGGTGTCGAAAGAGGCTCGATACGGGAGGGCGAAGATGTCTTGGAACGAGAGCAGAGAAAGCGGAAGAGGGGTGAGCCTGCCCAACCTCGGGGCGCCGGCGTCCTTTCCGCCGGCGATGCGTTGATCGAAGGGCTCAAGTATCGTCCTAGGACTCCCGCGACCCGGGCGACTTACGATCTACTGCTCACCGTGACTGCAAATGCCCTTGGAGACGTCTCACAGGAAATCGTCCGAAGTGCAGCTGATGCCATCCTCGAATATCTGAAAGATGAGAATATGAAAGACCTCGATAAAAAGAAAGAGATTGATGAAATCGTTGGAATCACAATGACCCCTAAGCAGTTCAATGAACTGGTCAATCTGGGCAAAAAGATAACAGATTATGATGCGCAAGACGACGATGATAACATGGCGGACGGTGCCGGCGCGGACGAAGCCGAACTTGACGAACGCCAAGGTGTCGCAGTTGTGTTTGACGAGGATGAGGACGTAGACGAAGACGGCATCGCGCGGACGTACGAAGTTCGAGACGAAGACGAAGCGGACAGTGATGAAGAGGAAGACATCCAGGACCAGCCAGGTCTTGAAGAATCTGCGTCAGCTGGAGGGGCAGCCGCCCCCGATGTCGACGCAGACGAAGATGAGGACGCTGAGCTGATTATAGACAGCGGCCTTGGCGAATCGGTTCGCAGAAAGCGTGAAGACACCGACTTTGTTCCCATCGACGAAATTGATGCATACTGGCTTCAACGGCAAATTGGTTCGGTGTATGCTGACGCTGTTATCCAGCAGCAGAAGACCCGAGATGCCCTCCAGATCCTCTCCGGCAGGTCTCTTGAAGGTGAAGAAATATCCCTTCGTGATATCGAGAATGACTTGATGGACTTGTTTGATTATGAACATCCTGACATGGTTGGGAAATTGGTTTCCAATAGAGATAGGATCGTCTGGGCGACCAGGTGGCGCAGAGCCGCAGAGGATCAGGATGCTCGACACCTCGTGGAGAGCGAGATGGTTGAGGCAGGTCACCGAGCCATTCTGGACGAACTGCTGGGCAAATCAGGTCGTACCGGAGAAGAGCCACGCCCGGCTAAGAAGATGAAGCTTGATCTGATGGACATTGATATCCCCAAAGCACAGGAAGAGCAAGAAAAGAAAAAAGACGGTGCTCTTTCCGGTGGCTTACAACCACAGCGGGTCATCAATCTGGACAACCTCGTTTTTGAGCAGGGAAATCATCTTATGACAAATCCAAAGGTTGTCCTTCCACAAGGCTCCACGAAGCGAACATTCAAGGGCTATGAAGAAATTCACGTCCCCCCTCCTAAGCCCAAACGAGACCCTGGCGAGAAGAACATTCCCACCACTGAGCTTCCTGACTGGGCAAGGCAAGGTTTTGGCTCTGCGAAGGAGCTGAACCGTATCCAGTCGAAATGCTTCCCCTCTGCTTTTCACGATGATGGCAACATGCTCATTTGCGCTCCGACCGGATCCGGCAAGACGAATGTCGCAATGCTGACGATGTTGCGCGAAATTGGCAAGCATAGAAATCCAGAAACTGGCGAAATCATGTTGGACGACTTCAAGATCATCTACATTGCACCTTTGAAGGCTTTGGTGCAGGAACAAGTAGGCAATTTTGGAAAGCGACTTGAGGTGTATGGAATCCGGGTCTCTGAGCTCACAGGAGATCGACAATTGACAAAGCAACAAATTGCCGACACTCAAGTCATTGTAACGACTCCGGAAAAGTGGGATGTCATCACGCGAAAAGCAACTGACCAAAGCTACACCCGACTTGTTCGACTGATCATTATTGACGAAATCCATCTCCTGCACGACGACCGGGGTCCGGTCATCGAAAGTATTGTCAGTCGGACTATCCGAAAGATCGAGCAGACTGGTGAGCCTGTGCGGATTGTAGGCTTGAGTGCAACGCTCCCCAACTACCGGGACGTGGCCACTTTCCTGCGAGTCGATCCCGAAAAGGGTCTATTCCACTTTGATGGATCCTTCAGACCCTGCCCTCTTCGGCAGGAGTTCATTGGCGTGACCGACAAAAAGGCCATCAAGCAGCTCAAGACAATGAACGACATCTGCTACGCAAAAGCCATCGAGCATGCGGGAACGAATCAACAACAAATGCTAATATTTGTTCACTCTCGCAAGGAAACCGCCAAAACTGCCAAATACATCCGTGACAAGGCTGTCGAGCTGGAAACAATTGGTCAAATTATGCGGACTGATGCAGCAAGCAGATCCGTTCTGCAGGAGGAAGCTGACGCGGTGAACGACGCCAACCTGAAAGACCTGTTGCCTTATGGATTCGGCATCCATCATGCTGGAATGGGCGTTGCGGATCGGACATCGGTGCAGGATCTGTTTGCCGATGGCTATCTGAGAGTCCTTGTCTGTACTGCAACCCTTGCATGGGGTGTCAATTTACCTGCTCATACCGTCGTCATCAAAGGTACCCAAGTTTACTCCCCTGAAAAAGGAAGCTGGGTCGAATTGAGTCCACAAGATGTCCTCCAGATGCTTGGCCGAGCGGGTCGTCCGCAATTTGACTCATATGGCGAAGGTATCATCATCACATCCCAGGCGGAGATTCAGTATTACCTCTCGTTGATGAACCAGCAATTGCCCATTGAAAGCCAATTGATGGGCAAACTTGCCGACAACCTCAACGCAGAAATTGTCCTCGGAAGCGTCCGTACCCGCGACGAGGGGGTTGAATGGCTCGGCTATACGTATCTATTTGTTCGAATGATACGCTCACCAGGCCTCTATAGTGTCGGCGCAGACTACGGCGACGATGAGGCTTTGGAGCAGAAGCGAGTCGATCTCATCCATTCCGCCGCCATTGTTCTCGAAAAGGCCGGACTTGTCAAGTACGAGAAGAAGACTGGGAAGCTGCAAGCCACCGACCTGGGTCGAATTGCTTCGCATTACTACATCACACATAATTCGATGCTGACCTACAATCATCACCTCCAACCTTCGATCGGCACGATCGAACTCTTCCGAATCTTTGCTCTCAGTGATGAATTCAAATACATCCCTGTCCGACAAGACGAGAAGCTCGAATTAGCCAAATTGCTTGGCAGAGTACCGATTCCTGTCAAAGAAGGGATGGACGAGCCACAAGCGAAAATCAACGTGCTTCTGCAAGCATTTATCTCTCGACTCAAGTTGGAAGGTCTGGCCTTGATGGCTGATCTTGTCTACGTCACACAATCGGCAGGGCGAATTATCCGCGCAATGTTCGAAATATGCCTGAAAAAGGGCTGGGCCGGAGTGGCAAAGACCGCCTTGGACCTCTGCAAAATGGCTGAGAAGCGAATGTGGCCTACAATGACTCCATTAAGGCAATTTCCAATGTGTCCCAGAGAATACATTCAGAAAGCGGAGCGAATGGAAGTTCCGTGGTCTAGCTACTTTGACCTCGATCCTCCTCGCATGGGAGAGCTGCTCGGGCTTCCCAAAGCCGGACGAGTTGTGTGCGACCTTGTTTCCAAATTCCCGCGATTAGAGGTCCAAGCGCAAGTGCAGCCAATTACCAGATCACTACTCCGTGTCGAACTGACGATCACTCCCAACTTTGTGTGGGATGAAGCATTGCACGGGACTGCTGAGTCGTTCTGGATCGTCGTGGAAGACTGTGATGGAGAGGAAATCTTGTTCCACGACCAGTTCATTCTGCGTCGAGAGTATGCAGAGGGTGACATGTCAGAACACTTGGTCGACTTTACCGTTCCCATCAGCGAGCCTATTCCACCTAATTATTTCATTTCGCTCATATCAGATCGGTGGATGCACTCTGAGACCAGAATTCCCGTCTCGTTCCAGAAGCTGATTCTCCCCGAAAGATTCCCTCCTCATACTCCACTTCTGGACCTGCAGCCTGTGCCTGTCCAGGCGCTGAAGGTCAAAGATTACGTCGCGCTCTATCCCAAGTGGGACAGATTCAACAAGATCCAAACTCAAGTCTTCAAATCGCTGTACGATAGCAATGACAGTGTCTTCGTGGGAGCACCAACGGGCAGCGGCAAGACGGTATGTGCCGAATTTGCTCTCCTGCGACATTGGAAGAACCCGGACGCTGGCAAAGCAGTTTATGTGGCTCCCTTCCAAGAACTAGTAGACGGCCGTTACGCTGACTGGAACGAACGATTGAGCCCACTCGGTGGCGGAAAGGTCATCTCAACTCTTACTGGTGAAATCACAGCTGATCTGCGAATCTTGGACAGATCTGATCTCGTATTGGCAACTCCCACTCAATGGGACGTCCTATCGAGACAATGGCAGCGGCGAAAGAACGTGCAGAACGTGGAGTTATTCATTGCCGACGAACTTCATATGATTGGTGGCGAAAATGGCGGCGTCTATGAGGTTGTGGTTTCCAGGATGCAATACATCCACATCCAACTAGAGAACAACATGCGGATTGTAGGATTGAGCGTACCGCTGTCGAATGCTCGGGACGTGGGTGAGTGGCTTGGTGCCAACAAACACACCATCTACAACTTTAGCCCCATGACAAGACCGGTTGGATTACAGTTGCACATCCAGTCATTCAGCATACCTCATTTCCCGTCCCTAATGATGGCCATGGCCCGTCCAACATATCAATCTATCGTCCAGTTGTCACCTGACAAGCCAGCAATTGTCTTCGTTCCCGGTCGGAAACAGGTCCGTGCTACAGCACTCGATATTCTTTTGGCGTGCATTATGGATGACGACGATGAGAGGTTCTTGCACACCGATGTGAATGAACTTGCGCCATTCTTGGAGCGAATCAACGAAAGAGCATTAGCAGAGTCTCTGACACACGGCATTGGGTACTATCACGAGGCGCTATCGACCAGTGACAAGAGAATCGTCTCTCATCTGTTCAAGATTGGTGCTATCCAAGTGATGCTTGCTTCCCGCGATGTCTGTTGGGAAATCCCATTCACAGCACACCTCGTCATCGTTATGGGCACGCAGTACTTTGTGGGCCGCGAACACCGCTACGTCGATTACCAAATCAGCGAGATTCTGCAGATGTTTGGTCGAGCGTGTCGGCCTGGTGAGGATGATATCGGAAAGGGCGTGCTCATGGTCTCGGCAGTGAAGCGCGAATACTACAAGAAATTCCTCAACGAGGCGTTGCCCATAGAAAGCCACCTACAGGCCTGGCTCCACGACGCATTTGTCACCGAGATCAGCACAAAGACAATTGCATCCACCCAAGATGCTGTCGATTGGACCACATACACATATTTCTACCGCCGCCTTCTGGCGAACCCGAGCTTCTACGGCCTCAACGACACGTCCCACGATGGCCTTAGCACGCACCTCTCGGAACTCATTGAGACCACGCTAAAGGAGCTCTCGGACGCCAAAATCATCGACTTGGACGAAGAAGACGATTCGGTTTCTCCACTGAACCCGGCCATGATTGCCGCGTACTACAACATCTCCTTCATCACAATGCAGACCTTCCTCCTCTCCCTTACGGCTCGCACAAAACTCAAGGGCCTCCTCGAAATTGTCACGTCCGCCACGGAATTTGAGGCTATCCAACTCCGTCGCCATGAGGATCATATTCTCCGTCGCATTTACGATCGTGTGCCGGTGAAAATGTCCGAGCCGATCTTCGATTCACCACATTTTAAAGCAATGGTGTTATTACAGGCCCATTTTTCAAGGATGCAACTGCCCATCGACCTCGCCAAAGACCAAGAAGTTATAGTCTCAAAGACGCTCGCGTTACTCTCCGCTTGTGTTGATGTGCTAAGTTCGGAGGGCCACCTGAACGCCATGAACGCCATGGAAATGTCACAGATGGTTGTGCAGGCTATGTGGGATCGCGACTCTCCACTACTGCAAATCCCACACTTTGACTCTCAGATCGTGGGTGTTCTTGCCAAGCAGGGAATAAAGGATATTGACGACTTCATGACCGCAATGGACCCGTCCGAGAATCCCGATCAGCCGAAGCTGGTGCAGATGATGGGATTGAGTAACCGACAACTCGTGGAGGCGGCGAACTTCACGAATAACAAGTACCCTAGTCTCGAACTGGAGTTTGATGTCGAGGACAAGGAGGAAGTTACTGCAGGCCAGCCCTCCTACCTGTCGATCCGCATCTCGAGGGAAGCGGAGGAGGAAGACGAAGACGACGAAGAGGAAGGCAAAGGTGGTGCTGAACAAGAGGTCGACGTCACGGTCCATGCACCGTTTTATCCGCTCCGCAAGCTCGAAAACTGGTGGCTCGTCGTGGCCGAGGAGAAGACAAGGTCCCTCCTAGCCATCAAGCGCGTCACGATCGCCAAGAGGCAGTTCGGCACAAAGCTGGAGTATGTCGTCCCGACCGCCGGCAAGAAGGACTTGACCTTGTTCCTCATGTGCGACTCGTACGTCGGTGTCGACCAGAGCATGGCGTTCAGTGTGGATGTTCAGGAAGGTGAGGATGAGGATGAGGAGGAAGAAGGAGACGAAGATGAGGAGATGCAGGATGGCGGAGAGTGAAAAGTCCGGCCTGATGAGGCCCCGAAGGATTTTCAAGCCTTAATACAAGGAAAGCACGCCGAGTGAGCTTGCGTATCGGCACCACCCAGCTTGCGGAAGTCGATTGGAATCACGCCTTCGGCTGGCTGGTTTCTGCGTGAACTGTTTCAACAAGATAGTGAGACATAAGAACAGGGGGAAATGTGATTTCCATGGTCGACACTTTTGGATATGTGGTATCTTCTGTTCTAGTACATTAACATACTGGCTTCTTCGTCCCAATTTGCGTCTTGGTGAGGACAGCCTCGCACAACAGGCTTCGGAACAAACCCATCAACAGTGTCCACCGCGGTGTTGCAACCAGGTTAGTGAAAAACCGTCTTTTGGGAACAATGGCATACACCTTGGAACCCTTTGGTTGAGGTTCGTATTCTCACAAATGCAACTGCATTCTCCTCCAGGAGCCGGCCCAAGTACAGTGTATCCATACCTCTTGAAGCTCTGCTAAGGGGGAACTTTTCTTATCCTTCTCGGACTGATTCACAGAATGCATATTTATCGTTTTTGAGATTTTCGACCGTGCGGTCATAACCGCATTTCCGAGCAACAAGCACGAACTCATGATCGTTGCGGCATTTTGCTTCTTCTTCCAACATACCGTCCTCGTCCAAAAATTCGAGGAGAAAGCCGTCGCCGTAGATCTCATCGTCTCATGATGCAAGCCCAAAGATACAGGTAATAAGTCCTGCTATGCTGCCTCCACACTTGTAGAACATTTGGATGGATGCGGGCTTTTCCTCTATGGTTTCAGCGGTCAATTCGATGGTAGTCTCATGCGGGGGCCTGGAGGCAAAAAGACAAGATGTGATGTGACCGCAGAGTCTGACATAGCCTTCCCGAACTCCTTTATAGCGACTCAGTAATTTGAGGCAGTACTGCGGAAGACCAACAAGTTGATAACTATGCGCTTCGACCCATTCGGTGCCTGGCAGATCATCCACCTCTTCACAAAGCTCGGAACGTTGCCTCTCGGCTCTCGCAGACAACACAAATCTCATTCGGGGGCTGAGATAGCCGCCTGCGCACTCGCCGCAAGTGCAGCCATACCGAAATTGTTCCAAATCTTTGTCTGTGTGAGTCTCAATTCCCTTGAACAGAGCAATACATTTCGCCATGGCTATTGTATGACCTTCGAAGTCGTCTGCCACTATCTTGATGGACGTGCCAGGCCATGACCTCGTCCGCAAGATCTCAAGCTTCTGTAGAAGTGCTTCTAGTGGATTATTTCCACTGGAATTACGTATTGCAATCAAGTGAGCAGAGGTTGGCTGCTGCATGATCCAACCTACGCTTTCAGGGAGAAAGTGCAGAGCAGCAAGGTGTAACAGAGTGTTCGCCTCCTTGTCAGTGGCAAACCAACGCTGGCTGTCGGGCTTATCACATTGAAGATATTGTTGGACTGCTTTGAGGAACCTTTTGTCACTCAAATCGCTCCAAATCGACTTGGGCAAGGTATCTTGGCCGGCAGGGCTAAAAACAGGAGGGTCGAAGTCGTTCTCACGAGGTATGGCTTGGCCGTGCCAACATTCCAGACCCAACCAGATAGAAGAACCTATTCGTCTGAAGCCGAGTGAGCGGGCCCACGGAATTGCCACGCAGTCGTGAAGGTCAAAGACCGCCGGTCTATGGGTACTTCCGCTGTCTCCAACTATAGCCGCGAGAAGATCCTCAAAATGGATGTCCTTGGAGGATTGAGGCCAGAGAATCGCGGCAAAACCGTTGTTGGTCTTGCGCTTGGTGGTCTCTAGCAAGGCTGTGACAATCTTCCTGCCCAGCCCCAGCCGCCGGAATGGCTTCTCGATGATGATGTCTTCAATGAGTAGAATGTCACCATAGTCGAGTATGGTTCCCCACATACGTAATGCTTTTCTGGTAGCATGGTTCTCATAGTCGTCCTTCAGGCTACCAAATCGGTCAAATAAATCGAATGCTAACAATGTCGGTTCATCAAAGGGCTTCGACATCTCCTTATAAAAATTTCCGCGAATTTTGGTGCGTCTAATCAGCTTTGCTGCACAGAATCCGACTCGGTCCCCGCGTCTATCAGGTGAAGAGCTTCCCCTGGCCACCACTGCCTCCATCGGCTCTAACCAGGAGAGGTGGGAGAATTCGTCATACTCGGCCATTTTGCTGTCAAGGTATTCGAAGTTCAAAGTTCCCCAATCACCTTGCGCTTGAGATTTGGGATCATTCTCCACTGCCTTCTTCTCGGAGCATATTCTTATCTTCAGATGGAACTCCGGTGATGGCGGCGATAGTGATTCAGAAGGCTGTGTGCTGGTAACTGGTATATCCTGATCAGACTGCGATAGAACATGGGTGACAATGTCAGTTGAGAGTCGCTGAACTTTCGAGGCAATAGGACATATCCTCGCCAGGTCGTTTCCCGGTTCCCATTGTCTCAGTGTGGCTCATGACCTGGAACGTAGGAAAGAATAAGGTAGTTTGGTCTGTGCTGGAATCAAAACAGAGATGGGTTCGAAAATCTGTACGAGGGAGCCTGAGATAGAGACAAGGAGCAATGAGAGAACAGAAACCGCAAGCAAAGCAGTTTGGGGAGATGAAGAGCGAAAGGAAAGGGATGCACCGAGGGAAGAAATGAAAATGAAAGGCACTGCGAGGGAAGGTAGTTGTTGCACGTATTCGGTCATGAAAGGAAGTTGCTGTTGCGAGGGAACTGTATACACGTTGAGGGTTTTGTGTCAATGCGTGGCGGCCGTTGCCTTTACCTGATGGCTGTGGCTTTGCCCTGTAACTTGCTGGAAGAAGTAGAGTGAAGGAAGCCAAGTAGGTTACATATCGCAGGCCATATGCTTCACCGCAGGCCTCGTATCTCCGCCGCAGCCTACATGCTCCGCCGGATCCCCCAGGTGGGGCCGAGTGTTGCTTCCGAGGCCCCTGCCCACTTCCGATGGCGACGGGTTCGATTGAGACATATTCTTTACCCGACAACCATGTTTTCTGACGATTACTTTCCTATATATCCTTGCCCCAGTGTTGTCGATGCTTCGTCCTGCCTCTGAAGTTCTTTATATCCCATAGAAATTCCAGGGCCCACTGTCTGAAATAACAATCCGACTCCCTCCCATCGGAATTCCGCCGTCAAACATGGCAGCCGCCAAAGGTCTAAAGCAGATACTCACCAAACAACTTAGTGATGTTGTCATCCTTTCCTCTTTACGTACTCCTGTCACCCGGGCCGTCAAGGGCGGCTTTCGAGATGCTTACGACCATGAACTCCTCTGTCACGTCCTGCGCGCTACCCTCGCTGCAAATCCAAACCTCGACCCAGCGAAAATCGACGACGTAGCGGTCGGAGTGGTTCTCGCTGAACTGGGTGGATCAAAAGCCGCCCGTATGGCACAGCTACATGCCGGATTCCACGAGCAAACGGCGTTGCACACGGTGAACCGAGCTTGCAGCTCAGGTCTGGCCGCTGTCACAAGCATTGGCAACATGATTGCAATGGGACAGATTGAAGTAGGCATTGGCGCAGGCATGGAAAGTATGACAAAGAATTACGGGAGCAAGGCGATCCCTACTATGCTCTGGGATGAACTCAGGAATAGCCCCATTGACAATGTACGGGACTGCATCATGCCGATGGGCCTCACCAGCGAAAATGTGGCAAAGAGGTATGGGGTGAATCGACAAGACCAAGATGCCTTTGCTGCCGAGTCACATCGCAGAGCTTCCAAGGCACAGAAATCTGGGCTCTTCGACTCGGAAATTGTTCCTGTCAAGGTCAGACAATACGCACCAGAGCATCCTGATGCGCCTCCCAAAGAAGTCGTGGTCGACAAGGATGACGGTATCCGGCACGATGCTAGCCTCGAGAAGATGGCCAAGCTCAAGCCCGCTTTCTCGCAAGATGGATCTTCAACGGCGGGTAATTCCAGCCAGATTTCCGACGGCGCTGCTGCGACGTTGCTCATGCGCCGGTCAACAGCCAATGAGCTCGGCCTAACCAAGAATATCATTGGAAAGTGGGCAGGCACCCAGGTCGCGGGGTGCAGACCGGATGAGATGGGTGTTGGCCCGGCTGTGGTCATTCCGAAACTCCTCGACTACACGGGTCTGAAGAAAGAAGAAGTGGATATCTGGGAAATCAACGAAGCATTTGCAAGTCAAGCTCTGTATTGCATTCGCAAGCTGGGTTTGGATACCGAAGTGGTCAACCCCAGAGGGGGAGCGATTGCTTTGGGCCACCCACTCGGTATGACCGGGACGAGACAGCTTGCAACTTTGATGCCTCAATTGCAGGAGGGACAGATCGGTGTCGTGAGCATGTGCATTGGTACTGGTATGGGCATGGCCGGCCTCTTTGTCAGAGAGTAATCTCTCTCTTTTGGCCGGTTGTGACATGAATCGAAGCAGGCAGCTAGGGTAAGGAGCACCCTATCCATTTTTTAACCTTGTTTGTCGCCTGTTCGACCTTGCGTCACTCCACGCCAGCTCGAGCGTTGCCGTCTCTGTGCTGTCGGAGTGGCGCTCTGCTTATCAAATCTGGACTCTCTCGAGTCTTGACTGAACGATCACGACAAGGCCACATAGAACAGCCACAGCTTCCCGCTTTCACTAATCACCCACTGAACTGCAGGTTCAATCGTCTCCGCCCATCCGTCGCCCTCACCACCTTCATATACTGATTTTCTCGCGACATGTTCAGAGGAAAGTCGTCATTTCAAAGTTAAAAGCCAGCGACAATCAGCAGCTCGAACTGTACATATCTGTCTCCAACGGCCGCACCTTAGCATTTTGCATTCTGCATCGACTGGCAAAAGTTTGGTATACATGACACCGCGGAAGGAATGGTTTCTCAAACGGAGCATGTAGAGGTTTACATCGAATTTCGCAAGCAGCTCGAGCATTTTAGAGAATATACATTGTGCCCTTGTTACATTTTCTTTCTCCCTTTTGTACAACTCTGCTCTGTCTCCTAACGGTGTTTTGCCCGTCTTCTTGGACATCCACGCATCGGACTTTCGATCCCGTTTTCATTTCGCGGCGAGTCTTGGACTGTACGGGGATGCGCTGTGGTCCCGGCGGGCTGTAGTGTCGGCTTGCATTCACAAGTTCCTCTGCGCAACTCCCCCTTCCGCCTCCTCTTTCCTCCACTCTTCACCCTCCGGCACCAGCCGAGGAAGCGGGTACACCGGCAGGCCGCGATCCTCGAGTTCGCGCTTGATGACCTTCCAGCGCCCGACCTCCATTTCTCGATCGACTTCAGTCTCGCGCCGGGGGAAAATCATCACGTTGGGGCCCAGGGGCTGGAATCTCTGTCTCTGCTTCTTTACCTTTTGGGTAGGGGCTTCTGATTGTCCAGAGACCGCTTTCTCCGTCTGATCTGATAATGGCGTCTCCTCAATCTCGGCGCGGAGTTTTTCCCTTGCAGCAAAATCCAGTGCCTTCTTCTGCTTGGCGAGTAACAGTTCTGCGAATCTCTTAGGTTTAGGCTTCGCGGTTTGAGTGAGCAAGTCGATGAAAGTGGTTAGAGGTTTGCTGCCGCGCAGGACAGTGTTGAGGAGTGGGTCGGGGACGCGGTGGGAGGTGAGTTGGGAAAAGCGCTTCATAACCTATCCACCACGAATTAATCAGCTCTGCTCAGCTCGAAATAAAAGAAACAGATGAAGAGCCCCTGAGGAGTTCGCAAGGACAATACATACGACAAATGTGAGCGGATCACTGAAGTCAAATTTTGCGCCAGAGAGCTGTTCTTCCACCTCGGGTATGGAAAGTTCGATCTCTTCTTGTCTCTCCGACTCGGGCCTTGGGGCTTCGCTGGCCTTCTGTAGGACACCTCGGGGATCTTCGAGATGTGACACTGCTCCAGAGCTCGACAGTTTGATTTTCAGAGAAGTCATATCACCATGGAAGTCAGGTGGACCCTGCTCAAAGATAATTGTTGGTTCCTTCCCAAGTTGCCTGTATGCGAGACACTCGACGATGGAAATGTAAAGAAATGAGAGGAACTCGTCGCGCTGAAGAGGTGGTGCCGTGGTCGGATCAAGCCAGCTATAGAAATTTAGAGTGAGATCCCCTGGGCATGTGGGATCGGGTTGCGAAAGACTTACGGTTCATAACCGTCCTTGGGATCAGCAGGTAGATCTCTCCAATGTCCCTGGTGGCCCACATGCTCCAATCCATCCCAAGTGGTCGCTTCGACATACTCCTCGATTGGCGCGGCAGTTTCAGCCTCTTCAAGCGACGACCGTTGTTTAGAAGGCTGAGAGCGGCTGAGAAAAGAATCGGAGGCCTGGCGTCGCTGTCCATTGACAAGGCTTGAGGTGCGTCGAGCACAGTCTCTTAATGACAGGCTTGAGGATTGTCGGGCTTGCTGTGCTTCGCGTTGCAGGAGTTGGTGTTTGCATGTTCGACAGACATATCGAGGTCTCACAGCTACTGCAAGTCCATTGCTTATTGACTTCGAGGCGCGGCCCACAGACGCCATCTTGTGTGATATGGCAAATGAGTCCGTGGATTGGACCTGAGCGGGACCGAAAGATTCTTGCGACCTGATTGAGAATGAAGTTTCGGGTCTCATTGAAGCTGCGGAACTGCGCACCAAGATTTGCGCCGGACCAAAACTGTGTGAAGCGCAATATATCCGGTCAATCATTTAATCCCAACCCGCCGTTATCGCTGTATGCTTTTCTTGGCAGCGAAGCAGTTACCGAGTGGACTACACAACGAAGCGCAAGCCTACTGATTCAGGTATTTGACCTATACCATGCATCCTTCTTTCGCTCCATAATGCCATGCGTGATCACTCTATGTAGAATGACGTAAAATACGGAAGTGTCTCAAGAGCCCACACTTGTCTGCATCCCGTGACCTCGCAAAAGGAACGCGATATTTGCTTCGAGACTGGTTGAATATCCCATTGATTACTTCTTGACGCGGCGGTTCTGGGGGCAGATCTTGCACTGTGAGACTGTGGGAACCGTTCCTAGCCCGGAGACTTGTTGCCGAAAGCAACTCAAGGTCTGGATAAGCAAAGCGCTCGCAACATTGAGACCACCGTTTTCTCCATTTGAATCGGCAGCAACCTCGGCATCGAGAAAGTTGTGAGCATATTTGAACTTGCATGTACCTTTTGATGTAGTACAGCAGTGTCTTCCGACGCCTCGGCTACTTTGTGCTGCCGTACCGTATATTTTGGGCGGCGGACGGAGACGATACTCAGCAAAGCTCGGAAATTGTGATGGATAAGGCACTGGCGGAAGACCTATTCAAGAGATGCCTATCCGAGAAGACATATTCTTAGGTTTTCGAATATCGGAGTCCTTGCGCCATCCGGAATGAGGCATAAAGGACCGATAACATCTGACAGACGGTTTAACCTGCAACCCAACTCTCCGGCTGTCAGTTTAACGCCTAGCTTCTGAGTTCTTCCTGGCGCTTTCTGCACTTCCAGATCCGTTTGAGCTCCCAAAGCGGTCTGCAGGCCCTCTTCTCTGATCTGTTTATTAAACAATGCTCGAAGGTACAGTCAAGGTCCTGTCACTGGTCATGGTGTGAAGTGAAAGATTTTCGATTCCATGCTCGAGTTCCTCCAATCGAGAAGGAGCTCGCTGAAAGCCGGAGCCGGCGTTGGGTCCTTTAGAAGCTCGCTCCAGGTACAATGTTGACTTGCTGCCATGCTCAGTGCAATGTGACTGGAGTTGAGCACCACACGAATGGGCTTGATCGAAGGTATGTGAGAGCATCGAAGAATGGAGATATGACAACTTTGGAAATATTAGACGTTGGAATAATGCTTTCAATGCCGGGGCGGATGCACATATGATTGCAAGGTGCGCTTCAATGTCCGTCAAGGCCTGTTATGGACTTAGTATTTGGGTGAACGGTAATGAGCTCCGTGGCTTACAAAAGTCGGCCACCCGTACCAAGTTACATCATGAGTATCCGGGCCCAGTTGATAGTTCGTAGTCACCTTGAAAAGGTATGCCATCCTTGCAATCCCAATTCCGGCCGTTAGCAGTCCTGCCGAAAACAGAACGTACAGGCTAAGCCTCTGTCTGCTCGTCAAGTTAAGGTTTCGAACCCATAGCATTGGCAGAACTGATGCATAGATGTCGGAGAAGGCAGAGGCTGCGGCGCTGAAGACGATGGGAACCTGTTCGTTGCCGCATGTATACCTACCAGTGAATTCGGGATTGTAAGATTGCCAATACGAACTCAGCGGGCGACAGATAACAATGAGTTCCAAAACCAGGCCAACAGTATACACGATCGTAGATATAATCGCTGCCGAGGTGAGTCGAATGAACCATATACTATGGCTTCTGGATGATAGTTTGCGGTAGACAAGCAAGATCGAGATCTTCGTGCAAGCGTTTCCGAGCAGGAAGAAAAGTTCAATAAGCCAAGCAGATAGTCGAATGTACTCCAGCCGATCTAGAGGGACATCCCAAAGATGCATATTCCATCCCCAGGTGGTGAGAGCTTTGTACTCCGCAAAGGTTTGTCCGATCGATAGTAACTGGAAATTGTCAGCATTTAGACGATGTGAGGGCGTAGTGAGACGAACAAAGCCTGCAAGAAGCAGTGCATCATCCATACCAGGGGATTTTGTGATGCAATAACGGGAATATATTCTGAGCATCACTACTGTGGCCGTTGCGGCGCACATGACGATGAAGAGAGCAGGGGCACCTCTCTTTGGAGGATCATCAAAATTTGGTGATGGCCACCCCTGAGGCCGGACAGAGCTCGCCATGACAAGACTGAGACTGCTGAGTGTTTGTTGCGATTCAAAAGCTAGAAATGTCAAGAGAGCAACGAGGGTTAATCTGGAAAGGAACACGAAGCGATAAAGATATGGAAAGATCCTAGAGTAGCGCCTGTTTCCAGGACCAAGATTTTTACTTTTGCAAAGAGTGAGTCCGATTCGGGGAGTGATATCAGTAAAGGCGATGGTAGTCACGATGCTAGTGACGGTCGCATTGTGGATCTCTGCGCATCGCCTTTTCCATGGTCGGGACGGAGAGCGGTAGATTTTGTATCTATTCACCATCCTAGTGGATTGCAACGCCAAGGTGAAGAAATCCGTGACAGCGGAAATGTTTCGCCAAACACCTACCGGACAAGGCTATGTTCCACAATATCAAAGCTGGGGCGTAGTTGTGTAGGTGGTCCAGTGGACTTTTCTAGAAAAGGGCAACGGTTCGACGATAAAGTTCAGATTCGTCGTCAAAAACAAAGTCCAGGGCTTTGTAACTCTGTGTTGCTCCTCTCGATTTCATAGATGCATGTTGTAGTGGGTACTCGAACCAGTCCTGTGAAGAGGGTCCCATCGATTCATATAGACTCAGCTGATTCGATTTTATCAAATTGTCCACAGTCTCGCACTGCATAATGTCGCAGCTTGTCATCGAAGTTCTTGAGTTCGCCTGGAGCAAGTTCTGGGCAGGGTGATGCCGAAGTGAGAGAGAAATGCGAAGACCCCCTGTACATGAATTGCTTTTTCCGAGCATAATTTTGCGAACTCGGGGAAAAAGAAAAACGGACCAGCTAGAAGACTCAAGGTTAGCCTGAGATTATCAGATGTTCCATTATGAATCTGCGTCGCGTTTGAGGTGCATTCGGCCGGACCTGGTACCAAATCGGTCTGAATAGGAAAATCCAAAAGAAGCCGGTGAAGAGGCTGATTAGCAAGGGGCTCCTCAAAGGACTTCGATATGTTAGCAAAGGGTCATAAGGTTGACTCGTTCGGAATCCTATCTGCGGCTTCAATGCCACAATATGACGTCTCTTAGCTTCGTCCTGGGCCATTGGATACATGGATACATGTATGCCCTGCAACAGGACCAATTCTTTGGAGACGCTTGCCCGTCCCCCAGCGGCAACAGGGTCATCTGGAGAACACCTCGTGATGGTGATCAATGTGAGACCTGGAGTGGAGGGTCAGCGAGGTGTGTTGCTAAAGAGTACTGACTAAAAGAAGACAGGAATGAGTTGGTGAACTGACTCCTGCAAACTGCGGCTTCGCCTTTTAGCTACTTGATCGTCCGTATAATCTTCACGTGACATCCTACGGCGAATGACATCTCCGAAGAACCCCCGAGCCTCCGTCTCTTCTACAACTTGATAAGATTTTCTCAACGAAGTGTTTATCTTTGCTCATCGTCTCTGATCAAGAGCCTAGCCGACGAAGACCGCTGCTATACAATGCTTCGACACTTCTCCATCCCGTGCGGAAGGGATTTTCGCCTTTGCCTCAACATAGCAGAGCCAGCTTTACGGGCACAAGGCTTAAGTCTCCAGACCTGGGCCTCGTCCTTTGTGCTCGCGAGCCTGCTCCATAAACTGTCGATCGATCTTTCTTCCCCTGCTCCCATACCAGTCCTGGAGCTCGGTGCGGGTACCGGTCTTGTCGGTTTAACTGCAGCGGCACTCTGGAAATCTCCAGTGATCCTTACCGACCTGCCACCGATTGTTCCTGGGCTGGCTAGTAATATCAAACTCAATGCAGCCACCGTGAAGACTCTGGTTGAGTGTGGTTCGTTGGACTGGAGTAACCCGGAGACTCTTGCCGTCCAAGGTGGTACACTATATCACGCGGAAAGGGATAAAGCCCGCGTTATCCTCGCCGCAGACACTGTATACTCAGAGGAGCATCCCGAGTTGCTCTCCAAAGCGATACTCCGATGGCTTGCTCCAGGACCCTCATCTCGTGTCATTTTGACATACCCTATGCGTGTGGCTTACCTGGACCAAATTCGGGAGTTGTGGCAGTTTCTGGAAAAGGGTGGTCTCGAAGCTGTTCGTGAAGGTCGTGAGCAAGCTGAACTCGACATCTGGGACGATGAACGTCTCTGCGAGTGGAGTGTATGGAGATGGCAGCAGAACTCCACTCATGATCAGGGCCACACCAAGACGTGAAGAACGAACAAGACTTGTCAAGACTGCCTAATCATCGCCCCTGCCATCACACTCTTGACAACGGAGCTACGCACACAATACTTGGATACCCTTCCTTTCGCAGCATAATTCCATACTAATATAGACATACAATAGACGGGCTTCTTCACACAAAATTTTGCATATCCAATGGATCTCTAAGCAAAATTGCACCGGGTGCTTGCCGATCTGGACCAGGATCTGGAGGTGAATTCTGGTCTCTGTCAATTCACCTTCCTATATCGACAACAAGCCATTTCCATGGTCACATACCGACATGTACCCTCTGCCAGGCATTTCTCCCAAGCGAGGCGCGTGCGATTGCTATTGACTCAACTGTTGGCTCGAATATTTCCTGTCGTGGAGATCCCTTTCCTGATTGGTCATTAGTGGATGTCGTGATCATATGTCGATATGGTATCATGGCCGCCAAAAGCCCAAAGGCAACACTTGAATTGCAGGCGGGAGATGCTGCCGGTGGGAATGATTGTGGAGATGGCCGATAATGTTGCAGTGTCATTGTGTTACAATGATCCACGAGGAGAGGTCCGAAGAAAACGCTGAAGTTACTTATATCTCAGCACCAATGGCATTTACTGGGCCTCAATACCTGATTCCAGCAGAGGGACAAGATGGCTGCCAACGAAGCTTCAATTGAAGCCGACAAGATCACTGCCGTCCAGACTAGTCCTGCTTCGGTCGCCAGTTCTCCTGCGAATTCAGCGGACCTCGACGATGACTACCACCTGTACAAGCGGAGTGATGATCAAGAACTCGACCCAGCCGAATCTAAAAAGGTCCTGCGCAAGCTTGATGTGCGAATAGTCCCTATTCTCTTTCTCATATACCTGCTGCAATATCTGGACAAGAATGGCATCAACTACGCCAGTGTGTACGGTCTGCAAAAGGGCACGAATCTCCATGGACAAGACTACTCCTGGTTAGGGTCGATCTTCTATTTCGGTGAGCGCTGGCCCTGACTCTGAGAGTTTCCCTGCTGAGCGATCCAGGGTATCTGTGGGCGCAGTATCCGGCCGGTTATTTCTTGCAGAGACTTCGGGTCGGAAAGGTGATTGGGGCTACTACGATCGCTTGGGGCATTATCCTGATCACGACTCCGGCATGTACAAGCTTTGCCGGCATCGCCGTCAACCGCTTCTTGCTCGGCTCGTTTGAGGCGGTGGTGAACCCAGGGTTTATTCTCATTATGAGCATCTGGTACACATCGCTGGAGCAACCCTTGAGACTGGAGGCCTATTACTGTACAAATGGCATCGCAACGATGTTTGGAGGGTGAGTCTGCCATATTTGTCCTACCTGGATCAGTATACTGAGAGTATATCGAGCCTGATCGGCTATGCGGTCGGCCATATCACAACCGGCCTGCCTCGTTGGATGTACGTTTTTATTATATTTGGCAGCATTAGCATCGCTCTGGGCGTCCTCGCGCTCGTCATGCTCCCCGACCTCCCCTCGACAGCCAAATTCCTCACGGACGCGGAGAAAGTGATTGCCGCGAAGCGTGTCTCTGCCAACCGGCAAGGCATCAAAAACCGGCATTTCAAGTCCTACCAGATGTGGCAGACGTTCAAAGATCCAAAAACCTGGATCTTGTTCGTCATGGCCGTCGGGGCGCAGGTTCCGAACTCGGCAATCACTCAGTTCACGTCGCTGGTGATTCAATCGTTCAACGTCGACACGTTGGGGACGCAGTATCTCCAGATTCCGGGCGGCGCGGTGCAGTTCGTCGCCCTCCTTGGTGGAGGCATCGTCTGCTCCAGGTGGCCGAATCTGAGATGCATCACGATGATCGTGGCGAACACAATCTGCATCGTTGGCTCCGCGCTCCTCGTCGGTTTGCCGGATAGTAACAAATGGGGCCGGATGGTTGGGTTGTGGTTGTGTTTTTTCCAGGGGCTGGGCTTCAGCATGAGTTTGACCATGGTCAGCTCCAATGTCGCCGGTTACACCAAGAAACAACTTACCGCGGCGATCCTGTTCACCGGGTATTGTGTGGGGAACATCATTGGGTGAGTGCTTCTGAATCTGTCCCCTATCCCTCGTGCTCAGTCAACGACGTAAGCTTTGGGTGTGCATGGCTACTACTGACACGAAAGACCGACAGGCCACAGACGTTCAAGTCGAGCGAGGCGCCGCGGTACCATTCCGCCTACGTGGCGATGCTGGTCGGGTACACGATCAAGCTGGTGGCAATCGTGGTCTTGTACATCTACATGTTCCTCGAGAACAAGCGACGGGACCGCGAGGCCGCCTCGTCTGGTGTGGTGGATCTGGATGAAGAGAAGGAAGCTATCGAACGAGGAATGCACGATGTCACCGAGCTGGACAACAAGGGATTCAGATACACGCTATGATGCCGCAAGGGAACTTTCCGAGCAAGGAAGAGCTAGGATTACAGCCGTAAGAACGGTCCGGTCGAATGGGAAAAAGGAAACAAGTTTTGATGGATCCTGTGCTCATTTCATTTGATTTTCCGCCTTTTTTACTTACTTTGAAATCTTTCGTTCCATCATCCGCTGCCACAGCTCCTGTGCACATGGCTCGAGCTTCTCATGCCACAGGAACTTGCGCAACATGTCCAGAAACGTTTGGGACCGGCTCACAGCGGGGACCTTGAGGCGGAGCACCCGGAGCATCTCGTCCTGCAGGGAGTCGGGCACGCCGTAGTCGACGCCCGCGGAGGCGAGGAGGAAGACCGCCCAGGCGACAAAGCCTGGGCCGGCCTTCTCGAGGTGCGCAAAGACCGACTGGGCCAGGGCGCGCAGGGTCTCCTCCATGGACTGATACGTGCGCTTGGAGCTGTTGACCGGGCGGCCTTTGGTGGCGACGTCGAGGAGGAACCGGCCGAACAGGAAGGCCAGCGTGACGACGGCCTTCTCGAGCGCGCCGGCGTCGGTCTCCATCGACAGCCGCATCATCTCCACCGCGATGGACGTGTCCTCAGAGAACTCGGCGGGGCCTTTCGCAACCGTCTTGGCCATGCGGTACAGCAGGCGGATGACCTGGTGGGACAGTAGCGTTTGGAGAGCCATGTCGCTGAACCCTTCGGGCAGCGCCGACAGGGCCTTGGACAGAGATGGCGGGAATGGGTGCTTTGGGTACGTCAGCGTGCTGTCCGGGGTGATGTTGGTCTTGGGGGAGCGACTGCGCCTCCGGATCGCGTAGTCGCACATCATCTCCGTTCTGCGGAGATTGTCAATAAAAAGGCCTAGGTCCCCAAAGACTGGTCAAGGAGCACGAGGGGACTTACGCTGTGACCGAATATCGCGTCTGAGGCTGAAGGTTGCTGTTTGGCAATCCGCCCCGGAGGTCGACTATGCGCCGCAACCCTTCTCGGTGGAGCTCGACGTGGTCGTCCTGTCCGCGGTGGAACTGCAGGATCGGTCCATCGTTAGCCATGGTCGCGGAGAATGCAATAGGTAAAAGGGGATGGATGGCTTACATCTCCGGCCATCAATGCTAAGACGGTGTGGATGGTCACGTCGTCGCACCACAGCTGCGGCACGGTCAGACGATGATGGAGCTTCCGCATCACGCTCCCTCGGAGGCCCATCAAGATTCGCTCAAGCTCTTCCGGAGACGAGCCCAGCTGGCTCGCCGGAAGCTGACTCCAGATGAACAGGACGGTCGCTTCAAACAGCAGATCAGCCTGCAGGGCGACCCGGAAGAGGTACGACAAGAGCCAGTTGCCCCCTTGATCGTCGCGGTAGTTGCCCGCGTTCATGGGCGCGTATATCTGGGTGACTGGGAAGCATTAGTTGGCGTTTGCTCGCGTCTCCCATCTCGACTAGAGGGCGCTGGAACGGGGATTGGCGTACAGTAGTCCACAGTCAACTGCACTCGGCTAGAGGGCTCCATGGGATACGAATTGAAAGGGTCACTCCGCAGACTCCCCGGGGATGTTTGTAGAGGAGGCTCAAAGGGGACGACCGCCCCGTGCACATCATCGCCTTCAACACCACCCTCGGTTGCGTCCCACGTCGATTCGCCCCAATGTTGATCCCGATGGCCCTGGCCAGGTCCTGGGGGAGCTTGCTTCCAAGGCAATACTCTCGGCCTCTGGGACCGAGAAGACTTGTCCGTCGCGGGCAGGGTGGCCTTGAGTTCCCGGCGCCGCCGGTTCTGGTAGGAGTTGACCTGCCATTTTTTGGCACGCGACTTCAGCTGGTCCACGTGCGTGTATGTGATGAACATGGTGCGCCGGGGAGAGGGAGGAAGAGGAGGAGGCTGTGGCCTCGACGTGGAAGGGTCATCGAGACACAAGGGTCAGAGCACCTGCCGAATAGAAGAGACCAGCCCGGAGGGAGTAGTAGATAGAATCGAGGAACGGGAGAGAGTCTCTGCCATCTGGTCAATTTGTCCAAGCTCCGTCGCTAGGACATACAGAGGCGCAACCGGTTAGACCATCTCCTAGGCAGTCGTGGCAGTGTACCGAGTAGAGTGTGTGAGATTAGTGTCGCGTCCAGTCACCACGCACAGGAAACCGCCTCGCCCAGCCCTATCAGTCTTTGTAAGAAGCCTGTCTTGCCTTTCCCTCCCTAGGGCGGGCTTCCAGCGGGGATCCGGCGTCGAGGCGAGTTGACGGCAAACTTCTGTGCCAATTGGATGGGCCACGCCCAGACGATGGGTTCGCGAATGCTGACTCGACGTGCATGGCGCAAACGTGTAAACGTGACGATCTCGAACGGTGAGAAACCGAGACGCAGGTGCAACGCTTGTCCCGCGCATTTGGGGGCCAAAAGAAAAAAAAAGAGATGCTCGCCTCCTGTTGACGTGCCTGATACTGACTCGTTGGGTTAGCAGGGCCATTTCGCTCGACGGATTACAAGCCTTCGCTCTTCCCCTGGCGTCCTCTTCTCGGCCGTTTCCAAACGAGGAAGGACTTCATACCGTGTGAACTGGATCGAGAACAAAAAGTGTGGAGTGTGTCGACAGAATGACCAACGACGGGACGCAGTCTCTCTCCATAGCTTCGTCCAATCGAGAAACGGCCCCCATATGGTTCACGTTTGGCACGCCCAAGTCTCAGTCAATGGTACGACCGGGTATGCAGGACGACAAGATGGGGAGACAGCGCTACACTGACAACATTGCGGCAACCTCCAGTCAACCAACGAGGCAGGGAAAAACATGAGCATTCCAATTCGATAACTAGACTTGTTCGTTCCTCTCTCATTCCCTACCAACAACGATCAATGCAACTACCTGACTAACTGGCATACTGGCATACTGCATCTTCCCAACCTCCTGCCCTCACAACTCACCCCTTCAAGCTCCAATCTTCGCGATAGGCAGCCCCTTCAAGTCCTCGGCGGTATACTCGTCGTGCCTCTTGAACCCCAACCCTCCCACCCCGCTGAGCCCATCCTGCCTGCCCAACAGGGTCATGTCGAGCCAAGTGAAGGTGTTGATGATAGGCTCGCCGCCGCGCGCGTAGCTGCTGTAGCTGTGGTAAACCTTGCCGTCGTCGCCGATGCCGGTCAGGGGCCCCCCGAGCACAAAGACCGAGTGTCCCGGCTGCTCGCCCCTCGCGAAGTGGGCGAGCCCGCGCTTCTCCATCTCCTCCTTGTCCTTGAAGTTGTACTGTATGGGCCGGACGGCCTCGTCCTGCGTGGCCCCGAAGTCGTAGTTGAAGCTTGACCCGGACGACGAGACCCAGGGGAACGTCCAGCCCATGCGCTGCTTGTACGCGCGGATCTTGTCGATCGGGGCTCGGCTCACGGCGACGAACGTGGTCGAATGCCCGTGCAGATGGCGCAGATCCGGCACTGAGTCGCCCAGCAGAGAGCAGCTCGCGCATGCCGCCTCCCAGTCCGGGCTGAACATCAGGTGGTAGATGATGAGCTGCGGCCGCCCGTCGAAAAGGTCCACCAGGCTGACCTCCTTGCCGTCCTCGTTGGTGAAGGTGTACGGCGTGGTCACCTCGACCACGGGTAGAGATCGGCGTTGGCGGGCAAGCTCATCGCGCGCCCTGGTGTTCTCCTTCTCGGACTCGAGGAGCGACAGGCGGAGAGGAAGATACTCGGCCTGCGAGACGATCTAGAGGGGGGAAGAGCGGATTAGCAAGCACAACCCAAGTCAGTGTTTGGAAGAGTAAAAGAGGACATGAGAGGTTTCATGGAGGCTATTTGATCTTACCTTGACATTCGCCATTTTTCTTTTCTCTTTTCAGGTCTTTCCTAGAATTTAAGAGTTGTTGGAGACGCTTCTTGTCTCGTAGCAGATTTGTATCGAAAGTTAGTGAAGTCGCAATCAGCGTGTCGAGTATTGAGACTTGAGTGGTAACAAAGACCGATGTTCGAGACTTGAGTGTGGGCTTATGCAGATGAATTGTTGTCTTCTCACCTGGCTTATTGAGAAAGCAACAACATGAAGCAGAATCCAACTCACCTCGTGCTTCAGCTCTTTATATCCCTTTTCTCCCTTACCAAAGTGATCACCGTCGCAGTCGTATATAGGGTCCGCAGATCGCAGGCAGGTGGCTTGAATTGTCCCGTCGCCGACGTATCTCACTGTCTCCGATACGAGGGATGCCTGCCATTTCTCCTCTGCTGCTGAGAAATAGGGTCGTTTTGGCTTTCCGTCCGACGGTGAGGTACTGTAGCTCATTGAACCCTGAAGTCCCAAGATGCCCCAAGACGCGCGCCATCAGGTGATTTGGCGCGCCTCTCGATCCCTGTTCGCCCGTCTTTCTGCCTGGCGGTGCCTGGAGCTTCTCTCATCACGCGCCTTGACCCTCGAGTTTCCAGCAAGGACACCGGCTTCATATTCTAATCAAGCTGATAAATCAATCTACAAGTAGGTGAAGCAGCCATGGGGACAGCTGCTTCGACCTTTGGGTTTGGGGATCCAGCAGATGGAAATGCACAAGTCGGGCGGTCGAGGAGATCTCGTGGAAATGAAGATTCGGGCAGAGGTGAGCATGCATAACGAGCATCACTTTGTAAAGCATTTGCAATTGCATTCGTTTAGACGGAGAACAGGTCCCCTGACATTCCCTAAGCCGGAGTGAAGGAAATCCGATACATTATCATCGCTGCATGAAGGTAGCATAACTGGAGAAAGCAGGTTGAAAGAGGCAGCATTCTTTGCTTGCTGATAATATCCAGCTCTGACGTCTCTTCACCCTTCAACCTCTTGCTTTCGCGGGGTGAAGCACAAATTCAACGGCGCCAATTCCATGGTGAAAGTGTCCAGCGTCTTCTCAAGCAGAGTGGTCCCGTCCTCGCCAGGCCCGAATGTGACGTCGAAGTTCAGGAGGATCTGGGCGGTCACAGAGCGGATTTCCATCAAGGCAAGCTGTTTACCGATGCAAGAATACGGTCCTACGAATACAACCGTCAGGATGCGTTAATGTGGACCAGGCTCCAAACTCACCAATAAGGAAAGGGGCGAAGGCGTCGCCGCGCTTCAGCAATTCTGGCTTGCTATACCTGATGACGCCGTTAGTCAGTATATTGGCAGGATCATACTGTTCGCTTACCATCGCTCAGGAATAAATTCATCTGGATATTCATAGCATTCCGGAGCTGGGGGATTCACCGTCAGCGCAGATCCACAAAGTCGAAAGGGACCAACTCACATCGGAACAAAGGATATGAAGGTGCCAACACGTTGACATTGCCAGGGATATATGTGCCTCCCACGGTAATGCCTTCCGGTGGCGTGAGCCGGGCAACTCCACTCGGGACAGGCGGATGAAGTCTGAGAGCTTCATTGATGGCACCGTTCAAATGCTTGAGAGTGAGCAACTTCGAAGCCTGAAGATCGCCCTTCAGAGATTGAACTTCCTCCCGCAGCAGTTCGAGTTGAGCTTGGTCTTTGGCCAGATGATAGAAAAGGTGGGTCAAGGTCGCGGCAGTCGTGTCGCTTCCAGCCACGATAATGAGCCGCGAGTCCCCTGTGAGCCAGGCACGCTCGCTGTAACGAGTATCGGTCATGGGAGGCGACTGCAAGATCCAGGAGGAGATATCAGGTCTATCGACCTTCATCTTCATTCTCTCCTCCATCATGTCCTCGCAAAACTTGATGAACTTGCGAAACTCTTTGGTGATCTGGGGGATACTGCTGATGATGATGAAGAGCCAGGGGACGGGCCCGAAGACTCCAATCCCGCGCTGTCCAGCGTTGAGAATCTCGATGGCCCAGTGCTTCTGTCCGTTCTTGAGCATGTCAAAGTCCTTGGCGAAGGCCAGGTCTCCCATGACATCGAAGCTGTAGTAGTTGAACCACTGTGCGGCGTTGATTGGCTGCCCCGAGAAGGCCCGGATCTGCTCGACGAGGCTTTGTGTGTAACGTTCGACGCGAGGCTCGTATTCTCGTAGCGCTGAGCACGTCAGTTTGAGCAACTCGACGATGGAGCCGGTCCTCACAGTTTTGAGTGAATCCCCGAGCCCACGCTTTCCGTCGGAGGTCATGGTGTCGTCTCGATCTGGTCGAATGCATCGACGTCAAATCAGAGTTCCCTTCGTAGCCAGCGCCTTTGGTACATTTGGAGGATGCCCCATAAAGCACTTCGATCGCGTCGGGATGGACCGTGGAGATCTCATTTGGTCCTGCCAGCATCAATCAGCCAAAAGAACAGGGCCGTCACACCCCAACGTCGGGCTCTCGCCACGAACCGGTTCGGACAAAGGTGCCGTATTTGGCGTGCATTCTGGTCATGTGCTTGTAATTGTCGATGGTCGGAGCCACCTTCCAGACGTGCCATAGTTTCGAGATCTTTGCGCCAAACGGGCCGGGAAACGAATGGAGTCTGTGGAAGAAGGCCCGGTAGAGGAAGAGGCTCGAGTACAAGCCCGTCAGGTAGGTGGTGTAGAAAACGGCCGTCTGCTGAAGGGCCACCACCACAGCGACTCCCAAGGTGAGCTGCGCCGCGGTCGCAATGACGGGGAACGTCAAAAAGGCCACAAAATACTGGAACGCTTGACGATGGTGCTCGCCGTGGATGAAGTATGCCAGATGCGAGATCACGCCCAGCACGGCGCCGGCTGCGGCAATCTGGGGCAAGTTGAGGATCATGGCTGCAACAATTTGTCCTCTCACAAGGAACAGGATTCTAGAGTGAGGATGGACTCCCGCAGCTGTCAGATACTTTGCTGAACACACCCCAGGTATCTATACGAGGTGCTCATCACGAGGGTGGGCGGGGTTCCTCTCTCGACACCACTGCATCAGCGCAACACCATCGCCAGGCCATCGCAGCTGGTTGGAGCCCCCGCGAATTCGACGCCGCGTCAGCCAGTCCTACCGACTCGATGCCTCGGGAGAGTTTGTCGAGTCGTCCACACACGTTCCCTCCCCGCGAACGAGACTATCGAGACGTCCAGACCCCAGATTCTCCGCCAATTGCGACTGGTTGATGCCTCGGTTTCGGGCTGCGGGTCTCGGTTTCCGGGTCTCATTCCTCCCGGGCCTTGGGTGCTGGGTCTTAGGCTAGTGGAAACGAAATGTTATGCAGTATGGGGAGCATTAAGAGGTTGATAGAGGGACGGCGGGAAAGAAAACGAAGGTACACATGAGCAAAGGATGGGGGGTCCTGGGTTGAGGACTTATCATCTCGTACATACAACCGAGGGCCAGCTACAGTAGTTGACAAGTTGTTTCGAGCGCAGCACAAATGCATCGGGGTATAATCTGTACTTCAGCTGCGCTTGATGCGCTTCTATTCAAGGACCTCATCCTCGAGGGATCACGCACGAATGTTGCATCGCCTTATGCCCACGATCAACAGGGCCATGCCCTCGGAATCATCGTCACCGTCAAAGTGATCCTCGGCAGCAGTAGTAGTACAGGGGTACCAAGTCGTCAAAACGTTCAAGAGGTCACAGTGCCGACATTTGATCATTGGCGCTTCCAGTATTCACCGAAAAGCGGCAGAAGGAGGGAGACTGCGAGTTGTGGACCTACTCATCATCCGGATCTTCTCGGTCGTAGCGTGCGCCCGTTCTCTCTTCAGCAGACCCATCCTTCCTCGAGCAGTCTCCATCCCCGCCGGCAGGATCCTGCTGGATGCTGAGGTAGTCCCCGGTCGGCAGGTGTATCCTCGTTCACTTGAGGGGAGATGCGCTTATCCAAGTATTGGGCTTTGTCGAGGTACCGGCAGAGCTCTCCAGCGTGATACGTATCTTTGTGAGGTGCTCAGGGAGACTGGCTATTCACTCACGGGTTTCTTCCTACAAACCCCCGCGTGGAACTAGATGCATGAGGGAGAGAGACAGACCAGACGAATCCGGATTGGGCCAGCCATCAGCCATATAGAAGACCTGAGTGTGGATTATCAGTCGCCGCCACGAAAGGAGGGGTAGCGGATGGGCAGAGGTAACGTCCACGACTTACCTCATCCTTTGACGGTTTGCTTCACGCTCCACTTGCGCTTGCCATCGTTCGAGGTAGTGATTTCGTGCTCCCACACAGACAGCGTAGGCAGCTCTTTGCCTCTGCCATATCCAATGGTGAAACCTACGACTCACTGAATATCTCCAGCGGAAAGGCGATCTTGGTACTTCCAGTTGAGCTTGACCTGCGTGTAAGTGGCAGCTCTCGTTTGTAGCCAGTTGTCGGTCGGGCGAGCTTCAATGTGATTCTTGATCCCAACGGCCTAGAACATGTACTCTACCTAGATATGTGTTCGCCACTAGGAGACGTGAGGGGAGGCGAGCGAAGACCCAAGAGGAGGGAGGGACTTGCGATTTGAGTCCATTTCTCAGCACTTTGCGCACCTCTGGTGGCCTAAAAAAACACTTCCTACGCAAGGTAACTGAGGGCCGACATGATCGGACTTGGCTGGAGGGTAGCGGCATGGCACTTACTTTTCAACTGTTGTGACAGTCAATCGTGTGATCGTCGTAGTTAGTGACAAGGAGTCCGGTGTGGGCAACGTGAATGGAGAGGACTACGTTCGACTACCGAACCGTAAGCGCAGTCCTTACGGTCGATCATAAGACTCTGTAAAACCTAGATCCATCAGGGCACACGGGCAGTCATCTGGGTGTCCGTTGGGACCGAGAGTCCAGATACAACGAATCACACTTGTCTCCAAGTTTGCAAAGAGTGATGCCAACAATTGTTCCTCGCTCTCCATTGCTGGCATGATGGTGGTCAGACCATCTTCTGCCTCGCTACCTGCATGCATCGCGAGCCAAAAGCGCACGCCCAACCCCCTCAGCTACATTCAGGGTCGGGCCAGGACGACAGACGGGATGACGGCAGGACTCTTATTCGAACTTCAAGAAGACGAGACCGGAGACATCCATATCCGAAATGGGCGGAGTCTGTCCTGAGACGAACTGGGCCCCGCGTCCGTGTGGGAGCAGGCCGATGTTTCAAGGGGCGACCGCGTCTCCTTGATCGATTGGTCGAGAGCCGATGCGGTCGAGGAACATCTCGACGAGTCTGGACCTCCACCACATAACGATAATACCAATTTGTTGGTATAGTGTCCTTCTGTGCGCCAGAGGGCCTCTACGATCAGTCATGGCACGGAAGAGATCAAGATTCTAGTTCTGGTCCGAGTCTCTCGATTCAATTCAGCTTGCTAGCTAGTCCGCTATCCACAAATGCACACACGGCTGTTTTTCTGTGGCGGGGGTCTTGCTCGATCCCGCACGCCCGCCTCCAAATCAGAGTTTCCATTGTCGTTTGGCACTCGACGACTTTTTTGCTCCTCCCTGCTCTGCTGCTTCTTCGTCGTGTCCCGCCAAACAACACACTTGCTCAATTCCTGGCGACTGACTTCCTCCAAAGCAGAAAGACTGATTCTGGTTATACACTCTATGACATAGAAAGAAAGTAAAGAGATAAAATGCTGCATCATGTGGGGACGGTTGACATTCAAACCTGTCCCCTTTTCTGGTCTCGTGTTTTTCGGGTGTCATCACAGATGTTGATCGAGTCAAGAATCATGCAATGAGGTCTCGGGCAGCAAATCGTCCACGGCCACGGCCGTAGCGGCCTCGGCCACCGCCAAATCTTCCTCCGCGGCCGGAACCGGTGTTTCCTCCAGTCGTCGAGTTCGAGCCAGTGGTGCCGGTAGTGCCGGTTTGAGTAGAAGCAGCGGCTGTGGTAGTGGCAGCAGCGCCGTTTCCAGAGCCGTTTCCAGAGCCGTTGCCGTTGCCGTTGCCGTTACCGTTGCCTGAACCATTTCCGCCGGCATTTCCGTTGTTGCCGCCCGCAGCAGCGCTGCTGGTCGCGGCAGCTGCAGCAGTTGTAGAAGAGGCGGCTGCGTTGTTGCCACCATTGCCACCAGCAGCGCCACCAGCGTTGCCACCAGCGTTTCCGGTACCTTGGCCGACAGTGAACTTCTGGCAATCATCTTGACCACCTCGTTGAGCGACCTGCGTTCAATTAGTCTCCGATTCTCTCGGTACGGAAGTGCGGCCATCAGAACTTACAGGCATGAGGACAGGCTGGTGGTTGGATGCGCTGTTCAAGGTGCAGACACGGTAGAATCCGGCAGGGAGACCATTGGTGACGGTAGCCTGGAGAAGGCCTTTTCCATTGCCAGCGTCATCGATACCCTTGAAGAATGCAAAGGTCTTCGGGTCCGGGGGAGTGGTGGGAGCGAGAGTGTTGCCGAGATCCTGAACAGTGACGTGGCAGTGGCCAACGATGTTGCCGCCTTCCAGCTGTTGAGGAGCAGCGTAGTACGTGGTGAGGGGATCAGTGAAGGAACCGGCGACCAAGTTGGTGAGCTGGACTTGAATGTTGAAGGACTGGTTGGGGGTCAAGTCGTCGCCGGGTCCGGGGAAGAGAACAATAGCAGAGACCATGTTGTTGTTGGACGGAATGTCACCCATGACCACACCGTTACACGAGCCCGAGGTGTTCTGAGTTCCATTGGTCGTGGTCTTGCCTGTGCAAAAGTTGATGAAATTGGCTGGGTCACTGAGAGAGTTGGTTAGTATGTGTAGTGTCCGTGAACGAAGCCCAAAACATACGTATCAGAGTTCGCCTGACCAGCTGCCGCATTGCCGATGAAGTCGCTGGCGGCTTGGACGTTGGACGACAGCAAGAGAAGCGGGTTGTCACCGCCATTGTTACCGGTGTTGCCACCAGCAGCATTGTTGTTGCCGGTATTGCCATTGTTACCTCCGGCAGCAGCAGTGGTAGAAGCCGCGGCATCGGCGGTAGTTGTCGAGGCGGCGGCTCCAGCGTTCCCGCCATTGTTGCCATTGTTTCCACCGCGGTTTCGCTGAGCGACGGCTCCTGTCGTGAGACCGAAAGTGGCAACTGCCAAGGTCAAAAGCTGAGATGTCTTCATTGTGTCGGGTTCGGGAATTTGTTTATATCAAACAAGGGCTTCTTTGGGAGAATTGGACTTGGGAGTGCGGGATCAAGATAAGATCTTTTTTGGGGGATAGCAATCGAACGAGAGACTTCGCGGTCAACGCGGTCTGAACCAGGAAAAAAAGGAGTGTGCGTAAAAAAATTGCTTGAATGCTTTCAATACAATTGATGCGAAAGGAATGTAGAGGCACTGCCACGATGGAGAGAAGAACACCTTGATGCGAAGGAAAAACCGACCTCTTATGCATTCTGCTTGGCACTGGTCTCAGGTCTCTTCGGACCGCAACGTCGTTGGGGGGAGCTGGGTGTGTGGTCCATGGTGATTTCGTCTGAGGCTGCAAATGTTTCCAAGATGGAAGATGACACAGAAGAGGCTCACCAGGCGTCCCCGTGCGTCAGGTTGGGGAAGGCATAGTGCCAGCCTCGAAGGTTACAGGTTGGTCGCAGCCTGGCGCCGCGGTGTGGTTGGGAGGGCGATCAAGCATTGCCAATGTTTTGAAAACACAATTAGCTCACCCACAGTCGAGACAGGACGGGCAGGGAGGGAGGATGGAGAGGGACCAAGATGAAGCTGAGATGGTTTCGAGAAGTGTCGGAGAATCCAGGGAGAAACAGGCGTGTCTGAAACGGGCGGCTGTAGCGAAGGGTTCGGCGAGGCCACCCAATTGGTACTCTGAAGTCTTAGTAAGGTTCCACTATGCGCGGGAGCTAGCTTGATCTGGGTCAATTTGCTGGTTAAAGTGCTCTCAGCCGCGTTTAGCGTGTCTTGGTGAATCACTAGCAGCTCCTGTGTTTCTCCTGTCGACGTCATATCCCCTCTTAGAAATCCCTCCTCCAACCTCCATATTACGGGTATGGAGTAGCACAAACACAAACCACCTCCTGCAATATCCTCCTTTTCTTCGAGAGATCTGTCATGGGCCGCTCCACTTCTGCGTCCAGACCCTCTCTCAGAGGGGTCTCGCACCTTCCCGATTCTGACATTCACAACCGCCTACACCACGTTCGCTCGGATATGCCAATTCCCTCTCCTAAAAATAATCTCTAACAAGCACCACGCTGCCCCCCCCTTAGACACTCCGTCCCCATCTCTTAGCTTTTACGGAGTACTCCACGATCCGTACAAAATCCCCTGCCACTCACGCTCCTGGGCATCACACCCAAGCTTTTGGTCAAGCTTTTCTTGTGCCGATTACCGACTCGCCAACTCTCCGGACTCAATTTGAAGCGCTCCATGGTTCGAGTTCCCTGCCAACGTTGGACTAATTGCCCTGCACGGAGCACACCCTCGAGGGGGAAGGCTTCGATCCGGCTGGCTTCGTCAGGTCTTACAGCGCACGAGCACGGATAACGGCATCGAAGCGCCTTCTACCTTGCCCTCGTGATTGCGTCGAGGGCCAAAGCTCTCGCTTAATCTTGTCCGGCTGAAGAAAGTACGGAGTACCGGCTCCTCAGTCGCACGTTACACAATAACTTGAACCGGCCAAAGCTTGTCAATCAACGTCGCAACGTGGGCGGATCCATTTTACTCCGTAAACGGATCTGGCGCACCCGTGCGAGGAATGCTTGCTCACCCCTCGGCGTCGAAGCTATCCGAATTCTGCCTGGACAGGAGAAGTCTAGATTCCAACTCTGCAAGGGCGTAAAACTCCCTCTCTAATGTCATCCGCTGGTGGGCCTCGCTTTGGCTTGTGCTCAGCAAAGATTAGAAACCCAGAATTTCCCCTTTCAGATGCAAGTTAGCCCTCCCCGACAAAATCACATTCGCGATGCTTCTCTTCCCGTGCGCATCGGTCTTGACGTCCACCTCGACCGCGATGGTGCACAACCTCCCCATCTCTGCTCCCTGTTGAATGCCAAATACTTTCCTCTCATTCTTTGCCTCTCCTACCTTGAGCTCCTCCGTCTTCTTTGCGAGTTCGGAATCCGCTGTTCCCTTGTCCGTTGCTTCCTCGGCAGGTTTCTTAGGCTCCGACGGAGAGCCAGCATCGTTCAACGCCAAATAACAAGCCAGAGCGCAACACGCACTCCCCGTTCCCGGATCCTCAATGCCATGAGAAATCATCCTCGCTTGGACATTGTGAATAGCTGGTTCGCCAGGCTGTTCATTCTTTGCTAGGACTTTGTAATACATACATCCCACAAAGCTCGGTGACCACTCAGCATCCAGCTCGGCTTCTGGGGACTTTCCCCCCTGCAGGGCACCGAAGATCTCAGCATTGTCAGTGAGGTCGACGAGGACGAAAGTCATGCCCTTGACAATCGAGACGAGAGGAAACGTCTTGTCCTTTTCCTTGTCGATTGTCGGGACAATTTGGATATGGGGCTGCGTGGAGATGATCTTCTCGATCGGAACACGATGGGCGTGGATGTGATAGCTGAAGGGAACTGCGCAAGCGGCTACTTGACGGTAGGGGTTGAAAAAGATAGGTATTCTGCCAGCCTTTGTCAGAAGCACGGCGGTCTGCTTTTGGGTGTCTCGGTCAGCCGGGCCGCCGTAGTGCATTCTCTCGAGATAGCTGAATATCTGGCGAAATATGGTCAGCTTCTTTTCTCTCTGCACAGGGCCATGGTGGACGCACATAATACGCTGCTCCGATGACCTGCAAAGCTAGTCAGCCCTGTCTTATCTTCACCCACGACAGCTCCCGCACTGGGAGACTCACAGGATGGCCCGCGAAAGGCAACTCCTCTCCAGTCTCCGTGAAGATTTCCAGCAGCCGGGGATGACCGGGCCCCGGAGCGTCATGCAAAAAGGCTGTCTCGGAGAACTTGAACTCCTTTGCGATTTGAGCCTTGCGTTTCTGGGAGAGCGCATGCCCATGCACGGAAACGACAGCCAAGGGATTGCCCTGGAATTTTTCCGGGGAAAAGACCTAGAATCGGACGGCTCTCATCAATATCTGAGGCTCTGACATTGGACAGCAGGGAGGCGCGCGGATATAGCAAGCAGGGGAAGCATCGCGGAAGCAGCAGCAGGCACCAATTGGCATGAACTTGAAGACGAGTAAATGATACGCATGGGCCCTTCAACTTGAGAGATGCGTCCAACGGCCCGGCACTGTCATCTTGATCGCAGCAGTACGCCAAACAAAGAGTCGACAACGCTAGAATACTCGACAAAGCGTACAGATGAGACATACCACCATGGTCACGAAGGTATGCGGGCCCGACGCCATTTTCTTTTGGTTGGTCGGTGTGAGTAGTAGTCGCTGGGTCGAAAAGTAAGGCCGTCGATCGCTCGGTGAAGACGTTATCTCCCTTGCTCTTGTCGTGTTCCGTGCGGTTCGGCAAGCTCGGTCATGATCTGATATATGAATGTCCTTCAGTCGCAGGTTTCAGAGTCAGATCTGGCACTCCGATAAAGCGGTCTACGTTGATCACAAGTACGACATCAGCTTGAATCACTTTCGGAAGACGAGGGTTGGCGCATCGGGAAAATGTTGTTCCGCGGAACATACTCGGCAGACTTTCCACGATCCGTTTAGTGAGTGTTAAGTCGAATTGTCACAAAATCTGGCTATCTCGCTGTCTTCATTTCCGGATGTAGACACAATATGTCTTCAGCAATGGTTAAACAACTTCCCCGTGCGGCGTATCAAGAGCCTGTGAGCCCGGCTTTCACATCTGAAAGGTGTTATCAGTGCTCCTGTGAACACTACCCACTTCCCCTACCCTCGCAGACATACCTACGCATTCAGCTCGAGGCCGCGCAGCATAACAGGGAACTTCACGCCGCAACCTGTCCTTCTGTACCCATATTCAATGGTTCTCCGCACTAGCAATGGCATTTCAACCGTTGTCTGAAGAGCGTGATGCTCGAGTAGCCACATGCCCGAAGCACTTTCCGAGGCATCTGACAGGTCACACCATCAATCTCGACGGATGGGTGTGACGGGTAAGGTATGCTTGCCTTGCATTGAACAATACCTTTTAAGCCGGACTCTGGAGTAGACATGGCAGGGGATAAGAGCCCTGTGTCTTGGCAGCCCTGTTCGAATACCAAGTATGTGATGTTTGCCTTGCGCGATTGATTGCAGACGTGAATATCTTGTAATCTGATCCGGCGACGGATACGATCCGCGGACTCATCTTCAACCGGAAGATCATTGAGGACAGTCTCTTCCTCCTGAACCACGAAACTGGCAAGTGCAAAGGCCATGCAACTTGTCCAGCCCCTCTCACTCACACCTGCTTCGTGCAACAGGGCGAGTGCTTCGCGGCGCAACCTCGGTTCTCGACAGCGCGTCGCCACAAAAAACAAAGGAGATAGGACCCCGAGACTTGGACTCAGCACGCTCTGCTTCCTTCGGGGATCGGCTGCATTCAGATTGATCATTCTCCTGCAGCAGCCGACGATGAGACTGAAATCGGTATGGAATGCGTCAAAACCGGCCTCATCGGGCCGCCCAATTGTCAAAAACATAACGTTGGCCACTCGGATGTGAAGACAGTGGTGGGTATAGTCAAATCCATCTCCTGGCAGGACATTGGTATCGTGCAGTCCCTGTATTTTGCGATCCAGACAGTCAAACGCCGAAGCAATCGTCTTTTCGAGTGATTGTGGAATGCCGGACGTCGAGGCTGCCCTCAAAACGCATTTGAGAAGCCGATCGATGGCATCAAGAGCGCCATTCGCATCTGAAATGCTGCATATCTGCCTCACATCATAGTCAAGATGATAGTCTTCTGGAATGCCAGATCCGGACGGGGGAAAGTCGTCGGAAAAAGCGCAGGCATGGTTGATGAGCTCGTTCAGTGAGGGAATAAAAGTTGCGGCAAAATCACTGGGCATGCCTCGGCTTTTAGCCCATAAAGATGAGTCGGTGCCAAACTTCTCTTGCAGGATACGATATGCCGCCATGATGTGCATGGTGGCTGACGAGGTCTTCTCAATCCAGAACTGCATGGCCAGAAACAACAAGCAACAGGTCAAGGACACTTCAATCGGCAATGTGACAGGGTCAGCAGTGCGAACCATGTGCATTGCCTTGTGCGTATGCGACATGGCGAGCGCAGAGATCTCGGGACGCCCTTGTGCCTGCGTTTCGGCCAACGTGATGTTGTGGAACGGGGCCTGGAGGGCGCCCAACGCAGTCAGGCCGTGTCGAACAGCAGCATGGCGGAGGCCTAGCTGTGGTGCTAGCCGTGTCCAGAAGGGCATCGAGTTCAACTGGAATGTCGCCAGGATCGTACTTCCGACTTCGACAAAGTATTCGTACCTTCTTTTGTCCAACTCGGAATCGAACTGGAGAGCCGACCGTGGTTGGTATTCGAAGATGCGTGCCACAGGGACCTTGTAACCTGGACATGGGAGACCCAGTTTGCTGCATCGAGCACAGTCTGGCCGCTCTTCCGTGCATTTTATGCGCCGCTGTTTACATCGAAGACAGCCGGTCATTACTTTCGAATGCCATCTTCGTTTCCTGTTCCGGGGATGGGCACACAGTCCAGACCCGGTGGCAGAGCCCCGAAGGTCGATGATGGACATGAGAGCTGGTAATCTCTCTGATGCTGTCATTGTTGCTGTTGGACTTGAGATCATTTTCATTTCGGGCATTTGCAGCTCAAAAAGTCTCTGGGCCGGACGTCGCGTGTGGAAGGATCCAGGACGTGAACCTGATGCGGGCTGAACTGTGGAGGTAGGTAGGTATAGATCGATTATAGAAGCCTCCAGCAGCATAAGTCGCCGTGGACAGGCAATACATTGAATGAAGAATTAGTCTCTCGCAGACCTCCGGCTTTCCAAGTCCTCCAAGTCCTTCGTATTTATGTCGATCGGGTGGGGAGCAGGACGAAAGTTAGGGCCTTCACTGCAAACAATGTCACTGAACGAGCTGCGGGCTGGCAGCCCTGTCGGTTATCCAATTGGAAGCGAGACATAGCTGGATCTGCAAGGCTTAGATTGAGGGCTAAATTGCCGTCCGGGACATTGACTGGAGAAGCTGCGTGCCACTGGCATTGAGCTGCTTCAACAGCATGCATGGCTGTAGGTGGCCTTAAAAAGCATCATCCCGTCTCGCGGCTTCTCCGCTTCCCCAATCTCCACGTTGTCGCCTGTATTCGACGGTTAGCTGAGAGGATCTTCGATTCTCGCGGATCTCGGCTTCCTGGCTGGGGGCTTGGGGGAGGTCCAGTTGTCATGATATGCTTACAAGATAGGCTCACAGAGAGGTTCCAGAAAAGAAACATATGAGCCGAGCAGATCATGCCATACGCTGCTGTCTTCTGAGAAACCAGACTAAACACCAGGCTGAGGATCGATATAGGACTGAAAAACGCTCGAATGGTGCAGGCATCGAGCACAGGCTGAGCTGAGTGGAATGAGCACGCCGATAGATACCGCCCAGCCATAACCTACCCCACGACGCAGGAATTCCGAGAGAGACCCAGTTCAGAGCATCTATCCCAGAGTACGAACACCTCAGCACTGCTGCAAGGCTAGAAGATTTCCGATGTGTGTCCAGAAGGCTGCTATGGTCTCTAGCCACCTAAGGTTTGCTGTTGGAGAGCCGAAACCCAATTGTTGGGCGATATCTTGTCCAAACGAGTATCGCCACACCCATAGTAGTTGTGAACCATATCTCGCCGGATGTAAATGAAGACCAGCACCTCACTAACATCCTCCACACCCAGGTGCAAAGCAGCGCCAGCAGCAATAAGCCCACCATCCTCAGCGCCGAGAGAGGTATCTGTGAGATCCAGCTGAAAGAGTCCCAGGTGTCGTAGCCAATGTGAGCGAGAATGCCAACAACGTATCCAAGGATGACCAGAAGACGTATTGTGATGGGCTTTGGTTCTGATCCTGGATCCACATTCTCTGAAGACAAATGAGTACATGAACATGAATATAGAAGAGGGAAACTTACTCAGTATCTCCGGAACGTCCTGGATAATCGCGTCAACCTGTCTTTGCTCTTGCCCACAGTCATCGAATCCCAGCATCTGAATGGCATCATTGAACTCCTTGAAGGTGCCTCTCTTATCTCTATCCGACCAGAAGGAGTATCGGAAGAACTGGTCCACACGCCAACCAAGTTCTTTACCCATGCGCTCCATGTGGTCGTTGCATATTTGGCAATTAACTTTGCACATGTGGTCAACGCCATGTGCCGCCTCGACTTCTTCACACACCCCTCTCAATGTTATGATCAATTGCCTGGCCGAGAATCCGCAGGACTTGATGCCCTCCGCATCGGCGCCATGTACCAGCAACTTCCTGGCGGATTCGAATGATCGTAAGATAATGGCCATCATCAGTGGAGTCAAGCCAGAACCATCCTCCCATTCGAGATCAGGGACCTCAGCTAGTACGGTATCAAGGATTTGTTGATCACCGTGAAGGATAGCTGCGCCCAAGCAAGCCCCTAACCCTGCCCATGGCGAAGAGTCCCTTCCCAGAGTGAGTTTTGGTCTTCCACAGCAATATTGACTCCTTATTATTGGGATCGGGAAGGATGTGTCCCATATGAAACTCCGTCGGATTCCGGCGCTGGACGTGCCTTCTGTGCGACTTTGGCGCTCCGACAGCCAGTGACTAGCTCGATGTGCAGCTACATCGCTTACATGGGGGATCCAAGACGGTGAACATGAAGCAAGCACCGGCGATGCATCCAACACGAGGATTCCCAACATGTCAGATCGTAACTTGACCCAATCATCAGAGTTGTTGAAATAGGCAACAACCCTCTCCCACCCCATTGCCGACATCCACAGTCTGTCCTGGTCGGTGGTGACGTCGGCACCCGCCTCGATCAGGCGTCTGAATACGGCACAATTCCCAAAGCAGGCAGATATCTCGAGGTAGCGGCGAAGACACTTGCCGTTATCGTGGTTGGGGTCAAGTTCGGGAAGCTCGCTTTGATACAACAGGAGGCTGTCGAGTTCTGCAGCAGTTCCTCCCGCACATAGGGCCGACAGATAGAGATCACGCTCCTCTAAGTCTGCCAAGCGCATATCTTTCAACTGTGTCTGGATACTGAAGTCTGGCCCAGCTCTCTTAGTCCTGTCGCCGCAAGTCGGAGTACACATGTCTTCACATTCGCGAATCAGTTTGGAACGAAACCCTGGCTCTGCTCGGGCGATCGTTCGAAGAAGCCAGGAATTTTCCGGAGTCATCTCATAATACTCCAATAGACCAAGATGTCGATGCACAAAGTCATGGGCAAAGGCTCTGGGCCCAGCGGCGTAGAGAATCAGGAGGATAGTATGTCCATTGCACGGCGAACAATTCAACACGTATGCAAGATCGACCCCTCGGTCGATGATCATGTCGATGACTTCTCTTTTCTCATACGCCTGGTTCTCCATAAGGAATGCAAGCATTCTTGATCGTGTTAGCGTCACTGCAAGGCATGTCATTGTCCACTTACTGCATAGCCTGGTCACTATACGTCCTGCATGAACCCATGTTATCAAGCATCAAACGGCACAGCCTAGGCCACGAGCATTGTGTATGATATCCTCCCTCCACGTCGAAGACGCTTTCACAGAGAAAAATCTGCTCGATGTCAAGATGGCGGTTCTAGAACCCATAACATCACACTTACCTCTAAGAACGATTTTACTTCCAGCTGCGAACTATCTGGCGAGCAGAAACTGTACAGCTTTGGATAATGATCAGGCGATATAAGGTCGAGGGGATGGGCTAGTCCCTGAGCGAACATCTGGTGTAGACCCTGAACGTCACGGGAGCCTAAGCAATTGACAAGTCTCGGGTCTTGATTGACGCAAAATCTCTGCATCTGGAGAGGTGCTGAAGGCGTCAATGAGACGAAAATACACATATCCGAAAGCCAAACCGGAGGAATATAAGTGAATTCGACGTGTGTGCGGTCCTGGAACGTTTCTGACGTGTGTCGATCTTGTCGGACTGTATCGCAAGTCACGCTAACTCCCAGACATCCAAACCAGTAGCGACGGGTGAGGCACATGCGTCCTGTCCCGGCCAACAGAAGCCTAGCGGATCTCGGGACTTGGGACCATTGCCTTTGAGCTTGATGACAACCTTGATTGAGGCTAGGAGCTTCGAAGTTGCATTCTCGAAATAGGTAATTGCTACCAGCAGGGACCTTCTTCAACCGAGGAGAGATAAAATGTAGCCGGTGTTGTATTCCACTAAGCTGGACAGCTTGTTGTGAGAGATAAGTTTCCGTCCTGGACGTGGACAAGTGAATACTATGGAGTTCCTGCTGATGAGTCGCATAATTGGAGATCACACGGTGAGAGATGGTATCAAGCACATCGCTCTGTTTTCGAAGTCGGCTTCTGTTAAAGCATCTGTGTTAGTGCGATTTCTGGTACGCTATCCTCAAGTACGTACTCAATGATCATCGAGAGCACCGTATCGAATTTGCTCAAACTGCCTCGTAGACGTGTTTCCAATTCCTGAACCTCTGGGGAACGGAAGGCGTTCTGGACTCGAGCTCGTATGTATTTTTTTGTCATGGATGTTCCCTGAAAGAACATTTCTATCTTTTTCACCTGTTCTGTCAACTGTGCATAGTCTGCTGTCATCTGTGCATTGTTTTCCTGCCAAAACTGTCGCAGTTCATTGGAAAATTCCTCAGCCGCAAAATTGTTGGCGCGCTCTCTCACGTCAACGAGGATCAACTCGTGCTGCCGGAGGACGGACAGCAGCCTCTTGAGCTCTTCAGGAGCACGACCGAGTCTGCCGCGAAGCTCGGTGAGGGTCTGGATGGACTCGACCACAAGGCCAGCAAGCGTCGCAAGGCTGGCGGCGAATCCGATGAACGCAACCGCCGCTGAAGCAGGATCCATTGCACCGATATCAGCTGCAAGTTTTCGACAGTGGCGAGATCAGACGAAGACACAGAGAAACATTGAAGAGCAATCGAGAGGGAGTCGGGAGACAGTGAATAAATGCGAGGTGACTTTGAAGGCGCAAGTGCGGCGATGCTGGGCAAGGCGCATTGGGCTGCAGCTGCTGAAGGGTTGCGGACGAATCAGAGGGTGGGCGCCTTCTCACGACGTTGGCGAAGTCCTCTGTATCACCGCCCTTTTTCTCAGCAAGTCGGCGACTGTCGAAAGCGCCAGCTGTTCAAATTCTCACTCGCTGCATTCAGCGGAAGAAATGCGTGATGACTTTGCCCGGAACTGCTATCTCTTCAGCAGAAAAGTCGCCGAGCAATAACCCAGGTACTGTCCAGGTATAACCATCATGTTGATCAAAACTTGTACATTTTGGGATCATCTGAGTAGATGTATGGTACAGTGGAAGTAGAGCTATCCGAAACATGTCTTGTGCTCACTTTCGACGCTTCATAACCTTTATACACATCTCCTCTAAGCCATCCTTGGCCTCGCCGGGTGGAAACGCACTGATTGAGGAAACAGCCTTGTCGGCATATTCCTGAGCCAGGGCGCGAGTCTGCTCGAGACCGTCGCTCTGCGATACAATGTCCCTTGCCTGTAGATGGATGTCAGCTCAAGATAATAACAACATAAAGGAATCAAATGGAATTCACCTTCTGCACATCACCCTCTTTTGAGAACTTCCTGCCCACTAACAACCCCAACTCCGGCCTATTCCTCCATGCAAATAACAGCGGCGCCGTCGCCAACCCCAGCTCCAAGTCCGCACCGGCCGGTTTCCCCAATTCGGTTCCAGATATCGTGTAATCCAACATGTCGTCCACAAGCTGAAACGCGAGTCCCAGGTTTTTCCCATACTGGTATGCAGCCTCGACCACATTTGGGGCGCACTGTCCGAGCAACGCCGCTGCACGGCAACTTTTACTGATCAGGCTTGCAGATTTCAGGTATGTCTTTTGTAGATAGTAAGATATGGTCTGCTCGCTCCAGTTGGGGTTCTTCTCGTCACTCGCAGTGTTCTTCAGTTGCATGAATTCGCCTTCCACCAGATTCGCAATTACTGTTGCAAGCAACTCCGTGACTTCGGGGTCCCGTAATCGAGCGAGGGCGACAGAGGCACGCCCGAGCATAAAATCACCCGCAAGCACAGCCATTTTGTTCCCGAATGTGGTGTTTGCGGAGGGTGCGGAGCGGCGAGTGGTCGAGTGGTCGATCACATCATCGTGGAGAAGGGAAGCGGTATGGATGAGTTCCGTAATCTCTGCCAGTCGTCGCTGCGAGGGCAGGATTGCGGCATCATTGGGAAAGGCGAACTCCGTTTCGTTTGAGGTATCCGTCAATGGCGACACGGCAGAGGCATAATTCTGTAGGTCTTTGTCTGGATTTTTGTCAAGAAGCACGGACGGGCTCGTGATCGGCGTGTCAATGGCGTTTCTGGACAAAGTATGTTGAACATCATATCTAGGCCGCGGCTGCTTAGCAGCAAAAGCAGTCGCCCTCGACATCAGCAGCACGAGCAGTGGCCTAACATGCTTCCCTTCGCTCTGCGTATAGTACTTTGCAACCGTGTCTAGTATCGGGTGTCCCGATCCAAGCAACTGGCGGATGTTCTTGTTGAGGAATTTTAATTCTTTCGCGACAATCTTGAGAGGATCAATGGTGATATTACCAGTGGATTGTCGGGCAGAGGAGGGGAGGACCTCGGCGACGGTGCTCTGGATCTTTTGGACGGCGGCGGCCCATGACGACTGAGGGGAGGAGCTCGAGAAGTGACGCCTCGACTGCGACTGGAGAGCATGTGAAGCTGATCTTGGGTATTGTGATTTCGTCCGACACCACGGGCAAATCGACGGATTTAGATTCAATCGTGAAGAAGCTGTTGTCGGGGCCGTTGCTGCTGGCGGCCAAATAATCGACGACTTCCGAGAAATACGCCCGCGACCCCCCATGGCTGCGAATGGCATTAATAAAGGCTAGAAACAGAGGTCCATGAAGCCGTAGAATCTAAGAACAGCCGAAGAAAATGCTACAAGAAAAGAGCGGCGGGTGTGAAGGGGAGCTCTCAAGTCGAGGAAAATGGTATGGAGGACTTCGGGACGCAACGCGATTGACTTTTTTTGAGTTTTGGGGATTTCGCAGGGTCAAGCATTATGTAAGCCACGACCAGCACATACCAGCACATGCCGCAGAATGTCCAGATACCACCAAGTGTCGATTCTAAAGCCTCGCTGTGAATCGCCAGGGGGCCATTTCAGCTTCAAGCAGTCCGAATACGTCCACTGCATAAGCAGGAAAACCAGCCGGAGCAACTAACGTTATGCAGATATCCCTGAGCCTCCTCCGGTTTTCTCCTGAATGGGTGAGCCTTATTGCGGCCAATACCCTTGCCATAGACATGTTCCAGGACGGAAGCTTCGGTTTCGACGGAGATTCTGATAGATTGGCGATCTGGATTCAGCTCACTCTGCACAGATCATCTGCGGAGTGAGCCAAGCAATCTATCCAAAGCCCACCAAGAGTCTCCCAACACATATTGCAATGTATCGACACCGAGCCAAGCTCTCGCTCGTCACGTCGCTCAATTACGAGACACTTATTGAGTACGTGTATTTCGTTGAGAAGAGTCGAATACTCGGACGACGGGGGAGCCACCCATCTCACCCCAATGAGGCTGGAGCATGTATCCAAAACACTGCCCAGGGCTTCGCTCATCCAGTCTTCCCGAGTTCCAGGCTATGAAGAGCCGTCACAACATCCCAGAAGAGCACGGCGAGCTCTTGAGGTCAACACCACCATTTGGGCTCGATTGCGAGGTTCGTCAAGGTCATATTTGCTCACTTGACACCGTTCTTCTCGATCCAGTCACGCCAGTCCTGCCACTCGGAGTACGATGCATTCGATCTCAGCCCCGTATACCTGATTGCCCTAAAGTCTTGGACCTCTTCCCACGGCTTGGGCGGTTGGGACTGTTGCTGATCGCTTGCAGTCCCTCTGATCGACCCTCGTAAGAGTCTCCTCGCAACGCCGTGACCTGTGTAGCCTCCATCCCATCCCGCCTTCTTCATTAGGCTCTCCACTGTCTCCTCTTTCGTCCAGCCTTGCTCAACCGCCACGTCTGGTAGATATGTTGCGCCGTGTCGCCGATTTCGGTAGTTGAAGCTAATCCGCAAGCCGTGGAGGCCTAATGTCCAGTCCATGGCATCCTGGCAAGGCTCGAAGTCTGCAAGCAATGTTAGAGAGCAGGAGAGTGCGGGCAACAAAGCGGCTGGGATGGGCGAGAATCGCGTGTCATCAAAGGCCGATGTCAGGGCGTAGGTGCTGAGACCCGATGCGAGTGGGAGGGCCTCAAACGTCCCTATGCAACCTCTTAGAGCTTTGTGGCCGGAGCGGGCTACGGTGTTCCAGGTGACGAAGAGCGGATAGGATTCGGTGGCCGAGAGTTGTGATGCGTACGTACGGCGAGCAGAAGAGCTCGAGGAGCTCGTGCTCGAGGGGTTTGTAAGCTGAGAATTCGAGGAGCTGGCGGAGAAGAGTGAAGGGGACGACGCTGACGATGACCTCGATGACGAACTCGACGCTTGCAATCGAGAGATGCTGGGGAGTTGGGGCCCGGCCTTGCTGGCCGTGTGACGGCGATCAAAGCGTTGGATCTCCTCTTCGCCAGCTTCGTCCTCATCCTCTTGGTCTTCCTCGTCCTCGTCCCCAACCTGATCCTCCTCTTCAGAGTCCGTCACCTTGACAGCATCTTTGCTATTCCCTGATTCTTCCTCTCCCGTAGTTGTTCCATTAGATTGGCCGATTGTTTTGTAATCCTCATACAATTCAAGCACTTTGTGTAGAGTTGGAGGGTCTCGACGTTCAAAGCTGGCGGATAGAACCTCGAAGCAATAGAGGCAATGCGCAGGACTAGCCATAGATTTCACCGACGCAGATTGAACACTTCGCTAGGACCGTAGGAAGGCAGCCAAGTGGCTCAGGGGTCAGGAAAAGACGCAGTGATGTGCAGAGACACGGCTCAGGTCGACCAAAGTCTAGAACATGCGGTTCACAGGCGAACGGAGCACTGGGAGAAATCGTAGAGGAGATATGAGGTGGTCTCGAGTGAGGCCAAAGGAAACAAGCAGAAGAGAGGGACCGAGAGCGAGCGTCGGAGGTAAGGGAAAGGAAAGGCTGGTACTATAGATACGGTGGTGTTGTTGGCGGAGCAAATAACGCAGGTCGAGTTGAGGGTTGACTCTGAACCGCCTCACCCCTAGCGGGTCCTCGTTATCGATCGTCATCATGAGGCGGAGATCCCCAGGAATCACAAGCACACTGTCAGCCACCAAGTCCAGCAAACCCCCCACTACTGACCGGCACGCCCACCAGTTTCTCGTCCAACACTCGTGCTTGTTGAGGCTGCCTGCTGCATACCGAGTAGGTTCATTTCCAAGCATCCACGTAGCCTACGCTGATGCCCAAACCTGCATCACTCTGTCCCACTGAAGTGCTAAGACCGGATCCAGCACCAGTACCGGGAAGTGGATTTCTTGTTGTGCTTCTCTCCTGGCTTCTCTCCGTCCTCGACGAGCTGTCTCCTTCACCGTCGCTTTCGTTCTCTTGTGGTACTAACCTGACCGAGCCGCCGCCCTTTCCTCTTCTCTCGCTGGCCCGCATCTCGTCCTCTGCTTTCCTCTTCTCCCATTCTGCGACCAAGTTCCGGTAGTAGACCTCTGCCTGCACCGTGATACTGTAATACTCGGGAGTCCAGCCAGCCTTGTTCTTACTCAATGGGTCTGCGCCAGCTTGGATCAAGGCCCGAATGGCTTTGAGGTTCCCCCATGCACTTGCGTTGTGAAGGCATGTGTTTCCCAGCTCGTCCTTGGCATTCACGTCCGCACCGTGGGCTAGGAGTATTTCTATCGTTCTGTTGTCCTCTGAGGAAGGCCTTGACGGGCCGTTGTTGGCAAGGTTGTTGAGATTCGGCTTCGGGATAATCTGGGAGGAAGCGGCAAGGTGAAGAGGTGTTTGGCCTTTGCGATCTCTTCGATTTACGGTCTGCGGAAACTCCCTGCACAGGAGCTCAACTACCCCGGCTTGAGAGAAGGCAGCTGCCAGATGCAGAGGGGTTTGGCCGTCTGTGTTGACAGATATGCCCCGATTGTCGTGCTGGGCACTGTAGATCCAGTCTTCCACTGGCCGAGTACCGTCATGACCCAGCGAGATCAGAAATTCCTGTGTTGCGGTTCAGCGCTCTCTAACCGTGGATCCTATTGCGACGTGTGCTTACTGCGATCTCTTCCAGCCCATATTTCGCTGCAAGATGCAATGATGTGTTGCTCTTGTCCGCATAGTCCGGATTCTGGAGATATGAAAGATTGTGCTTTAGGATTCGCTGCACCAATGCGATATCATTGAGTAGGATAGCTTGCCGTAGGGACAGATCAACGCGGGTCATGGTCGAGCGTCAGTATCCTTGCCAGAAGGATTGAAAACAGCATGGCCATGTGCGCTGACACAAACAAACTTGCTGCATTAGAAGTCCATGACAAACAGATGGTTTTACGGCTCAAGGCTCGGGAAGGGAAAGTTAAAGGTGCACCGCGGGGTGAAAGGTTGCGTGTCAACCACTGGCGCGTCCCTGGTGCCCCTAGGTACTTATGGATTTGCAGGGCTTCCCCACACGAGGCTGAAAGCGCATGCCCAGGTCTGGAGCAGTTCGATATGCATAGGTAACATTGCCATCGTCTTGACCTAGAGAGCCTCTCTATACTTTGATTCTAGGCTCCTGGCGACACGATTCTACCCGAATGCTTGCAGAGGCCATCTTGGGTGAAAGTAATACGTTAAGAGATGATTGCCACATAACCACAGCCGAACCATTATGCAGCCTTTTTGCCCTTCTGTGCCTCACGCTCCGCCTTCTTCAATGCTCTTCTCCGGATATCCACATGCATCTTCTTATTAATTCCAAGTAAGATGCTGTTCATTGGACCAAGTACGCCCGTGATCAGTGCTGCCACCAGGGCATGGCTCCAGTAAGGGCTTCCACTGTATGGGTAGCCAATGCTCCCACCCCTTCGACCGATCTTCGCCAATGTGGATTTCACAAACGCCTTTTCTGTAGGGACCTGCCAATTCGCTCGGCGGATCTTGGACATCGAGGACGTAACCAGGTACGAATGGACAAAGAAGACGTCGATGCCACTTGGGGCCAGCTCGGAGGCCAGAGCGTTGGACCATTGTTGAAGAAATGCTTTTGAACCAGAATATGTTGCCAACAGTGGTGTGGGCGTCAATCCGCCGAAAGATCCCATTGTCAAGATCAGCCCTTTCTTTTGTGGCAGCATGCTTGGGAGCACTGTCTGGGTTGCCCGGAGTGTGCCCAGACAGTTGATATTGATGATGTTTGTCATTTCGGGCAAGGGCGTTTCCGCGAAAGTCACAGGAATGCTGTGACTCTGGCCCACGTTGTTGATCAGGATGGCAACGCGTTTGCCTTGTACCAGCGATGCCAGCGACGCATAGTCTTTATCTAGGTTTTGCGAGAAATCCATGGCCAGAGTTTCCACTGAGACGTTGGGAGAAGAGGTCTTGATCTGGGCCGAGAGGGATTCGAGCTTCGAGGCAGTGCGGGAGACCAGGATGAGACTGAAGCCTTTCTTTGCCAATTGTAGAGCATATTCTTTCCCAATGCCATCGGACGCGCCGGTCACAACAGCCCATGAACCTTTCCCGCCGTAGGAGGATAGCTGTCGAACGACACAAATTAGCCAGCAAACTCTTTATTCTCTCCTGCGGACTTACGGATCTTCCTGGCAGAATGAAGGTACTCAGAAACACTCTTGTCACAGTAAAAGCGATCGAGGCTAGCGTGAGCACCCCAACGCCTATAAGCAGAGTTGAAGGGAGATTTTGCTGGCCTAGTGGCCCTAGATCGATCGTCATTGCCATGCTTGAGGTCAGAGTAGACGATCAGAAGCGATATGGCAGACGGCAGAGCAGAAGATCATATATTCAAGATCATTGTAGGGCGCATGTGCGGAATAGGAGCTGGGGCACGCTGTTGGATTATTTTACCCGCCAACAAGGATTGCTGGGAGGCTGCGGGATTCAATCCACATCAGACAGGGCTCGCGTCCATCCGCATCAACAAAAATTCGAGACTCAGACTCCGGTGCATCACACCCTTATACAGTTGAACTCTAGATTTTCTTCGAGCACTCCCGGATTCTGAATTTAGATCCATTGTGGTGCCTTTGAAATGGCGTCTCTGCTTCCTCAGTCAGAGGGATACCTCCCCCTCTACATTTTGTTCGTAAGTTGAACTGCGGTCTCAAACTACACTGCTTGCGACTGACCCGAGAATTCAGGTGGGCGTCACTGCGATTGGAAATGCCATCCAATGCTACAACACCCTCTCCTACACGCGACGTCTGTACTCGGGTCAGCCTTCGGCAACGCAAACCAAGGGCAAAAGCTCTCCGGAAGGGAGCTCCCCAGCAACTCCTCTATCCTCAAGAACATTCGGGACCTGGACACTGGCAGTGGGGATCGTCAGAATTTTTGCCGCATATCACATCAATGAGGCGTCGTGGTTTCAGATGCAGATGTTGACCAACGTCGTTGGACTCGTGCACTTCAGCCTGGAGGCATTTGTGTACAAGACCAGTTCGCCATCAGGACCATGGCTCGCTCCCGTCACTGTTGCTCTGATTGGTCTGGTCTGGAGCACAGCACAATATGGCTTCTATGTCAGGTAGAGGGTTCCTCAAGATATCATCCGTATTAGGAGCTAGGCTCTGTCGTGGGCATGTCGGGCGCAGGCGGCTTTTCAACCTCTTCTCCCTCCTTACCGAGCTTCTTCCTATACAACTCTCCCGCGCACTTCTGCAGCCTGACTGTAGCTTGTTCCGGTGTGATATCTCTCTGGGGCTCTCCCAGCATCTCGTATCCGACAAGAAATTTCCTGACAGTTGCACTCCTTAGGAGGGGAGGGTAGAAATGCAGATGAAGACTGGAGCACTCTATCTCCTCGTCGCTGCCGTCCAGCGGCGCCTGGTGGATACCCATACTGTAAGGAAAGCTCGTTTCAAAGAGATTGTCGTATCGCCGAGTGATCTCTGCTATTGCCTGCGCCAAGTCCATCTGTTCCTTCTCGTCCATGTCGACAAGCGAGCGGATGTGTTTGACGGGTAAAATCATGGTCTCGAACGGCCAGGTCGCCCACCATGGACAGATAACCAGGAATGTCTCATTTTCAAAGACGACTCTCTCATTCTTTTCTCGTTCTAGACGGGCATAGTCCACCAACATGTGTCCGCCGCCTTGCTCACGATTGTATTTCCTCAATTGCTCCAACTCAATTGCCGGCTCTTCGGGCAAAGACGTGGTTGTCCAGATCTGCCCGTGTGGGTGAGGATTGGAGCAACCCATGGCGGCACCTTTGTTCTCGAATATCTGCATCCACCGGTACTGGTCTTTGGGTCGGCCGACGTTTGCATGGGGATTAGACGGCGGCAGATGAGTCGGTTTCGCCTGCGGAGCCAGCGGTGACTTGGGGGACAAATGTGCCGTGTAGATTTCTGTCCATGTTTTCACAATTGGCAGAATCTCGGCGGGGGACATGTCTGCCAACGTGATGTTGTGGGCGGCACTGAAGGTCAGGACGTAGCATTTGCCCTTGACTGGCTCAGCCTGTAACAGAAGGCCGGATAGGCTTCCTAGTTCATCTGGCGACTTGTAATCTTCTTGCGATTCCTTCACGGCGCTGAAATCGTTCACGAAGACGTAGGTGTTCTCGTACTTCGGGTTGGAATCTCCTGAAGCCCTCGCGTTTCCTGGACATAGGTAGCATTTAGGGTCGTACACAGGGAGGTTGATGACTCCAGGACTCTCCTGCTGGCCTTGCCATGGTCTCTTGGTACGATGAGGAGAGACCAGGATCCAACTGCCACGAAGAGGATTGTATCGGCGGTGCGAAATGTCGTCGAGGATCGCGTCTGGCATTTTGTCCTTTGGCTGGTGCGGGGAGGTTGTTGCCAGTGAAGGCTCTCCTGCGCCTTTCTAATGTTTGGAAGAGTGGACCTCACTCAGTGGCCAATGCAACATGGCAAGTAGACCAAGAAGCAGCCATATGGCAGACCGCGTGTATCTCCACCTCAAACAATCGTCGTGGGCTGCACCAGAGGCACCAGTCTGAAGCTATGGTTCTACACAAAATGTTCTTCGAACCAGCCCCTCCTCGTGCCCGCAGCTCAATTACGTCAATGGGCTTATCGGCCGTTCGGCAAAAGCGTATCTGTCGTTTGTCGTTTGTCGCGACCATGTTTCCGATCTCGGGTCTAATCACGGCATCTCCTGACAACATTATTACTATACATCCGTCTCCGAGCATTCCTTCCTCTGACCATGGACTGAGTCGAAGATTTGCTGCGAGCTAGCTACTCTTCTCTCGCGCTCGTGGCCTGCTGGATGTAGGCGGCCAATTTTCTCCTCGATCAATACCCTCCGTTGGTCGAGCCGACGTCGATGGGCGCAGTCGTGCCAGTCCGGTGACATGGCTTGCAATCCCCGGTGCTTGTACGATCTCCCAAATGAGGTATGCTTCGGGACTGTTCAAACGAATTGTTCTCATGCTGATTCTGGCAGATATTGGTGTCAACTCTTTCGGGCTTCGCGACTCAAGACCTCCTACCCCTGGTCGTGGTCTCGCGACGGTTCCATTCCATCATCCTCAGAATCCTACATTTCCGACTCCTCCTCGCTGCGGCTCTACCGGACTATAAGTTGATCCTTGAGGCGTACCATCCAAGCAAGCGATACAGCGACCCTTATTTGTTCTGCACGTATCTTGGCACGGATGGTCTCAGTTCAAAACATGAAGGCGAGGGAAGCCTTTATGAAGACTGTGACGGAGAAGAAGGAAGGCTTGCGAAATTGGGTGGGCTTTACAGTCGGTTCAGACCCGAGCGGCCTGGGGTTCAAGGCTCAATGCCTGCACGACGGATTGCCGGTGCTGTGCTCAATACCACATCATCCTCAACAACGGCAACAACTGGAACAACTGGAACAACGCCAATCTATGCCGATGGAGGCGACGGAGGTTTCACCAAAGTGACGCACACCCTGAATCTCGATGCAGACGAGTTGTTCGGCCAGTTTTGCGCCTATGCGAGTCTTGTGAGACTGGGCCCACGTAGAGGAGTCTTTCTAAGCAATGTACACATTGTGCGATCGGGCCAAGGCGTCATGCGAGTCTGGAAACAATGGCTCCAGGATCGCGCCCAGGATTTATGGCAACAAGAGCAAGAGACGGAGGACGTGCAGATGGGTCCGACACCGACCATGAGCTGCCCCACGATAGGAGCGGACAAAAACATCATGTGGACGGACTACCGCAAGAATGTCGGCCTACGCGTTGCAGTGCGTGATCGGAATGAAAGGAGCAATGGGAATGGCGGTGTCGATTTCGACGATTTGCCAATGACTTTCACGATAGAGATCCAAGGTGAGTTCTCGCTCCGCCTTTAGCCCGGTCCATCGGCCAACGGTTCCTGCAGAGCTGGTTGTGCGAACAACGCATCTGATGCTGGCGGTGGAGGCGTCCACGCAGCAACAGGGCAATATATCAGGTAAAGCCCTTATATTTGGGAACTTCGCCACCGCAGCCTCGTCGTAAGGCTGGTTTTCTCGGGGGCACGTGAGTCTGCCTTGACTCCAATGGCCTCCGACGTCCTCCTCTTCACCTATAACCTATAAGTTTCCGGAAATCTCGATCTCTGTCTGCCGTTGGATTCTCTGCCGACAGCAGAAAACTCAGGCCGGGACGCTGACTATGCCATAGGGACATCCGTGAGCCCCTTGGCGTTCCTGGCATGGGTAGCCCGGACTGGGTAGAATTGATTTTCACAGAGAATTGGGCACCAAAAGCTGAAATTTGGATGGCCTTGTACTAGATGCACGATGCAGACGCTTGGTGGTTTTCCTTGGACTCCCGCACAGGAAGGGATCTCGATTCCACCGCTTATTCATGCTGCATGATGGCCATGATTTGCTTGCTCGTAACCGGCTTTACCAGGGACGTTGGTGCTGTGCTGGTCTAGCCGAGCCTGCTATCCGAGTTGGAATGCATTGGCTTCTTCCTGGTCGCTGCTGACTTTGCTGGGGCTCTTGCCTCCCTCTGCTTTGTGGTGTTTCGTATTTTCTTCCTCCCTTCCAAATCCATCACTGTCAGCTCTCTGTCCCGTTTGTTGTATATATACTCTCTGGTCCGAGCATCGTTGCGGGCGGGAAAAGTCTCGTCTGGATCAGGTGTCTCGGCTACCCACGAGCCCTGCAGCAAGCGACCTGCAAGCCACAAGCTCGTTGGCCCACCCGCCCGTGTCAAGAGCTGTCCAACTCGATGGACAAGCAGCTCTTGTCTCCCTTCGCGAGCTCCCCCGGGTCATGATATTGGTGGATAAGGGTTGATGGCTTGCATCCACGGCCTACGTGGCCCTCTGGACGGCCACAACGATACGGGTCGTGACCCTCACCGGTTGGAGTTGGACGTCGTCGACCTGAGGCTCTTCGGCTTGGAGGGACAATCGACGGGCAGGCCAGTACCCCGCTCTTGCGCGCTCGAGGTCTCGAAGCTCTCCCACCTGGCGTCGATTGGCAACTCGCAACCCGGCCAGCTCCCTCCCACCAGCTCTCCCGCTCCGTTATTTCAGCAGCAACCCCCGCGATCCTGGTTTTCATCTTTCTTTCTCGCCACTGATGATCGCTCCGTCCCAAAGCTTCCTTGCATGAATCCTTCCGCTTGGCTGCTCGCATCAGATTCTGAGACCCCCACAACGCAACTGTACCCCCAAGGACATATTGTGAATGGCCATGCCTCAGTATAGCACATTTGCCATCCCGAAAGAAGGGATATCGCGAGACGTGGTCGAGGCCGATCTGGCCTTGTACCTTGGCCGGGATGCAAAGGTCATGGAGAATAATGTAGCTTGAGGCCGGTCCACAGCACAGCCTCGAGCAGTAGGCTGACAATGCCACAGAAAGGCGACCGATATGTCATCCAGTCGTATTCGGAACCACCGAGAGTAAGTTTTGCAAAGGCCCTAGTCCCATCGCAATCACTCAATGGTTTTGCTGCAGCATATGATCACAGCACTGCGAGATGACACGGCAAGGTGGCGTAGAAGCGATGACTATCGGAGACGACTGCGTGAGCATTCTCGTCCTTCTCACCTGAATTGTACTCACAAACGACAGGTTACTCCGAAAGTCGAATCCATCAAGATCGGAAGCGGACTTGCCATGGACAGGCCGACCCTCAACCTCAACTGGCCAGGCACAGCTCCCGTGACGCGAGCTCAGGAAATGTACCGACAGGCGTGTCTCCGATTCCTGTCCCTTCGCGACCCCCTCTGGCGCCGCGATATAGCTCCAGCAATGGCTCGGTCTATGGGTCAATGCAAGCTTCGCCCGGCTCCAACTTCGAGAGCGTTTCTCGGTGCCAATCGAGACGGGAGTCGGACGCCATGTCATCGCTAGATGGCGGCATGATCAGTCGCACAATGTCGGCTTCGAGTACCTCCAGCAGCTACGGGACGAATGGAACGTATGGCTTCAACAAGGATGCGCCAGGTGGCCGCATTGGTGAATGTAAGGCTCGCCGATACCCAAGGAGTTGATGACTGAAGGTTTGGGGGCCGTTTGCTTCGTGGCAGACGTTCCGAGACGGAGTGCTCCTGGTCCGTGACGTGCTTGAACAGCGATGCTAACTGGCCGCAAACAAAAGACGGGTTCGCCAGCGGCGATCGAGGGCCCCCTGCGTACTTTGGTCGGTCGTGAGCCGACGCGCAGTGAGATGCCCTAATTGAGTCGATTCCTTGCTCATGAGACATGATGGGAATTTAGTTGTATGTCTCCTCTCTGTCAGTGTACCCCGAATGGCGACTGTTGTTGCTCACACCATTCGGACAGTGTGTCTGCCTCGAGCATCTTGTCTTGGGCTTTGAGGATGTCTCTGAGGAGTCGGAAAGAGTGAGTGGATTTTGGGTTGGATTCGCCCAGGATGCGATGCCTGTTCCGCACGACTTCTCGCAGGAGCTGTTCGCCCAGTTGCAGATGGCTCCTCTTCCTCGCGCCCGTCTCCTTTTTCGCCAGCTGGAAGAGGAAGAATGCGTGTCGATGCTTTGCTTCCCAACTATACGCATGCTGATCGGGAAAGTTCTTCCGCACTCGAGGCAGTACAGATTGGACAATGATGGCTTCGGCCCCTTCAGCATCGCCGCAATAGAAGGTGGCCCTGGCCAGTGTGGCGGCGGCCATGATGGTCTCGATGCGGTCGTCTCCATATTGCTCCCATTGGCGGGTGAGATCCAGCAGCTCTCTTCGAGCGGCCTCAAAGTTCTCGGGCGGCCACACTTCCTTTTTCAGCTCGTTCTCCAGCATGGCCCAGGCCAGGTTATACCTGGCGGTCAGGGCGGGCGCGGATGATTCAGAGAAGCAAATCTTCATCTGAGTCACGATGTGCGAGAGGCGCGCAATGTCATGCGGTGGACAACCCGCACCACTGCGCTGGAGCATGTTCTTTTTGAACTCGATGGTCATGGTCAGTGGGTTATCGAGCCCGCAATGGTTCTTGGTCAACTCGTCACATTTGGTCAGCAGTTCGGAGAGCCTGTCCCACTGGCCGTAGCAGTCAAACAGCACCGATACAATGCTCAGCGCCCCGAGGCATTCTCCGGCAGGGAAGGTATCGTTGGTGAGCATGCACAGGAAACTAAACAGGGCGTTCGTCAAGTAATATTCCGTCTTGGATTGGAATCTGGCGTCTTTCTGGCCGGCACAAATCAACCAGTACAGGCAGTACATGACGAAATCCGCGGACAGGCTGTTGTCGTTGAGTTGCCGGCTGTGGGTGTTGTTGCCGAACCGGTAGATATCGATTTCAAAGTCGCTGGTCTCCTCGACGACAGCCGGTGTCGCCGACAGCACGGCGTTGGTAAAGTCAGCCGGCCACTGCTTGCTCGGGTCATTGTTGTCCCACAGCTGGCACCAGCCGGAGGGAATCGGCTCTCGCTGCGCACGCCAGAACGGGCCCAGGATGTTTGGGATGGCTGGCTGACTGCGGGCCCAGCCTGCCTGATGCATCGACGCATGCTCACGGACGATGCCCAGATCGAAAGGCACTGCTTCATGACCATATATGGGCCCTGACAGAGCCGCCGCATGATTCAGATCGTGCGAAAACTCGCCCGAATGTCGCGGGCTGGACTCTGGGGACGGGATTGGGACCTTCATTGGGGATATGGGCCTGAAAGAGGCGTGGGACTCCAGGGAGCCAAAAGAGCTTGCGGATGGAGGTGTTGGTGGTAGATGGGAGGGCGGCGGCGGCTGAGGTTCATCCGGGAAGGCGATGTAATCGGGAGTCTTGTCCTCGTCGGTGATGCAGGACAGCAGGGCGTCTTCGTCTTCCACCTTGTCATTTCTCACAATGTACTTTGCGATATCCTCTCGTCGTCGAGGGTGTCCGGAGAAGATGACGACCTCGTCGCGGCCTTCACGCTTGGCTTGGTCCAGCAACCTCAGGATGAAGGCGGCATCACGCTTGGTGAGTTTGTGTCTGAGGCCCCAGGTCTTCAACTGACTCTTGTACTGCTTGACTCTGGGATGTATCGGTTAGTATACCATGTGGGCAGATAGGATCCGGGGCAGGTGGTGGTTTTTTCTCTTACGAAAGATTAATGCCATACTCCTTTCTCATATGGTCCATGATCCAGTTCAGGGGACGCTCGTCGATGATATACAACTTTTCGATCCGGTCCTTGTGAGGGCCGAAAACGACATCGCGGGTCTGTTTTGATTGGACTCGTCTGAAGGCCGGCTTGGTCGTCGGCGGCCGGGGACGAGAGGAGGGAGGAGGAGGAGGAGGAGGAGGTCCCATGGTTACCCACTACCCACAGCCTCAAGCCACAACCTGCTGAATGTGGGATAGAACAGGTATGCAACACAGGACGCCAGCCCTTAAGGCTGCCGGGGAAGGGGTTGGGTTGGGTTTGTCACTCGTAGTACAACTGGGCAAGCAAGTATTCGGTAGTCGAGCAGGTACAACAGACACGGGAAATGATGCATGTGAGGGAAGCAAGGCAGGATCACATCCAATCTCAAGAGAGAGCTACAACGCCAGATGCTGCAAGCCAGGCCACTTTGGACTCTTTGTAGCGAGCGAAGATGCACGGTTTGTTTCGCTGCCAGTGGCGAAAAGAGAAGGGGCACCTCATCATCATCCGGCATTTAGTGAGGTTCTGGCAAGCCTCGTGAGCAAAAAAAGGCCGATACGGCTGCCTTGGGGGGGTTGTGTGTGTGTGTGTGCGCCTTGTGCGCCTTTTTGCCCCTGGAGATGACGTTCCGGGAGGGAGGAATGATAGGGACGAGGCCGGGGGGCCAGGGGGAGACGAGTGGTGGTGGTGGATGAGGCACGAGAACGGGGAGGGCATAAGCATCAACTAGCAGTTAAGAGCTTACCTGCCTAGCTGTTCGAGGCTGGTCAATAATAATGGTCATCATCAACCCACCGTGCAAAGGTTCCCTCAAAAGGGCCCCCCTTATTTCCTTTGTAGTAACGAGGGGAACAAGAGTGGTTGGTGGGTAAGTATAGGTCGGCTGTTTGGAGGGCACGAAGGAGGGGGGGATTGGTATACAAAGATTCCACAACTTTCTCACCTTTGGTTCCCCCTGGATCACCAGCCTAGGTATTCTGGATGGATGGATGGATGGATTGGGGGGGGGATCCTCCTTGAAGACACTGATCCTCTGTTTCTCCCTGTCTCTGACTCACAAAAGTTCCACGGGCGATTAAAGACTAACGAGCTAGAAGAGACAAGGCAGGACAGGGTGGCGAAAAGCATATCAAAACAGAGGCATCAGCATCAGCATCTTACTTGTGCCTTGACCGGGGCGGGCGCGGTCCTTTCCTCGGGGGCACGGATGGAGATGCACTTGTGCCTGAGTCGCCAGGCCAGGCATGGCATGGCATGGGCCAAGTACCAAGTCCTAGTTAGTAGTGGTACCCGGTACCCGGTATATCTGATGCCTCGACTTGATACGGAGGTGGGGTGAGGGAGGGAGGGAGGATGGGCAAACAGACAGACAGAAAGAAGGAAGGAAAGAAAGGGACCCTCAAGATGCTCGATGGATGGATGAATGGATGGTTCGCATGGATCCCAACCGTTTCGCTTCAAAAATTCCCTTTCCAAAATAATAACAATATTGATGGCGCCCCCCTGCCCCAAAGATCCCTCTCAGAAGAAAAAACGAAAACAAAAAAGGCGACTACTGTTTTGTATCCCCCAAGGCAACCGTCGCTCTGCCCTCTGTTTCGCCTGGTCGTTCAGTGTGGGAGTTTGGCCCCCTCGAGTGGGCTTCATGGTTAGGGTCAGCTGCACTCCGTACCGAGTACTACTCCGAGCAGTACTACAATGTAGGTCTGCCGTTGGTACTATTGCCCTTGCAGAAGCCCGACGCAGACGCGGGCCAGGGCCAGCGCAAACCTGCCGGCCGGGCTGAAGGGAGGATGATGATGATGATGATGATGTAGAAAGGCCGCGTGGTTCCCTCTTTCTCTCTGACAATCAATCCCCTTTTCGTTGATGGGAGGGGATCTGGTTCTCTGTTGTTTTGTGTGCTTTTGTGAGAAACGAAAACGACGCATGGGAGCAATCACCGCCATCACTACCCACCGGGCAGGTGGCTCTTTGTCTCAAACCAAAAGAGCCCGTCACCTGATCCAGGACCTCTGAGGACTTTTGTTCGTTAGGAGGTGGTGGTGGTGGTGGTGGTGGTTTTGCTGCTCTCTCGAGGTCGACTCAGGCTCTCTTCTGTTCCCCAGAGATGATGCATGGTTAAGCGCCCGTTGGCGGATCGCAGGCTGTTCCCGGGTCCCATCGTTCCATCTTCCCAGCGTCCCAGGGGCCAAAGCAGCTCATAATTGTGTCCATCCTCCCTTCTCCCTCCTCCATTCATCAGCGTCGGCTTGGCTGCTGACCGTCCAGTGGAGCTTTGGCTTCATGCTGTTCCGTGCTATGCTCTCAGCAGCAGTGCTCACTGTTTACGGACTACGCCCCTGGCCGTTCTCTCCCACGGCTCGTCACCATCACCTGAGGTCTGATGAATGCCAACCCTTCAGGGTCCCCGCCCATGCCGATCACCGGTGAGAACAAAGGCCCGCCCAAAGTCCTTGCTGACGGCCAAGCAATCTGGTCTCCTGAAGATTCAGGCAGGACTTTTGTGTGGCCTCGACGCCTCCAAAGGCTCTTCTGGCCCTCTGTTCGTCCGCTTACTCATTTCCTCCTCGCTGTTCGGCTTCTTGAGTAGTCATGGAGCTCATCTGTGGGGATCGATATCCGAGTTTCCTCGCTTTTGCTGTGCTTGCTTGCATGCTTTGCTTACTCCTGCTCATGGAGACTCGTCGGACACGGATCCACTTCAGTACATTCTCCAGACACGCATGGGACTTTTGGCCGCGAAAATGCACCTCCCTGCTTGGTACATCTCAACGGGGAGCAGAAGCTAGAGAACCTGCGAGTTTCTTGATAATCTGCCATCGCACACCCGGGCAGACGCGATGGATACAAGCGGTAGGGCCCCGATGAGGAGACGCCGTCATCGCAATCGCACCTTTGTAGGCCACACCCAGCCAAACCTCATGAGAACCTTTGCTGGTCACACATCCAGCACACAAGTACCGCTTGGACCATTTCCTTTCCCGTCACATTACTACGCTACCAACCGGGATGGAACTCGGTGGCTGCTGCTAACGAGAATATTCTGTCTGGTTGATATATCCTCTTGGACCCCTCCACTGGGTCGCCAGTGTTCTTACCTCTTCTCTCCCGGGTCCTAGCTTTTTTGATGTGAATATAGTGACTGAACCTACACACATTACTCCCTGACTGAGCCTTCTGAGAAAACAGCATCATCAGGTAACGGCGGACCAGGGCACGTCTTGCTCTCTCCTCTACCGAATCCAGCCGGAAACATCTTTGGATCCTTGCCGTTGCCAGGGACTTGGACGCGGAGGAACGGGAGGAAGGACACTTCCTGTTGTCGTCATCTCCATCTTCCTCTCCTCGAGAGTCCATCGACGAGACATTCTTCCACCACGCCGCAAGAAGGGACCGATCCGTCTCCCATTTCTGCAGCTCGACAAGCACAACACCAACGCAACGCAACACAACCAGAAGACGACGACAAGAGATCCAGAGGACCGACAGAACCAGCAGAAGCGTCCGACGATGCCGCCCCCAACATCTTCAGACACCACCAAATCCCCCCGCCATCACGCCTGGAGCACCACCAGCGTGAAGAGCGGGAGCACCAGCGGCGGCCACCACCACCACCGCCCCCAAGACCAACAGTACGCACAGCAGCATTGTGCCAGGAAGGACGCCGACGCCAAGACCGTGCAGCGATGGCTTGATGGGCGCGACCACCCCGCGCGGGAGGACGTGCTGGATCGCGTGGCGCGGGCATTTGAGCGTGGGCACGGCAAGGACAAGCGCGAGGGGGCGGCGAAGATGAAGTTGTGATTGCACACGCGAGGACAACGACGACAACGACGACTATGATGACAAGGCACGACGAAGGTTTTACGAAGACGACGACACCGACGACGAAGAACAAGACCAATAAGAACAAGGCTACGACGACGAAGATGATGGTCTGGTGTGGACTGTCCTCTCCTCGCCGCGATCGAACAAGCATTCAGGGGGAGAAGGACCCCCTGTCCTCATCCCAGACCTATACTTAGACCTATACCCAGACCTACATTCATCCACGACACAACGTACAAGGACGGACGAGGACAAGGCACCAGCCAGCCTTGTCTCCCGACCTTGTTTCCCATTATTATTCCCTGTTCTCAATCCCACTAGACCCAGACAGACAGACGGACAGACGGATAGATAGTCGCATCGGGGAATTATTCCACATTCCACCACACACTCCAGAAAAAGAAAAAGAAGGCGGCAAGATTGTTTCAAAGTTTTTCAACGGGGCGGCAGCGGGAGGCTTCAACAACTTTCGCGTGTTAAAGTTGGTGCGGTACAACACCATCGCTGATCTCGGAGCATTTTCACAGGATTATTGGTTTTGAGGGGGAGAGGAGGGGGGGTTTTTTTTTCATTGCTCGTGTCCCTAGCGGGCGGCGAGGCCTATGTATGGATATATTGAGTCCTCGGTACCTATCGCCTTATTCGCGAGTCAGGTACCTCTGTATCTACGGAGTATTAAGAGAGGTTAGGCGGTTGGCGGTTGGTTGGAACACAGCACACCACGTCCAGGATATCAACGAGATTGCTACGAACCAGACTCAGGGCATGGTGTCCAAAGGGTGTATGCACGGAGGATATGTATTGGCCTGTCAATCCACTCAATTGTCCCAGTCCCCATCTATCACAACGGAAATTCTGCACCTTCGCCATCCCTCAAATTTCCAATCGGGCGTGATGTATCTCGCCTTGCCTCCTGTGCTAGAGCAGACGAGTTGCCGCCCAACGTATTAAGCGATTCACAATCCCAATCGCTGGCCTCTCGTTGCCTGTTATTCCCACACCCATGGTTTATACCCCAACGCCTTCGCTGTGCATCAGACAAACAAAAATAATAATCGAAAAGTGCCATCACTATACCAGCATCGCTTGTAAAAAAGCACACCGATGGCAAGACTCCAACTCAACACAAGGGGAGCAAATAGCCACGGCTTGTCCACTTGGCAGATATTGGCACCTCATCCCATACATGCGCTTCGGCTTCATGATGCAGGAGCGTGTATTTGCATTTCTGTCCTGCGTTTGGCTCAGCCTCTAATTTGGAGCAGCATCCCGATTCCTCCCTCGACATAGGCCAGCCGTCAAGTGCCTTCGTTTCATGGCTCCAATCTGTAAGATCTTTTCGCGTATGGCGTACTGTGCTTTTTTTTAGACATGGTTTGTCCAAATGTGACAAAACACCCTGATCAGCGCGAGCTCCTCAAGGTCATCAAACTGTAATTTGAGAATTCCCATGGTGTGAAGGGCCTAGCCACTGGTGTCCTCGGTATTCTTATCATCGATTTCTTGCTGCTCCGCCTGTAATTCACTTGGCGAAGGACTCGGGGCTCTTATACTCCTCGGTGCATCATAGATCGAGCTGGTATATCTGGCACGGAGCGCTTCTTCGCACGCCAGCTCTTGGTCATAGGGTGGTATCACTCCGCGCATGGCTTCGAGCCAGTCCCCCATCGTCTTTGACGTCAAATGGCACATCTGAGTGTACTCCCAGTACTCAGGATACCATCCGGCCGACTCCCAACCTATCAAGGCACATATCCGACCGGCATCGTCTACCAAAATGTTTTGGGGACAGAGACTCGCATGAGTGAATTTGAGTTGGTATGGTTTCTTGGGTGCATGAACCATTTGGATCTCCTTCTCGGGAAAATCGTCCGTCGGGTGGCCTCTCCGCTCGAACTCTTGAAACGCTTCAATTGAAAAGAAGGGCCCTATACGTCCGGAGCCGAATCGGTGGTCCAGCGCAGCCCCCAAGGTGGCATCCCCCACGACGCATTGTTTGGGTGGTTGCATCTTTCTGAGTTGGTCCACAAAACGCCCTAGATCTGCCACAATCTTGTTCTGTTTATGGGCAGACATGGACGACCATACTTGATCCAAGGGCTTCCCTGGATAAGCTTCATATTCAACCACCTTCCCCTCCGGTCTATTGTATACCGCGAGGACCTTGTACGAGGGAACTGAAGTGTGTCGGTCGATCAGCATCAAGGCTTGATACTCGGTATTGGCACAATGGGTCTTGAGGATTCGGTTGTTGCTGAGGCGGAGCACCGTTTCGCCAGTCCGAGGGTCGGTCTCTTTTTTTCCCCAATGCATGCGCCATTTGAGACCAAAGGGGATCTGGTCGTATTCGTCTTTTGGCTCTTCGTCTTGACTTCCGAAACAAAATGGCATGACTGCAGGAACACACTAGGCCCGTGAAGGGCAGCTCATGCAGTGGGATCGAACGTAGGGAGAGATGGCAGTCAGTTGCATTGAAGTCGGTCGCAGATTATCCGGGCACAGGTCGATCGATCATGGGAACAGGAGGTGCGTGCTGGTGGGGAGGCTTATGTGCGCTGCGACTCGAAGTGTGACCTTTGACGTGGATCGGGTAGGAGACAAGGAAAAGCAGTGTGGCTTCGAGATAGCGGTGAGCTCACGTTTGGATTCATGTCTGTGCGATGGACATCTAGAGAACACGGAGAATGAGAGGTGATGGCGGGGGAAGGAGAAGAGAGGTCGAGAGGAGAGCCGACGAGGACCAAGATGAGGTCGGGAGGTCGATAGCTGGAGAGAGGGATTGGCTTTTCCCCTACCAGTAGTTGGTTGAGCCCATTGACAAGAAGAACAAAGGCGAAGGCGAGGGCGAGGCCAACGACGAATACATGTCGGAGGCGTAGGCGGGACAAGAAAAGAGGGACAGACAGGAACAAGGCACGAGAAGCCCAGCAGCCCAGAAGCCCAGAAACCCCCATGAATTAGTTCTCGATAGTGGACTCGATACTGGTGCTTGGGCACCGGCATCTTCCTCACGCTCTCAGCCTGCGAAGGATGCATCTCATCCATTCATCCATCCACTCACCCATTGTCCAACTCCATTCCTTCTCTCAATCCATCAGCTGAGCGAATCAGCTGAAAATGAGGCTAAAAGGGGAGCTCGATTCCACCTGCAGCTCCCCCTCTCATCCCACCCACCCTTCTGTCCACCTGTACGCAGCACCAGTACCGAGTATCATCCTCACTCCAATCAACCTTGGTTCCTACTCCCGAGGTTGCATCTCCCGGAAAGGCTCTAGGTCGACTGCGCAAAAAGAATGACTACAGGAAACTGCCCCTCCAGCGCTTCTCCATGTCGACGTATGCATCTCGGTTAGGGAGGATGCTTCCGCTCCTCTTTCGGGGGTGGATGTCTACCAAGCCTCTCGAGGTACCAACCAAGACTCCCTGTCGCTAGGCTTGGCTGGCGCTGACCCAAACTACACAGTAAGGAGTAAGTGAGACGCGTGTCTGTTCTCTGATCGACGACAAATCCCATCTATCTGGAAGACGACATCCATATCCGTACTTCCCCTTGAACAAAGCCTCTTCACCACAGTCTTGACCAGAGTCTTATCTGCCAATGGTCAATTTAACAAGCACCTGCAAATCCACCCCCAAGAAAGAGCCAAGCAAAGCCCGACGATGATCCTATGGGTTGGCCGTCCCAAAAAGATCCGTGTGGGCACCGTCTGGAGAGTCCGTTTGCTTTGGAACAATGACATGAGGCTACAAAGAGCACGGACGCTGTTTTGAGGCATAGTGCATTCCGATCACGCATTGAATCAAATGTACGTGAGCCCCTGTCCCCGGACTGCCATTCTGGATACTTCAGCGCAAGCTGGGAGATGTGGTGATCTGCTCTGCTGCTATCGCCGTCTCCTCGACAGCCATACAGCAGTTCCCTGGGAACTACGTGTCTGTGGATGTCGTCGTTGTTGCTACTCAGCGGCCCAGTCTCGCTCGTCGTCGCCCTTTGTTTCGGCAATTAGCATGTCACATCTCGAACAAAGGAACGTTGTCAGGTCCGGTCCTGATCACAATGAGACCCGGAACTGCCAAATATATCATGATCAAAGAAATCTGCGGATGCATCACCTATTCTAGGCGGACACTGCCCATTGTCCTCAATATGTGGCCTGTTCTAGCCTGGCCTTTGGTGATTATGGACCTCTCTCATAACCGTTTCTGCCCCTGCTACAACCATCTTTTGCAACACCCATCTCGTCGGGTTGTTGTAACATCTCCATTCCCATACAGTCTATACCAATCCCTAGTTACCAAATAGAACAGCCATGGCTTCATCAAACCCGACGTCTCCAATCCTTCCTACCCTATCGCCATTGTCGCCGCACTCGTCTAGAGCTGTTGAGAATCCTTTGGTTGAGCCGCTTCCCCAGCTTGTGACGACCTTCTCTGGTATGACCCCTACCCAGCCTTCGATGACCAGCCCCAATCCCTGGTCCTGCAGCAATGCCAATGGCACAATTTGTCGACGAAACAGCCTCGCGTCACCGGTCATGTCCCCTGCACAAGCCGCCTTTGCGCCGATGTCTCCCGCTTTAGCTCGAGCTCAGATTCGCACTCCTGAAAGAGCATATTTCTATATCACCCACACACCGACGACAGCCAGCTTCACCCGCGAAGACGGCCGGCAAAGCCGTATGGCCATGCGCAGCCCGGCATACGAGAGAATCTTGACTCTGCCCCTGCGTGTCAACACAGTCCTTACCAGTGAGACCATCCCTGAAGAAGAGCAGCCAGAATGGGTGTCTACTCCGTCGTCCGACGCAGCGACGCTCATGGACTGGGAACCAGCGATCGCGACCACATCTGCGTCGCCCACGACCAACGGCCGACGCCTCATCCGGTCTCACACTCCTGCCCCTATCAGAACCCAGAGTCGTTCTCCCATCCGCAGACAGCCTCAGAACAACAGCCGCCTCCCACCGAAGCCACGCCTTCCCCCGCCGCCAAAGTACCACGTCAAGGTCATCCCCACCCTCTCGCCAACCACCCAGCGGAACAGGCAGCATTACCTGTCGAGCGTAGAGCACCTGCGCGCCCCTTTAGTCCCCCTGATATCCGTGACCACAGGGCTCCCGCACCCGGAATTCCCCACCAGTCTACTCCAGTATCACCTCCTTACACACGAGCAATTGGATTCCCTGGCGCGGTGGTACCACCAGGTGACCCCCCCAGTGGAAGAGACGTTCCAGTACCCGGCATGGATTCCTCCCTGGACGGGTCTGTCCCGCCTACGACAGCAGATCTCCAGCACCGACGAGGAGGTGAGGGTTGATCTGGAGACGAAAAGAAGGCGGTGGGGACGGTTCATCGGGCTGCGAGGCTGCGAAAGCCCAACGGCCGAGTCGGGCGCTGTTGCGAACGGCGACGGCGGCGAAGAACGCAGAATCGAGACGCCCGACGAGCTAGCACGGCGCATGGAACGGGAGTGGAGGCGGGCGCTGGAGCGGGCGGAGGAAGAGGCCCGCGCGTACGAGAAGAGCTGGAGGGGCCGGTGGTGAAGGGGCAATTGGGTAATTGATGCCATACAACAAGGCCGAATGGGAATGGGGCTCATTTTGAGATGACGGATGGTTTGTCTCCCTGGTTAGCTGCAAGAGAACTGAAGCCTCTGGTCTGTACCGTAGTCAGTCTGTCGCGTCGGCTCCTTTAAACAAATTTATGGCAAGACGAGCATGAACGTTCGCTGCTGCTTTAATGTACGAATGCAATCATCAACCATGTCTATCTATGTATCAAACCCCCAAGCCGCCATCTGCATATAGGCACTAAAGTTTATGTACAGCAACGGGCCACGACATCCATTGGCCCTTCGTCGTCTATCAAGACCTATACAATCTCCAGATTGGCAATCCTCACCCCCTTGGTCTCGACGTGGTACCGTCTCTTGACTCCCACACCGACCGCCGCGTTCTTGAAGGCGTTGTACACCCTCTGCCCACCGCCCACGAGAACCATCGGGATCGAGTTCCGCCGCGGCAATCCTGCTGGCGTGGTTTGTCGTCGGTGCAGGTATGGCCGAATCAGGTTGAGATCGTCGTAGGCGGTGTCAGGATGTGCGCTGCCATCATCGTTTGGGATCTCGTCGGCACTGCCTTGGTGGTCTTCTGCCTCTGCTTCTCCCTCGGCGCCGCTGTGTCCGTCAACGTCGTCCTGTCCGTACGACACGACAACCACCAACTGCAGCGCCTGCGCGCCCGGTTTGTATGCTGGGATGTTCTCCAGCTTCGCACTGAAGTCGCACCCTCCCCTCTTAACCACGAGGATCTGATGCTGCCGGACAACGCTTAGAGGTAATCTGTGGTCGCAGAGTTCATCCGTCACGTAGATCTTTGTCCACGACAACGCAGGCACGGTAGCACCGGTTGATAGCAGGGTGGAGACTTCAGGCCAGTCTGGCAGTGGTGCGGCACCCGGTCCTGTGGGCGTTACCGCGGAGAGGTGGTACCGTAGCACATTGCCTCCTCCGCCCTTTGTTGAGGACACTGAGGAGGAAGAGGCAAGCTTCGTTGCTGGGGGTGTAATAAGTGAAAGAGGCGTTGAGAAGGGCCAGGGAGATGGAGCACGGCTTTCTCTGATGAGGCTCGAGATCTGAGAGACGATGGCGTTCCATGCCGCCCGCATGGCGCCGTCGTTCGCGCCATCTTCGAATTGTGGAAGATTCATTATCAACGAGGGTTCCCCATCATTTTCAGATTTCTGGCCTGCTGTAGTCGCCGCTGGCGTATCGGATTTTCCAGCGTCCGAGTCTTCAATCGACCCTTCCAGATCGAGTACCATATCCAGCATAACGGCGTCGCGAATGCGCATAAAATTGGGATCTGCCGGGCTGAGGACATCCCTGCCTGTGTCACGCGCCAGGTACACCTTTTCATCTTTGCCCAGAGGAATGTTGTTAATTGTTTGAATGCGGAATGTATCGTGGAATCCGTCGTCGAAAAGTAAAGGGTAATCCTGAATCATTCCGAGCCGCAAGCCACCGATTGCATTGACCAAGATCCCATCTTTCACGCGTTGGAGAGGAGGAACAGGTTGGCCTGCGGGGGATATCGCAGGGAAGGAAATGTCGAGTGTTGGTCTAGTTGGGATGAGTGAGCTCGAGGCATTCCAAGGGACTAGCTCTGGGGGTAGCGTCCATGGGTAATATGTATGATTGGAAGGTGAGCTGATATCCAGTAGCGTAATGCTCGGATGGTCCGCCGCGTATTCACCGAGGGCAGATTCGACATTGTCCCTGTGAGGCATGAGATGAAGTCTGGCCAGATTAGCTGCATGATAGACATCACCCCTCGAGGCAATACTGGAAATGGTCAGTGGCAGGGGTGAGGGCTTGACGGGACAGAATGACTCTTCGCCGCGTAATGGATGCCAAACAGCCTCACGGTGGGAGCCGTTGTCAACGCTTCGAGGGATAATCAATGGATGGCCTTCAGTGGTGAAGACGAAAGGCTCATCGAGCTGATTGAGAGGGTGTGTCGGATCGAAAAGGAGAAAGAGATATTTGGCAGTTTCTCCGAGAAAGAAGCTCTCCATCCTGTCCGTCTGCTCGCCGGTCAGCACGTTTTGGATGCTGGCCCAACCACACCTCGTCCAACATCGTCGTTTGATATCCCGCAGTACCATTTCCCCGACGTGAAAATACCACGGATCTTCTGTGGCGCGGTAGAGATAATATGTAGACTCGATGAACTCTGGTCGGCCTATCCACCAACCAAGCCCGCCTTCAATGCCTCCAGTCACGAGATTCCACCGCTCCGGAAGAGCAGAGAACCTTGTCCAGAGGGCCGTCTGTAGAAGATGGGTTTCCACAGCTTCGTCAACGTGTCCGGCAAGCGTGAGAAGGCCAGGATAATATGCACTCAAAGCGTCAATCCAGAACCCCCTGGCTGCGCCAGTGGAGAAATCAGCTTGGATATAGTGTGGGTGTTGATACGTCGATCCACGATAGAGGTGTCGCTTTATCGCGGCATGAGCAACGTTCCAAGCATCGAGAAAGGCCTCAGAAGTCGAGTCTCCCACAGATAAGGATTGATGGAGGATTCTCGGATCTTGTGAGCCGTCCACGCTGCTGTAGACCGGATGAGCTTCCCGGGACAGAAGGATATGGGACTTCAGAGCGTATTCGAAAAAGCTATCGATGCCAGCACCGATGCCTGTCCAAGTACCGATCCAATTTCCACTTTCTGCATCGATTCCACCTCCAATCAGGTCAATAGCACTACGCCTCTGCCAGATCGCCCAGAAAGCTCTTTTCGCGAGTTCCTCAAAGCGAGGATCTCCAGTCAGCCGGCTCAAGACTGTAAACTCAAGAACCAAACTTCCAGCACCGGCACTGCATGTCTCGGTGATTTCGACTGATCCCGAGCGAGCATCACATTGACCGTTCTCGGCATGAGAGTTCAGGGGAGAATTGACGTAAAACGGGATCCCGTGCCGAAGGTTGACGCGAGGATACGGTATGCCAGTTGAAGACCAGAAAGCTGGAATCAGGCGATTGCCAAGGTCATATGCCAGCCGGAGGAGTTGACCGTCATATTCAAATGCATTAGGCCAACGGATGCCTTGTCTTTTGCCATCGAACTGATCCTTCTGCCATACTTCAGCATATGCAACCTGCCTTTGAGGAGGATCGTAGCCACGGATCGGTAGCTCGCCGACCGCAAATAGATGAGCGCTCAACAGCCCACCAAGACCTCGTATCGCTGTTTCAAAGACCTGCACCTTGCTGTCCAGATCGAATCCTCTTGCTCTTAGCCCTTGACCCGACGGCCCGTCCGAGCCATCTCCATACTGCTCGACCAAATCCCTGACGCTGTCCTGAAACAGCCGCAGAGGTTTATTGTGCTTTGAACTCGAGGGATTGGAGGCTAATATCGCGAGAGTGGACAGACTATCGATGAGGGTCAAGGAGTAGTTTCCCAGAGGGTCATTGACTTCGATGTGCGCTGGGTTGTCGCGGTCGCGTGTCAAGGGCTTGCAGGATATGGGACGCAGCTCATCCTCGGGGAAGGCATAGGACATGTAATTCTCGAAGCCATGATAGAAGAGATCCTCAGCCTCCTTTCTGAGGGCCTTGATCTGGCCAGGTGTCTGCGCGTGTACGGTGGCTATCGAAGCCAGACAAGCAACAAGCACGACGAGACGAACGCCTCTCAGCCATTGCCAAAGCCGTGCCGGTGCGAATAGTGTAGACAATGATACAGCTGGAGGCGTCACATGGCGACAAATCATGCGCATGGCACACTCGCGGGTGACGGTGCCACAGAGCGCATATCAAAGGGGTCGCATGCGAAGTGTAATGTGTAATTACACGCCGTGTCCAACAAGATTCGGCGTCCTTTGATATGGAGAGTATTTCCGTGTCTGACATGACATCTCATGGCTTTGCAGCCGATAAAACGACGTTAGATTTCCGTCAGACGTCGCCACCTCACCCACCGGTCTTGCGGCCTGCATATCGGAGGTTGCAGGGAAATTTCCCGCCGAATTTGGCGGCCAGTGCCGCCGCCTTTGGAGGCTTTCTTCCCTCGATGCCAAGACGAGGTATATCCACGGCCGCCGCACCTCTCTTTGGGACGAGGGTGATGCCGCCCTATGCTCACCTAGCTCACGATCCTACAACAGTTTTCTATCTCCTGTGAAATCCACTCCCATACTCTGTTCCCACATCGCTGCTGGACATGTCAATTTCAGCTGCGTGACGTCGACTTTTCAGACCTACGTGTTGATGTTGGCTTCATGGGTCCGGCTCTCGGCTCCAAATGACCTGTCGAGTCGTTCGAACTTTGAGCACTCGAGGCAATTGTGGTCTCTGGCCTGACTGGCTGAGATGACAGACCTTGACCTATAGTGTCGGGTGCAGAGCGATCACTGGGCTTCACGTCGCTGCGTGACGTGGGTGGTTTTGCTTCAGTGACCCGCTGCTTTGAGAGGTCCTCGAGGGTGACAGTCCTGTTCTCTGACATGGTGGGATCATGGACAACAGAATTTCTATGACTATAACTGTCGGCAACAGAGATGCCCATGAAATGTTACTTGGGAGTGTCGATTGAGACAGTTTGGTCATTGACCTGCGGATTTGGGAGATACTCGCCCTCATCAACACAGGCCATGCACTCTTCCAGCCCACATCTGGATCTCTCCCCGAGAAGGCGCACATCTCTCACGATGCCCGCGAAGCAGAAGTTTCGGATCCTTCACGTCTTTAGATCTGCACAGAAGATCTTCGAAATCATGATCCCAGCCAGCGCGCGAATTAAGGGCACCACGGAGAGCACCATAAACACCTCAAATCCCCACAGTCCACTTCTTAAGCTGCCAAACGAGTTGCTCCTTCAGATCACCGGTTTCCTGGAAGCCGAATATCAACTCTCACTTCGCATTTGCTGCCGACGGCTTCGCCTCCTACTCAGGGGTCTCGACCCGACACTGAGTGATTTCAGCACGAAGCTGCGGTTCTATAAATGCCTCGAGCCCGACTACCCGGAATATCTTCCCTGCCTATCATGTGGAATCATGTTCAAATGGCGCTCTCCGTTTATGTGTGTCCGCTGTCCACGTGAGGGTCAGCACCCGTCTATTTCTAATTGGAATTCGGCGGCATACGAATGTTGGTCCTTAGCAGGAACAATTGATATTCGGATGAGTCGCTCATTTATCGAGTTGGTTTTTCGTGCTCACGAACGAGGTGAGCGATACGGGTATCCCGTGTCTTCCTTGCGATCGAGCGGACTGCATCGCAACAGCGTCTTGTTCCAAAACGATGCACGCATGATTGATGGAGAACTTGTGCTTGCTACGCGATGGGAGCTGGACGCAGAGCTTCGAATGGATTGGGAAGACCAGGCCAAGCTTTTATTCTGGGCTTCTTGCTTGCATTGGCGAACCAATGGATGGCACGACAAGATACCGGCGTTACTTAAGGGTGCGTCCACGAACATGATGCCCTTGAAGCCCACGGAAACCCTCAAGTGCTCCTTTTGCGAATGTGACTGGCAACTACAAATGAATCACAAAACCGACACACATTTGAGGATGCTCTTTTGTGTCTGGAGAAATTACGGACGACGGTGTGGAAAAAGGCAAGGGAATGAGCAAATTTTTCACCGTGAGCCGGCACCGCCGCTGGATATCGAATCAGTTTCGCAGAGAGATCTACGAGCCCTCTTTGAGTCTGGAAATGAGGAAAGGCGCAGCACGGAGAGCACGGAGGTTTGCTAGCGTTCTAGATGGGCCGGCCTGGACAGCAGAGCCTCTTATGAGGACTCCTGGGGTGTCGAAGTCGGACTTTAAAGCCTCCTCGTGGCGACACCTCATATACGTAGTCATGGGATCTCTATTACTCACCTTAACTGGCTTCAGGCTCAATACCTGCGGCGGTTATGGCTGTAAGACCGGCATGGTCCTCTTCGCAAGAGGAGATAGAGGCGTGACGACCGAAGATTGCGAGGGCAATCGACGCGAGGCAGAATTTGGCTCAAGCCGGAAGGGAGAATGGAAGGGGGCCCGATGCGGCTCGGGAATTTAGGCGGTGTCGAGATGAGACCTAACAGATGCGTCAGAGAGGACAGAGTTGAGAGAGAAAAACAAGTTGAAAGGGAGGAGGGAGGAGGGAGTTAGGGACCGGCGACGGGATTGTTATAGCCGTCAAAAGCGGCGGTGCACCCGGCCCGCGACCACGCCCGAAGTGGACGGCCGCCTAAACCGGAGGCGGATTTCCCTGTACCGACTTTACAGTACCAGTAGTTTCCTCGCACCCACAGCACCTTGGTTTCTAAGCTGACAAAACTGCTGAACGGCACCAGTGACCCTGCTGGCACCCCACAGCACCTAAATGCTACGAGAACGGGAGAACTCCGTCAAACTCCGATCAGCTAGGGAGATCAATCGCCCTCACCCACAAGCTGCAGAAAGCCGTCGATTACAAGTCTTCGGTGCACACGGCAGAGGTCCAGGTTTCGTCCTGTATTTGGTGCTCAAGCCCAAGCCTCGTTTTCCGGTCGCTTCGATGGAAAGGGCGAGGGACAATCTGTCTCGTTGTGGCCGATCACCACAAGGTCAGCATTCACAATCTCAGGTGGGAATACGGGAGCGCATGGCGAATTGCCGGGCGCGGACATAATACAGCGAGCATGGGGCAAATTATATATGTACGGGCTCCCCAACCTTCCTGCGATGACCGACTTTCTCGTTGAAGACATCATCATCATCCAAGGAAAGGCTATCGAAGACCCCTAGGAGCAGTGTTTGGATTGTTCTCTATCATGAAGGTCTTGCTCACTGGAGGCAGCGGATTTCTTGCTGTCCATTGCTTGGATGCACTGCTCAAACGCGGGTATTTTGGATTGAATTCTGCCCTGGAAGCCGTCCAGTATTAACCGTTCCTTAGGCACGACGTGGTTGTCACTGTGCGTTCTGACGAAAAGGGACACTATCTACAAGAATTGTTCAAGGGCAAACCAGTGTCGTACACGATTGTCAAAGATATTGCGGTAGACGGCGCCTTTGACGAGGCCGTCAAGGCTGATCCACCGTTTGAAGCCGTCGTGCACACTGCCAGCCCTTTCCACTTCAAAGTTACCGACAACAAGACCGACCTGCTTGATCCCGCGATCAACGGGACGACAGGAATTCTGAAGGCTATCCACAAGTCAGCCAAATCTGTCAAGCATGTGGTGATCACGTCATCCTTCGCTGCTTTGTCGAATTATCGTAACCCACCTGCTGTGTACAACGAAGAGATCTGGAACGATATGACCATGGAGGAAGCCCTGACGGCACCGAACCCACAGGCGGCTTACAGAGCGAGCAAAAAATTCGCCGAGAAGGCTGCTTGGGACTTTGTGGAGGCGGAGAAACCAAGTTTCAGTGTGACCACCCTCTGTCCACCCATGATATACGGACCGGTGCTCCACCAAGTCAAGTCACTGGACGAATTGAACACTTCGAGCTCACGGATTTGGAATCTCTATCGTGGGACGCCACGAGCTGGGCCGGTGGGCTCTCCGGTTCACGTTGATGTTCGGGACCTGGCTCTGGCTCATGTGCTTGCGATTGAAAATCCTCGGGCCGCCAATCAGAGGTTCTTTGTCGTGGCTCAATTGGGCACAGAGAAGCAGCTCCGGGACATTATGGAAGAGGCCTTTCCAGAAATCAAGGGGAACCTCCGAGATGAGGTGACCGACACGCTTCCGCCTTGGGGTATCGACAACAGTAAATCCATCAATGTATTGGGCATCGGATACCGGCCTCTCAAAGAGACAATCGTGGACACGGTCAACTCACTGAAGGCGCTCGGGGCATAGAGCGTTGGGCGTCACGGATGGCTAGACAGGAATGATGTAGACGGTATAGACTTCTACTACGGCACCTAGTTGCAAGATCGTCTTAATTATATGCGTATAGTCTCCCAGCAATTTCTTAAGTCCCGAGCAAGTGGTGGTTGAAGTAGGAAAGGCGGGCAGATTCGGCGATTTCATGGCATTGGATCCTCGCAATTTGCCGCGGCGCTTGTGTCCCGCACCGTCTTGATATTTTGTTCCCCTCCGCATCTTCAGCTCCCACCACTCGAGCGCGCTTACGGCGTTGCAGCGATCGCCGCGGCGAAATGTCCCTCAGTGTAAACGAGGATCCGACCTGGGTGAACACGACAATGTCGGAACCATCTGTCCCAGGAACCTCCAAACAAGGCAGCGCCTGCGAAGCCTGTCACGCCAGAAAAGTCCGATGTGATAAGAACCTGCATGAGAGCACGCGCGATGCCTGCTCAAACTGTCGCGATGCCGGGCGAGCCTGTCTGTAAGGTCCATGTCTCCGAGGTTTAGAGGGCGCTCCATTGACATTCGAGGAACAAGACCGCATGTCCGGAAACGCAGACGTCAACTGTTGGATCACGCCGGACGCCCACAATCCACGGAGGAGAAAAAGGTGAAACGGCCGGCAAACGGCGACAGGACCTTGACTTCATCCCAGCAACCCAGCTATCTCGGTCGTGCTGACTACATCTCTGCCCATGCTGAGATTGACGAGGACGACGCAACCCACTACGAGAGTCCTGGCCCTCGCGCAGGGTCATGGCACAACTTCGAGGTCAAGATCCGGCGTAACTTGTCCGTGCTCGAACTGCCTCAAGGGACACTCCGACAGACTCTGTTGAGAAACTTTCTGCAGCGATGTCGGCCATGGATGCCATTGGTGAACGATTCGGACCTCGAAAAGTTCGATTCAAAGAACAAGGACACCCTGCTTGTGACGTCCATGCTAGTGGCAGGAAGTATCGTCTCGTCCACACCACAGGCGGCCGAACAAGGACAGAAGTGCTACCAGCGAGCAAAAGTGCTCTTCTATACCAACGCCGAGCAAAATCACCTCCACGCCCTCATGGCCACGATTCTCCTGCAGTGGCTGAATCCGTCCGGGCCGGAGCACGTGTCCATTGACAGCAGCAGCTTCTGGCTCAGGATCAGCGTCGCCCTGGCACACCAGTTGGGCCTCCATCGTGAGCCGGACCCGCGAATGGCGGATGCAAAGTTGAGGCGGAGGATCTGGTGGACCTTGGTCGTAAGTGAAGATCATCGTCTTCACCGCAATCCACAACTAACACGACGCAGTCCAGGGATAATCTCATTGCGGCAAGCCATGGACGTCCGAGGGCGGTCAATGCAGAAGACTCAAACGTTCGACCCCTTCGCATGGATGACTTTGATGCCGACGACGAGGACGCACTCCTGTTCATGCATTTTGTCCAGATAACTTCCATTCTAGGAGACATGACCGAGGAATACCGCCGTGGAACGCTGTCAGACCGCAAAAAGATCGACTTTGAAGACACGCTTCGCCGATGGCTGAAAGCCGTGCCACCCAGCTTGCGGCTTTACAACCCCGAGACGAAAAGACTGAATGAGTACAACTTCAAATCCCGGCAGCTCCATACCATCTACTTCACCTCACTAATCATTCTCTTCCGACATGACAAGAGAGACCAGCCTCCATCGCCCGTCTCTCTGCTCGCCGCGTCCTTCGTTTCCGGTATCTTCGAGGAGTATCTTACATGGGAGGATGTCTCGCATCTCGCAGTGACTTCCATATTCTACCTGATGGTTGCGGCACTCTTGCAACTGTCTTACCAGCGGTTCCCCTCCTTAGCCACACATCGGACCGAAGAGATCGAAATCATCAGGTCATCATTAAACGAGTTCAAAAAGAGATTTCCTTCTGGTCTCGGCGCTGAGAGAGTGGTCAATCAGATGATGAAGCACTCCACTACTCTCCCGGAGACAGCGCAGTCCGTCCGCATAGCTCTCTCACCTGATCAGGAAGAATTCTTTGCACCCTTTGGCCCCGAGTTGTGCCGGAAATGGCGGCTGGTGGTCGAGAGTCCGGCAGCGGCACCCTTGGAGGGGCTTGAAGATTTTGCTGGTGTGACCCAGTCTGACAACGGGCCGGTCAATACAGCGCAGACAAATCATCTGTTACAGGCAAGTACGGATCAGGCGCAAGACGTCCAGGCCATGATTTCCACTGAGCCGGCATGGGATGGTGGCACTCCATTCGCGTTCAGCCTCGACGATCAAAATCTGTTGTTGGATCAACTCGGTCTCGACAGCGTCGGTCGCTGGTGGTGGGCGGATTGGATGCCTGAAGCAGACTTGGATTTTCTCTCCAAATCACTCTAAGGGACGTGTTGCCTGGATCTTTGCCGATGAGATCGTCAAGAAGGCAACAGCCGCTCGTAACCATCAAACCGTTTTTCTTTTGCAGCTCTAGCCACACTAACAGGACGACTGTTCACAAGAATTGCCCCTGGTAAGAGAACGTTGGTTTCAGCCATCAGTGTCGGAGGCGTCCACCTCCATCTCAACCTGACGCGCCCACAAGACGGTCAGGTCGATGAGCGTGTGATGGCCACGAGGCTCCATCTTCGCCAAACAGCCAGTTTTCGTGGATCGGGCGGATCTCCTGGTGGGAGGGTGACGACTGTCTTTGACCCTGTGCTTGGCACTGCCCGGTGCCATTGTCGACTCAGGATCCCAAATAACAGACCTCGAATTCCACGTTCAATCGGAGTCCTCAGATTTGTTGCCAATGCCATCTCTGAAGGCAACAAACTGGCAGCCATTGTTGCCTTCCTTATGCATGATACCACCAAAAGCAGAATCGGCCTTGAGACAAGCCATATCTGCTACCATCCCAAGGACGCAATAGGGCAAAAGAAAGAACCGTACCTGTGACTCACCAGCTCACTCCCAGCTGGATGCACATGACAAAACCCAGCTTCGTGCCCAGCACCAAAAAGGCTCAGCTCCATGCAACTGTCGGATTCGCTGTCTGGCGGAGAGAAAAGACGTATGCAATGAATGGAGGTCATGGTCGTCGGCTGCAGGACAGATTCACAGGGGCGTCTATTTTGAGCCCCCTCCCTGGAGGGCTTCAAAAAGCGACCGAGCGATCACCACCCTGGGATGTTGTGAGAGGTGGTGATTAGGGTGTCACACTGGCGATGGACAAGCTGGACCTGGTCAAGCCTCCGGGTTCCCAAATATCTTACGCCTTTATTTAGTAGATAGAAAAGGAGGCCTCACTCTTCCTGAATGACAAAACGGTTGCATTTCAGGAGTCTTCTCCAGCCCCCCACTTCCGCTTCTGATACATGATACAATACTTTCCTCGAATACTTGACTCCATCTCAGGCCTGCGTTGCTGATAGCTGACTGATTGTTCTTTGAATGCAGCAGCGGCCTGCCGGTCCATCACTTCCGGGGTTTCTGCTAGGTCGTGGCGGTCGCCTGGGCTCCAGAGAACTTTGGTCTCGGTTAGGGACGGCGAGGGGCCGCTTCTGTATTACTATTGTGCGGATGTTATTGTTCACAAGGACGGTGTCATGATGAAGCCTCCATATCATTTTAGCTATGGCGGGGACGGAAGACACACTATCCCATCTCTTTGCTCGGTGTGACTCTTCGCACGCCCTTCACAGTTCCCACTGACTGTTTCAGCGAGATATGTACTCATGGTGCCTGTTGAACCCATCGCCACTCTTTCTTTCTTTGACACTGGCTGGCCCCTGTCTCGTACATCGGTCTGGACTTATTCACGCAGCAGTTTCTCCAGCTCCACAATCTGCGCGTTCAAGCGACGAATCTCACACCTTCTCCTAACATATTCACTAAACTGCTCTTCGTATGAAGGAAGCCTCATACCCACCTCTGGAAAGTCCCTGCGAATTGATCCTCGAATCACACAGACTCGTAGCTTTAGCTCTACGCATTTCTTACGAGTAGTGCGCCCCCGGTCATCGTCCGCTTCAAAGTCATTGATATCTCGCTCTAACATAGCTACTCTGAGACGCCGCGTAGCCCATTGTCCCAACTTATCGCGATCTCCGAGAAACAATTCCGGCTAGCGCTCATGGTCTTGTACCTGTAGCCGCAGGCCCACGATGTATTCATCTGCCCAGTATTCGCGTCGTGCATTGATGGCTTCTTTCGTCAGGTTCAGGCCTGCGAACTCTCCGGGCGGGTGTACTTTGAGGATCGTTGTACTGCTGTGCACTTCTGACTGTGTCGCGCGGCCGGGACTCTCATGACTTCTGATGTGCCGGAGTTGATCGCCTCGTTCTAGACGCAAGCCAGTCTGATTCTGTGCTCTTGTGGTATAACTGAGTGTGTGACTTAATCTTATACCGCACCTGCTTTTGAAGTGCTTGCCTGCAAGGCTGAGCCATGGTTGCTTAGCTGGCAACGCCGACCCTGAGAGAGATGTTGGAAGAATCTGGAAGGAAGTCAAGACTGATTGCTGACTTTGGAAGTAGGTGTTGAGGGAAGCTTAAGGAAAGTCGGGACTGCAGCTCTGGAAGAGAAGGTTGAGAATCTTCACTGAGGCGGAGATTGGTTGTTGACTTGGGAAGTAGGAAGCGAGAGAGCCTTCATCATAATCAAGAAGGCCTCGGGAGTATGAGCTGAGGATCTCGACAGGAATCCAAACTGATTGTTTACTTGAGAGGACATAGGTGCAGGGAAGGAAAGAACGCAAATAAAGAGGAGGAAGAAGGGAGTGCAAATAGGAAGTAGTGAGCGGGGGGAAGCCTTGATAAATTTACAGTAGATCAGTCTGATACTAAGCTGGACTGATACCAGGTCAGTCAATCCTATAGTGAAGTGATCTGAGAGTAGAGTGATTCAAGAGCGACCTGATCCCAAGGTGAACTGATTCTGAGTGGTAGACATTAGTGGTTGAAGGGTTTAGAGATGGATTAGTCCTAGGCTAGCTTGATCCCAAGTTCAATTGATTCTCAGCTGATCTGACCTTCAGCTGAATTCATTCAGAGGTGAAGTGATTCGAGGACTAATTGACATAACGAAGTTGGATCGTCCAGACGTAAAGCGGAACCAGATTATGAAGCTGAAGTGGACGAACCCCGGGACAACCTCAAATCTGTGTGACTGATGCCCATTACACAAAGCTCTGAGCTGCTACTACTGTTGCTTTGAGTATTGTTTGTGCAGTCTGAAGAGTTCAAAGAAACTGCCCTGGACGTAACATAATTGTATTCCTCATACCATGTACAGCAGATCTCCACTCAAGGAGACAAGCCTTTGTGGGGCAGTTCGCAATGAGCAGAATTGTGATCTGATAGGCCAACTGAACATATTATGCTTCCGTACCCGGGAACTTTGGTATAGACCCCTGCTCTTCAACTGTGTATTATCTCGAGAGTCGAGACAGAGTAATTGTTTGGTCAAACCCGCGGGGTTTTGTTGGAGAGAGGTTCGGGTGGCCGCATACGCTCAGACAGAACTATTTCGCAAGAGAATTCTTCGAGCCTGTCCGAGAACAGTGCGAGTTTGGGATTGCGGAACTGTGGGACTGGCGTGGCTTGATATAGTTGTCAACTGATACATCCACTGCTGCAACTGTACTTGATTCGCTCGTTGCTTTTGGGACAGGGAGACCTGATTGCAGGTATTTGACGATTCTCTGGTCTCGCAAGATCTCTTTCCAAGAGTATTACTACCGGGGACGGTAGTCGGCCGTGCTCGCACAGGGGTATGGTACATTGGGGACACCCTTCTCTTGCTCCGCCGCGATGTAGACTTGCCGCTTGAGGATTTGCACTGGTTTTCTGAGGGTTTGGCTGGCACAGGGGAAAGGTTGTGTATCCCGTAACAGACAGTGCTGCCCAGTGTCAACTCCATAATCAGACTGTTGGGCGGATTCGGCTCTGGGTTCGCTCGAGACGTGCGTACTATGGATAATAGAAAAAGACTCGAGCGTCGGAGAGGATGAAGTAGATGATACTTGTACAGGATTGGACTGCCCGGGGCTTCGACGAGGATATCGACAATCGAAAATCGACAATCAGAGGCCGCAGATATTCCCAAATAAGGCGCAGATGTGACAACACTTGGGATGTACGACAGCGGAAAAATACGACAGATGGCGCGACTCTGACCTTTCAGGACGTCGTTCAAGAAGCCTTATGACAGTTGTATCGGTGGAGCGCGAATCAAAGTGTCTGAAAAGCTTGCATTCCGTCTATCTAGAGAGCCATGGCTCTCGCCTGTCCGAAGTCATGAAGGTGACAAGGTGCTAGCCTACCCATCCACCGAGCCGCATGGCGGGCCCCGGGTAGGCAGGAGTGCCACATTATCAAACCCCTCCGCCAACAAGACCAAGTGCAAAATAACCGCAGCTAGCTCATACACCTATCGGACAAGCCTTCGTTAGCGTCGAGATGCAAGGCCGCCAGAACAACAGCGAAAACCGTTTATGCTAATTAGTCAACAATAACGGTCTTAGGTAGTAATCTATAGATATTTTCTGGTAGCTCTTTGAATTCTCTATCGACTGATGCTAGTCTCGTAGTGTGATGCCTATTCTACGTGGAAATCTCAATGCCTATATATTTGACCTTTTCGCTAGATATCGAGATATTCTCAGCTATCGAGGGCCTCTACTACCTATCCTACACTATTTACCAGTAGGTTTAATAGTTCTCTATCTAGTGGTAGTCGTTAACAGGTTCTAGGGCTCTATTTATAGTGTAATCTTCGATATCTAGCGAAAAGGTCAAATATATAGGCATTGAGATTTCCACGTAGAATAGGCATCACACTACGAGACTAGCATCAGTCGATAGAGAATTCAAAGAGCTACCAGAAAATATCTATAGATTACTACCTAAGACCGTTATTGTTGACTAATTAGCATAAACGGTTTTCGCTGTTGTTCTGTCGTTGCGCGCTCGGCACACTTTGCTGATTTTGGGGATTTTTGCACCTCACTGTAATATTTACGGAGTACAGTGCTGTAATGTGTGACATTGCCAAACCCTATATTTCTCTTGCTGCATACACGCACTGGATCTCTCACGCTGTCAGAGCGCATGTGATTGGAAAAGTAGGACTTGGGAATTTTATTGTATTTGAATTTTTGAAAGAGGTCGAAGAAATTGGAATGACATGCTACTGTCTCTCCTTTCTTTTGCAGACTATATGATTACTGTCCCATCAAGTATGGCGACGACCTTGTTGGAGGGGGATATACACAACCTCAACCAGAGTGAGTTCTCAACTAACCATAGTTCGGGTTCAGTCTCTACTATATCTCCTCTCGACATGAATCATCCCATATCTCCCAATATAGTCCCCCCATTCCTACCCCTCGCCGGCGCAAGGGCGTTATTAAGTCCAAGCAATAATTCCCTCCCCATCAGATGGATGCTGTGCAATCTGTGCATGATTTTCACATGGGTCGTAAAGGAGCGTGGATGTCATCTCTCTGTTCTCTATGCCGTAAGGAGTGTGTCTCGTATCTTTTCAGTCGTAATGATCGTACGCTCGTGCCGGTGGTCTGGTTCCATGGGCTGAGCCGGGGATAAAATTACCATTCGTGTGGTGTCAAAATATAAAGATCAGCGTCGGTTGTGGGACTTTTCCGCCCCTGTGCATACGCATTATGCAGCATGGGGTAGAGTAGTCAACCGGAAATGTTGATCGGAGAATTGAAAATTGCTTTTTTTCTTGCTGTTCAGCGGCTCCTTCATTTAGGAGCTTTTCAAGTCATTCTCATTTATGCGAGGGCGACCAAGCCAACGACACCAGCCAGGAGTGCCATGGCAGGCTTGTTGTTGCTGCTAGCGGCGCCGGTGTAAGTCACCACTGGGGCAGGCGTGGTAGTGCTGGGGACAGGTGCAACGCTTGTCCAGATGCTGCTGCTGACAACCGGAGCTGGGGAGGAAGACCAGGTGCTGCTAACGACGACAGCCGTCGTTGAGCTCCACTCAGCCCAGGAAGACGGTGATGGTGTGCTCTCGACAGGAGCTGGAGCAGGAGCCCATGTCGAAGAGTAAACAGACGTCGAGCTCCAGTCAGCCCAAGCAGAGGATGATGGAGTGCTCTCGACAGGGGCCGGAGCAGGGGCCCACGACGAAGAGTAAACAGACGTTGTCCATTCCGCCCAGCTTGTGGAAGGAGTAGTAGTCGTGGTCGTGGTCGTCCAGTCTTGCCACAGGGAGGTCGTAGGAACAGTGGTAGTTGTCGTGGTCGTTTTGCTAGTCCAGTCAGCCCAAGTGGTGGTAGGAACAGTCGTTGTTGTCGTTTTGCTCGT